AAATTAGATAAGCACTACTCTGATTCTGTTACTCGTCCCGAGGGCAGAAGTGAAGAAGAGCAACAGCAGGAGGAGGATAATGATGAAGATGCAATCCTGTTATACAACCTTGAGAAGGAAGAAAATAATTTTTTAGAATACAAAAAAGAACAATTTAACTATTATCCCCAAATGGAAAATCTAATCAATATAACAGACTCGTTCTCAAATCTGAAATTTCAAAACTACATTTTCTTTGATTATATAAGTAGGTACACCATGTACATGCTAAAAAATGAGGGAAAAAACGCTTTGAACCCATATTTCATTGAAAAAATAGTTGCTTCATTTTATAAATTAAAGATAAATGATATTGCACTTTTTGAACATATTTTGAAACATATAAATGTATATACATATGATTATCCCCCACAAGTATTGTGTGCAATCGGGTATTATTTTTCATCTATACTACCAATACATTACTCCATAATAAATCATATTTTCAAGAAAATGATGGTATACATTTACAAAAATATAGAAATTTTAAATTTAGATTCGTTAACTAAATTTTCTTCCTTTTTACATAAAGGATCAATGAATAATAAAATGAAAAAAGAATTTCTATTTCGTATAAATGATATTATTAAAAAGAGAGATAATAAAAACTCAAAAATGATATATGATGTTCCAAGACTTGTTGAAATATTGGCATTTCATGAAATTCTTGATCCAACTACTTTTCAAATCTTATGTAAACATATGCATGGAAATATAAAATATTTTGAACCAAGCGATTTCAACAGAGCTGCAAGAGCACTCAAAAATATCAAAATAAAATTTAATTTAAAAGATGAAAAAATTATGAATGCCCTTGCAAGAAATGTAATAAAACAGCATGACTTATTTCACATAATCGATTATCATCAAACTTGTAAATCCATGTTAGAAACAAATACTCTCAAAGACATTTACAAAATCGGTTTAATCAAATATCACAACAATGTTCCTTTTTATGGATTTGATGAATTAACATTGGACTGCAAAATTCAAAACCAAGAGAAAAAAGACAACTATAGGTACAAAAAGGGTACTATTTATTTTTCGAACAAAAAAATTCAGCAGGAATATCCTTTGCATAAATCCTTGAGCCATCTGTGAGTTGCAAAAAAAAAAAGAAAAAAAAAAAAAAACACATATTGTGTCGCAGGTACAGACATATACGACTTTCTACCGTTGATATTCCATTACGTATGGAGAAGGAAGGCAGGACACAAGTCTAATTCCGTACATGTAAACATATTCATTTTTTCGTTTTCACATGTGCATTTTTTTTTTTTTTTTTTTTTTTTTTTTTCTCAATCCATATACCCACTCGTTATTCCCTGCAGTAGGTATTTTTTTTTTTTTTTTTTTTTTTTTTTTTTTTCCCCTATTTGTTACAATGTTGTGAGTATATGTAGAAATTTCACCACAATCAACAACATGACATTACAATTTTGTAATGAAAATCGTCTAATTTTAACATTTTACGAGATGCAATTATCTGTGACAATTGTGTAAAATGCCACTGAAAGGAACTTCTAACCTAGGACTCAGCAATTAGAAAAGTCCACGAAAAGTTCACTGTCTGGACAAAGGACCAGCCCAGTGAATTCCCCCCCAGTGTGCATTACTTAAAAAATAAAATAAAAATCAGATAAACGAGGCAAAATCAGATAAACGAGGCAAAATCAGATAAACAAGACAAAATCAGATAAACGAGGCAAAATCAGATAAACAAGACAAAATCAGATAAACGAGGCAAAATCAGATAAACAAGACAAAATCAGATAAACGAGGCAAAATCAGATAAACAAGACAAAATCAGATAAACGAGGCAAAATCAGATAAACGAGGCAAAATCAGATAAACAAGACAAAATCAGATAATCGAGACAAAATAAAGTGAAGTAAAAATGACACCCATGGCCTTTTGGCTGATCCTCAGCTTGTGCATGTACTCATCTGAAGCGGTATACATGTCTAGTGAAATTCCCACGGAAAAAATATTAACAAGTCATACAGTTCTAAAGAGGGATATAAGTGCTGATGAAGAGAACAATCATTACATCATGCAGGACATCCTCAGCTTACCTGTGGAAAATCGAAAGAACAAAAAGAAGAAAATCATTTATGATGACTTGTCAGAGCAACTAAAAAACCAAATGATAGACAAAAAAGATGCCCGAAAAATAAAAAAATTGAAATTACTTACCAAGTCGAATGAATTTCAAAATTTGCAAAAAAATTATGACAAAAACAAATCGAATGTAAAAGTATTACATGATAATGTAAAGCAAATTATAAGTGTCGCACTTAACATACCTTTAGATGAAATAAACTTACATGACCTTAATAGTCTACTCACCAAATGGAATATCTTAAGCAGACAAAAGGTTACTCCAAACAAAGAGAATAATGATGAATATTATAGGAAAACCATAAAAAGACATTATGTGGATCCTACTTCTGTTACTATGCCGTTAGAAATGACAAATTTAAAAGAGGACAAGCTGAAAAAACAAAGAAGAAGTTTTTTCATAAATCCGGATTATATGTTCGAATTGACAATTTGAAAATTTTGAAACTGAAAATTCTGAAACACGAGTCCAAAAAATGGATCATAATGATGATCACTTATTTTGCATGAGCTCCCTTATCTCTACGTGGTAGTGTAAATAAAAACGTTGTCCATGATACTATCACATATGCAAATGACAATCAAATGTAAATTACAGTGCTTATAGAATCTTTGCAAATCTCAGAATAGGGAAAAAAAAACAAAAAAAAAAACAGGTTCTAAAGATGCATACAGCTTGATATGTGTAAATTTCGTTTGTCCTAAAAAGGACGTATACCAATATTTCTCTCTTTTCTACGATTGAAAAAATTGTATTCATGTTTTGTTCATTTAAACCTGTGTAGGTGATAAATATATAGAATGCATAATCAGCAAAATGTCATACATTTTTCTTTTTAAACACATAAAGGGTGGTGCGAACCGAGCCAATTTTTTTTTTTTTTTTTTTTTTCCTTTCTTTGCTGCTTCTTATAGTGATTAAGAAAATGAATTCCTAGTAAAATATGGCTGGTATTGGTCGCCTCCTATAGAATTCTGAGATCGTGTTTTATACCATTCGTCATTTATCACTTGTTCAATTTAGAACACACTTTCAAAATGTCGACTTATGCACTCGTGGACGAGTTGCCTTTTTTTTGAAATCGACAGAAGTTCAGCTCCATTTTTCTGCACGCGCAGATATGGTGGGGGTGGTTAAGACTATGCATAGATGTTTACATAATATACATAATAGGTATACGTTAATATATACATTTGTAAATATGTACACTCACACAAACATTCACATGTGCTTACATGTAGGTATATGATAACCGCAGCCCACACATATGGGCTCATATTTCGTTCACGTTTCTCCCGTAGATTAAAAGCAAAAGGAGAGCCAGAACAAGGCACACAAAAAAAGATTCTAACCCAAATGAATAAAAATAAAAAAAATAAGTTGTTAAAAAAGGGACATAATGTTATACGTATAATGCTATAAAAAATATATATATATATATATATATATATATATATATATATATATATATGTATATGCATAACGGTTCTACAAACAAGAATGACATTGTAAAAATAAGTGCTCAGTCCATTTGTAGGAAATGCCAAAAAAAAAAAAAATAAAATAAAATAAAAATAAAAATAAAACATTGTATCATAAAAAATAGTGAACGTTTTTAAAATATAATCCCAATAAAAACTTGTTCAAGTAAATTTCTAACGCTTTACCGTGTGAAATTTCATGTTATATGTTTATAAAGGGACAAAAAAAAAAAAAAAAAAAATCAAGCGAACGGGCGAGCGAGCGAATTTATTTACAACTGAACCACGTTTTAATGTAAAACGTCAAAAAGATCGGATGTAAATTCTAAGAGCAAATTTTGGGGGAAAAAAGTCTTTTACTTTTACGATTACTTTTATGATTACTTTTACGATTACTTTTACGTTTACTTTTACGATTACTTTTACGTTTACTTTTACGTTTACTTTTACTTTTACGTTTACTTTTACGATTACTTTTACGTTTACTTTTTTTTTTTTTTTTTTTTTTTTTTTTTGTGTAAGAGTGTATGTATGTATGCATGCCCCTCTCCCTGTGGCGCGAGCTGAGAAGGAAAAACAATTGTTAATGTGATTTGAAGAAAAATGATCGTGACAAATGGAAATTTTATGGGAAAAGGCATCTTGAGAAATTGCCTAAAATTAAAAGATAACCAAAGAAAACAACTATATAGAGTGCGTAGTTATTACACTCAAATGGTAAATGGTGGAAAATATACAGGTATAAAAAATGTAAAAAATGCATGGAATTGGAAAAATGAAATAATGATGTGGCGACAAGGAAGGTGCAGCTACTACACAAGCAATAATGGAAAGAAATATAACAAAAAGCTTCTAAACAATTTAGGATTTGTTATAATACCACAACAAACAGCATACATAATTGAAAGACTAGGAAAGTACAAAAAAACGTTACTAGCAGGTATTCATTTTATTATTCCATTTATAGACAAAATAGCTTATGTATTTTCTTTAAAAGAAGAAACAATAACTATTCCAAATCAAACTGCTATCACTAAAGATAATGTAACTCTCAATATTGATGGTGTCCTATACATAAAATGTGATAATCCATATAATTCTTCATATGGTATTGATGATGCAGTTTTTGCTGTGACTCAATTGGCACAAGTAACCATGAGATCAGAATTAGGAAAACTTACATTAGACGCAACATTTTTAGAACGAGATAATTTAAATGAAAAAATTGTTAAAGCTATTAATGAATCAGCCAAAAATTGGGGTATTAAATGTATGAGATATGAAATTAGAGATATTATATTACCTGTTAATATTAAAAATGCAATGGAAAAACAAGCAGAAGCCGAAAGGAGGAAACGAGCTGAAATTCTACAAAGTGAAGGAGAAAGAGAAAGTGAAATCAATATTGCCATTGGAAAAAAAAAAAAATCTATTTTAATAGCAGAAGGACAATCTTTTGCAATTAAAGCTAAAGCAGATGCAACTGCTGAAGCTATTGAAATTATTTCCAATAAAATTAAAAAATTAGATTCACACAATGCAATATCACTTCTTATTGCAGAACAGTATATAGATGTGTTTTCAAATATTTGTAAAAATAACAATACTGTAATTATACCTGCTGACTTGAACAATATTAGCAGCTTAATTTCACAATCTTTATCGATATATAAAAATATACAAAATGCTAAGCAATCCAACCATTCCACACAAATTCAGTCTCTCCCCAGTGCAGATATCATGCATTCAGACCAGAAGGACTAGTGAATACACAAGGAGGAATTTTATTCGTCTCCTTGATCATATATTCTATTTTATTTATGTCACGCGCTTATGCAACTCCTTTGATAATGCAGACATGACTTAACCGCACGCCCACAAAATCCCTCATCCTTTCCCTTTTCTCATGTATTGGATATCCTTGTACCTAAGGGATAAAACATGAAGAGGCATGCAATATCATATCCAACTAAATATTCGCAACGATTTGTTAGAACTTATTTTGCATACATCTCTCCTCTGCACCTGATCGTTTATTATTTGCTTACATTCTATTTTATTATTATTTTACGTTGTTTTATTTTACTTTGTTTTATTTTTCTTTGTTTTATTTATTTGTTTTTCTAGTCTGTTGCAGTTTACTCTTTCCTGCCCCAATCATTTCCTTATCTTATGCCGCTCCATATGACAGCACAGTAATGTGCATATCCAAGAAGCTTACATGTTATGTTTAAGTGCCTTAAAATCCCTTCCGAAATTTTAGTCGTATTTTTGTTCGATAAAATATTTGTTGATGGTATCGTTAGATGTGTAATTACAGATCTTTGTTTATATCATACAGATTTGTGGAATTTTTCCCAACTTGTGCATTTGCACAATATTACACATATTAGAAGCCTCGTCCTTGTTTCTGTTTTGTGTGTCTGCAACACATTTAATCACATATGAGGAACCATGGGCTTATATATATTTTTATAATTATTGGCAAAGTAAAAGTGAACTAACATGGATCAGTATAAGAGGTGTAGGGAAACCTTGGCGAAGGTAGAAGTATAATTTTTACTTCTTTTTTTTTTGGAACATTTTTCATTTTAATAATACATTTTTTGAAATAATTCCCTTATTCCTTTATTTATTTATTTATTTGTTTGTTTTTTTTTTTTTTTTTTTTTCTTTTTTTTTATATATATAAAACACGATTTTTATAAAAGCAAAATAACAGAAAGTACTATTTTGCGGAATAAAACGAATTCACTTTTTAAAATTATTGAGCTGTTATTACTATACGTGCATTCCTATTTTATTTATATTCATTCATTTTTTTAATTCAGTAAGAGGTTACTTTGGGTATCCAAAATAATCATACGTTCACCTAGTTGCATTATCATTTTGGAGATTATAACACACAAGGGGGTGGGTAAAAAAGATTTTGCGCCCTCGTGCTATGTGTATCATTTAAAAAAAAAAAAAAAGAAATGTGGAAATTTTATCTGTACACACAGAACCATAAAACAGTAATATGTTCTTCGTATTGATTTTTCTCAGCTTTTAAGATCAGCATTACACACATGGATGAGCATTTTTCTATAAGCATTTTTATGGGTTCATCAAGTGGACAAAACGCTGTCATTTGTGCATGCACACATGTATCTGTACATATATATATGTATATATATACATTTCTGTTATTGAAAACCCTCTGCTGTGTCGCACCGAGGTGCTGTTATAATTACGCAAAAGGAGCTAACGATTCCTTGGGAGCAGACGTAACTTGGTGTTGTCCCTAGCACGCCTTTTTGCATATTTCTCAACAGATTCAATGCTTCTAGATCCACAAAAAAATAAAAGAAAGACCAATCAAACAGAATGATCAATAAGTAATAATCATTATAATAATTCCATGTTTTTCATTTTTCCTCCTATTCAAATGACGAAATGCACAGTCGTTTTTTGCTGAATCGTTTATCTCCGAATAATGCTTTGCATAAAACTGACATTTATATTTTTTGAAAAATTGTTTTTCCAAATTAAAACATAACTCATTTTGAATTTTCCCAAACGAGGGATGGCCGCCTTATTTATGTGTCTTGTACATATATGCCCACTGTGTGTAAAAAAAAAAAACTGCTTGAAAAACTGCTTGAAAAACTGCTTGAAAAACTGCTTGAAAAATTGTTTAAAAAGTTGCTCAAAAAGTTGCTTAAAAAGTTGCTCAAAAAGTTGCTCAAAAAGTTGCTTAAAAAGTTGCATAAAGGTTGCTTAAAAATTAGCTTATATAATTTAGAAGACATAAAATAACGCACGGTTATCTCTTATGTAAAAAATTTATTTTTACAAGAGGGCTGAAATACGGCACTTGTATTTTTATTTAACATCCACACTTAATTTTACAAATTGCTTACGTGTGGATATATGCTCGTGAACCATTTTTGTGGTAAAAGTATTATAAAAATTTGTACTCCTTTATTATAATATTTTATTATTTTATTTTATTTTGAGGTAATGGATTTACAAAAGTGTCAAATGACACAAGTGGCTCATTTTGTTATATTTTTCCAGTTCCACTTGCATATTTTTATTTTACCCATAGGTTAAATAATATGGGTTGAGCACACCCCAAAAATAAACACGCAATTGTGTCAACATAAAGGGAGAAAAAAAAAAAAAAAAAAAAAAAAAAAAAAAAAAAAAAAATTTATATCCAATTGCTATTATTTTTAAAGGCATATTTGATTATTGGCAAACGGTGTAAATTATATGTATGCGTGTATATTGTTCACCTCATTGCGTGCTCGCAGATGAAGAAGCGGTATTGTATATTAGGAAATAATAGATAAAAGCATAAGTACGTTTATTTCTTTCATTTATTTATTTATATCTATCTTGTTTTGCTTTATTTTATTTTTTCATTCTGTAGGGACCGTCACGATGTTCATATTACCTGGTGTATATGTTTAAAAATAATGCAAACTAAATTTTTTTTTTTTTTTTTTTTTTTTCTTTTTCGAATAGTATTTGCCCTATTGAATGTGTCATTGGCTAAAACTAATTTAGTATACTTGTTCTTTCTTTATTTTATTTATTTTTTTTTTATATTTCTGTTAAGCCATTCAAAATTGTAACTGTATGCATAAATAGTATTGCATACATACAAGAGAACACCACGTGAAGGTGCAGATTATGTACATATTATATATATTCATATTGTTTTTCCTTTACCACCCCATTCCCTTACCCAACCCACTTTAATGTGTTATGCATATATAATATCGTATACATGTATATATATGCATTATGAACATATGACAATCTTGGCATTTTTTCATTTACACGAATTAATCCGCTTTTCGTACTATGTTAAGGGACTTTCCTTTCTGTTTCAAACCTATATTTCCCGAATACTTATAAAACTTATATATATGAAACTTTTGCCTCTTTGTGCAACCCCAAGGAGGGAGAAATATTTTCACACGTATATATATATATACATGCATACCTTCAAAACATTCAACAGCATCATTAGTGTCATTTAATATAATAATTCTGCTTCAATTCTCCACGTGACCCTTTTTTTCACTCAAGATTATATAAAAGAAAAAAATAAATAAAATAAGAAAAAGTACTGCAAGGGAAAAAATCCCCAGTGAAAGTTCTTTAATTTGTAGTATGCAAAATTATGTATATATATACACAATATATAACACCGTGTTAGTGGGCTATTTTTTACTTGTACACTTTTATACATATGCATATATATATACCACAATATATAGAAGAATAAGCTTTAAAAGTTTTTAACGTATAAATATGTACATATATATATATATATATATATATATATATAAACATTTATTTACCATTCCCAAAAAAAAAAAAAAAAAAAAATAAAAAAACTGCAGGTTCATATTTTTATTCTTTTAATTTCAATGAGCTTTAAATATACATTTTAAAGCTTTGCTTAAAGGAGGCCAAGTCATTTTCACATTTTTTTTTTTTTTTTTTTTTTTTTTGTTCTTTGTTCTTTGTTTCTCATATGTATATATAATGCATGTGCTTTCTCGCACATTCAAGCGGAACAACTAACTGGTGGTTTAAAGTACGTAGTAGTAAACATATGCATATACATTTGCATATACATTTATATATACATTTACATATACATTTACATATGCATTTACATATATATATACATATATATACAAACATACATACATATTTATACGTGAACTTATATATTTGACCATACGTCCATACCTACACTCCAACATTTTGACGAGTCAAAGAGACCATGTAGGTATTGTCATCCGAAGAAATGTAAAAAAAATTATGAACAGTTCATATGAAAAATAAAGAAAGTACATAGGAAAAGCCTTACTGTTCATAACAAAATAGAACAGCTAAAAAAAAAAAAAAAAAAAAAAAAAAAATGCGGAGAAAGTATTTATAATAAATAGAACATATTTTTGTGTATTTGTTTTTATGTATTATATGTACTCATGTGTGTTTTCCAAACATCAGAACAAATGGATGTTAGATTTCGTTATACAAGAGCTTTAGATGTGTTAATGTGAAAATGTCGAACACGAGTATATTTGCATGAATGGAAAAATTCAAGTCCTTACTATTCCCTATCCTCAATCCTATATATAATTAATTAAATACATGTTTGTTGTTTGAGAGTGATTGAATTTTTTTCTTCAAGAGCTCAGTGGTTAGCATAGGAATATTTGTAGAATTTGCTTACTTTAAGAAACGTTTCTATGAAGTGAAAAGAAAGGAAACAGGGACAAACACACCATTTTTTTTTTTTTTTTTTTTTTTTTTTTTTTTTCCCTTCACTCCTCCCCCCCTTATGAACACACACATGAAGCAATAAAATGACGATCGATTTGAACATCCCCTATTCAGCATGTGAATTAAAAAGGGTTAAACGACTTGAGTTGGGAGTGTTGGATCCTGAAATAATTAAAAAAATAGGTGTGTGTGAAATTGTAAATGTAGATTTATATAAAGATGGTCTCCCAAGGGAAGGAGGTCTAAACGATATACGGATGGGAACTATTGATTATAAAACATTATGCGGCACATGTAATATGAATGTGAAATATTGCCCAGGTCATTTTGGTTATATAGAATTAGCAAAACCAATGTATCATTATGGATTTATGAATGTTGTTCTTAATGTGTTAAGGTGCGTATGTTATCACTGTGGTAGGTTATTATGTAATATGAATAATTCAAAAGTAAAATATATTGAAAAGATAAAAGTAAATAGTTTGAGATTAAAAAAATTATCAGAAATATGTCAAGGAATAAAAATATGTGACCATTCCACTGCACAAGAAGATGATGCTCTACATCTGAATGATAATGCAGTTGATAGTTTCTACAATAATGATTTAAGCAATTTAAACATGAACCAACAAATGCTTTTAAATACCAATAATTATAGCAACATTTTCGAAATGGTCAATAAGGAAGATGTTGATTGTGGTTGTGTGCAACCAAAATATTCAAGGGAAGGTCCCAATATGTATATTCAATTTATACATAATAGTGAAGAGGATATAGACGAAAGCAAAAGAAAGTTAAGTGCAGAAGAGGCGTTAGAAATTTTAAAGAAAATTCGAAAGGAAGAAATGGCAATTCTTGGATTTAATTCAGATAGATGTGTGCCATCATCATTAATTTTAACCTATATTGCCATTCCTCCTCCTTGTGCAAGACCCTATGTGCAGTATGGAAATCAAAGAAGTGAAGATGATTTAACGTTAAAATTGTTAGATATAGTCAAAACGAATATACAGTTGAAAAGGCAAACAGATAGAGGTGCCAAATCGCATGTTCTGCAAGATCTATGTTCCCTTTTACAGTTTCATATTACAACTCTTTTTGATAATGATATTCCTGGTATGCCAATTGCAACTACGAGATCTAAAAAGCCAATTAAAGCTATTCGTACAAGACTGAAAGGTAAAGAAGGAAGACTCAGAGGAAATTTAATGGGTAAACGTGTGGATTTCTCAGCTAGAACAGTAATTACTGGAGACCCCAATTTAAATATTGATTACATTGGTGTACCCAAATCAGTCGCTATGACATTAACATTTTGCGAAACAGTAACACCATTAAATTATGATAATTTAAAAAAATTAGTTGAAAGAGGACCATATGAATGGCCAGGGGCCAAATATATCATTAGGGACAATGGAACAAAATACGATTTGAGGCATGTAAGAAAAAATTCAGAGAGAGAACTAGAATATGGATATAAAGTAGAAAGGCACATGACAGACGAGGATTATATATTATTCAATCGACAACCATCTCTTCACAAAATGAGTATTATGGGACATAAGGCTAAAATATTGCCATATTCAACTTTTAGATTAAATTTAGCTGTTACTTCTCCATATAATGCCGATTTTGATGGGGACGAAATGAATTTACATCTGGCACAATCACATGAAACACGATCAGAAATAAAACATCTGATGATTGTACAGAAGCAGATAGTATCACCACAGGGAAATAAACCAGTTATGGGGATAGTACAGGATTCTCTTTTAGCTATAAGAAAGTTCACGAGGAGAGATAATTTTTTAACAAAGGAAGAAGTAATGTCTCTTCTTATTTGGATTCCTTACTGGAATCATGTAATTCCGACACCTGCCATTATAAAACCAAAGGCATTATGGACAGGGAAACAAATTTTCTCCATGTTATTACAATTTGAAGATTTGGAAAAATTGAACGATCCGTTAAATAGTGGAAAAGTGGGAGTTGGGGATACCAACCTGAGAATAGATAATGAATTAGGAAGAGGAGCAGGAGCAGGTGGAAGCAGCACAGCACAACAGAAGATGATGGGCAGCACGCTCCTCCAACCTCATAGCCCATTAGCAATCGGAGATGTCATGAACATCAATACAAAGAACCAACTAAATAACAACGAAATGAATGGTACAAATAATCCAGATGATGGTGCCTTCAAAGGTGTAAGAGAAAGTTTGTATAGGAATGTAAAAATTAATTTAATGAGAGATTCATCAACCTCTTGTAAGGATGATAATCCATATTGTTCCATAAATGATGGGAAAGTTATTATAAAAAATAATGAATTGCTATGTGGAATTATATGTAAACGTACTGTAGGTTCATCTAGCGGTTCTTTGATTCACATTTTATGGCACGAAATGGGTCCGGATAAAACAAAAGATTTTATATCAGCATTACAAAAAGTTACAAATAATTGGCTTGAATATATTGGATTCACTGTAAGCTGTTCGGACATTATAGCCAGTAACAAAGTTCTAGATAAGGTAAAAGATATACTGAATAAATCTAAAAGAGAAGTAGCAAAAATTGTGAAAAAAGCACAAAGAGGAGAATTAGAATGTCAACCAGGAAAATCACTCTATGAATCTTTTGAAACGAGAGTAAATAATGAATTAAATTGTGCAAGAGAAATGGCAGGAAAAGTTGCATCAGAAAGTTTAGATGAAAGAAACAATATTTTTAGTATGGTTGCTAGTGGCTCGAAAGGGTCTATTATAAATATATCACAAATTATATCATGTGTAGGGCAACAAAATGTAGAAGGAAAACGAATTCCATTTGGATTTAACCATAGATCTTTACCTCATTTTATCAAATTTGATTATGGGCCTGAAAGTAGAGGGTTTGTTTCAAATTCATATTTAAGTGGTCTTACACCACAAGAAGTTTTTTTTCATGCCATGGGAGGAAGAGAAGGTATTATAGATACAGCTTGTAAAACATCCGAAACTGGGTATATACAAAGAAGATTAATTAAAGCTATGGAAGATGTTATGGTTCAGTATGACAGAACTGTTAGAAATTCATATGGAGATATTATTCAATTCTTATATGGAGAAGATGGTATGGCAGGAGAATATATAGAAGATCAAATCATTGATCTTATGAGATTAGACAATAAAGAAATTAGAAAATTATACAAGTACAATTTTGATAATGATGATGATGAAGAGGACGACAATGATGGTGAAAATAATTATCAAAAAAATTTCTATCTAACAAAAGCAGAAGAAAGAAAAAATTCATACGTAGATTACAGCAAACAAAGCATACTAAATCAAGAGTTTGAAGAATTATTAAAATGTAAAAATAATATATGTACAGAAATATTCACTGATGGAGATACTAGACAACACTTACCTATCAACATGAACAGATTAATTGAATTTGCCAAGTCACAGTTCCCATTTGTTCCTCATCTTATGAACAAATCGAAAAATCAGAATACTGATCAGATCAGGCCTAATATCAATTTGCCCGATGGGAGAAAGAAGAAAAGAAAAAAAAAAAAAAAAAAAAAAAAAAAAAAAAAAAAAAAGGAATCCAAGCAAATCCTTGAAGGAAGCAATGTGAATGATGATCCGAAGGACCAAATGAAAAATAATGATTTATTGTCAGAGATTAAGAAGGAGTATGAAAACAATGATCTCACAAGTGTTATGAAAAATCAGAACGCGTATAGCGGATTCGAACCATTTGATGAGGATCTCGGAGCGGAAGAACGTAGAACATATAGTGGAGAAAAAGGATGTAGTGATGAGAGTGGTGATGAGAGTGACGATGAGAGTGGAGATGAGAGTGTTGACGAGAGTGGTGACGAGAGTGACGATGAGAGTGTGCGAGAAAGCGACTATAACTATTATTACAGCGAAAACGGATCCATGATGAATCCCATAGATATTATTCACAAAGTGAATAACTTTTTGGAAAAACTGGTTATCATAAAGCAGATAAACAGTAGTGATACCCTGTCGCTGGAGGCACAAAATAACGCGACTGTGTTGCTGAAGGCACATTTAAAAACGTATCTAAATTCTAAGTTACTGATACAGACGCATAAAATAAGCATGAAGGGAATCGATTGGTTGTTGCAAGAAATTGAAAAGATTTTCTATAAATCACTTTGTCATCCTGGGGAATGTGTTGGTGCATTAGCAGCTCAGTCTATTGGAGAACCTGCAACTCAGATGACATTGAACACTTTTCATTTTGCTGGAGTGGGTTCAAAAAATGTAACTTTAGGGGTTCCAAGATTGAAAGAATTAATTAATATTGTAAAAAATGTGAAAACTCCTTCAACCACTATTTATTTAGATGACATGGTATCGAATGATCAACAAAAAGCTAAGGACATTTTAACAAAATTGGAATACACAACATTGAAACAGCTAACTTCACATGCACAAATTATATATGATCCAAATACAAGTAGCACTGTGTTAGAAGAAGATAAATTATGGGTAAATGAATTTTATGAATTCCCAGATGAAGATGATACTCAGTTTACTTTGGGAGAATGGGTTCTAAGGATTCAGCTAACCAATATACATGTAAATGAGAAAAAACTAACCATGAAAGAAATTGTATATATAATTTATTCAGTCTTCTCTAGTGATGAATTAGACATTATATATACTGATGATAACTCTGAAGATTTAATTCTAAGAATTAGGGTTAAATATCTAAATGGAGAATACAACTTTTTGAATGAAGATGGGGATAATGCAAATGAAGGGGAGTATGAAGATGAGGAGGAGGAGGAAGAAGAAGATGGAGAAGAAGAAGAAAATGGCAGGCAAGATGAGAAGAAATACAACAAAAATGCTGATACGTTTAAGACCAAAAAGAACATCACAACTAATGAGAAGGAGGAAGAGGAAGATGATGATGCTGTGGTTATTGCACAGAAGAATAATCATGATGGAGAGGATGATAACCAAAGCGTAAGTAGCAATAATTCACAACAGCATAGCATAAAAAGTGAAAATCGATTCGGAGATGGAAACGGTAGTAGTAGTAGTAGCTATAATAGTGATGAAAACAGTGATATAAATCTAGAATTAAGTCACGAAAAAGGGGTAAATGATAAAAGAAAAAAAAAAAATAAGAATATAATGAGTGGAGAGAAGCCCAAGAAGCTGAAGGAAGAAAACCTGGATCGAAATGCAGATCGATCAGAAAAATATGTAGAATATTATGAAGAAGCAGATTTGTTTCTAAAAAGTGAAGGTAGAAAAGCAGACGTTTCAAATGGAAAAGGATTGATGAATCCAGATGACATGCTTGGAAAATCCAATTCGAAATATATGGAAGAAGACGAAAATATGAAGGGAAAAAGTAGCGCTAGTGCTAGCAATTCAGCAGGGGAAACAGGAAATGGAAATGCTACTTTCGAGAATAACGGTGGGAGTAGTGGCACTGGAAATGGCAATAACAACAATGGCAATATGAACGAGGTAAATTTAAACAGCATTCGTAATATGAACAATCTGAATAATCAGTTTAGTATGAAGGAAGACACGGAGGATACGTTTTTAAAAAAATTAATGGAACAGTGCTTATCCACATTAAAATTAAGAGGAATCGAAAATATTACAAAGGTGTATATGAGAGAAGAATCTAAAATTACGTACGATTCAGAGAATGGAAAATTTGTAAGAAGTTCTCATTGGGTGTTAGACACAGATGGATGTAATTTAGAAAACATATTTTGTGCATCGCATGTTGATTATAAAAAAACAGTGTCAAATGATATAGTAGAAATATTTGAAGTACTAGGTATAGAAGCAGTGAGAAGAGCTTTGTTGAAAGAATTAAGAACAGTTATTTCTTTTGACAGTTCATATGTGAATTATAGACATTTGTCTATTCTTTGTGATGTAATGACACAGAGAGGATATTTAATGTCTATAACGAGACATGGTATAAATAGAGTTGACAAAGGTCCCTTAGTAAAATGTAGTTTTGAAGAAACAGTAGAAATTCTCCTAGAAGCAGCAGCATTTGCACAAGTTGACAATCTGAAAGGAATAACAGAAAATATTATGCTTGGTCAGCTATGTAAAATTGGAACTGGTGTTTTTGATATAATAATAGATAACCAGAAATTAAATGATGCAAATCAAAATTTAGAAACTATACAAGATATAACAAGTGCTGGATTTACAACACCAGATAGTCACCATGGAATCACTCCAGATGGGCTTCAATCCCCAGTAGCTATAAATACATTAAATTCCCCTTTACCATTTTCACCAACGTATAATGCAAACTTATTATCTCCAACAGCACCAATTGATAGTGTCAATTGTATATTATCACCACAATGTATACAAAATTATAGTGAAAATAATAATCCAGATAATATTATGTCTCCATCGAAAAACGATTTCAACAATTTAGATACATTAAAATTAGGAGGGAAATTTTCACCTACGCAATCCCCAAAATCTCCCACATCTGTTATGCACTCTCCTTTCTCTCCATTTGATAGTCATAATCAACAAACAATCGATCCAAGTTTATTATTTTCACCCAAACATAATAATAATAGCAACATCATGATGAATTATAATGTTTTTTCACCCAAGGCAAATATGAACAATATACAATCTCCAGCTATGATGTATTCTCCAAATCCTGCATTAGATATATTTTCTCCAAAACAACAGATGCAAAATCATATTTATTCTCCGTCGTATTCCCCAACATCTCCAACATATAACCCAACTAACAACACGGGTTCTGTTAATGTTAACATAGCTAGCAGTACAGGGATAAACAATAGTATTAATTCTCCCTATTATTCTCCAACGTCTCCAAATACACATCTAAACGATATGAACCCAAATATGATGAAGTATCATAATGTTATGTCACCTGCTTATTCGGTTGCTTCTCCCAAGTATTCTCCAACATCTCCAAAGTACTCTCCAACATCTCCAAAGTACTCTCCAACATCTCCAAAGTATTCTCCAACATCTCCCAAGTATTCTCCAACATCTCCAAAGTACTCTCCAACATCTCCAAAGTATTCTCCAACATCTCCCAAGTATTCTCCAACATCTCCAAAGTACTCTCCAACGTCACCAGTTCCTAACAATCCTAGTAGTCCACACTATTCACCATATGCCATAGCATCTCCCAAGTTTTCTCCAACATCCCCTGCATATTCAGTTACCTCTCCTGTGTATGATCGAGATGGTAATGTCAGAAATAAGACCCAGCAACAGCAGAACCCCTTGTCCCCTGCCTATATACTGCAATCGCCTGTACAGGTAAAACAGCACATACAAGATGTTAATGTTTTTTCACCCATTCAACAAGGGAATTACAAGGAGGAGCAGAACGATGATCCATTTTCTCCCATACCGTACAACATGGAGGAGGATGAAATGCAGCAGTGAGGTGGTAGAAGTGGTTGAAGTGGAAGAGGTGGTTGAAGTGGAAGAGGTGGTTGAAGTGGAAGAGGTGGTTGAAGTGGAAGAGGTGGTTGAAGTGGAAGAGGTGGTTGAAGTGGAAGAGGTGGTTGAAGTGGAAGAGGTGGTTGAAGTGGAAGAGGTGGTTGAAGTGGAAGAGGTGGTTGAAGTGGAAGAGGTGGTTGAAGTGGAAGAAGCTGCTCAATTCCCATAGTGACTGAACTTATCATGCACCAATTTTTTACATGCACTGTTTGTTTGAGATCAATATGTACCACGATCGAAATGTGATTTTTTTTTTTTTCCGTGAACCCTATTTGTATATCCTTCCTTTTTTTTTTTTTTTTTTTTTTTTTTTTTTTTTTTTTTTTTTTTTTTTTTTTTTTTTTTTTTTTTTTTTTTTTTTTTTTTTTTTTTTTTTTTTTTTTTTTTTTTGTTATAGTTGTTACTAATGCTATTGACACAGTGCATGTAACATGAGACGTGTAAACGAACCCCTCAATAGGTGCATATAGTAATTAAAACTTGTAACGGCTTTTATGAACGAACCGCAGGGTTTGTGCTACCATCCCAGCTCATTTATCACGAAAAAGGTTTTTTATCTATATATCTTTCGTTTCGTTTCTTTCCATTTCGTTTCGTTTCTTTCCATTTCGTTTCGTTTCTTTCCATTTCGTTTCGTTTCTTTCCATTTCGTTTCGTTTCTTTCCATTTCGTTTCGTTTCTTTCCATTTCGTTTCGTTTCTTTCCATTTCGTTTCGTTTCTTTCCATTTCGTTTCGTTTCTTTCCATTTCGTTTCGTTTCTTTCCATTTCGTTTTGTTTCATTTTTTTTCATTTTTTTTTTTCCGTTTTGTGTTTATATTACATTTATATTGTAACTCGGTTCATAATATCCATGCTTAAGATTGTGCCAGACAAGCACACCCATATTTTTACCTATCAAATCATGCATTGGAGGAGGAAGGCAATTTGATCCCTATTCTAATCGACTGTAAAAATTAAAAGATGTTTACAGCGAAAATCCCAGAAGTATGTTAATCAAAAGTTACATTTGCAACGTGGAGTAAAAAATCAACGAAAAAAAAAAAAAAAAATTACGCGCGCGTGGGGAGAAGCGTGACTTTATAGAAACGTAAGTGTATATATATAGCACTAAAGTATGGGTACAAATGGCATTTGGAGATATAAAAAAATAATAATAGTAAATAAATAGATTTACAAAATAAATAAAAAAAAAAAAAATTTCAACTAAGGGAGCTACTACTATAACTATCGGATATGGCCATCTCTCGTTTAAAATGAGTTCCATTTGTGGGGGAGGGATGCGTAAAAAATAGAAAAGGAAAAAACAACAGCACAGTTGTAAAAAAAATAACGGCAAAAAAAAAAAAAAATCATACAACAAGCGAGACAATGTGTATGCTTTATGTGATGGAAAATACATACTTCCGTCGAAACTAGTTCGTTAATATAATATTACCACTTTTATATACATTTTTTTTTTTTTTCTTTTCAGAAAATGCATAAAAGTGGCCCTCTCCTTTCGCTTTCGAACAAAATTAGGCAAACAAATTTAAGAGTGAAGACATGGCACCTCCCCCGCTCTCCTCTCCTCACTGCGTCCCTAACACGTGCTGTGTGACATAATATTTTTCCTCATTTCAACAATTTTCATTTTTCAAACAAATAATAATATATATATGACTGTCAAAGATATCGAACATATTATATTGCGGAAGAATTATATTTAAAAAATCATTTCTTATGTCACTAATAACATCTTTGATATCATTCGCAGACCGCTGATATATATTTCCCTTATGATAAACAGTCTCTCTACCATTATTCGAAATGATATATGCATTTATATGAGACATTGGAGATATTCTGTATAGCATTTCCATTTTCAATCTCTTCTTAATTGAACTTGTTTCATCAGACGTTTCTATAATTATATAAGCACTTTCGTTTTTAATTTTATATTCCTTCAAAGTGATTAATGTTTCAAGAAAAAAGGACCTACTCGAATAAATTATCTGTTTCGTGTTCAAATCTCTCAACACTTCAATTTTAATTATTGTTCTGCAATTAAAAAATAAATTTGTGTATGGTAAATTGGGCAATTTTTTCTTTCCATAAAAAATGTATAGTTTTAAAAATTCGTTCTCTTCCACTATAACAGATAATTTTTTTTTTATGAGGATTTCAAAAAAGTTAATAAATTTTATTTCTTCTTCTACATGTTGTTGAAACAATTTCATATATTTTTGGTTATGTTTTTTTATAAACCCCATTTCATTCGATATTTCATCATGTCCATGGATTCCTATTTGCTCCTGCGATTTATTATCTGATCCAGATCTAGACCCAGATTCAGACCCAGATTCAGACCCAGATTCAGACCCAGATTCAGACCCAGATTCCACCTTCTCATCCTTTTTCTTTTCTTCCATTTCACAATCAATTTCGCCCTCATCACATGTATCGACATCCTCTTCCTCATCAAGATCATAATTAATGTCACTTTTTTTATTCCTCTTGACATTCTTTCGAATGTATGTACTTCCCAAGGCATACAAAGAATCACAATACTTAAACGTTTTGTATGTCTTCATAATTTCAGGTAGCATTCCTAAGTAATTAATGGATATGTTACTTCTACTCCTAAGATATGGATACTTATTTTCCATATCCGGAAAATTTGCACTGTTCAAATAACTTTCAAATATATGGGACACCAGAGAATAATATTGTTCTTTTTTCACAACTTTGTACGATTCATCGTAGGACAAGTAATATGTGTTAAGGTAATCATCCACATTATTCATGTTGATAAAATTTCTTTCTTTGTATGTGCTACATGAGAAATTTCCCACTTGTATAGAGCACCTTTCGTTATTCAAAAATATATTATTTTTCTCAGCCGGGCAAGTGTTTGTTGAAATGTTCTTCTGCAGAGTGTTTCCACTGCTGCTACTTCCATCACTAACATCACTGCCATCACTTCCATCATTTCCATCATTTCCATCACTTCGATTCAACGGGGCGTTATTACAAAGGTTCAAATCCGAAGTAGGAGATGAAACGCCATTCTTCACGTTCCACTCTTTTACATAATTCTCAGATTTTTTCTCTTCTTTTTTTTTCCTTCTGTTCAATAACTCGCTTTGATTAACTTGAAAAAAATTCTTTAACTCATTTTTAATCCCTAGGTGACATTTCAAGATGAAAGTGTTTTTGTTTACATCATCTAACGAATTCAATATATTACTCCTGCAGTTCTTATTTCCATTGCACAAAATCTTGAAAATTTCTTCATATGTATAAAATGACATAAATTTTTTTTTATAATATTCATTTCTAGAGTCAAAGAAGATGTTTTTTTTCATAATGTAGTAGGGCGAATCATGGGAATGCTTCGAGGGATCCATGCTACTGCTGCTACTGCTGCTACTACTGCCCAGGTTGTCACTTTTCATTTCCCTCTTTTTGGAATACATAACATCGTCCCCCTCCCCCTCACCACTCCTGTCATGGGCTGACTCGCTATTGCCATTTGTTAATATTTTGTAATACTCTTCAGTAAATATAGTATTTTCATAATTTTCCACATTTTTTTTCCTCAGATAAGCTAGTATGTCTTGTATTTTCTTATCCTTAATTTTGTTGACATCTTCATTTAAAAAAAATTCCTTAATGTCAGCTTGCATATCTAAATATAGGTTACTCGAAAGTACATTATATTTGGCAGTGTAGTTATCTATGCATATCAACACATTGTTAAAATCATTTTTTTTTTTTCCTTTTTTTTTTGCTAACATTTCCACATTTTTTATTATAACATCGATCATGTGAAGATCCACAATTACATAATAATTCAGGTATGATAATTCATATTCCTTTATTTGTGGATCCTTCAAATATATATATATGTTCATAATTTTCTCATCTTTTTTTTCTCTTATATAGTTGTACAAAAAATTGAGGTAAAAAAAATTACTTTTAAAAAATGAATTATTTTCATAATTCAATACATTTATTCTTTTTTCATTTGTTAGAAAATCATTTATTACGTAACTCCAAAATGTATCCAAGTTGCTCTTTCCATATAAATAATCTCTAGCCGATCTTTCAAATGTACTTATATTTTCCTCATTTATCTTTTTTATTCTTTCTGATTTGTCTTTTATCACTTGACTGAATTCTTGTTCCATATTAAGCATTTTATTTTTCAGTGTGTCCAGGTGCTTGTTCAATTCCCACAAATGAGTTCGTCTTTCTTTGTCCAGTTTCTGTGACAGGAGAAGTGGAGAAGTGGAGAAGTGGAGAAGTGAAGAAGTGAAGAAGTGGAGAAGTGAAGAAGTGGAGAAGTGGAGAAATGTAGAAGTGGAGAAGTGGAGAAGTGAAGAAGTGTAGAAATGTAGAAATGTAGAAGTGGAGAAGTGGAGAAGTGTAGAAGTGGAGACGTGGAGAAATGGAAAAGTAGGGAAAATGAGGCGAAAACGAGACCAAGCTGATCAATTATGTCACTAATCGTATGAAGAATGGTTAGATTCACAGCATGGCAAAAACGGATCTCACACGAAGACCACTCCTTACATGAGCATCACTCCTTACACGAACCTTTTTGTTCAAATCACTAAGCAAATCAATCTTGGATAGAAGGTTCTTATACACAAAATTGACATAGTATATATTATCCCTTTGGATGTTATTTATAGTGTGATTAAACACTTTTAATTTTGCATTTTTCAAATTGTCCAGATATTTAGAATATCTACGTAATTTATTTTCATTATATGAATAAATTTGATTCAAAATATTTTCATTATGTTCATACGACTCGTACAAACTTGCATCATGTTGTACTAAATGTTCAAATTTGTTCTGTAATTCCTTTTTAAAATCGATAATATAATTGTTCATGTCTTCCAGGTAGTGAACAACATCTAGTATATTCTCGACTAACGAATCCACATTGCTTGTTAGACCAGATGCATCTCCATTCTGTTCAATGTTAGATGTAGGGGGAGTTGGAATCGAGGTGTCTGAAATAGGGGAGGGGAAAAGAGATGCACATGTGTATATAAGTACATGTGTATATAAGTACATGTGTATATAAGTACATGTGTACATAAGTACATGTATATATATAAGTACATGTGTACATAAGTACATGTATATATATAAGTGACTCTTCACATATGGATGACTTCACAAGACATGCGTGGTTAAGCATCCCTCGTAGATATTTCAAACCGAGGTACGTCTTACGAAATCTCTCATTTCTTCTTTTCTTTTTCTTTTCCTTTTTTATTTTGTCCCTTTTTTCTAACTGTTGCAGTGACAAGGCAGAGGGCCCCTCCTGAAGCATACAAATATTAAGCAATACACAAGTATGTTGATAATCCTCAGATGTATAAAATTCATCATAACTGTAACTGTGCGTTCGTGGGTTTAAAAAGGATTGCTCCTTTTTGCAAGAAGAAAATTTTGCTTCGTTCTTGATGTGGTTACTATCACGCCGCTATTACTTTGCTATTATGTTGTTACTACTTTGCTTTATGTTGCTGTTTCCATTTCTTATTTTTTGCTTTCCACGCAATTCTGCTGTACGTGCATTTCCTCTTTTTTCTTTCGCTTCACAAAGCGCTTTGCTATTATTAAATGGCATATTTGTGAAGTCTCGTATATGTGTGAAAAAAAATGTAACTAGCTATTTCCAGGCACGGTTGTTGTAGAGTCATAATATTTTGTTCACCAAAGAGGTTATGGAAAAAAAAAAAAAAAAAGAAAAAAAAAAAAAGGCAAAGATAGGGAGATGGCAAACGGGCAAAAATGGGGAAAAGGCAAAAGGGCAAAAATGGGGAAAAAGCAAAAGGGCAAAAATGGGGAAAAAGCAAAAGGGCAAAAATGGGGAAAAGGCAAAAGGATCAAAATGAGGAGATGGCAAAAAGGACAATTTACTGAAATGGAAAAACGTTAAAAATTATGAGGTTCCAAATAAGGAAACAAGAATGCAATTATAAAATGTGCTTTATCGTTTCTACACTTGACTCAATTCTCTTCAGAAGATTATCTGCAAAGTTGAAAGCAAAAAAACAAGTCAAGAGGTTACTTGGTGTGTATTTTTTGTGAGGTACAACCCATACCAATGTATCACTAGGGTGGTTGCATTTACGATTCAATCGGATTCGATTCAAATGTGAGAGTGGTGAATAAATGAGATGAAAGATATCCCCAAATCTTGGAGAATATACCATAAAATCGTTACATAAAAATACTGCGGAAGGGGATGGTGGTGGATAAGGTCACAGCCACTATCCAAATGAGTCAAAAAAAAAAGAAAAAGAAAAAGAAAAAGAAAAAACAGAAACAGAAACAGAAACAGAAACAGAAAGAAAAAAACAAAATATGACGCCAAATGAATGTATTACTATGTATATAAGTGCAACTGCTTATGCTTGCCTAACATTTTTTTTTTTTATGTTCTTTATTTTTTCTGCTCTTTTTTTTTTTTTTCTTTTTTAATGATACACGTGAATATGATGTATGTGGGTCTTTTTCGCGGAACCGATGCACAGGCACAAAACATGAAAAAAAATGCTTCACTTGGAAATTGAAAATGAAACAATTGTGCACTTTATGCTGTTGCGAAAATGCAATTTTTTATTAAGTTCCCTTTTCAAGAACTTCACGCGGGAAATACCATGTAGAAAAGTGGAAAAGTAAAAAACTCACAAAATTGCAAAGTTACAAAATTGCAAGGTTACAAAATTGCAAAGTTACAAAATTGCAAGGTTACAAAATTGCATGGTTACAAAATTGCATGGTTACAAAATTGCAAGGTTACAAAATTGCAAGGATACAAAATTGCATGGTTACAAAATTGCAAAGTTCGCAATTTTTTGAAAACACACAACTGCTTAACCAATAAAACAGGTGGAAAAAAAAAAAAAAAAAAAAAAAAAAAAAAAAAAAAGGAAAAACAAAATAAAAATAAATAAACAATTTTCTGAAGTTTCCTTTAGTGTAGCATAAAAGTATAAAATATAATTCTCATAGTGGACTAGGAAGAAAGAGACGTCGTTCAAGAGTTGAACAATGTAGTACTGTTTCATATGTGAAGAGAAGAACAAAAGTGAGAATTATAAAAGCTTATCCATGGATTGGAATACAAATATATAGAATGGAAAAACTTGTAAAGAGGAAGGTGTATATTTCACATAAATGTGAAATAAAGTATTCACAAGGGTGTTTGAGTACACATGTGAAAATTGCAAAAAAAAAAAAAAAAAAAAAAAAAAAATGGTTTATATAGGATCAATCTCTCTCTCATAAACTCATCTGGTATGAGGGGGAGGAGAGACGGGCAAGATATACCTGTGTTGCTGAGTAATTTACTTTGGATGTGCATATATTTCTGCTTTGCTATTTTTTTGTCCTTTTCACTATTCTCCTCGTTAAGGTTTAAATTCGATTGCACCTTTTTTTGTAAAATTCTGGGATTGTGAACGATAACGGATATGAATAAGTATATTATTATTTTAAATATATTTTAAAAAAAAAGAAAAAAAAAAAAATAATGCATAAAGAGTGATAGGAAAATGAAAGGAAAACCTTTTTTTTTTCTTCTTTTTTATTTCTCTTTTTTATTTCTCCTTTTTTTTCTCCTTTTTTTTCTCCTTTTTTATTTCTCTTTTTTTTTCTCCTTTTTTATTTCTCTTTTTTATTTCTCCTTTTTTTTTCCCCTCTTTTTTTTTGCGCCTTACCGTTCATTTCTCTCACTTATTCTTTGCAAAGATTCCTCAGACAAGATACTTTTTTGCTGCTTTTCTATTTTCTGCTAATAAAAAAAATGAGGAAAATTATTATTATGTATTAGTGGAGCATATATTATATTTGTAATGATGGTACTTCATCATGAGTTCTTTTTTTTTTTTTTTTTTTTCTTTTGCGCGTTACATTTTTCTTTATTTCTTCCTTTTTGCTGATCAGCTGCTCCTGTATCATCTTTTTCTTCTTTTTGATGCTACGAAATGGGAACAGATGAAATAAAATGTTCAAACAAAAAGGTGAAAACAGGAAAACGAAATAAATTCCAAGTACGTATACTTGACATGGTTAAAACAAGAGTATTATGTATCATGTATTCCCTTGTCGTTTTCTCCACAATTTTTTTTTTTTTTTTTTTTTTTTTTCTCCTTGTAATTACTTCTCTCGCATTGTTTTGTTCATCTTCATTTCCTCCTTTTTCATTTCCTCTAGTTCCTTCATTTTTATCACTGAATCTTGTCCTGTGTTGTAACAAATGAGTATTCGAAAATGTTAAGGGGGAAGGCACATTTGTTGGTACCGTGGCTACAGTTATGCTCATTCTTATACTTGCCATTGTTATTGCGATCGTTGGGGACGTGAGTGTGAAGGTGAAATAACAAGTGTTCATGTCATATTTTGTTCATCGCGTGTTTGCCCATTGGTTAATCTCGTTTCTCTTGTGCATCACTCCATTATACAGTCCTCTACTCTTTTGTCTAATTTTTTTCCCCTATTTTCTGTCTAATTTTTTTCCCTATTTTTGTCCTCTTTTTCTTACTCTTTTTCTCTCGCCATTTCTGTATCATATGCTTTTTCTCCTCAACTTTGGAATCGTTTTTCTTCTGCTCCTATGATTACATTTCGAATCCGAATTTGTACGTTAAGAAAAAGGTCATGTAAGGAAGAGAACACCATAGAAAAGAAGTTGACAAAATTGAAAATTAGAAAAAGATAAAAGAAAAAGGAAAACATTGTAAAGCATGATAAAACTAAAAGGGTGAACACATAAGTGATCCCTTTATTTATTTTTTTTTTTTTCTTTCTCCATCCGGGTGCTTACATTTAAGTTAATGATATTAATGCTGTTAAGATATTTGTTCCTCAAGTTGTTATATGTGACGAATTTCTCGTACCAACCAATGTGTTTGTAAATTTCTTCTTCCTGTTTGTTTATGCAGTTCTTCAACATCCCCACAATGAACTAGGAAAAATAAAATAAATGGATTCACAAATATGTGGGTTGGAAAATAAATGGATTGACAAATAAGTGAATGGATGAATAATAGGTGCGCGCGTCCGAATTGGTCCCCAGTGTGTACACCTTTATTCGCATGACATGCACATGCAATTATTCAGTTTCTGTGCAAAAAGAAGCAGATAAGAATTCCAAATGCTCATATTTCAGTCTACCTCATGTCCAAAATTTGCATTATTTTCATATATCTTCATAAAGTAATTATGTTCATCGTCTTTCCATGTTCCCTACACGATGGTAATGAACATGTGTGTGTTTCTATGCTTTTAAAAATATATACACACACTCATATGTATGTATATATATATATATATATAGTTATATATCCTTTTGTATGCAGGTATGAATACACATGGTCGAATAAAATGACGCCTTTTCTTCTTCCTTCTCCTTTTTGTTGTACTGTTTTCCCGCCTATGTCTTTAATCTGTGCATTAACTTCAAGCAACTTTTGTATTGTACTATCAAGAGCCTTATCTTTTGAAAAAAAAAAAAAAAATGCACAAAAATTAGTAATCGTAAGTCCATTTTGTGTTGCATCAAGAATGTTCTACAACCCCTAAATGTGCATTTTTTTCCATTTTTTTTTCCTTTTTTTTTCCAATCACTGTACCAGGGTTAGTCGATTCGTAACATTTCTCTAGGTACTTCACAATATTTTCGTTAGCTGATATGTCATGTTTCATTACGGTTAAATAGAGAATTCCGTTTAGGTAGCTCTTAGAAAAAGTATAAAAAAAAAAAAAAAAAAAAAAAAAAAAAAACAAATTAGACAAAAAAAATTAACAAATGGAATTAACAAAAAAAGGGGGAAAATAAAATAAAAAAAATGCTACGAAAAGGCTTATTTCAAAATGTGCCGTATGCTACACCTCTTCTAAACACTTCTCTTTAAAATCTTCGAAAATATTTTTTGACAAAATTAGGTATTCCTTTTCATTTAATTCAGAAACTGCATTTTTTGTAAAAAGGAGGAACTAATGGAAATCGCAAAATCAAATGAAATACAAAATATTTGCAAAGTGTGACAAATAAATTCTTAGCATTCTTTGTCTTATTGCACTTCCAAATATTACCGTGAGCTCCTATGTTCTTTTTGAACTCCGAAACGGTCTTTTGTAAAATAGACAACCACTGGTTTGAAGGATAAGCAAATGTAGCAAGTGTATATACAATTCGGTCTGTGTATGGAGACACAAAACTGTATTAAAAATGTAATATGGTGGATAATGAAAACAAATTAAATGATATATTTTTTTTTTTTTTTTTTTAAAACCTCCTTATATTCGTTATCTAAGAAGTCTTTGTGTTGTTTAATATTTCGTCTCTGTGCAGGGGGGGGGGGGGTTAGGGTAATATGCAAATTGGTGTATATATTTTAATTGCGAAGTTTTTACTTCCTTTTTTTTTTTTTTTTTTTTTTCTTATTTATCATTTTTTCTTAATATAACTGTTATTTGATCAATGTGTTCACTGTTTATGGTCTTATTCAATTCCTTATCTAATTTGCGAAATCTGATTGATAAATAAAAAAGGGATGAGTTAATTCTTATATTAGGTTAGTAGCAATCATGTAGAGATGGGTACAAGAACTTAGTGCCTGAAGCAGAGCTGAAGATTTTTCTTAAAAGTGAAATAAAGCAATATAAATGGATAAAAATATGGAAAACAAAATATGCCTAACTGCACATATGCATGTTTAGAATGATGTTCTCAAATTTTCAGTATACGATGATGTTAAGTGTCTATATTTTGATTTCCATTCATTTATGTCTAAGAGAAATGAAAAAAAAATAAAAAAGGAAAATGTGTGTGTGTGTGGGTGGGGGGGGGATAGAGGAAGAAAAAATATGATATCGTGTGCATGTGAATTTTAATTTTTTTTTTTTTTTTTTTTTTACACGAAATTTGTATCATTATAGGAACCATTTTTTCCACAGGTTCATAAATGAGTGTTGTTTTTTACTCATTTATTTTTATTCATTTTTTAATATATCCTTTTTTATTTTTCCCCATGTAGATGGGTCATGATTTACATGCTCAATAGGAATTTTTTCTGTGACAATTTCTCACTTACCCTTAATTTCGGAATTAAACATTACATCTTTTTTTTCATTCATGTGTACATATTCAATGTTAAGAATACTTTCCTTTGTGTAAACCGGGACTACATCTCCTTCTTCACCTGACATGTGCAGGTTGTTCACGTCTGGGTTGTAGTATGCGCTTGGGGTTACTTTTTTCTGTGTTCCTGCATTGAATCAATTTGTTTTTTCGAAGGTTGATGATGTGGCTCATGTTTGTCTATTTATTCCTATGTACTTCATATATATATATATATATATATATACATAAATAAATACATGCATGCATGTGTGTTGTCCCTATTTTCTTGCTCTGCTTACCGCTGCTACATTCCGCTTCAACCCCTTCTTCTACACGAAGCAATTCCTTGTCGTCCACATCCGAATGACCAGCATATGCATCATCTGGTGGTGTACTTTCTTCATCCACTGTATCCCATTGGGGAGTGTTGTTATGTGAACCCTATCATGTGAAGGAAATTTTTTCAGATTCACTTCAAATCATGAACGAAATAAAAAAGAAAAAAAAAAAAAAAACTCCTTTTTTAGAAATGTGTTATACGTGGTTGTTAGTGATGACATGCATCATTTTCTTACAGGATTCGAATTAAGGTCATTTTTGTTAGCACTTCCTACTCCAATTTCTTCCATGGAATATTTATCATCTTTATGGCATGGATAGAAGCTGTTATAGTCATTATCCTCTATGCTTCCTAAATTTTCTGCATCTTCATCTGTTAAAATGATGTGATCTTCACTGTCTACATAATTTCCTTCATCTACCTCATCATCAGAAATGTCCTTATTTGATTTACTTTTATCAGAAAAGCTAATTTCCTCATCCATCATACCTGCCCCGACAGTATTCATATACTTGATCATCATTTTCTTTTTCTCATTGTTAGTGTTATGTTTCGATTCATCATTTTCGAAATTATCTTTACAAAAGGAATCATAATTCTCCTTCATGTTTTTTTTTTTTTTTTTTTCTTTTTTTTTATGTGTCCTTTTTCCCCCTTTCACCAAGTATACTACGTTGTTTGTAAATTGATAAGATCAATATGGCATAACCATAAGTGTTGAGATTATGACTAATATAATTTATGTTGTTTTTGTGCATACAGTAGAAATTGCACACCTATACACATACACACACCTTTTACGTCTAATATGTTGACCTAATTCTTGTGCAACCTCTTATTTTTCACAAAAAAAAGGGAAATAATCATTTGTATAGAAATACTTTTACATGTAATTAAATTTGTTTATCTTTATTGTTCCTGATGAAATCGATATGAATACATTGTATTTCACAAAACATGTGTAGACTCTCGTTCTAAGAGAAAATACATAATTTAAAAATTTCCCTTTTTTGTAAGTTTACATATGTTTCTCTTAGAAAAAAAAAAAAAAAAAAAGGATGAAGAGGGAAAGGAGGCACACATATGTATACACTACTCCTCCTAAAATTATGCACATACAAAACGTTTTTTCATCGCAGTAGGAAAAAAAAAAAAAATGTGCTTCATTTATTAATTTCAATAAAATGTTAAATGGAAGCTTATTGCATGTGATATTTTAGAATCGAAGGAAATAAATATTAATATTTTTGCAAATATGTAGAGGCCAATTTTTTTTTTTTTTTTTTTTTTCCATACCTTCAAGGGGTAGACAACTAAACGGAATGGTACCACGAGACAGGGAGGGAGAAGTTATTTTTATTTTATTTTATTTATTTTTTTTTTTTACTCTTTTTTTCCCCTTTTAAATTGAGATAAAGAAAAATGAAGAAGCACGTAAATAGTTCACATTATTTAAATTCTTTTACATTCACGTTTTTGTAATATTGTTCAGTTTTTTCAAAACATTGAATTTATTTTGACGAAGGAGATATGTGAGTTTGTCTGGCCACAAGCCTGTACTGTGTTAATGCCTTTATGCTACGACAAATAGACTGTAGTTCAAATAAGCAAAAAAAATAAGGCAAAAAAGTAAGCCAAAAAAATAAAGCAAAAAAATAAAGCAAAAAAATAAAGCAAAAAAATAAGGCAAAAAAATAAGGCAAAAAAGTAAGGCAAAAAAATAAGGCAAAAAAGTAAGGCAAAAAAATAAAGCAAAAAAATAAAGCAAAAATATAAGGCAAAAAAATAAAGCAAAAATATAAGGCAAAAAAATAAAGCAAAAAAATAAGGCAAAAAAATAAAGCAAAAAAATAAAGCAAGAATAATTGGCTTTTTTTTATTTTCTTTTTTTTTCCTTTTTTTTGTCGCATAAAAAGTGCCCAAAAATATCTGCTAATTTGAACGAAACTTCCTAAATTTTTCAGCAAGAATATATTAATGAGAGAAAAAAGAAAGACATGCTTACATGGCTGTGCATATTTTTCTTATTCATCATTGCATTATATTCGTGAAAGAGAAAAAGAATATGTACAACTGTGTAAACAGACTGCACACATATGTTTATACATTCCTCATAAAATGAAAGTGAATATCAGTTGTGGGAACATCATTCTATTTATATAATGGACACGTGCGTTCAAAAGCAGAACTTAATGTGTATCCATTCTGGTATGCATTAATAGAGATATTTATTCACTCTTTCGCCACTTTATCTTTTCGACGTTTCGCCTTTGCGCTTATTTTTTTTGCAAACCCAGTTAAGTGATCTTTCCTGATTGTCATTTAATTTGGAACAAGAGGTTGAACAAAAGTATGCGTTTATGTTTTGTGAATAGGTCGTTTTTTCACTTTTTTTTTTGATTATTTTTTTTCCTCATGATATATGTTCTTTCCAGCCCTATGCACGTGGCAAAAACGAATGTATGCGCAAAACACATATACTATTGTGCATGTGTAAATGTATCATGATGTTGTCCAAAATTTTGTGATAAAACTGTGGGCGTACTTTTTTAGACTTCAATATTTTTTTCATCAGACTTGCTTTGGGGAAATAGTAAAAAAAAAAAAAAAAAAAAAAAAAAAAAAAAAAAAAAAAGCTATTATTTTTTCATACAAACGGAGGAAAAAAACTGTGACAAAGTTGAAGAAAAATGATAACAAAATGACCGCAAAAATATTGATTAGTTGTTCGAAAAAAATGTGCACAAAAAACATTCGCACAGTAAATACATGGAAAAGCATACACATGGAAAAAAAATTCTTCCGGAAATAAAAAGAAAAAAAGATACATGGAACATGCTTAAATGGAACGCATTTATGTGGAACGTATTTATGAGCTGAGTTCCACCACACCCTCCTCTCTCTGTGAAAAAAACTCAAATGTAACTTTTAAATTGCATAATGTCCATTTCAAATTTTTGAAAATTGAAGATGTGACAATAACAATGGATTTATGTATGCACAAGTAGGACGCAAACAAAATCATGGAAATTTTTTTTTGTGAGGAATAAATTAGCGTGTCATTTTTTTTCTTTGACGAATTTGTTCACGTGCGTTTTTCAGTATTTGCATATGTAAACCTATTTTCCACATCACTGAATTTTCCACATTACAACGCAAAATTAATTCAACGCCTTATTCTTTTTTACTTTGCATATTTGTTGTTTATTTTCCTATCCTACAGCGTGCGTTATGATTAATTTCCTCCTACTCCTTTTTGTGCAACTCCTGCAAAGCATTTACAAAGCGTTTACGAAATGCTTATGAAATGTTTACTAAACGTTGTACATTTTTTTTTTTTTTTTTTACCCACCTTTTGGTCAATTCATCCAGTCTTTTCATTGCCTCCCTCACCCAACCGTCCATTCTTTATTTTATTTTGTTTTATTTTTATGGGTAAAATATCAAAGGACAAACAATTGATGAGCATATATCCCTTTAGTAGGATCATTTTTAAATATTCCAAAATTTTTCACATGCATACGAATTACTCTTCATATGCCTGTAAACCAAATTAGCACGGATAGTACTTCCACAACGACTAGTGCATCACGCACACATACACACAATCATACATACACTAATGCAGATTGGAACACTTTGTGCACATAGAGCAATAAATCCACAAATATTTCTCTTTTGCCCATTGTTGTGCAGGGTTCATGTTGCATATACATGCACATATACACATATACATAAATGTATATATTTTTTTTTTTTTTTGTTTACCTTGTTGCTTGTCCCATTTTTTGTAAGGAACGGAAAAGCTGAATTTTTCCCCTTGAAATTTCTTTTTACACCTGTCCTGCACCAAATAAGAGCGCACACACACATATACACAGTCATGGGGCATAATTGTGAAAGTGATGATATGTGTGTAAGGACATGTCTATATGGATAAATGTATACAGTAAATAATAATCTGTCGAATTAGCGAAATTTTTTTTTTTTTTTTTTTTTTTTTTTTTATGTTCGACAAATTTTGCCAGTTCACGAATTGTATGTCTCTCCTTTACTTCTCCCTCTCCCCTAGTGACATTACTCCAGAATAATGAAAAAAAAGATAAACATTAAAAATTTTGAGTTGGAGGAAATTATTTTCATACTCTTAAACTGCTTAGATAATGAAAAACAATTAAATTGGGAAATAGTGAACACTCTTAAAATATATGTTATGTATCACAAATGTGAAATTTTAAATTACGTATTTTCTTTTTTACAAATACAAAAAGTAAGCCACGAAAATCAGAAATTGTTGCTTTACTTGATATATGACCTTGTACATTATTGTATTTTTAACCAATTTAGTAACACGGTTGATAAATATTTAGATTATATAAAAAGAGATGTAATAAAGAAAGGAGCAAAATTAACAGCACAAAATGGAAAAAATTACAAATTTAAAGATATATACATATTTGATAACATTTTAAAGTATTCTTTTTTTGATGGTGATGAGTACTGTTATCTGTATAAACATCAGTTTTCTCAAGGAAAAAATTGTCAATTGGAACTCAAAAATAGGGTAAATGAAACGGATTCTTGTGATCCCATATGCAGTAGTATTAGGAAAAGAGGTATAGACACAAAGGAGAAAAGAAAAAATAAGAGAAACATCTTCTATGATGATAAAATTTCAACATTAACATGCTTAAAAAAAGAAGAGTATAAAGCCACTGTAATAGAAGAAAAAAACAATTTCAACAAATTCAAAAAGAACAAAAATCAACAAAGTGATAATTGTAACTTCGGAAAAAGTATGTACAACATACAAAACACAGAAAAGATATCTGAAATAAGCAACATCATTAGAAATATAATAAACTTCCTCTTGAACGAAATTCTATACATTAAGCGGAATGATGAACGACACTACATAATGACCAATCTACTAATTCTATGCGTCATTAAGGAAGATGTCTATTTAAAGAAGAAAATAGTAGACAAGCTGAATTACCACCTGAATGCTACCACCTCCAACCCAGAATATGCAAACAGCGCATCAGAATTGGTATTAATCCAGTCCCCAAATGGAATCAATAACCATGTTAAGAATGTCAATACAGGAAGGAGCAGCAACACTGGATGTGGCAACCACACGAGAAGGAGGAGCAACACGAGTTGCATTGGCAGCAGTGGAAACCCAAGCCTGTACACATACCTCGAACTTTACATCGACATATTCACAGAAATACCTCACCTCACTAAAAGCATTCTCCCAGAATTTTTTAAAATCATCCTTTCTTTGGATCATAGCAATAGACATATGGATATGATATATAAAATTTTTTTCAAAATTTTTTATGAAATTCAATTTCCATCAGTTTTGTATACAATAGTCCATATGAACACAAAATATAAAAAAAAAAATTTTATTTCATCAAATAAGCAACACACGAATGTATATATTGAAAATGATGTAATTCATTTGTCTCTCGAAAATACTAGTGAAGATACCTGCACAACGTACACTAGGGAATCATCACTGAATTCGAATATTCTAAGTAAAAATAATGACATCCATGTCTTTAATGATGATATTAAAAAAGTGAAGTTATGTCAAACACAGGATAAGAAAGAAATGATAGGAGCTATGACAGACAAATGTCTACACCAAATTGAAAATAGATCACAGTATGACATTTTCTATGACGCCCAAAATGATATGATCCAATGCAACATGAGTTCTGCATTTCCTGAGAAGAAAAAACTCGAACAGAAGAGAAGTGACAATAATATCTCCAAAGATGCAAGTGATTCTACAAATACTAATGAAAATCAAGCTGAGTCAAGTCCACATGATTATCAAAATGGATTCAATAATTCCACATTATCAGAAAATTTTTACACTGCTATGAATTCGAAAGAAGAGACGAATGAGTTGCAGGAAGTTTGTAGCGATGATACTACTGGATGCAGGTCCCCTCCTCCTTTCTACGAAGGGAAAAAAACATGTGAGAATTCTCCAACAACAGAACATGAGGTGATTCACCCAAATGAGAATTCTGCAAAAAGAGAACATGAGGTGATCTACCCAAATGAGAATTCTGCAAAAAGAGAACATGAGGTGATCTACCCAAATGAGAATTCTGCAAAAAGAGAACATGAGGTGATTCATTCAAATGGAAGAAAAACCTTCATTGCAAGAAGAAGAGAGAACTCCAATCAGGAAATGCTGAAAGAGGGGAATAATCCAAGACTAACCGAAAATACAACAAATGAGAAGGAAATAAAAAAAACAAAAGAGGTAAAAGATGTGTGCACAAAAATGTTGGATTTATATTTTAACATAATTCCTAATATGAAATATAATAACGAAAATTATGGAAAGATCCTTTATATCATATCAAAACTGCTTCTATATGTAAATAATGAAGAAATGACAAAAAAGACGATAGAAATATATATATATTATTTTTTTCTGTTTTTCAATTCGATTATTAACAATGCAAGTGCGTATGACATTTCTTCTATTTATAACAATGATGCACAAGTATACATAAATTATAGTAACATAAAAGGGTTACCGGAGCACAAAGTGATTAGTAGCTTCAGAATGATCCTACAAAATTCTTTATACAAGATACATTTGATAGTTGCATTTGCAAATCATATAGTGAAGGTGGCGTATTCTATCCTATACATACTGATCAACCAAAATTACACAATTAATAATGCCAAAGGAGTTGTGAAATATATAACCTCTAATTCTTATGTTTCCATATTTATCGAAACTATTGAAATATTTAACATTTTCATATCATGTGTGTATACAAACTATTGCGTATTTAATTTTCTGAAAGAAAAATTCAAATCCAATGTAAAAATAGAAATTCTTGTATCCCTAATTCTGCTGAAGCAGTATATTCTCCTAACATCAGGGGATCTGAACAATGGTAACATTATCCATTTGTCTAATCAAAATATAAAGAAAAGAAATAATGATTATAAAAAATGTTTCAAACGATTAAACAAATTTATAAATGATAAAAATAAAAATAATACTAATAATGTTGAATTTATCATCCAAATTGTGGCAAATTTATGTGATAAATTTAATAACGATTTGAGTATTATCTATATGATACTAGAAATTAATTTAATTTTGTCATACTATCACTATTTTGAACACTTTTCCTACAATGCTAGTGTCATATTGGGGTTACTTCCTCCGATAAGTAGCCCTCTCTGCGATTTGTATATTCGACAGGAAGATTCATCACTTGGAAAAACAGACAACTTTGGAAAAGAATCAATAAATGAAAGTTGCTCCACCCATCGAAGGAACAATAAGGATGGAAGAAAAGAAGTTGATCTTAATGCAATTTCCATTCAGATGTGTAAAGAGAAAGGAAATGAAACACTCTGCATCGATTCTAAAAGGAATGTAAATAGAAATAGATTGAATAGTAATGGTAATGATTCAAAGGGGCTTAATTTTTCCAATGCCCAATTTCGGGAAAAATTTTCAGAAAATTACAAACAAGGAGATACAGATATAAACACGATGAAATATCAGGAAAATGAGATTAAAACATGGTTATTGATACCAAATAAACATGTAATAAAAATTTTTCATTTCATGATAAATATTCTCTTCACTGACGAGACACATTTTAAAACGAAGAATAAAAAATACGGATTTTGTGTTGATGAAAATGGCACAGTTGTAGACATAAATGACACACATAATGAAGTTTTAAAAAATGGATTTGATAACAATAGGATATTTTATGACACGCATTGGAATTATTTTATTTTTATGTATCCATCTGTTCCTTATATAAAGAAATTAATATCACTAGCATTTGAGTATAACTTTTGTTTATATTCACCAAGAATATTATACCCATTATTGTTTGAATTTTTGATAGATATCAAAAATAGTTACAAAATTATAGTAATCATTTTAAAGTCATTGAACATTATGTGCATATTACTTTATAATCATATGGTGAAGAAAAATTTAAGGATTCATTCAAAAATACATTATAATTACTTAGCCTTACCTAATATGAGCACTATTATGTTGGTCTTATTTACATACTGCATGCACCCAAACTTTGTTGTTTCATTTCTTAGTTTGCAACTTATTTCTATACTGAGATGTTTCACTCAAGGGAAAGCATTGACATCTGTTCAGAATTTTACATACTTTGAATTACTTCTCAATTTTATCAAATTAAGTGAAAAATGTATAACTTCGAAGGAAAGGGAAAAACATCTCCAATGTTCCTCATCTCTGCTAACGGAAAAATTGTATAGTAGGAAAATTCTAATGCACATAAGAAAACTTGCCAGATGCATAAAAAGAAGAAAGGGTACAAACAATATGCATAAACGAAATAATGCAAAGTTTAAAATGGCACTTTATTACAAATCTTTAATAAAAATGTGCTACATGGAGATAGCAAAAAGGATTAGTAAAAAGTTATTAAATGTTTTCTTGAAGACATATCCATCTGGGTACCATAAAAAACAACGGAAAAAAATAACCACCATTATTAAGCATTTCTTTAATATAGATTTCAAGAAAATTGAAATATACACATTGCATAGAGATGAAGAATGGAATCACACACTGATAAACACTGCTCAGATTAGTACACCATTCAGTATTGATATGACTAGTCTTATAGGAAATAAGAACACGCAGAGTGACAGTGAGGAAGCACTTCACACTAAAGTAGAATCCATGGATTATGATTTTACACAAATTCTTAGGCTGATGCAAAGATTTTTCAGTACTTACATAAAAATAGAAATAGACAAAATTTACAACTATCATAGCTACATAGTAACATATTTTTATACACTTATTGAATTGATAAGAATTATTAAAAGTAACAGTGAATTTGAAAACACCTTTTTCTTTCAATGTATTGTTAACATACTATGTGTTGTTGTAAAAAAGTTTAATGGGAAATTTGCAAATAAATTAATTACTGTTTTTTTCAATCTGAATGAAGAAGTAATAATAAATGAAGAGGAAAACATGTTCCTAACTCTTTATATGAATTTCTCAAGTATATATAAAAACCATTTTTTTAATTTGTATACAGAAAAATGCACTACATCATACATGAAAAATTGCATTGAGTGTATTCAAATAATGCGTGATGGTTTCTTATATGCAAAAAAGAGTAATGAAAATCAGCTAGACTTTAACAACTTTATGCTACTATCCAACACGTATAATAGTGATATTTCAAGACAAAAATATATTAACCAATTTTTACATTATCTCAATGAATACCAATCTGTATATCGATCTAACATTCTCCAGTTGGATGAACTAAACGGAGGATTACTCCTAAAATGGAAGCTTCATCAGCAGGAGTGTACCTCCAAAAAATGCAGTGAAAATTACATCAAATCTGAGAAGATAGAAATAGAAAAGAAGGGGAAAAAACAAGATAGAAAATGTGCAACAATTTTAAAGAACCATGGAGAAGAATTGAAAAGACAACTTTACAGAAACAATGAAGTTGTAAGAAAGGCTTACGAATTATTAGAAGGTGCACTAGGATCGTTTATTCTACAAAATGATATAAATTTCTCATTATGCAAATGTTTCCATCAAGATATTACAGCTTATTATATAGAGAGTATACTACATAAAAAGAATCTATTTCGAATTCTTATCTTATTGAATAATATCTACCATTCAGATAAAGCAAACAGAAAAAGTAGTGCATTTTCAATTTTTGGAAAATCAAATAATGTTATTAATGCAGAAAATATAAGAAATACCTTAATATTAACTACAGGAATGTGTATTAAAAAAATCCCTGCGTCCAAATTTCGAGATCTATACAACATTAATCAAGTTTATGTAGATGATAAGATATTCAACATTTATGTGAAGCATGTTTATATACCTGTAGTCAAATATAACATCGATTTTTTAAATTCCATTTTCGAGCAAAACGAAGCAGTGGAAAATGAGGAACAAATTCTAAACAAGATACTTGTCAATAAACAGAAATATATTGAAGTTAGATACAAGCAAGAGATAAACATGAACATGCAACTCAGGAACCATATTATCACAAACGTAGAAAAGGTGGAACAAGATTCTTCTTCTTCTTCTCTCAACATCTCACCATTTTTAAAAATGAACAATACACAATTTTTCTGGGCTACAGAAGAACACGTCAACACTTCCACGGACAGTGTAAATATGGAAAGTGTTACAAATGGAAGAAACAAAGGAATCCAAGAGATGAACAACAAAGATCTATGCAAATCCTTACCTCAGGAAAAAACCAGTCTTCTCACGTTTCAGCTTTTAGTGGATCCTGTTATATGTTCACTATACCAGGAGAAGGAAAAAACAATACAAGAAAATTTACTGAAAGCGATGAAAAGTATATCGAAGAAGCTGATGCATATTAAAATATGCTGTAGAAAAAAAAAAACACTACAGCGTGAACAAATGAAATGGAAAAATTGTGTATTACAAAACGTTTGTGATCTCCTCTCAGATTCTCCTATAAGTCTACTAGATGTGAAAAATCATCAGTATGGTATAAAAGACGTGTGTGAATATTACTTGAATGAAAAGGTAAGCGAAGTTCCTTTCTATTCCTGTCTTTACATGTACAAGCATATAATAATTTATTCATCTCTTCATTATATAGCAAATTTTGAGGAACTAACACTTCCCATGAGTAGCTTCACATTCAAAGGGGTAGAAAAATTTGCTATATATTTTAAATACACAAATAATATAATTTTTAATAAAAGTGAGTATAGCATTAAGGAAGATATAAAAAAAGGACTCAGTGAAGAATCGAATAAGAACAACTTTTCAAATATTGTCAACACAGAGTATGAAGAATTATATATTAAGGAAATTAACAAATGGGAGAAAATGATGAACCATGAATGTGGGCAAATTTCAGGAGGTTCAGCATCAAATAAAGTAATTTATAATGATCATTTTTCGCAAGAGAAAAAAGAAAGGAGCACAAAAACTGAGGAAAAGAAGTATCATTCAAATTCAAATTATGTAAAAGCAACAGAAACATTCTCACATGATATAAAACTCGACATTCAAACGGATGTCTACATAAATTTGCAAAATGCCTTGAAGAGCATATACTATTGCCTTTTCATAAAAGAACCCATACATTTCCAGCTAGTTTTTATCATTGTAAATGTTCTAATAAATTTATTTCTAAAAATTGTGCATAATGAAAAAAAACAAATGTATCACAAGTACCCTGAGAAATGGCAAGTATCTGAAAGCGTAGATGATGCAACACAGAAATGTAGTAGTGCCAATTTGGACTCCCATAAAATCAGCAGGAGTAACGAACAGAGTGAAATGCAAAAAGTGGTTCAATTATCCCGTTCATATAAAAATGAAAACGTGTTGAGAAAACAAATGGAGGGGAAAAAAAAAAATAAAAAAAAATTTGCTAAAAAATCTATTCAGTTTAACCCAAAAAATGAAAAACAACGACACGTCGAAAAAATAAAACAAAATGAGGAGAAGCAGAAGGAACATGAAAGTGATGATAAATTTCAACAAAATGTTCATGATAAGAAAATAGATGCAAGTGCCAAATTGGAATCATTGCTAATGAAACCAAATTCGTGTGAAGGTAGTGACAAGTTTGTTCACATAGACAGGGAAATTAAAGCACATGGAGCAAATGATACAATCTATTCAAATAATGAAGATGCAAAATGTAGAAATGTTTATAGAAATCTCGTCTTGGGTGTAACCAAGGGAGAAGAGAAAAAAAAGCATACCATGAAAAAGTACAGAAAAGTGCACAAAAAAATGAAGAATCAAATGTTTGGAAAAATCAGCCAACACGACATGAAACTCCTCCATGGAAAGAACAAAATATTTCTCAATCTAAGCAAGTATCAAGATTTGGCTTTGTCTTCCATAAATCTAATCACTTCTATCATAGTTAAGGCAGTTTTAGAAATTAAATTCTTTCCATTTCAGATGAAGATAATCAAGTATATACACGACACGTGTGTGCTAACCAATATAGGAGAAATTAAATTCATTGCGTTTCGCATACTAACTGAAATAATAATAAATTCTACCATTTCCTGTAAATCTGAAGAGGATAAAGATGCTGAAAAGAAACCCTTTGACAAGGATGCATACCAAAATTCGTTTCCTCAGAAGCGTATGAAAAAGGGAAAGTATAAATCAGGAGAAGATATTCACCATTATAGAGATTCACTAGACATGGAGATGTCTAAAGAAGAAGGAAGTAAAAACGGAGAACTGCATATGAACAGCATAACAGAGAGGAAAGATCATCATGTGAAGACTATGTCATCGTGTAATTCATCCAATTTTGAAAAATATTTTAATTTAATTTTTTCTCCCAGTGTGAATTTTTCACATGGGAAATTTTTCGATGTGAAGAAGGATAGACATGGTGAGTACTCTGGTGAGAGGGATTGCCATGGGGAGTGCTCTAATGAGAGGGATTTCCATGGAGAGTTCTCAGGTGAGAGGGATTCCCATAGAAAGTGCTGTGAAGAAAATGCCGATCACACGAACCTGGAACAGAGGAAAGATTCAAGTGAACATTACCTTGACAGCTTCAGTAACGCAGAAGATAATGCACTAAACGACACAATAAATGAAGACAATGAGATGAGTTACGTGAACAATGAGGAACTCGTTCTAAGTGATCAAATTGGTGAGCGAAGAAATTTAAGAAAATATAAAAGTAGCGACAATGGGTGGTTCGATTGTAGTTTCATATATGAACCTGAATCAGATGACAAATGTCCATGTGTCAATTCAGGAAGAGAGAAAAATAGAGAGGAAACCAGGAATGGACTTAACGAAGAAAAGAAAAAGTGGGTTAAAACGGAACGAAATTATGTCTGCGAATGTATAGGTCTCTTAATTCCTTACATTAAGGACAATGAAAAAATAATAAGCTATATGAGCATATGCTCTGTTTGTGCAATAATAGGAAAATTGGAAAACAAAAAAGTATTGCCAAAATCACACTTCATTTATTTTTTTTTTAATCGAATAGAAATGATTTTGAATGTATTATCAGGGGTCATGATGAGTCTTCCCAATTCTGGTCAGAAAGCACGCAAAGAGATCAGGAAGAATGAGCTTCAAATGAAACATAAAGTAAAGCAGAACATAACCAGTAAGGATATACAGAATATAATGGTAGATGACAAGACAAACCAATTGAAACATTACATCCGAAATAAGGATGAAAATATGATTGAAGAAACGTTTAAAGATGAAGAGGCAATAAACGAGAAAACCAGGTACAGTGATGAAACGGGTAGTAACGGATCAGAAAGGAAAGGTACTAAACTGGAAGAATTAACACATGAAGATATAGAAATGATGAAGAAAGGGCGAACGTTCCATAGTAGAAGACAACCTGCTCCTAACATTTCCAGAAAGTTTAATTACAAAAATGTTAGATATAACATGTACAATATAGAACGGTACAACGAATTTTACAAACGGGTAAGAAACAAAATAGAAGAAATAAACAGAGAGAAATATCAGAAATGGTTTATTAAAAGGCTATGCATGTTGTTAAACAGGAAAAAAAAGGAAGTAAACTTGTTCAAAATTATAAATAATATAATTAGTGAAACTTTTTCAGAGAAAGAAAAAAAATCATACGTAAATTATCTCATTAATTGTATTCACAATAGAAACAAAAGGGTTGCAATGAATGGTCTAAATTTGCTTATGTATTTTACATGGACTGAACAAATTAATAACGAAGATATTGACATAATTATGAGTAGAATTCTCAATGAGTTGCACTATTATACAAAATTGAACATTTTAAATGGTGTAGAAGGGGAAGATAATATTGCACATTGTAGGAGCACAATAAAACCAAATAGCACACTAGTTACATATTGTAACATGTACAAAAAAAAAGAGAAAAAAATCAAGAATCCAAATATTTTAGAAAGATCATTGCATATAATTTTACTCTTTTGTAGAAAATATTTCTATGTAATTATAAGCAAATTATGTACACTGCAATCTAAATATAGCTATGAACACATCTACTTCATCTACATGATATGTAATAATGAAACCTTGTTACATAAGGCATTAGACTATTTATTTTACATAATAAATAATATGAACACAATCAAAGTTAATAACAACTTTAGTAATATACTATCCTTGATTTTCCATTTCTTCAAGTTTCGAAATTCATACCTAAGGCACTACGTAAAGACATACTTTACAGAACTTTTCATAATCATCTTCTATGTCTTAGGGGTAAAACAATTAGCTCATGTGAATGGAGCAGTGACTACCCAGGTGAATAGGAAAAACGAATTTCAGTGCATAAATGGAAATAGAAGCGAACATGAATATAATCACACTAAGGTTAAGACTAAGGTTAAGACTAAGGATAAGACCATCAATCCTATGGCACAACAACAAATGCTGTTATATAGTCCATTATGTTCAGATAATGAACACGATGTAAAATTGAAAGAGAAACAGGAAAAATGCACTGATTTTCATTTTCTCAAAATGGTTAAGCAAAAAGAGGAAGGAACCAGATCCAGCTTGTCTGATATGAATAGACGTATAAATAAAATTGACACAAAGAATGGTTCAAGTGCACGTTTTATTAGTATATTTAAAAAGGAGGAAAACCATTTCAACACAAGTTACACTCATAAAGAGAGTAACGATGATTGTGTAAATTGGAAAATAAATCGAAGAGAAAATAAAAAAAAGATAAACGATTTAGATACTTTTACAAATATGATCAATGGATCCCCATTTTTTACCAAAAAAAATAGCATACTCCATACTAGGGATGTAAAAAAAATATCAGGAAAAGAATTCAACCAAAAAATTTACAAGAACTATACATACAACATAAGTGTAAATAATACATTAAACTGTTTCAACATCATGAAAGAGATGCTAAAATTGAATAATAAAAAAAGAATTTTAAATAACCTTGAAGAGAGTAAGGTGGAAAAGTTCCTATACTACAAGCACTCATTTGAGAATGGACTAATGAAGTTGATATTCATTTTTTTAAGCAATATCAGTCGAAGTGGCAACCGAGGGGAGTTCCGCAAGGTGTTCAATTTTGTAGAAATGTTTATCAAGAATGATAACTTAAATTATGTAATTATATCCATATTGATATTGTCACAACTGTTATTATGCATGCATATAGAGACAGAAAATTTAAAATTAATTGAATCCACAATTAAAGCCTTATGTTATATCGGCTGTGCTTACAAAAACGATTTGATTACAAAATATTTACATCTATGTTTCAAGAATTTATTCATCATTTTTAAGAATATCATGAAATATCAAATCGAAACAGGATTAGAACCGTTCCCTGTTCTAATCAAAGAAAAATATGCTTTACATATTCTTAATTCTCTTTTTATGAACCTAGGAAATAATGATAAAAGTATCCTTAAGGAAACATTGAATGCTTTCAAAGAAGCTTGCAAATATGAAAATGACAAATGGCCTTCCCACCGATGTGCATCTTATGTAAAAATTTTAACAGAACCTGCAGTAGTTCTTACTTATCTGAATAGTACTCATGCATCTGAGAAGGCGTACATTTGTGGAATCCTCACCGAGATTTTTAAGACATGCTATATGGAACAATCAAAGAAAAGGATCCAAGGGATTCGTCTCACACATGAAAAATCAATAAAAGTGGAAAAATTACTCAAGAAACACATATACGAAATTCTCACTTATCTGATTATCCATCTTGCAGATAAAAGAAGAAACTTATCAACCAAAGTTTGGGAAGCTCTAAAAGAACTCCTAAGATTTAAATTCTCTGAACATGTCAATCAAGCGTTAGCATATTTTGACCGAAAAATGTTTCTACCAAGTAGATTAGACGCAGAGGTAGGGGCAGAGGCAGATACACAGGCAGATGCAGATGCAGATGCAGAGGCAGACACAGAAACAGACAATTGCATTGTCATACAGAAAGAATATTTCAAAGATGCAAATATAAGTAAGGAAAATAAAATAATATCATTGGAAAATGATGAAGCATACTACTTTGCACGCATCCCCAGTGAGAATAAGAAAACTGGGAGTGTCAAAGGACAGATGAGTAGGAACAGACTTGTAAATAATTATCCCAGTAAATGTTTTACAGAATCTAAGATGAAAAAGAAAGAAGAACAAAATTTATGTATGAACAAAACAACTCCTGTTCAGATGAATTACTCCAATGATACTACTTCTAGGGAGACACAGGAGAGAAGAGAAAAAAGACTTAAAATGAATGATATCAAAAAAAGACATTCAGCTGATAGTGTTTCAAATAAATCGAACGATAAGAGTGATGGTAGTAAAGAGGATAGTTCATCACAAAAAAAGAAACAAAAAGTCAACATGTACTATTATAACATTTTTGTAGAAATATTTATTCCTCTTATCATATGTATCGACACAAAGGTGTCTTACAAAAAAAATTTATTTACACAATTAAATAATTATTTGTACGAGAGTGAATTCAACCCGAATGTAGAAGATTGTAACAACCTGATTCATATAAAAAACGAAAAAAATAAATTGTACGAAATATTTTACACTCATTTGAAGTTAGACTTGAGAAATATTAATAGCTTATACAGAGCCTACATTATTCTTCTAAACAGTAGAAGATATTTTTATCAAAAAATAAGGAACTCGAAAATTCAAATTAGTGATGATGTGGAGAAAATGATAAAAGAGTATGAAATAAAAAGTACCAAATTTAGGGCAGAACATGTGCTATTTGGAGACTTGAAAAATTACGTACATAAGAAAAAATTTGAAAGCGGAAAGGGAGGAAATGACAAAATGGGCGAAATGGGCGAAATGGGCGAAATGGGCGAAATGGACAGAATGGACAGAATGGACAAAATGGAAAAAATGGAAAAAATGAATGAAATGAACGAAATGAACGCAGAAGGAAACATCCCCAATAGTGGCACGCCTGCTTTAGCTAATTCTCTCTTGAATACCCTATCAGAAACTTTAAACTACTCCTATGATAGCATCTTTCTCAACAATCATAGTGCAAGCATTGAGAAGGAAAATGAACACAAACGAAAATTTGCAAAAGGAAATAATGCCGAAAAGGTGTCACACAAATGGAACCAAAGATATGCAGATTTGGAACAAAATGCGTACACTTTTATGTCTGTATCGAAAAATGAGCATTACATAAACCAGGAGGAAGAAGCAACTGTGGAAGAGAAAGGAGAAAATAGTGAAGAAGCAGAAAGGGGTTATGGTGTGGCATTGCATAGAGATCTCGAATCGAAAAGAGACCAAATTGAAGACAACAATTTTGTTAACAATCACAAACGACCAATGCATCGAGATAAAGAGGAGAAAGCTTTCCTGATTCTACAAAAAGGATTGCAACACGATTGTAATGAAGTGATAAGGGAGAATAAGAACGACTTGGTGTTTGAAGAAGGGATGATTAAGACGAAACTTAAAAAGAATTCTTCCTTACTGGAATATAAGAAAAGTCATTCATTAGACTCTGAAGAAAAATTATCTGACGAGAATTATATGAATTTTGTTTCAAGTAGTGATGAGGAGGATGGAAGAACAGCACCATGTCAAGAAATAACATCTGGGGATGAGTCATATGAAAAAGATATGATCACATCAGAATTACGTCGATATACACCGAATGATAGAAACACAAAACAATTTATCATGAGAAAGTGTGAAAAAATACAACTATTGAATGATAAATACAACTTTGTTAATCATTTTAAAACTGTATTAAATTTAAAGATGAATCAAAATTTGTTACACTGGATTGAAATGCTCAAGTTCATAAAGGAAGATCCATCATCTGATTTAATTTTAGTAGAGGAAGGAAAAATTGCAAATTTTATTGATTATTTTGAGTCTTCTTTAATATGTGCCTTAACAGTCATAAAATTTGTTTCGCTCTCATTGGATTCTAAAAAGCTACATAAGACTGCCTTGAAGATTATGAAAATGGAACCTCGAACAAATGAACAAGTAAACAATGTGGAAAACGGAAAAAAAAATTCACACTTGCAACATCAAATGGAGGAAATGTATTTAATACAATCGTTATCCATATCTACAAAGCTTGAAGCCCTTTGTTCTTCTGTTAGCAAACAATTATGCACATTTCTACAGCAGGATATAAGATGCACTGAGCATTTACCTCTAATTAAGTCTCTCTCCATCCTACCAACATTGAAGCATTTTTCACAATTTTGAAGTGCCTTTACAAAGTTCCCAGTTGGAAAATGTGCAACACAAAAATGTTCACATGTCTCTACGCAAGTTCCCCCATGATCTCTTGCACTTGGCATGTAGAAGTGACCCACACACATATACATATACATATATATATATATATATATATATATATATACCTACATACTGTCGCTTTTTTCTTCCTCCCTTTCTTCTCTTCTTTTTTCCGGTTCACTGGGTGGGACATAATTCACAACACATGGCATTTTTTTTTTTCGTTCCTCTTGTTTCGTTCCTCTTGTTTCGTTCCTCTTGTTTCGTTCCTCTTTTTTCGTTCCTCTTTTTTCGTTCCTCTTGTTTCGTTCCTCTTTTTTCGTTCCTCTTTTTTCGTTCCACTTTTTTCATTTTGTGCCCTTTCAGTCTATGTTTTTTTTTTTTTTTTTTTTCACCTCCACCTTATTTTGGTACAAATAAAATTACCATTCTTGGAGTCTTCCTCCATTTGGCTTTTATGAGAATTGGGACATGCATTTATAAAGATGCATTCTTAAAAGGGCAGAAATTAGAAACCTCTTATGCAAACGTAGAAGCGATAAAAAGGGGAAAAAAACACCAAAAAAAAAAAAAAAAAAAAAAAATGAAATAAATAAATAAAAAGTATGACGTATAAAAATAGAGTCCAAACTCTTACTTCATATTTGCGTATATCTTACGAAATGCTGCTAACCTAAACAGTAATGAAGATGAATACACATTCCATGATAAGAAAAGTATAATTATGTCACACCATTACAAACCCTGGTGGGAAAGTTGTATACATCCCCTCTCTTCTCTTTTTGCATGATTTCCGTTTGGCTTGGAAAAAAGATATACGAAAAAGTTGAAAAAAAAAAAAAAAATATATATATATATATATATATTACTTGTACAGTTTTTCTTCCTATTTGTTTTATTCCATTTTTTTGTGTTAATTAGCCACATCATTTTTATATATATTTCTGCTCATTAAACATAACTGGGTAAGTCTACTGGATCTGCTAAAATTTATGCTACTTCATATCCTCATTCAGCATATTTACGAATGGATTCTATAAATTTTTGTATTACTGATCCAGGAGCATCATCCACATATGACCATTGAATAAACAGAGAATTTTCACCATCGTGAATAGCTCTTAGTGACATAAAGGATAAGAGAAAAAAATAACCAACATGATGTTTTACATTTTTTATAATCACCTTTTCACCCAGAAAACGAATATTATTTTTATTTTTCATATTCAAAATTTCTTGAAAAAAGGTAATAACGAAATTGTAAAAATTTTGATAACTTATAGTGATATTTTCCTTGAACCGCAAGTTAATCAATGGTAAGGTTATTATTTCTTCTTCCATCACATAGTTATTCCTCTTACTCATGAAGTTACTCAAATTGTTCCTCCTACCTAATGCACTGTCATCTTTATGATACTCGGTTCTTGATTGATTTTGTAAGCGGTTTGAATTTTCTATATAGCTTTCATTCTCCTCCTCTTCCGACAAGAACAAGATTGAATCATCGCCTGGTTTTAAGCCTGTAGTACTTTTCTCAACTTTACATGAACCCTCTTGGGTGAACATGTTTTTTTCGCTAACAGGAAAATACAGACAATTCATAGATGCATGGGAGTATTTTTTACTTATACAGTCGGTTGTACATCCCTTAGGGTCTTTTTCTCCTTCTTCTAATGTACCTTCCATTCTGGACATATCTTCGAATTTCCTTTTTCCTCTTTGCACAAACTGATCAAAAAGAGATAACTCCTGCGTTTCACCACCCTGGGTATCATATGCACCACCCACGTTACTACTTGTACATAATTCAGCGGAATAACTCATGTTTTCTTCCATTCTTTGATCTTCTCCATTTTTCTTAACCGTTTCAATGTTCACATTACAAGTCGCTTGAGAAGTACTACAATTCTGTATGTCTTGCTTTTTAACACTACATTTTTTTAAGAAAAATTTGGAATTTTCTTCAGAATCGCTACACGAATATGAACTTTTAAAAGAGAAGAGGTTAGATATGCTGAACGATTGATTATTTCGACAAATTTTATAGGAAAAATTCCTTTCTTTCAACTCCTTCAGGAGTTCTCGTTTTGGGAAAAAGAAAAGGAAAGGCTTTTCTCTAATACTGAAGTAGATAATATATGAATAGAAAGAAACAGAAAAAGTAGAATCATAGAATGAGGATTGGAAATCGTCTCCTTTATATGTATAATTGGTTTTTGTATTAGACAGAAGGGTATTTCCCTCCTTTTTGTCTTTTAATTTTCGAATTATATGTTCATAAAGTGCGTGATGAATATACACATGATCCATAGCTCCTTTTGAAAAGTTGAACTCACAATATTGACCCAATGAGGGACAAAAAGAATTAATTAAATATTGTGTAGATATATGTTTCGATAATTTTTCCATTGAATTTTTTTCTCCGTGTACAAAAATAACATTCTTTGGAACTACATGTCTTATAAGTTGTTGTATACCATTCGAATCTGCATGAGCTGAAAAAGATAAGTAAATAATTCTGCATGCAACATTTATATATGTGTTTCCATCAAAAGATATTTTTCTTTCTCCCATAATTAATTTGTGACCTACAGTACCTTGAACACAATACCCTGGTAAGACAATTAAATTCTGAGATGAACCAGCCCATGCTTTAAAAGCTTTCAATGATAATCCTGTGTGTAACATTCCAGGTGTGGCAAATAAAACCATAGGTCTATTTTGACTTAAGTAAGTGTTCACAAACGGAGAAATGTTCGTAAAATCAAACAAATTTTTTTTATCTGTTGAAATACATGTACTACTAACCCATGAGGAATATATTTTATAATATTTATTTGCATTTTCTGTTAATCCACATCCAAAATATATGGGATAATTAATTTTCATTTTTTTCCAATATGTGTCTAACAATATAGATAATTCTTGTGCTCTTCCAATAGCAAAAACTGGAATTAAAACCTTTCCTCCTTTGTGCACACATTCATGTACCATGTTGCACAAATCCAATTCGGATGCTTTTCTAGTCGGTCTCACATATGTGGCATACGTTGATTCAGAAATAAATATCTCAGGATTTAGTGATGGTATTTTAGTACTCCCTAAATGTTTATCTGGGACTGTGTTATAATCACCAGTGTAAATTACACTAAAATTGTTTACTTCTATTTTGAATATACATGCACCTAATACATGCCCTGCATAATAAGGTGTAATGGACATATCCCCCATTTCATATGTTTCATTAATTTGTAATCCAATAACTTTGGAAATACAGGAATGTATATTTTCTTCATTGATGTTCCATGGATCCTTTTTTAAACTACTTATATTATAATTTAACAATTCATCTGATTTTTCATTAAGCATTTTTATTTGCCTTTCTAAGTTTTTTTTCTCCCATTTTATATCTGCAACCCTACATCCATCTAATAATAAAATTGGACTTAATGCCTTGGTAGGATAACTCATAATTATAGTCCCTTTATATTTTAAAATTTCTGTAAAAAAAGGTAATGCACCTATATGATCCATGTGAAAATGACTAATTATTACACAATCTATTATTTCATTTATCCTCTTCAAATTATTTATTAATTTTTCTTTATTAGAAATGCTGCTATTCACTATGCTTATATTCACCTCTGTGTTCAAATGGTGTTCATACACATTTCCTTCTTCCATTCCTTTTTTTTCTTCCTCTACCAATGGGTTATAATCATTCTCACCAACAAGGATGTTGAAATTAGGATATTTTCTTTCATCTTTATACCCTAAGTGCGAACCACAATCAAACATCACTCGTCGATTTTCCAGTTCCACAATTACGCAAGATCTTCCAACCGTTTGACCTGCCCCTAACACTTGAATGATGATTTTAGTCTCGTTATAGTGATTCATCTCAGAGCGTTCGTGGCAGTTCATCAGTTTTGAGTCGCGCACTTGGAGAACCTCTATTTGAGGGATCCTTCATCTCGTGGTGTTTTTTTTTCCACCAGTGAGTGTTCTCATAGGTGTTATTCATGGATGGTATTTCGGTATGATATTCATGGATGGTATTTCGGTATGATATTCATGGATGTTATTCAATGATGTTATTCATGGATGTTATTCAGTGATGTTATTCAAGAGGTTGGTTCCCCCCCCTTCACATTTCTTTTTTGTGATAAATTCAAAAGCTACAAAAAAGTTCCACTCCTGGTGGATACGCCTCCCCATTTACACAAAAAAAAAAAAAAAAGAAAAAGTAAACCCACTTCAAAGAGTAGGTGATGATTTTAGGATTCTTCTTCTCTCTTTCCCTCAAATTAAACGAGGCACCACGTAAACATATAGAAGTGCCAACAAATACATATTTTATAGTTGATCTCAGTAAAAATTAAGAAATACAAGCGATTTGAGAAACTGGACTCTTCTTATAAACCCCAAAATATAATTTGAAAAAAAAAAAAAAAAAAAAATCTCAAAAAAGAAAAAGCGCAAAGGGACGAAAAAATTTTTTTTAGCATTTTTTTTTTTTTTCCCTACTATGAAATGTTTCCCGTACTTATTAGTGCAACGTAGAAGATCTGTAAGGGCTTGTGGGGTGGGTAGGAATCACATGCAGGAACAACCAAAAAAGGGTGAATGTTTGCAAAAAAAGAGAAAAAAAGAAATACCCCTTCAGTTTTGCCTATTCATATGCTTCCCTTTTTATGCTTCCCTTTTTATGCTTCTCTTTTCATGCTTCCTATTTCATATTATCCATTTTTTTTTTTTTTTTTTTTTCATATTTTCCTAGGTTGAAACAGCTTCAATGTTTGAGGAGAAGCTGTTGATCTTCACCTGACACCCTTTTCATTTCATCGTGTTTGTGTCACTTTAAACCTCCCCATCAGAAGTGTGTTAGAAGGTGTGTGTAAAATAAATCCATATTTAAAAAAAAAAAAAAAAAGAAGAAAAAGTTCCCCCTTAAAGTCTATCTAACCTCGTTTTACTTAAAATGCTTACTGGAAGTAGGTAAGGATTGCAGGAAGATTGAGTTTATGATGATAATAGCCATTGAATTTTTTGATTTTTCAACGTTTTGAAAATTTTACAGGGGCTAAAAAATTCTCGACAGAAAAGTAACATATTTTACAAAGTGTTTGTACTCCTTTCGCACTCACAACAGTAGTAGAAAAAAAAAAAAATAGAACAAACAAAAATAGAAAAAAAAAAAAAATTATGCACATGGGAAAACATAAAAAGGTTTAACAACTCATTTTTAAAAAGGCTTTTTCTTGCGAAAAGTTACATATATTGTGAGAAATAAATGTTATCATTTTCCCATAACACATTTACCAATTTGTGAAGAAAAAAAAAAAAAAAAAAATTATTTCAGAGTGGTAACTATATGCAAAAAATAAACAAAACGAGACCTTTTTTTTTTTTTTTTTTTTTTTTTTTTTTTTTTTTTTTTTTTTCACACATTTTTAACTTTTTTCAATTGTTTAAATGGAACTTTCTAAATTTTAAAACAAGTTATATTCTTAGCTGCACCGGAAAGTCCGAAGGTTGTCAAAAAGGAAATTCAAGCAAATGTGCTGAGCGTGCAAATCGTGCCAAAACCTCCTAAGTGTTCTCAAACATTCACGTGTTTTTTTTTGTGGCTACCCCCAGTATACAAACAACTGTGTAGAGGGAAAAGTTCTGAAAGCCATTTGAGTAGGTCACTTCGCACACGTTCCTCGAGACATATAAAAGTCTGTGCAAGGAAAAAGCTCTGTACATTCGAAACAGTGTGAGGTACTTGTTCCACTTGGAGAGAAAAAAAAAAAAAAAAAAAAAAAAATACAAAAGAGACATTGCAAAGCGGCGAAGACAATATTCAATTTCATCCTAAATTGCAAAAAAAGAGAAAGAGAAAATAACCGAACCAAAAAGTTGGCAGAAAAAATTGTAACAATCTAGCAAACACGCAGGAGTACAAAAAAAGGTGCACGTTGCGCAGAACACACACGAGGAGGGGAGAAAGCATCATGGATTTTCCCAATGCAGAAAACATTAGCCAACTGTTCAATATGCATTATATAATCGAGGGAGGCAAATACATAAGGAGAGAGATGAATGGAAGAAAATCATCTACAAAAAGTGAAAGTTCTTCACATAATTTTTTTAACTTAACAAGAACAAATTCTCCAGGTAATACTATTATGAATGATTATCAATTCGAAATTTTTACAAGTTTAAATGAAAAAATTAGAGCTCAAACCCCCCAAAAAAACAAGGTAGACAAATGTATAAGTACAGATATACCGACACATGAACATGGCACATTTTATGCAACTATTACTATAAGGTGTAAGGAGTGCGATCAAGAGATTAGAAGAGATCTGGAATTCTAGGAAACCAAAGAAATACATGCAAGGAAAGAGTTCCCTATGGTGACCATGATGTTTCACTCCTAATTTTTTCACAAAATTGGATGAATCACTATTTTTTGAGTGCGTCTCCCCATGGATATCATTGTTTTTGCGATGCAGAAGGCTAGATCATTCTTTCGTTGTTCATTTATATACTTGTTTATTCATTTATTTTTTATATTTTATTTTTTTTTAACGAACACACACATCTGCGTAGAGTGGAACGCGAGGGAAGCCTCAATTAAATTGATTTACGTCCATTGGTTCCGTTCTGTTTTGTTTTGTTTTGTTCTGTTTTTTTTTTTTTTTTTTTTTTTTTTTTTTTTTTTTTTTTTTTTTTTTTTTTTTTTTTTTTTTTTTTTTTTTTTTTTTTTTTTTTTTTTTTTTTTTTTGCGTAGTGGATATCTAATTTCTCAAGGGGAATATTGTGATCCCCCGAAAAATCTCCTACCCCAGCAGTCCATGTGGACGTGCAGAAATTCACAGAGATTAGAAGAGGGAGCTGAAGATACATGTAGTATTCATTTTATTAAGGAACATCCTATAGTTGGAGTTTTCCCCATTGTTTCACCCATTTGCATAATTTAAGGTACCCATATTAAGATGGATAACAAATGGATCAGTTATAAAAATATGTGGCATGTGGGAAAGAACTAATTTAGTAATACATGTCGATATGATGTGATGAAGCAGTTACCATTATATTTGTCATACAAGCAAAAGGAATTATTTTTAACTTTTTTATTTTCATTTAAAAGGGCCATGGGAGCCTCGAAGGGTATGCTGTACTGTAAAACACAACACATGATACCATGGCAAATTCCTACATGCCTGAACAAGCTTAACCAAAGGATAGAGGAAGGGGTCCACAGTGAAGTGTATTCTAACTGCATAAATGTTGTGTACATTTTTTTTTTTTTTTTTTTTTTTTTTTTTTGTCACTATCTGCAATACAATCAATTTTTATTAATTAGTTTTATGTAAAGTTCATTTCACAGTAGTTTTTTTTTTTTTTTTTTTTTTTTTTTTTTTATGTACTTCCTTCAGGATATGGTTTGTGTGGAGAATTACTGTTAATACTACCTACATAGCGCACTTACATTTTTCAGTTCCGTTTGATTGACAGTACACTACAGCATGTATATATATATATATATATATGTGCAAATTTTTTAAAAGTAAAATGTAGAAATGGGTAATTAACTTTTTCCCATTATGATTCATTTGAATTTTCATTTGAAGCAGATTCTTCATTCTAAGCCTGCAATCAATCACCCAACTTTTTGCATCTTTGCTTCCATCAATGCATCTATCGTTAGAGTAACAAATGAATAAATTTCTTAATTTCCTCTTTTTTAGTTTCCTAATTTTTTAATTTCCTCTTTTTTAATCTCCTAATTTTTTTTTTTTTTTTTTTTTTTGCACTATAGCATGTGCATGATTCGTGCATTTGTCACAAGAAGTCCCATTTCCGAATACATCCTCAAATTCTTTTTCATGAATTTCTACATTTGCCTCTCCCCGTTTTTTTTTTTTTTTTTTTTTTTTTTTTTTTTTTTTTTTTTTTTTTTTTTTTTTTTTTGTATTTCGTGTTAAGTAATGAACTTATACAGGTCTCTTCCCCCATGGATTGAATGTGTGCCTTTTCACTTTCACCAAACAGCACAGGGGGGGTAAACATAGAGTATGAAAACTTGCAACCTCTTGATCCTTTTGGCTTTCTACATAAGTAGAGATGTACATATATATATATATATATATACACCTAACATTATAACTTTTTTTTTTTTCTGTTTTTCCTTCTTTTTCTTTTTTTTTTTCTTTTTTTTTTTCTTTTTCTTCTTTTTCTCTCTAATTTTTTTTTTTTTTTTTTTTTTTGCAATAAATGAATGTGCATGGTTCGTACATTTTCTAAAAAAACACACATTTCCGTAAACCATCCCTCAAATTCTTTTAAGAAATTTGTAAACTTTTCCTCTCCCCGTTTTTTTTTTTTTTTTTTTTTTTTTTTTTTTTTTCTTTTTTTTTTTTTTTTTTTTTTTTTTTTTTTTTTTTTTTTTTTTTTTTTTTTTTTTTTTTTTTTTTTTTTTTTTTTTTTTTTTTTTTTTTTTTTTTTTTTTTTTTTTTTTTTTTTTTTGTTTGTTTTTCTTGGTTTTCTTTTTTTTCCCTTTTCCTGTTCGTCGCCTTTTTCTCTGAGGTTCCCTTTGTGCCAAACATGACAAAAAGAATACTATATGTGTTATGTATTTATTGGTTTAACAAAGGATGCATAAAATTTAATCATTGTCATTCGGATGGATCATCAGTTGATATGTTTTTTAATAATGATAAACCTATGAATGCATTTTACATTTGCTCTAGATCCTTGTTAAACGGGAAGAGAAAATGTTCCAAGAAAAAAAAAAAGTTATGCAAGACACGGAAATTATACTCTCAGTGGGGGTACCTGAATCACGTCACAGGCACACATTCATTTTTCAGTTGTCATATGGATATAAAACAGACAAATTCAAGTACCAAAATGGATAGTCAAATGAGACGCCAAATGGACAGCCAAATGGGAAGCCAAATGAGAAGCCAAATGGGAAGCCAAATGGACAGCCAAATGGACAGCCAAATGGACAGCCAAATGGACAGCCAAGGGGGTATCGAAACTAAGGAAAGAACGAAAGATAAAAAAATTATTATTGGCAACTGGAAATGCTACCTGCCAAAACAAGAAGCATATAATCTAATTGATAGCTTCACAAAAATAAAATATTCTAATCACATTGATATCATTTTGTCCCTTAATTTGTTATTCATTCCTTATTTACTTGAAAAAATTAAAGAAAATAATTCGAAAATATTTGCATGTTCGCAAGATGTAAGTTTAGTAAACGGTTTAGGAGCCTTTACAGGAGAAACAACAGCTACATTAATACGAGAGTTTGGAAATGAGTATACCATAGTTGGACATAGTGAGAGGAGACGAGGATTTTGCAACAATGGGGAAACTATAGAACAAACAGCATTGAAGGTGTATAATGCTATGCAATCAAAGCTGAAAGTTATATTATGTGTCGGGGATGATTATCAAAATGAGAATTTTCAATTTCCATCGTTTAGGATGAGAAAATTGTTTTCAGTAAGAAGGCACACAAAATAAAGAAAAAATGGGGAAAACAGAAATACATTGTGCATTATATAAACGAGCGGGTGCTGTGAAGAAAGATTGACATACTTTCGTTACTCCGATCTAACCATTTCTACTTATTTGCTTTGAAACTACGTTGTTTATCACATTTGTTCATTTTTTTTTTTTTTTTTTTTTTTTCCTAACTTGCACATCGATTCCTTAATCTCACCGCTTTGCAGCTGATAAAACAAACAATACGAAAAGATGAAATGAAAAATATTATCATAGCTCTGGAACCTAGTTTTGCCATTGGCACGGGAAATCCTGTGTTATGTGAGGTTTTGAATAACTGCTATTGGGGTTAGTTAAAATAACCAGAAAGGAAAGAAAAAAAAAAAAAAAAAAAAAAAAAAAAATGAGCAAATTTGACACGTCATCGAGAAGTGCGTTTTCTACGCAGCTTAATATAATGCAAATATGTACATCTGCATATATTTATACATATAAATTTTCTTTTCCTTTCTTTTCTTCATCTTTTCCCATATGCAGACATAAAAAGAAATATAGCAGAAGAAATGGACGAGAAAATAAGCAACGAAATGAAAATATTGTATGGAGGTTCCGTAACAAAAGATAATATAAAGGTATATGTCTCCTTCATGGGAAGATGAAAATTTCACCTTCATTTTTTAATTCATTCGTATATTTTCAACACTTTGTGGAAGGGACTCCATTCACGTTACTACGTGCCACAGCATGTCACTTCTTGTCATTTCGGATCACTTCACGTCAACCAGTTCATATGACTTACACCTTTGTGCAGAACTACGTGGAAAAGACTTCGGTTGATGGATTCCTTATTGGAAAGGGCTCACTTGACGAGACTTTCATAGACATAATAAAGTACCTTGATCGTGGTTACATGTCAAATGGATAGTTAGTAAAAATGTCAAGTGATGACCAAGTAAAATGATAAAAAAAAATTATATGATACACCCCACCCACCCTTTCCCCTTTTTCCATCCCCATGGAAAAGAACTGCGTTATGCATGTATCATCCAAGACAAGAGACCCCGTTAGATTCCACATTGTCCGCTCTGTAATGTCCACCCTCCTGTACCTTTTTGCTTTCCCCTTTTCTTCTTCCTCTCTGCTTCCTTTCTTCTTCCTCTCTGCTTCCTCTCTGCTTCCTCTCTGCTTCCTTTTCTTTTCTGATTAGTTTTATATTTCCTTCATTTCGGTTATTCTTCCTTTTTACCCCCACTGCTAACGAATTAACCGTCTGGCAGTGTTCAAAACACATAGGTACTACACCAAAACACAGGTAGCAATAAAATAAAAAATGAAATAATTGAATATGGGTATGTATCATGCAGTGATAAACACCTAGACAGTGTCACATCAAATTGGTAGTTACTACGTTCTCTGAGTTATGAAAACAAAATATTTAAGGTGCGTATGAGTTTGTGTGTGCATGTGCCTGTGTAATTGTTGTTCTTATCGATTGTTCGGTTTTTGGGTACCTTTGTCCACATATGTATTTGTGAAGAAGGGAAACAAGCAGGAGGGGGTAAAACATAACAAACAAATGGGATTAAAAAAATAGAAGGCAGGGATAAAGGTACATACAGAAAAAAAAAAAAAAAAAAAAAAGGAAAAAAAAAGGAAAATGTGTACACTATGATAAATTAAAATAAACTGAAAAAGTGACATACATAATTTTGGGGGGAGGGGGCCATTGCGTTCCATGTAGCACAGACCCAGCTAAAAAGGATGCAAAAAAAATAAATGAATAAATAAATAATTGCTGACAAAAAAAAATTACATTTTTATAATTTTGATTTTTTTCATCTTCTTCAAGCTCTTTTTCTGCTTTTTTTCCTCATATTTTCTCTGCTGCTCGGCAGACATTTTTTCTATTTTTTCTTTTTCTTCCTGCAACTTTTTGGCTTTTTTTTGCTCTTGCAATTCCTTTAGTTTCTGCTTTTTTTTTAAATCCTCCTTTTCTATAATGCTTCGAAGTTTTTTCACGTGATCTCTAACCTTTTCAGGTAATTCAATGCAATGACATGCATCGATCATGTAAATTGAAAAATTTATAAGAGTTCGTAAATCTTCCACATTTTCTGGGATAACAAAATTTAGAAAACAAAATTTGTGCTTTCCGCTTTTGTTGTTATGTTGTTGTTCCCTTTTCTCCTTTTCTTCATGTTTCTCATTTATTTCTTCTTCACAATCGTACAGTGCAATGTCGGAGATGCAAATGTAATTAATGTACCTATCGTATGTGTTAAAAAAGTTTAATAATTTCCCACTCAAGACCAAGTCCATAATTTCGTTGGAATCTCCTTTGATGTCATAGGTTGCCTTCAATTCCTTTTTTTGCAAAATTTTTGTGTATTTATTCAAATTCGGGAAACGACAGTCAATATTTTTTTTCTGGTGCTTTTTATAAATACATAAAACATTTTTGTCTAATTTTTCAAAATGAATAGCTATATTCATAGTATCATTTTGGTTGATAAAATAATTAAATACATAATATCTCCACACACATTGTCTTTTACATAAATTTAAATTAACAAAGTAATAATTACAATTTTTTCTACCTGTACAATAAAAATCATATCTGTCATATGACTTTTCTAGTAAAAACGATTTGTCATTTCCCAATTTTGCAAAATTTTCCAAAAATATATCTTTACATGATCTCAGCCAATAAAGTGCAATCATTCTGTTCTTTTTTTTACCCATTATTCCATTCACAATTGTCACTATTAAAATACAAATAAAAATTCCTATTTTGAGGTAAAATAATTTCTCATTTTCACCTGTCCATGTGAATGATAAATTATTTTCTTCCCTGCTGTTTCCATCATTTTCTTTCTCTCGGCCTGAAAAGTCGAGAAAAAAAAAAAAAATATATACATATATATATATATATATATATATATATTCAACTTCTACAACATTCTCAAATCAACGATAATCCATTCGCATAGGCCAATTTTTATTCACACATCTCAGCGTATGGACTCGTTTACACATTCTATTTACATTCAATCAGTGCGTGAAAATTTTGTTGTCTACACATTTTTACCATCTTTTGAATTTTTCATTCGATCCCAATCTCCAGGACGAGCTTCCTCCGATTCGTTAACTATTATAATGTCATCGAGATTGTCTGAAAAAAAAAAAAAAAAAAAAAAAATACATAAATAAATAAGAATAAAGGATTGCATAAAAAAAAAAAAAAAAAGGCAAAGCAAAATTGTTCTCTTACACTTTTGCAGTGTTTGTATTTTGCCCTTTTTTGCACTTTGGCCTGTTTGTATTTTTGCGTGTTTTTCTTTTTCCAACAAAACGGATATAAAAATTTAAGCATGAACGACGTCATATTAATGTAACACCTTTTGGAGAAGCATATAAAGAGGAAAAAGTTTTGGAAGGAATTTATATATATCCTCTCCTCCCTTCCCGCCTCTTTCCATACATAGAAGCATTCCAAATAATAAATAAAAGGAAGTGCGGATATTTTTCAAAATATGTATGAATAAGTTATGGGGGTAGACAAGAATCTATTAACATGTGTGTTGGGGGTCTGTTAAGACCATCTGTGCAATGGTGAGAATTTCATCGTGTCGAACTTTTGTTTAATTAGACGTACCATTATGTGAACGGGTAAGGTAAAACGAGAAGTAAATTATAAAGAATAAAACAACTGTTGTGAATTGTTGCATTTCTTTAGTTTTTTTTTTTTTTTTTTTTTTTTTTTTTTTTTTTTTACAAATACACGCACTGCTGCACTATCTTATGATATATTATGCTGTGCTATGTTGTCCTATGTTGTCCTATGTTATGCTGTAATATGCTTCTTCTTTTTTGTTCCCCTTCACTCTATTTGTGCAATTCACGCATACGTAATTGTAATGAATGCATTATTTAATGTTTTCTCTTTTATTTTCTGTTTTTTTTTTTTTTTTTTTGAGCGTGGGACATTTTCCTCTTATGTTTAAAACTTTTGGTAGTAGTTAAGCTATGTGATAGAGTGGGTGTGATCTCAATACAGGAATAGAGTACGGGGTTCAGTCTTCAAATTTGTACTCCTGGGAGGGTTTCAATTTTCTGTTTCTTTTTAGTTTGTAAATGTAAGAGCTGTTCCAATTCTGTTCTGGTGTTCTCCCCTCCCACCCTTTCAGATTTCGCTACGTTACTATTTCGTTATTTCTTTTCTTCTCGACTGCTTTTCTGCTTTATTGCTTCTGTGTTAAACTTATTTTTAGCTTCACCCAAAGGATGTTTTGTTACCTAATTGGAATTGCTAGTGTTCAATGGTATTTTCCATTTGACGGAAAAGGTTCTTGCGGTGTTTTCTTATTCTCTGTTGTAACACAATACATCACCATCATTATTTTATTTTATTTCAGTTTATTTTATTTTATTTTGTTGTATTTTGTTTTATTTTGTTGTATTTTGTTGTATTTTGTTGTATTTTGTTGTATTTTGTTGTATTTTGTTGTATTTTGTTGTATTTTGTTGTATTTTATTTTATTTTTTTTTTTTTCCTTTTTTTAAGCAATTTGTTGGCGTAGTTCTCAATATGCGTATTTCTTTTCTTTTCTTTTTTTTTTTTTTTTTTTTTTTTTACAGTGAAGGAGTTTTGGTGACAAGGATCTTTTAGAACTTGGGGTGTTTTTGCAGTTTTTTTTTTTTTTTTTTTTTTTTTTTCTGGTTTTTTTTTTTTTTTTCTGGGAATTCGTGTTTGTATGGAAAAGGGTAAATACGCACATATATGTGTTAATGTGTAAATACGTTTGTTTTATTCCCTTACCTAAGTTTTATTTATTCTATTTAAAATTTAACCTACTACACACATATGTGTCAAGATGAACGGCGTGCATAATTTTTTCTTTTCGTGGGTTACGTAATTCGAATACGATGCCTTCTGCATTCGCAATTACGTGCACTTGATGCAGTAGCATTTGAGAATTTTTCAATTAAGAAATTTCCAAATGAGGAATTTCCACTTGAGAAATTTCTACAGGAAAATCTCACACATGTGACACTTCTATTGCCCCTTTTTATTTTCCTCTTTGCCTTTGCCTTTTTTTTTTTTTTTTTTTTTTTTTTTTTTTTTTTTTACCCATTCCCTCATTTGGATAAAATGGAAAACACTCACGAACACATCTCGAGCATGTGAACCTTTTTCTACATTCACTTTTTCCACTTTTTTTAAAAGTTTACAACACGCACTTGTTTCGGCTTGGGAGCAGCTGTTCTTGCTTGGGCACAAGGTCAAGGGAAACACTCACCCCTACCTGCCCTTTGTAGTTGTGAATATTTACATGTTCATCTACACAAGCACATACCTATCCACACACTCTTATACTAGCGCACAGAGACATGTTTAACTTTCTCATCCCGATTACCCCCTTCACCACTTGAATCAAATCGACAATTTCAATAGACAAAATAGCCCTATCAAAATTCTTTTAATTTAATTTTATTTTTTCGTTCGATCAAAAAGGGCTTTTTTCACCACCTGCTTACTTCTTCCTTTTGTTACATTTCTCTATCTTCCTGCTTCTCCATTTGGTACATTTCTGTATCATGCTGCTTCTCCCTTTTTATTATCCCCGTTCCACCCCAGGTGTCACATGCCACTAATGACAGAAATAAAATTTGCATTTCCTGCGTGGGTGTTATTTGTACCATGAGCTCATTTGAAATGAAACCCTCCTCTCAAAGAAGGAAGAAATATTTATGGCACTCCATCACTTGGGGCGTGTAGATAGTCTAATAATTTGTGATTGATCCCTATCATTTGGATATCTTTTTAAATTCATCTTTTTATTTTAATTTTTATCACTCCGGGGGTATAGTGTTTTCATACAGGAGAACGATTATCCGTTGGTCTTCAGCTCGTCCCATTTGTTTGCACTGAGACAAGAGCTTCAATTTTTTCTCCCTACACCCACCACCACCACCCGAATTACATGTCTGATATCAGTTCTAGCTGAGTCCCAGGGTATTAGATTCCATTTTTTCTGAATTCTTGACAAGTTTAGGAATTGCAAATAGTGTAGGTGTATCTGGTTTTTTTTTTTTTTTTTTTTTTTTCCAACATTTTTTCTAGCTTTTTCTTCTTACCCCTTTAATAGCCTTTTTTTTTTTTTTTTTTGAGGTACCATAAGCTGCTGGATGAAAAATATAGATCGAACCGAGAATACACAACTGGAAAGACACGAATCACAAAAACAAGAGAAAAAAAAATCGGAGTAATGCTGTATACACAGATAGCTAACCTGTTTCAGTGGGTGTCTGTCAGAATAAGGGGAACGAGTAATGATAACAGAATCTATTTGATATCAAATTTTGATGTGAATAGGGAAGACCATGAATTTTATGTGAAGAAAGCACAAGAAAAACTAAAGGATGAAGATTTAAATATAGATATAATATATGGAAAAAAGCATAAAAATGAAATTAGAACTGCAAAGTATAAGTTGTATACCTTTCTTCCATTAATTGTCTTTTTTCAATTTTTGCGATTGGGAAATTTGTATTTTTTATCAATATCCATGTTGCAACTAATTCCAGAAATAACAGATTCGAAAGGAATGCCCACATATCTGATTCCACTCATTTTCATTGTTGTTGTGGCTATGATAAAAGAATTTTTTGAAGACTGGCAAAGACATAAATCAGATAATGAAGAAAATAGTAAAAAAACTATGGTGTTCCAAAATGGAATTCTAAAAGAAAAAAAATGGGCTGATGTGAAAGATGGAGATGTAGTTAAAATATTTTCTTATGAATATTTTCCTGCGGATTTAATAATTCTTAATTCTTCTAATAAAAAAGGTATTGTTAACATAGAAACCAAAAATGTTGACGGAGAATCCAATGTTAAGCAAAAATATTGCCTTCCACAAATTGTTAAATATTTCATAGATGATCAACACGCTGGCTATTGTAGAACTGAATTGATAAGTGAAAGTCCCAATGATAACATATTTGATTACAAAGGGAACATGCTCTTGCCCCCTCTGCAGTATAAAAATGATATGGGCCGAATCGTGCACTTTTATGATACACACCGTGAGGGTAAGCCCAAAAGGAGGAAGAGAAAAAAAAAGACCCCCAAAGGTGCAGAAGATGAGAGAAATGACAAAGATGAGAGAAGTGACAAAGATGAGAGAAGTGACAAAGATGAGAGAAGTGACAAAGATGAGAGAAGTGACAAAGATGAGGGAAGTAACAAAGATGAAAGAAATGACAAAGATGAGAGAAGTGACAAAGATGAGAGAAGTGACAAAGATGACGATGGCGGAGAGGACAACTTGAGCAGCTTCTCTAACAGCCCGAACCGAGATGGCCGACTTAGTAAAGATCAAGCGACATATGGGACACAGCTGAAAAGTAGAAGCAAATGCAAGAAGAGACACGAGCAGTTCTCTCAACACAGGGTCGTACAAGTGAACATAGACAATGTAGTACTGAGGGGAACATCCCTGGTAAACACAAAATGGATATACGGATTAGTAATAAACACAGGAAACAGAACAAAGTTGATGAAAAATGCATCCACAAAATCAAGACAAAAATGGTCAAGATTGGAATTTGTATATGGAAATCATGTAATAGTTCTAATAATGTGTCAAATTTTTATATCGTTCATCGTTGCTATAGCTGGTGTTCTATGGATGAGAAGAAAGGGATATAAATTATGGTATTTAAATTTAGGCCATCAACCTGATAGTGTCAAAACATTTTTTATTACTATAGGTTCTATGATTCTATTATTTGGATCATTTATACCTGTCGATTTGTTATTAATATGGGAAGTCGTAAGACTTTTACAAGGGTATTTAATCAATTGGGACAACGATATGTACAGTGTAAAAACAGGAAGACATGCTGTAAGTAAAGCTGGTCAACTGTTAGAAGAGATGGGAAATGTTACACATATTTATTCAGATAAAACTGGAACACTTACTCAAAATGTTATGCAACTTCAAAACATTGGATTGGGGAATAAAGGTATTTATGGATATTATGATTTTTGTAATATTATGGAAAATATGAAAAAACAAGGATTTGGTAGTCAAAATTTTTCTAATCCAATATCTGTAGAATGTTTACAAAGATCACAAAATTCTGAAAGTGAGGTCCAAGACATACATTCTATAAATGATGATGCTTACATCACTCATGATATTTGTGATGTACAGGAAGAAAATGGAAATGAACAAATCAAAGAAAAAAATGTACACAATAAGATTAACTCTAGCTTCAAAATGAACTTAGATAATGATAAATCGAGAATACCATATGAAATTCCTCGTCTCACATGCTCCAAAACGTCTGCCAATCCACATGCTCAGAAAAAAAATATTATGCATCGAAATAGTCTGAGTTCAAATCAGATGATTTCGAATATATACACAGAGGAAGACTTTAAAAGGGAAGAAAATGAATTCGTTTTCTTCAACCGAATTCTTTTTGTGAACAAGATATACAGTATCAGACATGACGTGGAGGATCAAGTGCATTTCCTCCTCCTCGTGCTCAGCCTCTGTCATAGTGCTATGATTCGTAATGTGGACATAGATGAGATGGACGACACTGCGCGGGGGGATGAGGCGATCTACAGGGCGAATATGGGGGGGTCCAACGGGGCGAATAAGGGGGGGTTCAACGGTGCAACTAACGGTGCAACTAACGGTGCAACTAACGGGGCAACTAACGGGGCAACTAACGGGGCAACAAACGGGGCAACTAACGGTGCAACTAACGGAGCGACCAACGGGGGTTATAACGGGGGTTATAACGGGGGTTATAACGGTGTGACGGATGGACCATATGATCTGGTCAAGGGTGCCGGATCAGGTGAAATAAACGAAGGCAATGTTGACAAGAAAAAGATATACGATCGAGAAACTCAGATGAACTACACTTATATCACTGAAACACAACCACAATATGATGCAAGTTCACCAGATGAACTAGCGTTAATCAGCACAGCGCTTTACCTTGGGTGTGAATTTGTAAGCAGACCCAATCTGACGACTATTGAAATTGAATTGACTTCAACATTTGCACAAAGATTTATATTAGGAGAAAAATCATTCAATGACTTTGTGCAAAAGAAAGCTTACTATGAAGAGAATTTCGATATGTACTTTTCAGAAAAAAACAAAAAAAAAAAAGACACAGAATTTGATGAGCAGATTACAAAAAGGAGCAGCAACAACCATGTTATTAACAATTTAAAAGAGGAATGTGCCAACTTTCATATGTCCATACCTATTAAAAACATTTTTACACCAAATAAAATGAACATACAGAAGGAAAAAAAACAAAACAAAAATGTTATAGTTCCATTATTATCATACGAAATTTTAGACGTCTTTGCATTTGATAATGTAAGAAAACGAATGTCATTAATTGTCAAAAATGAAAAAAAAGAAATCTATATGCTAGTTAAAGGAGCAGATACTAGTGTTTTAAAACTAGCATCAAACAACCAAGAACATACAGTAGATCACGTTGTATATCAACTCAACGCTTTTGCAACATCTGGATTGAGAACCTTAGTCTTGGGATATAAACACATGACAGAGGAAGAATTTATCGATATGTATCATAAGCATGTAGAAGCAAGAAATAAATCAGAATTGTATAGGGACGATGAAAAATATTTGCAACAATTTTATGATGAAGCTGAAAATAATCTCACAATTATTGGATGCACAGGAATTGATGACAAGCTGCAGGATGAAGTTCCACAGGTCATACAAGACCTCAGAGACGCAGGGATAACAATATGTGTATTAACTGGAGATAAGCTAGAAACAGCCATAAATATTGGTCATTCTATAAACATCTTGAATAAAGAAACGTACAATGCTGTTTTTACAGAAACGGACCCGACAGTGTTGTTGGAGCAAATAAATATCCATGAGAAAAATACCAACGCTGCAAATTTGTTGAATATAGACCATGGTACCAAATGGTGGAATAGTGTAAACTGGGAAAATTTAAATTTAGATTTAAGATCTGAAACAATTTTAAATTTTATGAAAACCAATTTTTACGGTTCTATGAAAAAGAGCATCATATCTTCTTCCAATGTGTACAATTTCAAAAGTGAAAATTCAATACCTGAACTAGCGAAACAGGAAAAAATATTTAATTCCTTTTTAGAATCTAGTGAATCATTCACCAATAATTGTAACGAATTAGACAAAGCAAAAATAAAGGAAAAATCACACTATTCGCAATTCTCTATAACAGTAACTGGAGCAGCATTGGATGAAATTATGAAAAATAAAATTCTCAAAATCAAATTTTACACGCTAGCTAGAAGTGCATCTACACTTATTGCATGTAGAGTAACCCCAAAGCAAAAGTCTCTTTTGGTTAAAGAATATTCTGCATTCAATCCACGGGGTACATCATTAGCTATAGGAGATGGGGCAAACGATGTTGGTATGATACTGACAGCCAATGTTGGTGTAGGAATAGCAGGCAAGGAAGGGCTACAAGCAGCTAGATCTTCAGATTTTACCATAAGCGAATTTAAATATTTAAAAAAATTATTATTTGTTCATGGAAGAGAATCATTAAGAAGAAACTCCTTCTTAGTCTATTTCTGCATTTTTAGAAATGTCAGCTTTTGCTTATGCTCTATGGTTTTGAATTTCTGGACAGGTTATAGTGCCATAGATGCATGGAACCCGTGGACGAAGCAAATTATCAACATAGCTTTCACATCATTACCTGTTATATTTTTCGTAGCGCTGGACAAACAATTACCACATCAGATTCTTTTAAAGAATCCGTTACTCTATGAAACATCACCATCTACATTATGGCCTCTATATTCAAATAAAAAAATAGAATTTTACACACAAAAAATAAAAAAATTATACAAGAATATTTTCAGCTGTTGTCTCATTCCATTTAAACTTATTCCTTTTTTTCAAAAATTAGCTAATAAAATGAAATCATGGATAGGAAAAAGATCAAAACCAGAAAAATATAGAGCTTATGGCACACATTATTTGTTCGTATATTTATTATTTGCCATTTGGCTAGCTACAGTAGAAACGGTCATTATATTACATTTTTCCACTGGACAGTCTCCCTCACTATTCCAAGACAATCACAATATAGATATCGATTTTAATACATTTTCACAAATACTTTATACGCATCATGTTATAGCAGTAAATGCAGTAATTGTATTGTTAACAAATACATGGTTCGTTATTTCACATATTGTCTTATGGATTGAAATTATTGCAACATTCTTTTTTTGGTTTATATTAAGTAATACCAAGTTTTTTTTAGATATCATAGGTGCTGATGAATTACATGGTACATTTGAAAAAGCTCATTCTTCAGGAAATTTTTATCTCTCCTTATTAGCCTCAGTATATATATCTCTACTACCTCTAATAGTTCTTATGACATATCAATTTATGAAAAAGCCAACTATGGAACAGATCGTTTTAGAACAACTTAAGTTGGGAAAATTTGAAGGGTTAAGGAAATATGAAATTAAGAAACTTGCGTACATTGACAGTAAAAATAGTTTTAATGCCTTTTCACACAAAGGATTTGCTTTTGCAGTAGAGGCAAAGGAGGCATTCTGGGGATTAGTACAAAAAGCTATTTATAAAATTAAAATTCCACTTGCAAAGGAGGAAATGACATCTCTAAAAATGAAGAAAAAGAATTAAATAACATACCTGTTTGTTTCTCTGCCATAAACTGCATTGTTCAAATCACGAATAATTAGATGAAGGAAATATAATGTATCATTTCTCCGCTCTGAGACAATTTTTCTTCATCCTTTGCAGGAGAGACATGGTGAGTGGCTTTTTTTTTTTTTTTTTCCTTCGAATAGTGTTGGTCATGTTGGCTGTGTTGGACGTAATGAGGAGCGTATGCATCCCCTTCAGATCATGTCTGGATTGTTTCGTTGGTTCGCATGCCACGCAACAGACAAATACGTGCAGTGCGTTTCCTCCTTTTTTCATATTGTTATATTATATATATATATTTTTACAACCTTGTCATTTCTTCACCAAGTTCACCACATTTTACCTTTTTTTTTTGTTTCTTAAATTGTTTTTCGGCACTGCACAGAATGCACCGATGCACCTGAGCCTACTCTTGCATGTGTTCCTTTTTGTTTCAATTTATTTTATTCCGCCCCCTGATGAAATTTTGTTGCTCCCTCGTAATCCCCGTTGCACCAGCTAATTTGTTATTTTACCCTACTCCTTTATTTTATTACTTCATTTCATTAATTCATTTCATTACTTTATTTCATTACTTTATTTCATTGCCTTATTTCATTACCTTATTTCATTACCTTATTTCATTAATTTATGTTTTATTGCCATATTTTTTTAATTTTTGAGAGACAGTAAAAAAAGAAACTGTTATAATATATGAAAAAGTGTACAGAAAAAAAGGACCAAACGTATGGTATATGTTACGCAAGAGGTGATAGAAATGAAAAAAAAAAAAAAAAACACATACACAAACGCACACATGTGTGTAGGTTCATATATGCACAGTTGTGGTGACACGTTCTATGCTGTGCCAAACATGAATCTTGGGTACATTGAAGCCAATTTTAAAAAGAAGGCTGGGAGCGGAAAGAAAGTAGATATACAAACGAGAACCCTCTATTTCCCTCATTCTGTTGCCTTTTGGAATTCCCATGGAGTGTTATCTAATGGGCATACTTGTCGAGCCTTAATCCACCTTGATATACAGTGCAAGTGAAAGGCATGATTACATACACCCCATGCAACTGTACAACTCTCTTTGTCAATTTTTTTTTCCTTATTATTACCATCATTTTCGTTTAACTTAGCTTGACATTCAATACATAAGTCCATTATATGATTTCTACAAATGGCACAATTATCTACATTGATGTCCCAAGACCATGCAGCTACTCCTGACCACTTATGGATTTTAAAAATTTTCTTGTCTTCGTTCTCTTCGTTATTAACCATGATGTTTTTTTTTTTTTTTTTTTTTCCTTGAGTAAAAGTTGATGCAGCTATAGTGAGGTGTCCGTTACACGATTTGGTTCAGAAAAAATGTGTACAAAGGTGGATGCATATGCATATGTATATAAGTTATATATAAATGTATCTATATATACATTCGTACATGTAGATATATTTATCCTATAAGAAAATTAAATGCTTATGAATTAAAAATCCTACTTAGGGAAAAAACACTTCTTTTGTATTTTTGAAAAACATCTTGCTGTGTAAATTCTCTTCCCCCGAGCTTGCTAACAAAATGGATATATATTATTTATAAAATAAAACATAATAATAGTGTTATTATGCATTGGCTTAATCCCGTACTTTATGTACCTATAAACTCAACCCTTAAATGTGGGCGGGAATGAGCAAAGAAAAAAATGACCCATATTTATAAAAAATTCTGTATTTTATATTTTTACTATGAAATGGACACATATTCCGCATACCAAGTTTAGCAACACAGTGATAAGAAAATAAAAAAAAAAAAAAAAGCACAATCATACTTTTCGGGATTATTTCTTTACATTTTCGTTATCTTCATTTTTTGTAAATGCTTCTAATTTTATTTATACTGTTTTTGTTTCCTACTCTTGTGTGCATTTTAAAAAAAAAAAAAAAAAAAAAAAAAAAAACAATTTAATTTTAATACAAAAAACAACCCTATTTGAATGAACTTATTTATATTCCAAAATGGAGTAGTAGCATTTATGTGACATTTATTTTTCTTCCCCATGATATAGAGAAAGAACACCTCGTATATAATCCTCACGCACTACTTAGGTTCATGTGTGTCAGTTTTATGTCGTTAAGAAATGAGAACGCGAGCACAACACTGCTGAAAAGTTATACGTATTTTAATTCCTCTTAAATGGTTACCAATTTAATCCCACTTTAATGGTGTACGAGGTTAGCTCCTTTTAAATGGTAGGCAAAGTCAGTTCTGCCGACATGTGTGAACTATTTTTTGTTAGGAGATTTTTAAATGGCCCATACGATATGTAAAAAAAAAAAAAAAGAAAAAAAAATAGCAACACACACATGCGAATATGTAGTTTTTGTGTAAACCGTAAACATTTTTACAATTTTTAAACATCACCTTTTCCTATTTGGTAAAAAAGAAAAGTTGCACAATTTTTTAATATTCAAAAAAATAATGATCTGCTCACGCAAAAAAGCAAAAAAAAAAAAAAAAAAAAAAAATTAACAATGTGACAAAGCAAGGTAAAGCAAAACAAAACAAAACAAAGTGATAAGATATGAATCCCTAACGATGCTTGCAGCACAAGCAAATCAAGGGTACAGATTTCATGGATTACATAAGAAATAATATGCAACTCAATGGTTATGTAAAACCCTCAAAAAGAATAGCAAAAGCTCATGTTCTGTAAGTTAATGTCTATTTCTCCCCCTTACTTTGAAAAAAATACCCGTATATTCTGCTTCTACGTCAACTTAATCGACATACAAGAATTCCACTTCTATGTGCAAAAAAATAGAATAACAGATTGGAATAGAAGTCGGAGAATGAAAGAACAGGTTTTCCTTTTTTTTAACTCTTTTTTGCCATGTCTTAACGTAGTGGTAGAATAAGGGCATATCACATTTCTACCTCAGCAGCTATGGATATGTGGTCACTTGGGTGTATTGGAGATAATACACCATTATATTTATGGAAAATTTCCTTTTCAATACCTTTTAATATTCTTTTGACCTTAAGGCTAGGAGATAAAAATATATAATCCAAAACATCAATAAAATTATTGTTCCAATTGGTGTATGAAATATCTCCCTTTTTGTATGCTGAATATAAAGGCATGAAAATTTTCCTGTTTAAATAGGGACCACTAATTTGTTCAGAATTATTGGATTTTTTTTTTAAGTCAAATAGTGTTGGATATTTATTCAAGTCATCAAATTCTTTTTTAAACAATTTGGCGTTTATCCATATATCCGAATTTGAGGTAATATCCTTTCCTTCAAAGAAAGAAAAAACTTCGGACTCAAAATTTGTATTGAAATCTCCATTCAGCACAACATAAACGGGTTTACTATATTTTTGTTCATATGTTTTTTTTAATGTTTCCAAAATGTGTAATAATGTATAGGATTGCATTGCTCTAATATGGCTAGCTAAACTGTGAAAATAAAAATGTGTATTGGCAATAAGGAATATCTTTGCGGACTTAATATGTGTGTAAATACCAATTTGAAAAATTGTTTTAATTTCTCTGATAATTTCCTCAAGATCCTCTGACAAGTTGATAAATGTGTCATAGACCTCTTTCAATTCTGAATTTTTTATTACTTGATTAAATTCATAATTTTTATACTCAATTAAGGTGAATTTTTTTTTATTAACAAATAAGGAACAACCATCATTTCCGTAGTTATTTTTTGGCTTGTATGAGGTATAAAAATTCTCATGCAGGTAAACAGAAAATAAATTTGAGTGTAGATGTTCACTAACTTCTTGCAGACTTATAATGTCATAATGATGACTGATATCATCTATTAGTAAATGGGATCTATAGTTCGTTTTTAGATAACATGGGTCTACATTTTTGAACATGTATTCAAGTGCATACTTCGTGTTGGTGTATATTGGAGCAAGAATGTTGTAAGTCAAAATGCGTATCAAGTTATCGCTTCTATCGTCGTTTATATTTATTGTTTGGATAAAATCAGCATATCTATTTTCTTTCCTTTTTAGTTCTTCCTCAAATTCATTTCGCAACACTTCAATTTCATTCGTTACATAAAAAAAGAAAGGGTTTTTTTTATTATATATAACAAGTTGAATATTTTTGTTTACATCTTCCTTGCTTGGCTTATAAAACAAATCACATGATATTATCACTTTGTTGTTATTCGAACGTACCCAATAATATGCATACTCATTAATGTCTGCCAACGGTACATTCACAGGTATGATTGGATGGCCATTATATACATCCATGGATACATAAATTTGTTTAAGGTCATATAATCCTTTGAATATATCTATTTTGTGTTCATTTATAAGAACATAACTTAATTTATTAACTATATGCACCAAAGTCGCATTTTCATCCACTACATTGTTTTCACTATCAAAAAATTGTATACAGATTCTTGAACTTTCATCATTTTGTTGTGTAGAAAAATCAGTCGCACAAGGTTCAGTGTTCCTATTCCTGCTCTTTTTTAGCTCTTTTTTCTTTTTTTGTTCTGACTTTTTTATATTTAAAATTAATCTATTCATTAATGATTTTAACAGTTCATCTTTTTTTCTTAATAATTTGAATTCCTTAAAATGGAAATATAATTCTATGTTAAATTCGTCATTTTCAGTTTTATTTATTTTAAGGTAGTTGCAATTTTTTCTTATATCTTCAAGTTGTTCAATCGTGAAATATTTGCTACACCACATTACATGTTCATTACTCTTACTACAAGATTGGCTGTGATTATTGTATGAATCCACTGTATGTATATTAGTACCATTATCTCTGCGTATAAAATTCCCCCCATCATGGTTCTTTTTAATATCACTTTTATTGTCATCATCCATTCTTCCCCAATGGTTTTCATTACATTTCTTTCTTATTATCAAATCACTTTCGGTATATTCAAATGTGTCTTGCTCAATTGAGTAGCTATCTTTATATATGTTCTTTTCTTTCATATGAATTGAGTTGTCTGCAGTTTTATTTTCATTAGTCCAAATGTTCGATTTCAACTGAATTGTTTCTTCCTTTTCTTTGCTTTCATTTTTTCCTGAACGTGTGCAGTTAAACGTCGAAAGGGTACTTTCTCCTGTGTCACTCATTTTGAGCATAAGAAAATGTTTTCTGTTTTTCAGAGGATAATCAAGAGGGGTCCTTATTTTGCTTTTCCAATTCTGTGTCAGTGACGAGGTCCTGTGCCGAAAGTTGCCACTGCTGCTATTGCTAATGCCGATAATGCCAAAGCTAAAGTGACTCCCCAATTGCCTCAAATAAGACTTTGTCAATACTTTTCTCGGATCATCAAAATGAACACTTCCGTATCTGTTCTCTCCGACGTGGAGAAAAAGCAACCTTGGTTTGTTCGGAATGCTATGGAAATGTTTTGTCAGCAAAAATAGGATTTTTTTTTTTCTTCCACATGAAATGTCTCCTTTTGTGGGATAGCAGTTTTTCTCCTTTTGTTGTACTTTTGTTAGCCTTGCATTTGAAACATATTTTATGCTTGTTTTACTGCAAGATAAACAAAGCATGCTTTTTATTCTTGGGAATAATAAAACTATGATTACTGCTGCCAGGTATATAAAGAAATATATCCTTGTCATCTATAAAGTTTTATTCAAACTTTTGCATTTGCATTGGCATTTTTGTTTTCATTTGTGTGTTTTTTTTTTTTTATTTTCATTTTCATTGTTTTCTCTTCAAAAATTTTCCTTTTCCTTTTCAATGTTGCGGATGTATGCTGCATTGCGTTAGTGTAGAAAAATAAGATGTATATCTATTTCTTCATTTGGGTCAAAATTTTGAAAAAATGACACTTTGCCATTTTCATTAATATGAGTAATGAAAAGGGGTGTACAAGAGGATAAGGCGAGGTTTCAATATTTTATTCTTCCCCATTACATTTATTAAAATAATATATACACAAAATTACCCAACTTTTTTCCTATGCAGATCCTGTAGGAAGTTTTATACTGATTTAACCTCGATAGGAATTTCCCCAGCGTGTTATTTTTCCGCTGAAAATTATTAACATGACAAAAGTGTTAGCTTAAAAAAAAAAAAAAAAAAAAAAAAAAAATATGACCATTCAGGTTATTTTTTTTTCGAAATAACCATTTTAAGAAAAAATGTGAAGAAAATTGAGGTAATAAAATTGATGAATAGAAGACGAAATATAAACAAAAAATATCATAAAATAAGAAAGAGGAAAAAAAACCCACAAGTTGTCAAAGAGGTAAAGAGGTGAAGGAAAAATATACATACGTACGTACATGCATACAATAGTAAAGGAATAAGCTAGAAACACTTTTCAAAAGGTGAAAAAACAAAAAAAATTAGGGAACATATTCGATAAACAAACTCTAGGAAGCAGCCCCCCAATAATCTTTTGGCATCTAATAAAAATTGAGCATAATAAGGAGGAACAATTTTTTGAAAGCTCAATTTTCATTCCTGTTAAAAGGCTTTTTTACTATGTTATATATAACACGAAACTAGGGGGAGAACACTTTGTAAGGAAAAAAAATATAATAAAAAAATATTTAAAAACAAAAACGATTACATGCGTAGACAGCTTATCAGTGAAGGAATATTCTGCTTTAACAAATGACATGGAAAAATACGTATCACAATTGACAAATATTCTTCACAACTTGACGATGACTCACAAGGAATAACTTCTACCAACTCTTTAGTGTGTCACCCCCACCCCCCACCCCTTAAACAGCATGTCCACATTCGCGAGAAGAAGGATAATTCAGGATTTAAATAAAATCAATAAGGAGCAGAACAAAAGTTTTGAAGCAGCTCCATTTTCAGATAATATAATGTGTTGTCACGCAATTATCAGAGGACCAGAAGATACCATATGGGAATGTGGAATTTTTCATTTAATTATTAGTTTTTCCGAAGAATATCCCGTAAGCCCTCCTAAAGTAAAATTTTTGTCAAAAATATTTCATCCTAATATATACACCGATGGGAATATTTGTTTAGATATATTACAAAACCAATGGAGTCCAATTTATGATATAACTTCCCTCTTAACATCTATTCAGTCCTTGCTGAATGATCCAAATACTTCATCCCCTGCAAATCCTGAGGCAGCAAGGATATTCATTAACAACAGGAACTTATACAATAAGAGAGTTTTGGTAAGACACATCGGACCAGTGTTAGGATGTATATGTGTGAGGGAAATATATATAGACATATGCCTATTAAGGGTGGTGTACTTTTATGCAACACTTTTTTCTTTTTTTTTTTTTTTCGTATCACTTAAAATACTACTACATGATGTGGGATACATTTATTTTATTTTATTTTTTTTTTTTTCGCAAGATGTGCGTCGAGGATAGCTGGGAAATACCAAAATTTAACATGAACAGTTTTAATTAAGAAAGAAGAGAAAATAGTCATATTTGTCGCAGAGGATATGTATTTATATAAAAATGAGAAGGACACTCTTCGATTATATTACCGCTCGAAAGTCCTAATGAAGAATGAATAAGTAAAGAAAAAAAAAAAAAAAATACCTGACCACGACAAGTATCTTGCAAAAGGAAGTATCACTTTGCTTTATAAAATTTAAAATGAAGAGAATATATTTTTCCTCAACTTTTCCACTCGCATTAAACTATAAAGCATATAGTTTTCGTGGAAACAGTGCAGATCGCATTACTTAATCTATAATGTGTAACCCCCAATGGGTATTTTCATTTACCTTTTGAATTAATACTTTTATGAAGACTAAGATTAAATTCCGATTTGTGTTACACTAAGTTTGGTTAATATGAAGAATAAGATAGAACAAAAAAATCTGTTAAAAAAAATGTGCACAAATTTTTTTTTTTTTTTTTTTGGAGTTACCCCAAAAATGGAAAATAAGACACGAATTTTAGCAATTTGATATTTTTTAATGCAAACAAAAAATTTGAAGAAAAAAAGGGGAAGAGGTTGAAAGGGTAGAGGATATATATTTGTATATGTGTAACAATGTCGAAGAAACAAAAAAATATATTTTTACATGCTTATAGACGCCTGAACATGCCACACAAATATTTTTTTACTTATGAATGTGTAACGTGCAAAGAAGTTAGGACAAAAATAAGGGAAAAAAAAACACAGTATGGTAAGTATAAAAGGGACAAGGTGAGTATTAGTATTCTTTAAAAATAAATAGAAAGTGAAAGATAAGAACAAAGTTGGAAAAGCACAACTAAAATATATATATATATATAGTGTACACACTAGTGGATCTACGAATGCAGGGGCGCGGGAAATGCCATGCATGGGACTGTGACATACACAGGTACAATGAAAAAAGGACATATGCAAAAAAGAATATATGAAAAATAGGAAAGGCACAAAATGAGATAGGAACAAAATAGGATAGGCACAAAATAGGTTAGGCACAAAATAGGTTAGGCACAAAATAGGATTCTAAATAAAGTGCTAAACGCGAAAAATTACAAACCAGCATCTCCATTTTTTCCCGTTTCATTGGCACACCACTACTTTATGCACATTTTGCGTATTTTCAGAAAGTGATAATTGTTCCTTCTTAGTAAACTCCTAATGAGAAGTTTTGCAAGTACAGCAATAAGCAAAGATGTTAAAAAAAAAAAAAAAAAAAAAAAAGCATACTCATGTATAGTACATACATATGTCCATATTATGTACACGTCAAAATTGTGAAAAAAAAAATAAAGAAAAAGAGGCAAAGAAAAGGGTAAAAGAAATAGTATGATGGAAAAATCCTTGTCTAGAATAAAGTCCTTGGATTTATCACATAGAGTGCGTTGAAGTATGCGAAAAAAAAAAAAAAAAAAAAAAAAATCAGAAGAAAAAATTTACAAAAAAAAATGTTTAATATTAGCAAATTTGACGAATGTTTCCAGTTTTTAACAAAATTGAAGAATACTTCCAATTTGTGGCACATTTGATGAATCTTTCCAAATTTTTAACCAATTTGATAAACAGTACAAATTTTAACTAATTCACGTAATTTCTTTTTTTCGTTTTTTTCGTATATTTTAAAATATGACACATAAGTGTTTTTCGTATGCGCACTTGTTTAAAAAATAATTTCCTACTCAAACGTCCCTGACACTTTACGGGAATTCTTCATTCACATAGGAGTCCATAAGACTTATTTACTTTGGTATATTTCGATCGTGACGTTAACATATTCGCCAGCTGCTGCAGCGTCATATGAACTTATTTTCCACATACCCCCAACCGTATGTATGTATAAGTGTATATGTGTATGTATATATGCATGTATATACATATGTTCATGTACACACGCCTTTGTATGGATGATCCGCATGGGCTGAGGGAGAGAGGAGTGTTAAGAATGGGAAAGTAGACCTTTTCCCGTCACATGTTTAAACAGTATTTTACGAAGGAAATTCTATGAAACGCATGCAGATACACATAGGCCTACACAGGTATTCATGTGTGTATGCACCTACATGCAACCGCACAGTTGGTCTTTATTGTTTTTTTATTTTCACATTTTATTATATTATTATGTTATTATTTTGTTATTTGTATATCTGCATATTTGCATATTTGCATATTTGCATATTTTCAGATTTTTACATTTTCAAATTTTCATATTTTCATATTTTCATATTTTCATATTTTCACATTTTCATATTTTCATATTTTTCTCTTTTAATCACGAAAGTGTGCAAATATGCCCCAATTATTTCACAAAAAAGGTAGAACATCTTTCACCACTTCTAACTTTGCGTAAATGGTTGTCTGCTCATATTCGTCTGTGTAAAAATAATTATTAATTCGCCGAATGGTTATTAACAAACGTCCATTGCAGTAGCACATTACTGTTACTCAACTTAAAGAAACCAAGGAAATTTTTATATCACGCAAGAGACTCAACCTTGGTGTTAAAAAATTCTCGTGCTTTTATTCAGTATGCCTTTTTCGCTATCTGCCACTGCATATGCCTGGCTTTGTCAAGGCATGGACTAAGGCGGAGATCAGTACCAAAGGACTTTTTTTTTTTTTCTTTTCTCTTCATCTCACACGCTTATCATCATCCACATCCCTCATTTTTCAGCTCTCATTTCTGACTTCTCCCATCCCACTGATCATTCCCTTTCCTCTTTTTAGGTAGAATACATCCACCACTGCGACCACACACATGTGTGCATATTTACTAGTTAAAAGAAGCAAATAAAAAAAAAAAAAAAAAAAAAAAAAAAAAAAAACTATTATCACACGTGTGTATGTGAATGGGAAAAATAAAATGAGCGAGAGATTCTCCAATGTAACTAAGTGGAATAATGACGAAGAGAATAACAAAAGCTTAAAAGAAATTTATGTAAATTACAAAAAGTTATTAACCCTTAATTCAAATAGTACGAATGCAGAGTGTGTCACAAACTCGGCCAATGCTGTGGACGGAGCTAGCTTTTTTGTGTGTGCACCTGACCATGTTAATACAGATAACGGTGCAAACTTTGTCAGTACGAACATTACTAGAGGGAATACAATATTTTTTGAAGCACAAAGCGAAGTAGATGAAAAGGAAATAAGCAATTATGCCGCCTTGATACACAACGATGAGAAGGATGAACAAAATTTAAAAAAAAAAAAAAAAAAAGTCAAGGATGAAAAACGTTCAGAAAATGAGAATACCGAAATACACATTTCGACTCATATTTTCCCTGTGACAAAAAATGATGCTATTCAAAATAGAAAAATAAATATATTAACAATATCTCCCGAAGTTAGTGATGCAAAAAAGAGTTGCAAATTCCCTCAAGGGAATAATTTTCATTTGAAAAAATCCCTCAACGATGAATTCGTGTCAACTCATAACAAGAAATTAATTTTAAAAGATAGTGACAATTTCATCAATCTCCCACGTGTTGGTGGCTTTAGCAAGGTTAGTGCACATAGAAACATAATCCAACCTGGTGATGCTATCAACAACAAGCAGAAGCAAGAAGAAAAGAATCATGTCCCGACCACGCGAAGTGTAGAGGAAAAGGGGAAAATCAACAAAACATATAACAAAAATAACACTCATACAAACAGTATAATCAATTATAATGACCGTACTTTGAAAATATTTTGTAATTTAAGAGAAGACAGTACAAAGAGTAGTAACCACGAAAGTGGAAGTCGAGGACGAAATCGATTCCAAATTGGTGCTGGAATTTTTCAAACAGGTGGAAGTAATTGTAAACCAGTTACAGCCATCCCAAATGAAAAGAAGAGGGAATTAAAGAGAAAAAACAATTTCATTTCAGCTAGTACAATCGCTCAAAATGGTACAAGCAATAAGCCGTGCATAGCAAAGCGAGAAATTAAAACAAAAAACGTGAACATGAGAAAGAAAAACGAGAGCAGAAGCGAGAACAAAGTCGAACACAAAAGGAGGTTATCATTAAGGAAGGTCCAAAATAGTAAAAACACCATGGACAACGTTAATGAGTATCCAATAACGTCTAAAAACATTTATGACAGCATATACATTCCTCAAATCAATATAAGAAATATAATAAATTCGGATCTTACATGTAACTCAGCAGCAGAAGCTGCATACGCGTATAGTAACAACGTCACAACACTTGGTTGTGACGAGAATGGCAATAACGGTGCAGGTAATGCATTAAAACGGTCTGACAGTTCTAACCTAATAAACACACTTAACGCTTATTCTAACGTAAAAGTTGCAGTGCGAATAAAACCAATTTCAGAATCGGAGGAAAATATCGTTTCTATATTTAATAAAAACTATGTTCTTATCGAAAAAGAGAATCAAAAAGAATGCTATTTATTATCACAAAAAAAAAAACAAGCAACATACGTTTTTGACGTTGTTTTTGATGTTAATGCAACGCAGGAAGAAGTATTTTTACATACAGCTAAGCCACTAATTCCACATGTTTTTAAAGGAATTAACTGCACAGTTTTTGCATATGGTGCAACGGGTTCTGGAAAGACTTACACAATGTTAGATGATAAGAATCACAATGGAATTGTCCAGCTATCCTTACTGCAACTATTCACAATAATAAAACAGAAGAAATATCAAAATGTGAAAATCATTATGAGTTTTCTAGAAGTGTATAACGAAACGATTAGAGATTTATTAGGGAAGGAAAAAAACAAACCATTGGAAGTACAAGAAGATATTGCAGAAGTAAGAGTAAGTAATTTATGCGAGGTGCAAGTTGAAACGTATGAACAAGCTATGATGTTAATAAATGAAGGAGTAAAAAATAGAAAAATGTCACCTACGAGGGAAAATAAAGTATCTAGTAGATCCCATGCAATACTACAAATTTATGTACATAATGAAATATTAGATAATAATATGAACACAACAAATTACAAAGCTAAATTATGCTTCGTCGATTTAGCGGGTTCAGAAAGAGCTAGTGCTACATCTAACAAAGGAGAAAGATTTAAGGAAGGTTCCTATATTAATCAGTCCCTACTAGCATTAGCTAATTGTATTAACTCATTAGCATCTAATAAAAATATACCCAAAGTTAGAGTCAAGTATAGAGATAGCAAATTAACACATCTACTGAAAAATTCTTTAGAAGGAAATTGCCTAGTTGTCATGATTGCAAATATTAATCCATCGAGAAAATCTTTTCAAGAATCAAACAATACACTAAAATATGCCTTTCGTGCAAGGAATATTAAATTATGCGCAACTGTTCAGACAAATGATAATAAAGAAAGTGACTTTGAAAAAATTTTAAAAAGAAATGATATTTTGCAAAAAGAATATGATACATTGTTAGAAAAATATAACAAATTCAAGGAATTTTTCTACAATTTAAAAGTACTTTTCCATTTGTACAAAAATGTACACTCTTGCTACCAACGAAAAGATAGTACATCTGGAAAAATGTCTATCCTAGAATTAAAACAAAATATTTCCATATATGAACAATTGATTAAAATCAAATCAGAGGAGGCAAAGAAAAAAATTAATTCTCTCAACCAGAATGAACAACAAGATGAAATGTTTCAACTAAACATTTTTGATTCTGTTGTAGATAAAGATTTAGACTATTTCATTCACACAAATTTTGATATTCTAAATGGTAAAGATCGAAACAAACAGGTTCTTCTCGATAATATATCGTCAGACATAAATTTTATGAAAACTGATTATAACAAAGTGTGCAAAAAGGGTGTGGAAATTTTTTCACACAATGAAGGAGAAGTGGAAGAAGCTGAAGAAGTGGAAGAAACTGAAGAAGTGGAAGAAACTGAAGAAGTGGAAAAAGCTGAAGAAGTGGAAAAAGCTGAAGAAGTGGAAGAGGCTGCAGGAGTGGAAGGAGAAAACAACATATCACATGAGGAGAATCCGTTGAACCAAAGGGGAATAATAGCTAATAACGAATTTACTACTTCAAAAAATAGACACAGGAAACCATCTAATGGTCTTATTACAGACCCTGTTCTACCAGTGAACCGTCCAGACATTTATCATATAAGTGCACCCACAGGAAATGCATCAGCTGATGGAAGAATAACTATCACCATGGATAGTACGGCACGGAACGTAAAACGGTGTGAGAAAAAAAGTTTATTTCAAACGGATAGCTGTACTAAGAATACAAAGGAGGATGAAAAAAAGAAATGTGGAGATATAATGAACAAGAATATTTCTAATGGGATCAGAAATATGAACATTACAAATGTGGAAAAGACGACAAGTGGTGTGAATATTTTTAGTCATGCCCATAAGACACATCAAGGGAAAAAAGAACAATTACAAACATTCCACAATAATCTGACAGATATGCAAAATAGTATATTAATGAATACTATAAACAAACAAATGGGAAATTCTTCTCATGGATCTATAATAAAAAAAAAAAATGTAACAGAATTTTTGATGCAAGGTAGTACAAAAGAAAACACGGAGCATTATCTTAGCTTAAGTAACCATAAAAATAAAAATACCATAATCTCCGAATTTAAAAATCATGACCTGTTTAATTACAATAAAATTTTAAATAATGAAAATATAAACAGCTATAACGATGGGATACACAAAGACACAAGCAACATCTTCAAAGATAGTAAAAATCTTTTCGATAATTCAGATATGCTCAAAAATTGTACAGAAAATTTTTATGATTCCAATGGAGACAAAGATGTAAATTTGACAACCTTTGGAAAACCTATGGAAATAAATCGAACAAACGATGGTATTAGTTTTCTTAAAAAAAAATCAGATTCACAGATTAACACTCTTAATAATAATATCGAGCTTAAGGGGAATAAGAGGAAAATAGCTCTTCTTGAGGAAAACCTAAAACATGAACATTACGATGAGAATTCTACATCTGTGCAGAAAAAAAAGTTAAAAATAAGAGGAAAGTGATATAACTCACCACTTTGTACTTTCAAACCTTGTGCATCATATGTAGCTACTTTGTGAACAAAATTACATCCAGCTCAGACACAAATTTCGTTCAAATCTGCCAAACAGGGCAATTTACACAACAAATGTTAGAAGTTTTTTTTTTTTTTTTTTTTTTTTTACACACAATACCAAAAGTAGTGCCCAAGTATGAACTCATTTCTCTACCTAATAGCACATAATGAGGATGATAAAGTCAGATGATCAGATAGTATGAAGCATAAAATGGTTCATTAGCAAATCAATAATCCGATTGTTACTTAGTAGTACTGTTTGTAGACCCGAATTTTGCCGTGTCAACATGTGTGAAACACATTTTTCCATCGATGAGGCCCCTGTTCAAAAGAGAGAGAGAGAGAGAAAAAAAAAAAAAAAAAAAGTGCACCTATAATAGTATGGTACAGCACGGTATATGTGTGTTTTCCTGTGTGGAAAATGTGCTGATTGGTGAAAACTTTGCACATAGATATGGTTAACCGTTTAGCCATCGTCAGAATGGAAAAGGACTCTTGTATTACTCCCCACAGTGCTTTTTTCGTGCAATATGCTTCTATTAATTAAAGGGAAATTCCGCTTTTGCATTTTTTTTTTTTTTTACAGCATCATCAAGGTTGCCATTACCACGATCTTCACCGCTACCACTACTATCACTTATTACTATTTTAATTTTTTAATTTTTTTAATTCGTAATTTTTTTAATTTTTTATTTTTTCACCCTTTTTACACACAAAGCTGGAGGAGACAGTGGGAGTAGGAACGAGAGAGACGTGCTTAGCTTCATTCCATTGTTTGTATTTTTGAATAAGTTTGTGCTTATGTGTGTGTGTAATAGAATCCACGAATTTGTACCCAACCGAAGTTTTGCAACATTTTTGTGTTCATGTGCTACACACTTATATATATATATATATATATATATATATATATAATAACACATGTTTCCATAATGGCACTTCAAATCTGCAGTTACATGCGATATCAGCTTCAGCCACACAATATGCACATACATATATACATATATAATATATATGTATCCACGTTTTTGTTTTTTTTTTTTTTTTTTTTTTTATGTACATTTATAAAAGCTAACATTACGTTAACCCCATAACTCTATTTCTTATTTTTAAGTTAACCCCAAAAAATAATAAGTTTTTTTTTTTTTTTTTTTTCGGAGATTCAAAAAAAAATATATTTATTTTATGAAAGAGCAATGAAGCAATGCTCCATGCTGTTCTACAAACTTCAGGTTTATGCATATTGTATGTATTTTATATTTTTTCGTCATTTGTGCTAAGAAATAAAAAAAAAAAAAAAAAAAATGAGGAATATAGTATTTTGAGAAATGCTTCTTCTATTTTTTCTCCTTTTCTTTTACAAATTTTTTTTTTTTTTTTTTTTTGATTTTGTTACTGCTTCGAAGGAATAATATGTATACTTAGAGAAATATTTTTGAAATAAGGTATGACAAAATTGTATGTCCTCATGTTCATATTTTAATGGAACCTATTGTATCGTCTTGAGTGAGGGTTAACATAAATTTTTTTTTTAACTCAAAAAAAAAAAGAATGGTGAAAAATAATTTTAAAGCACTTAATCTGTAGGTTCTTTTTTTTTTTTTTTTTTTTTCTTAATCGTAAGGTAGAACAAAGAAAAAAAAGAAATCTAATGTAATTACAACCTATTTTATTGGATTATAATTACCGCGCCTGAAAAAAAAAAAAAAAAATAAATAAAATAATGAACCACTTGTAAATGATTGCAAATATATATGTTCATCTATGATGGAATGCCATTAGACATATGACTACAAATTAGCTTATGCCATATTGGATAACAGACCGTATGTAAACTATATGTTAGCCAATAGACTGGGGCTATATTTTTTCAGTAACAAAGGGGAAATCCAAGCAGTGAGTTCAGATGATTAAGGAACGAAAATAACCAACAGAAACTAACGACAAAGCGAGACAAGCGAAGAGACAAAAACACAGGCATGTATTACAAATGGGCATATACGACAAGATAAGGAACATTGAAAACCTGAACGAAGCGGAACTGAAGAACATTGGAAATTCGGATGCTTCGTGGCATGATCAGTATAAGGAATCCAGTTATATTTACATTGGTATATAACCCCAATTGCAAGTGGACTTGCGAGTGCCATCTCATGTTACTGAACACGGATTAACACGTAGAAGAGTGTTTAGGAACATCATTTTAATCATGTACACACATACACATTACGTCCTATTGCTTGTTCTTGTCCAAATCGCAGGTAACCTAGATAAAAGACTAACTGAAGGTGACATCGTTATTGTTTTTTCACAATTTGGTGAACCGATAGACGTTAATCTAGTGCACGATAAGGAGACAGGTAATTCAACATAACTCAGAAAGTGACAACGATGAAAAATATATATATATATATATATATTTTTATATAATGTGTAACTGTATTATCTCACATCATGCAGTAGTTAGGACTGATGCACCAAAACATGTATAATTCATGAAAACATTTTATCTTCTCGCATGATCCTGCGTAGACTGGTCTAAATATGATCCCTCTTATGCATGCTCGTCTTTTTTAAAATCCTCCATGATTAAGATATGTATGGTTCACTTTAACTCTCCCTATCCCTTTTCTACTCATATTGATTATTGAAACATTTTGGATAATTCTTGCTTTTTCCCCTGAACCCTCCACCCATTAGGAAAGTCAAAGGGATACTGCTTCTTATCCTATGAGGACCAGAGAAGCACAGTCTTGGCCGTTGATAACTTCAACGGTTACAAACTTTTAGACAAGCCATTAGTCGTTGATCATATACTAAATTATAGGATTCCCCAGAAATATGCTAATGCAGATGTAATTTTTTGCGTTGTTTCGCCTTGGCTTGCATATACTATATTATATTATTTTTATTTTATTTTTTTTTTATTTTTTTTGCCGTTCACGCGTGTTCCTTTTACACCATGAATACGTATATATATATGGAAGCATACTTAATGATGTATTTTTCCACTGTATTGGTGAACCGTTGCACTTTCGCACTCCGTCCATCTTTCTGTATGTTTACATATGTACCTTCCTTCTGTATGTCTATTGAACTGCCCCTCCTTCTGTACATCTTTTTTTTTTTTTTTTTACAAACTTACACCATGCAGAAGGAAAATGAATACAAACCAAGCGGCGCGGAGGGCCAAGGAATAGGTGTATACAACGTCATTGAAAGTGAAATAAACTTGACGAAAGCTTTTGAAAAAATAAAGAATAAGTATAATGAAGAGAAAAAAAAGGAATTGCTTGATGAAGATGAATTATGGGCTCAGAACTTTGAAAAATCGTTAAAGAAAAAATCAAATGATCATCGAAAGGAAAGAGAAGATCGTATTTCAATTTCTTTTCCTGTGGTTGAAGATAGAAAACATGGATGTTCAGGAGAGAACTACAGGTTACAAAAAAAACACAAATATGTAGATAAAGAAAAATATGATAATGTGTCCCATGCGCGTGTGAAGCATTTGTCTCATCACACCAAAGGGGAAGACATTCGCAAAAATAAAAAACGCATAAATTATAGTGACAGCCAGGAGAGTGGCTCCAGTAGAGGTTATAACAAACGGGGCCATAGTGCATATAAGAGAGAGAGGAAAAATCGACGATGAAAATAGTAATACGAATATTTCTCTCGTTTTTGTTGCGTGTAAAATGAATTTATCCGTTCGCGACCCATTTTTTCTGCACCTTTTTTCTGCACCCATTCGAGGGGAAAGGCAAACGGGGAAAGAAAGTATAGACATCGATCAGATATGGAATTAATAAAAATTCTTAAAAAAGAGGAATTATAAAAATGTTACTTTATTGTTAAAGTGTGATCCAAATAAGTGTTCTCACACAATAGAGGCATAGTGCTCTCGATGCAAGCATTTAGAACTCAAAATATTAATCCCACTGCATACCCTCCCTGAATGAATATTTTATTTAACGTGAATCAGAAATGTTTACATACATTTGTATGCACCATGTGAATATGCATAGGGATAAGAGCGCATAATTTTGTAACTTCCGTATATATGCGTTCATTCACCTCATGTGGGTGCTTTAAATGTGTGTACACATATGTATGTATATGTATATATATATATATATATATATACATAAATTTATATGTGCATTCATCTTATTTTTTAAATACCTGATCTTCGTTTTCATACATTTGTTACACCTTTTTTGTGCAATTTTTACTTTATTATTATTTTTTTTATGTACAGAGATATACCTCATAAACCTTGACTTTTTTAGGGATCAGATTGATTATCCCCACCCCCCTTTCAAATCTTAGCCATTATACATTTTTTAACAAATTTGAATTAAAAAAAAAAAAAAAAAAAAAGTTTCAAATTGAGAGATAAAAGAAAAAAAAAAAATGTCCTGTTTTAGCTAAATTGTAGACTTGAAAAAATCGATGATCGAATGAGAGTGCATAAAGATGGAAAAGCAATGCTAGCGATTTAATTGTTTGCTTAAGTAGGAATATGTGTATTCACATTTATCCATATGTTCATGTGAGAAGAAATGCATTTATGTGTTTATGCGCATCATTGAGTGAATACTTGTTAAATGTACTTTGTAACAAAAAAAAAATAAAACAAAATTAAAGCAAAATAAATGAAATAAAATTAAAATGAAATAAAAATGAAATAAAAATGAAATAAAAATGAAATAAAAAAACCATCTGAGTGTTGCCCTATTGAGATAAATCTCCCCCCCTTTTCTCATTGCAAAACATTTAAGAAAAACAATTTTTATGAAGATATATTTTTGTTCTCTCATATTTTTACATTCATACGGGGAATGTTTTCATTTTCGTTCACAATTTTAGCCCTAATTCATAGAAGTAGAGGTGCTACGAATATTCATCATTTTTCGTGGTAAATTTTACACAAACTCTGCTGGATTTCACAAATAAAATAAATATAAAAAAACAAAATGGCAAATACATATGATGAATTGTATGTACCTCTCAGCTATTACCTTCTACATAATGAAGGGGGTCAAGAAGGAGTAGTGGGAAATGATCAACCAGCGAAAAAAGGGACTAAGAAACAGGTTATTAACAAGTAAGGTGAAGAAAATAATCACAAACTGAGAACAGATAGGAGAAAAAAAAAAAAAAAACCAATAACCAAAATGGCGAGAAATGGCGAGAAATGGCGAGAAATGGCGAGAAATGGCGAGAAATGGCGAGAAACGGCTGTACCATCCAACCTCACAGTTAATACAGTTGCACGGCATGTGCATCCGTGGTAGAGTATTTTTGTCTTCACACAAAAAAGTTCATATATGTATATATATACATTTCTGTGCATATACATTTTTTTTTTTTTCGCACATGAATATCTATTTTCTTTTTAACCATCACCCTACCCCCGTCCTTAACTCTTCCTTTGATCAGATCTTCCCTTATCATTGATATAAAACCATACGGTGAAGAAACAGATTTAGATCAAGTCCTAAAGCTTGTGAAGGAAATTCAAATGGATGGCTTGACTTGGGGAAAGGCCCATAAAAAAACTCCATTTGCCTATGGCCTCTTTAAGTTACAGGTAATGCAAATATGAATGCATACACATGCACAGATATATACATACATATATATATGCGCTTTGCAAGGACCTATTTATGCTAATTTTGCCTTCACCATTATCGGATGTAAACACGTATAACTTAATATTGTGTGTTCACGAGGAGTGCATTAACATAATGCACAACGACCTACACGAACAGACGACACATGCTGTATAAACACGTTCCTTCCCCCCCATGAGTGCACACGTTTATCAAAGTAACACAAACAGATGTCTCACCCCGTTTCCCTCGTCTTTATCACCCCATTTGCAATCCTCCTTATCACTCTTAGGTTTCTTGCGTAATAGTTGACGATTTAATCAACACAGATGAACTGATCGAACGGATAGAAAATGTGGGTCTAAGTTCAGAGGATATTAAAAAGAAAAAGGAACTTCAAGAATTGATGGAAGGAGACAACGATGAGGAGTTGGATGATGAAGTAGAAGGACTTGTTCAATCCGCAGAAATTATTTCTTTTAACAAATTATAACTTCTTTTGTTTCCTTTTATTTATCCAGCTTAGCATTTGAAAGGTGTATTTATATAAATTGCACGCACCTACTGTGGTTGTGCATCTACATAATGTACGTTTTTATGTGCACATAGGATTACACGCACATGAAGAAGTTATGTGTGTGTGTGATATTTCTCGTAATCTCATTACAAGAAGCATCGACAGAAGCATTACAAGGAACCCCCTCCCCTCCCCCCCCCCCTCTCCACAGCTGTGGCAAGCTGAAGAATTCATTTTTCATTGGGTTAATTTTTTTTCCACAAATTGGAGGCAAAATAAAACGTGCTGATTTTACATGCAAAGAACTAAAAGAAAAAGTCTTCCTGCATGGTGTTATGAGTGTTCTGCTACATATTATATATATCCCAACACATATGAAGGTTTTCTTCCTCCATTTTTAACTAATTAAATTACAATCATGCACACACATATGGGCTCCCATTGTGCTGTGAACAAATATTAATACATCTGTTTAATGGCCTTTTATATATATAAACCATTTTAAAGTAAATACATAGTAATTAACAAAAAAAAAAGAATTCCATCTAAAGTGGATCCTATATGACCATATATCAAAGTAGTTTAATATACACCATGTTTTTACTATATCTATACGTGTTCCTTTTCTTCTTTTTGAATTTGCACATTTGTGAAAAAATTGAAAGTTCAAAAGTTCTGAAAGAAACAATTTTAAAAAGAAAATAATATGGAAAAGATATGGAAAAAATATGGAAAAAAATATGGAAAGAAATATAGGAAAAAATATGGAAAAAAATGTGGAAAAAAATATGGAAAGAAATATAGGAAAAAATATGGAAAAAAATATGGAAAAAAATATGGAAAAAAATATGGAAAAAAATGTGGAAAAAAATATGGAAAAAAAAAAAAATTCGTAAGAGTATTGTGTAACACTATTATAGTAGCCATTGTAAATTATTTAATCCACGAGTTTTTAAGAAACGGACGGAGCAAAAGGTGTTTTTTTTTTTTTTTTTTTTTTTTTTTCCCATATACTCTCTCTTTTTTTTTTTTTTTTTTTTGGGGGGGCCTTTTTTTTAATTTTTTTTTTTTACTCTTTTTTTTTTTTTTTTTTTTTTTTTTTTTTTTTTTTTTTTTTTTTTTTTTTTTTTTTTTTTTTTTTTTTTTTTTTTTTTTTCCAACATTGGATTTTTCTAATTTTGATTAGGAAATTTTATTAAGTTAATAGAAAATCGGAAATTCTAAAAAAAAAAAAAAAAAAAACATTCTAATACACTATTTTATGACATTTTTTAAATTACTTAGAGAAGTAACATTTTTGAGTTCTATCCGTTTATTTTCCTTTTGTTTAGTTTAGATTAGCTAATTCATTTTATCGTAGTTTAATTTTTTTTATGTCAAAAAAAAAAAAAAAAAAGAGGCCGTTGCCACTTTGAAGTAATTAAATATGTTCATGTTTTCTCCCATCATCTTGATCAATGAAACTTTTTTGTGTATATATATCCGAGTTTGCCACCCGATTCTATAGGCTTCCTCAACTAATTTAAATGCTTTCCTATTGTTCATATACATGTATATAGATGCGTATACATGCATATATATGCAAAGAAAATACATTTTTTATATGTTGCCAGCGATTGGTCTCCTTTTCTCCTTCCCATCTAATGTTACTCTGTTATCTATGATTGATTGGGTTCATTAGATGTGCATATAAATATATGTACATATATATATACATATATAAACATCTATATGTGTACATTGTGCATAGGTTCATTTGTTTATCTGTCCTTTTAACTGTCGCTTCTTATCACAAAAACCGCTCATTTCTGACATTTCTTAGTTTTTATGCACCTGAACATGCACACCATACACTCACGCAGTCGTTATATGACACCTATACTTTTACACATTATATTAGAATGACTACCTCATTTTATAACTTTTTTGTTGCCTTTTTTTTTTTTTTTTTTTTGTTTGTTTGTTTTTTCTTTCTTCCCCCTCGTTATTTTTAATTCAATTTAAAAATAACGCTAGTTAAATAAAGTAGAATGAAGACCCGTAAGTTATACGGATTGATAAAAAAAGCGTATTATGAAAAAAGAAAAGATTTAATTTTTTACTTTTTCTTTTTATTAATACCTTTTTTGTTAGTATCATTTCATTTGTTCCTAAGGAATATAAGTGATAAGTGTAAGATATAAATAATCAAATTTCTGCATATCTGAGTTGTTCTTCAGGATGCATCCTTTTTTTTTTTTTTTTTTTTTTTTTTTTCTCAACAATTTACCATTTGGGGTGTATACAAATTTGTTTGCATGCACGAGTAGATACAATTCTGTTTTTTGTTTTAAACTTTACACATTCGTTTTCAAGTGTATGCCTAGTTATATATATAAATGTTCAAAAAAGTGAAAACACTTGTTTTTCTACATATGTATTGGTAAGCTTATTTCTTATCTTATCTTACTTCATCCCTATCTCATCTCATCTTTTTTTTTTTTTTTTTTTATATAACTTCATAGATTCGCTTGAAATATATAACGCTACTCCAGAAAATGATAAAATAGATTTGAATGACACAATAAGGCAGTATGTCTTATTTTTGAGCAATGAATTGTGTTCCAAGTAAGACCAGAGGGAGAGAGAGAAAAAAAAAAAAAAAAAAAAAAAAAATTAAAAAACTTAATCAACAGAATGCAACAGAACAATAGTAAAATCAATACATCTTTACGTCTTTGTACATTTGGATGGAATCTCCAATTTGTGTTACTGTTTAAGTTTATATTGGATATATGTCTTTTCTAATTGAATGTCTTAAGTGCCTGACCGTGTACCCGTGTGCCTTGTTGTGGATGACCGGGACAACATCAGACATCTCCCCACCTAACATGCCAACTTTTTTATTTTGAGCACACGCGAGATCATCCCATTATTTTGTCACACAAGCACATATATATATACATACGTATGTGCATGTGTAAATGCTATGAACACTCTATTACGTCTCAATAACGGCATTCCTATTTCCTCCCCTTACAGAGAAGTAGAAGAGAATGTATACATAAATCACATCTGCGTGACACCAGATGATAATATTTCGAGGGCCTTTGTGGCCTATGCAAACGAAGTTGATCTGAACATATTTCGAGTGTACAAGAGTGAAGAAGAATGTCTGAAGAATTTAAAATACGCTATACAACTTAGAGCTAGCGATTTAAGCAATCTGAACAAGAAGCAAAATGGAGGAAAAGATGAAAATAAAAAGATTTCTAACTTAATATCCATTATTAAAAATAATTTGAAACAAAGCGATTCTGTGACCTTGGATGAACTGTATGGAAAAATACATTCGCAAAAAAATTATGACGATTTGTTAAGTTTACATTTTGATGAAGAGACAAAAAGAGAAATTAAAAAAACAAAATTATATAAGTCATTTATTAAGGATATGAAAAATTTGAAAGATGAAAGTAGTTACAATGCTTTCTTCAAAGATGAAAAAAAAAAAATTTTTTTTTTTAATTTTGTCAAGAGTAATCTTATTCAGACGAACAAATCTTGTGGATTATTGGCCATTGAAAATGTCACATATTCAGATGAAGAAAGTAAGTTGAGTTTTTCCTACGTTTTAGGGAGAAAGCCAAGTTGGGAAATTAAGAATGATGCAAAATATAATCACATGAATGGACAAAATTCACGCAGAAAATTTTCTCAAAATGATAGAAATGAAAACCAGGTTAAGGGAAAGAACGAATTTGCAATTTACCCTGTATTTTCAAATGAACACAAAAATAAAAAGGATGTCATTACAAATGTGAGTTACAAAATAAGAGTAGGAGATTACGCTTTGATTGAATCTAGTGAGGATTATTTTTTTAACGATATTAATATAAATTTAAAGCAGAATTTTGTAAATTTCAGCACCATCGATGATTTGTCTTTTAACATTTATTTTAACGAATGGTATTACAGAAGTTTCTTCATTGTGTTGGAGTATCACTTTAATTTATTCTTGTTGAGGTATAATAGCAGCGTGCAGATGGCTTATAGTGATCGAATTGGTTCTTGCCCAAACGAGAAACGTGATTCGATCTATAGCGAGAAATACAATTCTCACAGTAACGAAAAATATAATTCACGTGTGAGAATCTCTTCTCCAACCGATTCAACAGACACGTATTCATCCGACATGCCGAAGAATCCCGTGGAAGGAGAACGACAGTCGAAGAGCACATCCATGCTACATCTGAATGATTTCTTTTTAGTGAAAATGCCAATGAGGAATATGAAGATAAACGCTTTTGATGCGTTTGAAAAAAATATATTTCGAGTTGTGATGTTTTTGTGTGTCTGTCTATTCATTGTAAATATATGCTTTGACATCAACAAAGAGAGAAAAATGAATATGGAAAATTTTCTATTTTGTTTAAAAATAAATAAATATTATTATTATTTTTCATGGCTTTTGTTTTACTTTCTTGTGTTATTTGTATATAATATCTTATTCAGTTATATAATATATGTATATATATACAAAAGATTTGTACATTATTTTATTGTATTCACATGTATTTATTTTTTTATGATGAATAGCTTATTATTTACCATTATTTGTATGCAATTTTCTGATAATAGTGTAATAAATTACATTGCATCCTTTTTATTTTTTTTTCTCTTCTCTTCCTTCCGCTTAATTATACACTCAGGTATTGGAAGAGTTTTGTCATTCCTCGTTTTGTTAATTCCTCACGCATCCTTTTGTCTAGCATTAGATTTTTTTTTCATTCTAATTAAAAATGATATTCCAGTTTATTATTCAGAATTATTTATTAAATTTGAAAATATATCCCTAATGCATCTTTTCCTTCACTCTCTTTTATCCTTTCTATTGCTAATCTGCATATTAACTTACATGATCTATTATCGAAACAACCACCATGGAATGTTATATCAATGGACAAGGAAGAAAAATAAAACTGTAAGAAAAAGTGAAACAAGTTGGGATGAACGAGTTGCAAATTCGAGAAATACTTTTATGTTACAGATGGAAAATCACGAATTGAGTGAAAAATTATGCAAAGAGAGATTCACCTATCATATTCCTTCTGAAGAAACAAAACCAAAAAAATTAAAGCAATCACAAAAACCAGGAGAAAAACAATATAGAAACAGTGAATTGAGAGAAGAACATTACAGAAATAACGAATCAGACGATTGCTATTTGATCATAAAGAATGTGAACAAAACATATGGAAGAAAACATGTTTTGAAAGATGTTTCATTAACTTTGAGAAATAACAGAATATTCGTTTTGCTTGGAGAAAATGGATCCGGAAAATCAACACTCATTAATATCATAACAAAAATGATAACGAAAGATTCAGGGGAAATAAGCTTCTTTAAAAACAGATCGAAAAAAAAAAAAAAATTGAATAATCTTACAAGGGTCCTAGATACTAGCGCTGATATACCAAATAATGGACATAACATCTTGACCAATTTGTCTACTACCCTTCCCAATAAATGTAGAAAAATTATACAACATTTAATAACCTCTCCAATGATTGGAAAAATTTGGAAGAAAAGGAAAAACGGAATGAAACTGAGTTATTGCAGCCAAAATGTTATTCTTTATGAAAATCTAACATTTTTTGAAACGATTATAATCTTTTTATTATATTATAATAAAAATATTGAAAAATATTTAAAAAAAAAAAGAACTTTAAAGATTATGAACGATTTGGATTTATCTCCATATCTGAATCATAAAATTAAAGATTTGATAGATGATGTAAAAAAAAAAATATCCATTTTTATCTGTTTTCTTGTGAAAAGAGATGTGTACATTCTAGACGAACCATTCATTGCTTTGGATATTAAAACAAAGACCAAACTTTTCAAATTTTTTGATAAAATTAAAAAAAATAATATCCTTTTTATATGCACCCATGATATTTATGAAGCCAACTATTTTGCGAACGACATTGCCATTATTAAAAGTGGACATATTATTTTTAGTGGATCCAAATCTCAATTTCTGAAACTAGTTGATTATAAATTTGTTCTTAATATTCGGTTTAACAATCAAGAGACGGAAAAACAATACCCATTTTTCTCAAATTCAGGATCTATTCAGGAAAGGTCAATTCGGTCTGCGCGAGCGTCTAGAGATGGACTTACTGGAGCATCTAAAGATGATCCTACAGGAGATTGTGAAAAACTACCATCTAACCACAATCGTAGCAATTTATTCAAAATTTTAACTGAAGATATAAATACAACAGATAGAAAAAACATAGAGACAGTAAAAAAACATATAATAGATTTTGTTAAAATTATGAGAGAAGAAAATAAAACTTGTTTTATATTTTTTAATTCCAATTATGTATACTGTACTTACAAAATTAACGAAACAGAATCTTTAAAAAAATTGCTCTACTTATTGAGAAGGTTCAAAAATATTCTGACCTATCAGCTAAAAACGATTGACATATATTACACGTACATATACATCTACTCTTATAGTGAAAAAAAGAACCTTTTGATGAATGTTCACGATAGAGATCTCAGCTACCTAATAAAAATGGATCCTCTTTTTTATCTCTTCTTCGCAAATGTTAAATATTTCAATGAGTTGAATAATAATATGCTAATTTCTAAGAGTCAACAGAGTACCAAACATTTACCATCCGATTTTGGATATCTAAGAGACATTTTGATCAAAACAAAAAATAGATGCAACTCTCAATATGAATGTGAAAAGCGTGCCTACTTAACTGCACGTGAATCTGATGAATTCCTTTCCATACATACTGCAGATTGTACACCCATAGTGCAATCGCACACACAATCATTTACACAGGTGCAAAGGTGTAGACACACGAAAGACACGATGATGAGAGTGAATAACTTCTACATAGGAGGAATGATCAAAAGATGGATTAGCTTGTTCGCAACATATGTTAAGCCATCTCTATATATGAAATTAAAAAAGGATTTAAGCAACACCAGTTTTTACTGGTATAAATTTTGGGTTCCAATATTTTTACTATCCCTAGGTTTACTCATAATTAAATGCGTGTCTCTTTTTGGAAAAGTTAAAAATATAGAATTGGATTATGCAACAATTTCTTCAAATCATTTGAAGAAGAGTACATTAAATTATTATATTATTTATACATCTGAAATGATTTCACATGATGATGAACACAAAATGCAACAAGTGGTTTTGAGCACTGGAGACAATAATAAGACCCCTGTGGATGTTACTTCCAAATGGTTCCAAAAATGGAACTGGAGGAGACAAGAAAAAAAGGTACATCCAATGAAAGAGATAAAAAATGACATACAAGTAAAGAAGAAAGGAAGTGTTAATAATATATTTGATTTCACAGAAAATAACTTTCTGTATTACAATAATACGATAAAATCTCTTCTGGATAAACATTGCATAAATGAAAAAATTAGATATATTGACGAATTTATTAATGAAGACAATTTGTATGAACATGTTAATAATTATTTGAAAAAAAAATCAATTCTTGAGGATGATATATCGTTAGGCACGTACATATTTCATATTAATGAAAAACAGGTTCAAGATAACGATTTAGATACCAGTTCACATGTAGAAATGAATATAAACCTTTTTTATAACTACACCTCTATTCATTCGTATGCATATTATACCAATTCGGCCTTTAATATTTTATCAGATTTTCAAAACTCTCTCATGAATAGTGAAATAAAAGGAAACAGTGAAAAATGGAGCATAAAAGAAAATATCGCGAATGGATCATCCAATCTAAACAAAAAAAAAATAGATGTAACTAATGAACCATTCACCATAAAATTTCATGAATACTTTCTAAGGGACTTCTACATCAACATGTATGTGTTCTTGTCTATAGTAATATTTTTTTGCGTTTTCTTTGAAAAATTAAAAAACGAAATTGAATATAGAAAAGTTTTCTATCACTTCCATGTGCATAAATATGTTCATTATTTTCAAATTTTGCTATTAGAATATTTTTACTATTTAATATATATTATACTATTAATCACCGTTTTGTATCTATTTGAGTATCAAGGATTTGTAATTTCATCCTTCTTTTTATTTCTAATGCTTTATGGATTTAACACCTTTTTATCTATTTCTTTATTTTCTTCTTTATATTTGCATAGTTCCATCCTTTTTGTATTTATAAATTTCATTTTTTGTGGAATTGTTAGTATAGTTATCTATGTTTTAGCCATTTTGTCCTATGCTTACAATAATGAAGTGTTGATGAATCTATCTCATGTTCTCGTCTGCATATTCAGAATTCTAGATTCCTTCTCCCTGTCCCATGTTCTTAATATTAGTAGTTTATGTATTAATATGAAACGTCACATGAAGCAAATGGATGAAAATGTAATGAAGGCAGATTCAAGGGAAATTTTCAAAACCAGTAAGATTTATACATATCTCTTTGGAACATATAAAGATGTATTTCCATCAAATCAGGCAACTAAAAATTATCCTGCAGGTGTTTCTGAAGTAATGAATGGATTTTGTGGTGAATCCAGTTCGTTTTACAACACTACAGGAGATTTTTACTTCCTAATAGTTAATTGTGTGTTGTATTTGCTTATCTTGTTTTATAAATTGTATAAACATAACAAGGCTAGACAGAACCAGAACCAAAGCCAGAATCAGGATCTCAAAAAGGTAGATGCAAATGAACTTGACAGAGATGTTAGAACCCATTCCTCTTCCCAAAAATATTTCTTCTTCGTTAAACATTTCTACTTGGCTAACATGGCATACAAGTGTGAAAAGGATAAGAAAAAAAATGGATTCTTTAAAATTATCAGTTTTGTGAAAAAATTCTTAGGATTACAGAAAAAAAAAACAATCGTAAAGGATTCTTACAACTCATTTGGCAACTCAGAATCGGAGACAGAAACGAATGCAAGCCTCGATCAGCATGATGAGAAGCAAAAAAGAAATGTAAAGGTGAAATTGTCAAAACCATTAGATAATCAAAGTTTCCGCTACGAGGATGGTGAATGTGAAGAAACCATTGAAAAAATGACAGATCTGGAAAGTGTGTTGAAGGTGGAGGATGATTCCACAGCTGAACGACACATTGGAAAACACTCCGCAGAAGAAAAATATATACTGAAAAATATAAACGTAAGAATGAAGCCATACAAGATATATACCTTTTCATCCATATTTAACCACGACTTGAATGTTCTTTATTTTTTTAAGTTTTTTTTCTCCAATGAGAAGAGGAAAATTGGCATCGAGCGTTACCACTGCCTGGGGATCAACAAGGCCTCAATGCAGAATGGGAAAAGAGCCAAAAGTGGAGAAGCTGTTAAAATTGGAGATGCTGCCAATAGTGGAGAAGCCTCCAATAGTGGAGAAATCTCCAATAGTGGAGAGCCAACAAAACCTCGAAGAGATAAGAAAAAAAGGAACAAGAGGAGAGGTAGAAAACACCCAAACAAAAACACCAAGTCAAGCAATAATAAAAACACCATTATCAACGAAGCATTCATAGCACCAATGCAGAGGGAAGATGAAACGAATTACAAAATTGTGCTCATACCAGACATGACAATATATGAACACGTTAAGATAATCCTAACTTATAAAAACATAATACTTACAGATATGGAACTAATGTACATGATTCATTTACTCATGCTCATCGTTAATTTGAAATGTGATATACATCTAAGATGCAATGAGCTCAGTGGGGGGATGAAGAAAAAAGTGGAATTAATTCTTAACTTGCTACGAAATGAAAAAATTATTTTCCTCTACAAATTGAATGATAACATAGATTTCTGTTCTCAGATTTACATAAATACTATTCTGAAGAATATCATATTGGTTAATGAGTATGACGATATGTTCAGCCTGGGTGATCTAAGCGAACGCAGCAAAAACCACGTTAAAAGGGACTCACAGGAGGAAGGTGAGATTAATCAGGTGATGCATCAATCCTGTACAGTGTACAGAGGAGACAAATCAGAGAAAGAGAAAAGTGACTACAATTGTGATAGATACGGATTGCCACAGGATGAAGGAAAGACGACGACGTGCCTCATTTCGTCCAACATGCAAAGTTCGAATGAAAATATAATAAACTCATATATCAAGGAAAATATTTTGAAAATTAAATTTACTCCTAAAATTTTTGTAATTTATACACATATATACACAGACATTCTTTACTATGATTATTTATACTTATTCAATAAAAAAAAAATTACATACCACAATTGCACAAAGAATATTATTACAACTTTCAAGAATCATTATTCTTTTCATGTAAAGTTGAAGGGAATTGACGAAGCAAAGATCCATGAATATATAAAAGTTTTCTTTTGCACCAACAAACGTGCGTTTCTGAAATTTAGAAAAGTTGTGAATATATTCGACCAGAGAAATGCTATAATGAGGAAAAAAAGTGGATATGCATGCCTTACTGAAGGCAATCCGGCATGTGACCGTGACGATGACAATGTCTGTGACAATGATCAGGGAGCCCATGGCATATTCACAAACTCAACGATTTCATTCATCGAAAAAAACGCAAAGAAGGGTGCGCTGAACCTACGCAACATTTTCTACATTTTTAAAACCGTCAAGAGAAAAAAAAAAAAAAAAAAAAAAAAAAAAAAAATTTTTTTTACAAGATTTCTCAAGTTTCACAAAGTCCTTCTCAATCTAATAATGGACAGCAAATCTGATGTTATTTTATACCTAAACAGAAATAAATACATTTCCATATTTCTGCTCTTCAAATTTGTAATTTGTCACTTAGCTTATGCTAGTATTCAAAAGTTTGTTCAAAAACATAAGGAAATAAAAACAGTTTACTCTGAGATTACTAAGTTCAATCATTACTTTTTTATTTTAAAGATACCACACAGTAGGCACTTCTTCAAGTTGTTGGGTAAGCTTCAAAAAAAAAAAAAAAAATAAATAAATAATAATAAAAATAAATCAGGGAATGGAGAGAGACATAAACTATTCGAGTAAAACCAATATGATGATGAGACAAGGCGCCGTACATTCGTTGGCAAAATCCACTCGTCGTCTATATGGACATACTCTTCTCTCCTGCATCTCCCTCTTGTATCTCTGTATGTATTTTCATGTGCCTTCATTTGTCCATATTTCATTTGTCCATATTTCACTTGGCCATATTTCACTTGGCCATATTTCACTTGGCCATATTTCATATGACCATATTTCATTTGACCATATTTCATTTGACCATATTTCATTCACGCCCCATTGTATTACGCACCTCTGCAGAAATTAACCAAAGAATCAAGTTCAGAGACAAGGAAATACAAGTCCAACGAGTAAACATTAACAATGTCAATGCGAACGATATTTTCCTCCTCCTCTTTAAGAAATTGCTTTGAAACGTTTTCTTCTTTTAATATATTGTCAAGACCTTTTTTTTTTTTTTTTTTTCTGTCCACTTTCATGATAGCTACCTTTTTGTATAATTTTTTTTTTCTCTTTCATAAAATGTAGTTAACTACGTGAAAAAAAGAAAAAAAAACATACACCCCCAATGCCCAGGCAACATATTACCCTTTTCCTCTAGCACAAAAAAAGATTATATAATAATTAGGTAAAAATTAGATAAAAATTAGATAAAAATCATATATATATTATATAAAAATTATTCAAAATACGTCAGTGTAAATTCTCATGGAATATATCTTCCTGCCAATGTGGACAATGAACAGGTGCATGTGCTGAGGATGCCCTCTTCGCCCAATTTGTCTACTTCTGATCCCCATTCAAATGCGTCCAATTCTTTATCACCCCCTCTCTGCCCTCCAATTTCTGACACATCTGCTCAAGTACCTGATTTACATGTTCCATCTCTCGCAACATTAAGTCAACACTCAACTCATTATTTATCAATCTCTTGTATATGTCTAACACTTTCTCGTTATCTTCGGTTAGATGAATGCGAATAACTTCCTCAAAGAAAGCTGAAGGGTTCTCGGCACGTGGAACTACTCCCTTCGTGAGAGATTGAACATAAGAGTGCAACATATCCATTGATTTCGCTTTTTTCACATTTTCTATATACTGTTTGCATTTCTTTACTTCCATTCTGTCTAAGTAAATATAATTCATTATTCTCTTTATCATGTTATCATTTATGCATAGGTTTATAAACATGGCCAACGACAACAAAATGTGTCCCACGCTTTTGCATTGGCTTCGCTCTTCACTTTTGCACTGCCTTCTGTCTTCACTTTTGCACTGTCCACTATGTTCACTCTTGGCTTTGCTTTCCCTTTCGATCGTGGTTTCCTCCTGGGTTAGGAGAAAACACGGTTCAGTCAACAGCCAATCATACTGATTTACTTTTTCTCGAAGTCTCTCAAATTGCGTGCACATAATGTTCTTCCGAAATGAGACATAGTTGTTATAATTTAAGATCTTCATATAAGTTTTTTCCATTTGATAATCATCAGATTTCTTAGTTATCTTCTCCTTTTCCTTCTTCAGCATTCTGATTACCTCGAATATGTTCATATTTTTCCCTCTTGGAACACAGTTGTTTATGTATCTGTGCAGTCTAATATTGCTTAAAAACTGTGGATCTGATAATTGTGCAAATGTTATAATTTCATTTAGCTTATCACAGAGTTGATTAAAATCTAAAAATAATTCCATCTTGTTATCACTTGTTAAATATGTTTCTTTAATTTTATTTATTTCTACAGTGCTCTGAATAGTTCTTCTTATCGCAACAATGTCGTTTCTTATTTGATCAATTCTTTCAAGAACAGATTTTGCAACAACAACATCAGTAGTATTATCAACCGTAGGGAGCTGAGAAATTTCATAACAATCATTCGTACACCACTTTTTTGCTTTTAATCGTTTAATTTTTTCTTTTCCCAGAATTACTTGATCTCTGTCTTCAGTTTCAATATTTATCTGTTTTCCTACAAATGATTTAAATGACATGACTGTGTTCATATTTTTATATACAACAAGTGAACCTGTTTTTTTTGTATCTTTACAATTCGCATTATTATTCACTTCAAATAATTTCAAATTATTTACGTTATACTCTTTCCCTTCACTAGTAAAAGTCTCATAATTTTCTTCATTCACATATTTGAGAAATTTATCCTGTCTATAAACCGATTGTAGTTCTTCATACACTTCTCTTTCGAAGATCTTAATTTCCATATCCCTTTTCTTTTCTGTCAGAATCATTTCAACTATTTGTGTGAAAAGATCAAAGGGAGATGATGTCGAATTGGCAACTTGGTAGGGACAAAATATTACTGTGCGAAAAAAAACTTGACTGAGATGTAAAGTAAGGGAAAAAAAAAAAAAAAAAAAATTGAGCTTTTGTTTTTACCTTCTTAACAAAAGGAGAATATTCGAAAAAAACTAACCTTCGTCCGTTCTAAGCGTGGAGGCATGTACGTGCATATGCATACAAGTAAGAACATATTTATAGATACATGCATACGCTCACACGTGTACCTATGCGTTAGAGTTGGACCTCACTGCATAATTTGCAGAGCTTCCCGTTTTATCAAGCAAATGTGCACACAGGAAAAAAACTGCAAGAAAAACGTGCTGCAAATATTTAACGTCTTTGTATACACACAAACAAAAGGCCACTGTCATTGAGTGAATGTTTGTGTGTATTTGTATGGGGCAAAGAGTTTTTTCTTAAGACTTTCACAAAAAAAAAAAAAAAAAAAAAAAAAAAAAAAAAAAAGGAAACATATACCTTTAAGCGTTAATAATATCCAATGTGAACTCGTTTTTATGCATTCCTTTAGCAAAAAAAGAGCAGAAAAAATTAAAAAAAAAAAAAAAATTGAGAACTATTTTGCAAGTTGATTAATTAGGCTAAATTTGCCAAGACGGTGGACATTTAAGCGTTGTACTTAATTACATTGCAAGTCTCGTTTCTTCCTTTTTGAGGAGAGAGAGAGGACTTTAAATATCTCTTTTGTAAGCAAATAAATATACATGCTGCACATGCTCTACGTGCAGTGTAATATATTTACTTTTTTTTAATCAAAATTCTTGTGCTCAATTTTGTGTATGTCTAATTGGCAATAGAACAATTTATGGAAGAAATAACCACATTCATTGGTAGTAGACTGTTACGTGTATGTATAAGAAGTTTATTCATTTTAATTAACTGGTCAACCAATGTGGTGGTCAAATAAGAACAAAATAATTTTTTTTTTCTTTCCTACAAACTTGGTTGATATTATAATGACACAAAATGAACAAAAAGAACAAAAAAAAAAGAAACAAAAAAAAAATAATGGGGCGTTACAATTGAAGTGTTCATGAAACGAGAAAACGATTAGGGGGACAGCAATGTAAAAAAACATAAAGAGGTACTTTGCATGCACTTGTGTGTGTGCATTCTCAATAAATTGTTTTGAACGCTTGTACATAATCCAGTGAATATGAAAACTCCTTATTTCTTCAAAAGTATTATCTTAATTTTGTGTTTCCCCTACTACATGCATATGCAGTTTTCCAATTAACTGATATACCAATTAGTGCTCACTTATTTGGGTTATCATTTTTACCTTACCAGATCAGGTGCTTCTTTTTTTTTTTTTTTTTTTTTTCCCCCTACATGTGTATCTCAGGGAAAAAATTTATACATATACATATACATGTGGTCGATGTGGTAACATACACACGTACAATGGGGACCACACCTTCCAAACACTTCATTCTATTCACGACATCGCGAAGAAAAAAAAAAAAACATTCATCCATACTACAAAAAAATGATTGCACAAATGATCATAAATGTTATCACAAGTATAATCACAAACATTGTCAAAAACATTATGACAAACATTAACACAAAAATAAGAGGACGCCTTTTTTCATTTCAAGGGGGATAAGAAGTTAACTCGGATGGCCCATACCTCATCTGTCACTTCATCTCTTACCACTTCACATAAATAATTAACAACACAATCTGAACTAGATAAACAAACACAACCAATGGGCATATCAATAAAATCAATCACAGCAATCGATGAGGACAAGGTTAAATTACAGATTTTATCAAACCAGGGATAAAGATCCTTCATATTTTGATTAAATAAATCGTCCAGTTGTTCCTTACTATTAATATGGTTCATTCCATATTTCTGAAAAAGAGTATCTGCACTATGCTTTAAGGATTCTATACAGAATAATCCAACTTGTCCACTCTCTATTGTTAAAATATTGGTAAAATAATTTTCCAAAGGCATAAGTTCATTTTTATTGTTCATATAATAATCTCCTCTTTTTTGATCTTTCAAATCACTAGTTGTAGAACTAAATTTATTGTTCTCACAAATTCCAATATGACTATTATTCGGTTCTAATTTTGTCCAATTTAATTTATTAATTTTGTCAATTGTTAAATATTCATGCATAAATTCTGTGTTGTTAAAACAGATAAATGATAAGACCATTTCATTTCTAACATTTTTGTACGAGTTCGCGTTGTTAATATATCCAGCATCTGTTTCTTCTTCTGCAGCTGATTTCATACATAAATTATTATTTTCCCTTATTGCAAACGAGGACCATAATCCAGCTTTGGAATTCTTTATATATATACCGTTTAAGCTTTCCTTCGGTAGCAATTCTTTCTTCCCACTGATGTAACTATTAAAGTAGTTCAGCATGCTATAATTTATATACAACGGATCTATCAGTAGCAACTCGTTCATCTGAGTAATGAAACATCCTGCATCTACCAACTCGGAATTTGTCATTGTGTATTTACGTTTCTGTTCCTTCCCTCCCCCCTTTGGTTTTTTTTTTTTTTTTTTTTTTTTTTTTATTCCTTTTTTTTGTGGATGAAGAATTCGTACTTTGTTGCAGGTGTGGGTACAATGTGAGTATAGATCTTAAGTCATATACACTTCGTTTCTCCGTTTTGTGTGCTCCTAATGGAATATTCTTCTCTCTTTTTGTCAATTTTAACCTTCAAAATTTCTTTCTTTTCTTGAGGGCAAAATTTATGTTTTTGCTTCTCTTCACTTTCGCAAATATTCTTTCCTGTCAATTAGGAACAAAAAAAAATATTAGCTCATGTGAAAAAGTAAAAAGGTTATTAAAGTCATCAAAAGGGAAAAATGTGATGAACGCATCATGCACACTCTAAATTTTTATAAAAGTACCAGATGGTAACACACGTCTCGTGCCACTCCACATCGTAAAAGTCCAATTCTTTTTATATTACCTTTTTAGAAAATATCCATACACCGAAAAGGTTGTCAAAAATAGAAAATTCTCAAAAAACAAAAAAAAATTGTCCACTTCGTATGCTTGTTTTATGCGAACAAATATGATTACAAACAAGTTTTATCACAAAAAGAAAAGGATGCTGAAATTAGAGAAGCCGTAAAAAAAAAAAAAAAAAAAAAAAAAAAAAACACGCTCGGGTTATGCGCAATTGTAGCAGTGAGGATTGGGAAAAAGTGGTCACCCGCTAAGTGCCTATATCTTTCCCTTCCTGAAGCAAAGCACGCACAAATGGGTAAAAAAAACAGATAAATACATGTGCTTGAGTAGTAACATATGAAAATGCTTGCATGCATATATACACATACGTATACATATACATATATACACATACATATACATATATGTAAATACCGATGCTACTTACTATGTTACAATTCCCAGTGTTGTGCAGGAACACATCATTTTTTACATAGATCTACACACTGCAACAAGTGTTTTTGTATGCACACCCCCTCGTCTAATATCAAAGCTGATGGCTATGTTCCTCCTTAAATTTCTCCCCCACCCTTAGCTTATAATTTATTTTTTAAAAAACAACAACAAAAAAAAAAAAAAGATATACAATCATGTTTAGTAACCCTTTTTTTAAGATGCTGGAAAAAATATAAAGTTCAAAATAGGACAGAAAAAGGAGTGGATAAGTAGCACTAAAGTTTTAACACCATTACATAGACGCAAATTTGAAAAAAAAAAAAAAAAAAAAAAAAAAATTCTGCTTTAAGCCAACAAAAAAAAAAAAAAAGCTTCAAAAGGGTTGTAATTAAGAGGTTCCATAAGTCATGTCCTTCGTCCCGCACATATATATGTATATATGCACACATAAACAGACATGCGTACTCGTATGTGTAAGAAAAAGGGTGCAAAAAATTGTCCCTTCTCTTCGAAAACGGACAATAAAGCTAATTGTCTGATTCATCACCACGTGACCTTTTGAAGTTTTTCTTCTTAAAAATATAAATTTAAAAAAAAAAAAAAGAATATCATATTAGTGATGTATACATATATATGTAGCTAAATGTAAGGGATACGCACCCAACAATTCCTAATTCGAACAATGTTCATGAATGGGAAATTCAGGCAAAGAGATACTAACAATTATCGTTGTGTATATACTAATTTATCCATTTTTATCAGAGTTGTAGTATTCTTATGACTTTCGATATATTGACAGTGCAAGAATGTAAAATTTTACACACAACTGCATAAGCGTGTGTGTTACGTATGTATAATACAGAGAAACATATACATCATATTTCACAGTTCCATTCGAAAAAAGTTGAACACGGCATCATTCATCGACATTCAACACTTTTTCCATTACATTATGTAATAAGAAACTAAATAAAGTTGTGTATTTAAACACATGGACATATATTAAATTCTCTCCACATAAACAATTTTTAGAATTTTTGAATAAAGATAATATAACGTATTCAGGAAAACGAAAGTATATGTATGTGTTCATCACACTTTTAATAATATATTCTTTACATTACACACATATTGTTTTGGAGTAATTATATACAAGAAAAATGGTAAGATACTTATGTTCACCTACATACATATCAGGTATAAAGCGATGGATCATACCACACATGGTATTTTCTCCATTCTGGCATAGGAATCAAATACACCAATTTTGCGATACTATAATTATACACTTTCATCTGTTCAGAACTATGATGATTTGAACATCTGTGCAGGAATTTCAAAGAATTCAAAATTTGCTCCTATTTTATTATTATTTTATTTTTTTTAATCAATAAGAAGAGAAACAATATTGTGAAAAAACAAGAGCGTGTCAGAATTCTCTTCTACATATGGGGGATTTCCTTCAGCCCCTTTCCCAAATGGTAACATGACAAAATTTCATTAATTCATCGTTTTTCTTGAAACTTGGACATATGAAAATGCGCTAAATTGTAGATCTCTGCAGGGGGCACATAAGCACAGATGCGCATTCTCATCAAATATGTCCATCGGATTATGCAACTGGAATTTCCACACATTGCTAATATACAGTTGCTATAATTCTATACACTTTCCTAACTGGGACATGAGTTCAATAAATAAGCAAAAGGGAATTGGAAAACTTGACAATCCGGATTTATATGGTACTTATTCCTCATATAAGAAATACCAAATCCATGTATTTGCATGTTATGGAATACCATGGGAAAGTCAAAAAAGAAAAAAAAGAAAAAAATTTACTAATTTTGAACTACAGCTAAAAGTTAATATACGGGATTATATAAGGAATCTGTGTGTACACAATCTTTAATTTCAAAAAGTGGTAATTACTTAAACTTACGCAAGCACCCCTATTGAATTATACATTCTTTTCTTTTTTTTTTTTTTTTTATGTGCATACGGGTGATAAATTTTCTATAATAATGCAAGGAGAGTAATGTCTTATGATATGTATTGTGTATAATGAAGATCTCACACATGGTTAAAAATAAATAGGTTTGAGGAGGTTCATTAAAAATAACGGGCATTAAATACAGCCTTAAATATTTTATAATATTCCCGTGGATAAAAATTTTTTTTTTTTTTCCCCTATGGGCGTTGACCACGTGTGGGGTGACAAAGCAGTCAGTTATAAAGGAACCACAAAAAAAATGGCCAAAAAATAGGCAAAAAAATTGACCAAAAAATTGGCAAAAATATAGGGAAAAATATTGGTTAATATATTGACAAAAGGCAAATATGCAATAGAATTTAAGGGAATTAAATGAATTAAAAATTCTTCAACACTGCTACTACTACTGCTTCTACTCTTTTTTTTTTTTTTTTTTTTTTTTCGTACATACGCAACAGGAGTACCAAAATTTAACTTATGCCTGAATGAACCTTGAGAAGCCATTGCGTATATATAAGTAGTTCCAGTTTCTTTTAAACTTTACATACCGTTAAAAATTGCCATTTTTTTATGCATCCTTGAATTATAGCATTAAAACATAAGTTGTCATATGCGTGTTGTAGCTACACATAATTGGAAGTTCTCGTGTTATATCAGCATACTTTTTTTGTGAATATTATTTGAAAAAAGCACTCCCCAGGCTTTTCCCTGCATGCATACATTCTTACATATACATACCTACATATACATCTCTACAATATTTACCTACATGAGATACGATACCTATATATATATCCCCATATTAACATACCCCAATTAAGCAAAAGGACAGCAGCTCGAAACCTTTGTGACGTCGTATATATGCAGCGTACATATATATATATATATATATATATATATATATATATATATATATATATGCGTATGTTTTGTAGTTGCATTTACAAGGAAAATATGAATTTCTAAAAAACATTTGAAACGCATTGGAAAGTATTGAAGAATATGAAAAACAAGACGAAGGATGAAAAAGAAAATCGATAAAACCGTAACGTAATGACGAAGAAAATGAAACGCAAAATAGGAATTCTTAAAGAGAGGACTTGGCATGATTACACATCCGTAGAGTGTGCAGAGATATATGCCTATATTCATTCCACTTTATGTACGAGTGTTGGAATGGTCAATTTAATAAAGTGTCTGTAATGTTCCATATGGTGAATGGAAACATTTTAGTAACAGAGGCGTTGAATTATACAATTTACGAAAAAATATATATATTTATTTATTTTATTTTATTTTTTTTTTTTTGCCTGACTTGTTCAGAAAAAAAACTATATCATGGGACGAAGTCACCATTAATGAGCAAGACAAGGATAGAGGTTCGAGAATGAAAATTCTTGAGCCGAACACTCCCTTCAATTTTATTTTGATGGTACAACTCATTCACCTTTCCAATCGACTTTCTTTTTCTTTTTTTTTTTTTGTGTACATGTATATGTACGTTCATGTTTGCACATACAGAGGCTCACCTGCGAAGTATGCATTCAGTTGTTAGTAATTATATCAGTTGTGCAAATTACTGCCATTCTCAACGTACGACATTTTTCCATTACAACCTCATTTTCAAATTTGAAACATTTAACGTAGGATAGTGCTTCGGAAGATGAAGCTTCAAAATTTGGAGACGCAAAGGGACAAAACGAAGGACAGGTAAAAAAAAAAAAATAAATAAGAATAACAACATAGCATCATGCCGAGCACATGAAGATAGACATTTTTATATGTTCTCATTTGTTCTATTGAAAACATGCACAATATATGAATTGTTATTCGGCTTTTTTTTTTTTTGTTTTCTTTCTTTCTTCATTTTATTTTTTTTGATTTGTCATTTTGCTTAAATTTTTAGAACAATTGTTTGAACATATATGATAATAATTTTTCTTTCATTTTGTTTCCAATTTTTTCACATCTTCCCATCGACAGAATGACATTGCCAACGATTTAATAAACAAGTTAAATCAGTTGGTTGAGAAACAGGAAAATAAAACCGCTTCTAATATTGATTTTAAGGAAAAAAGGAAGAAACATTACAATGAGTATAAGATGCTTCAGAAATTGAGGTAATATTTGCATATTGCAGCGCTCGAGCACGTGCGAATCCCCCACTTGCATGTGCATGCGCATGCACATGTATGAATACATATATATACATATACTCGTACGTCATATGCTTTCGTGCACACAGAAAGTCCGGCACATTTGATGAAGTAGATGAGGTAGACGGAGAGTTCAAGCTAGAAGATCATGACTCGAGCTGTGAAAATTCCCATATCCAGGAGTCAGAAGAGTAGAAGTCGATGGAGGAAAAGAAGGAAAAAAAAACTCAGGGAAATAAGTGGTTAACGGCCACCTAGGGGATGATAAAAACCGACACGCATACACACATCCCAAATGTTCAAATGTTCAAGTATCCATATGGAATATTAACTTCCCATTTTATAAGAAAATTATTTTAATACATCATGTGTGCCCAATTAAAAATGGACATGCTTTTTCGTATTACGGATTGTAGTATACGCGAAAATTATGAGTTTATTGTGCACACAGCGATAGGCCCTGTGAATGTACGCATACATACCGTTGCCTTTATTTGTATTTATATATATATATACATACGTGTGCATTTGAAGGAATAAACGGATGAAGACAGTGCCGTGAATTCCCCATTACTGGAGAATCCAATATGTAGTTGTAGTTGCATGCGTAATGTTTTTAAATTTTTTTAAAATTGTAAATTTTATTTTTGCCATTGTGATACAACTTCCCGTTTGGCAATTTTTTTTCATCAATTTTTTATACGGAAAATAAGGAAAAAAAAAAAAAAAAAACCCTGTATAATTAAATTTTTAAATACATGTCCTTTTGCAACGCATATTAAATTCTGAACATTAGCGTGTAACCCTATTCGCAATATTACATATGCATGTTTTATTTGTGAAAAATGATGTAAAAAGAGATTGGCAACAAAAATCTCCCATTTATGTAGGTAAAGGAAATTATATACAAATGGACAAAATGTATAACTAACAACTGTCTCAATTTCACCCTGAGCGTTATCATTCTATTTCTGCAAAATGCAACGTGGATTGTAGTAGTGTCTTAAATACCAATTATGTTGCTTTTTCAAAGGCAAACCGAGCCATTAACAGTTTTTCCTATCAAAATGAATGGATTTATAGGTTAGCTCTTGTCAGAATGTTTCACGCTTGTCATAAGAGTATTCCCGTTTAAGCATCAGCACAGGGGTGATATGAGGCCAAGGAAGAAATAATTATCACTTGATACTTTCTCAAATGTATCAACCATGTTCATATAAGCTGCTTGCATATGTAAGGATATATATATCCGTGTATATATATGTATACACATTTATGAACGAACAAAATGTTATTCTTCTTAAGTACATTGTGCCCCGTCTTCGTGTAATTGGGTGATGGTGGGATTTTTATGATTTGCCTGTTTTAATCTTTCCCACAACGGTCTTCCTATTCGTTTATTACATTTCCAAGTTGCTTTTCCATTTGAACAAAATTAAAAAAAAAAAAAAAATCTGAACAGGCAAGACGAATTTCCGAATTTTTTACTTTTAAGAAGATTATTATATTTTTTTTTTTTTTTTCCTCCTAGCTCTGTTAGTTTTATTTTTATTTATTTGAACAATTGTAATAAAACTTCTGTGAACAGTCAGAGGGAAAATCTACGAGAGTAAAACAAATGAAAAAAAAAAAAAAAAAAAAAACTTTTATAGTACACCTATATTAGAATGACATTCATAAAACTTGAAAATAATAATTTTATTTTGAATTCAAATAAGGGATTCCACAACTGAGTGTTTTTTTTTTTTTTTTTTAAATTATCCTGGAAAATAAAGCATTATATGTACATGCATATTTTTTAAAAGAAATGCAAAGTACAACTGGCAAAGCGGTGTGAAAAAGAAATGACAAATGAGTGACAAACTAAATGACCCAAACCAAAATTTGGAAAACCTATTTGAAAAAAAGAAATAATACGAAAAGGAGAATATTTTCTCGCATGACAAAGTGAAATACTTCTTTTTTTTTTTTTTTTTTTTTTGTTATCTTTATTTCTGAATTTTCGTTTTTTTTTTTTATTTATATTTTTACTTGCACCGTAGATTTATTTTGCTTTTTTCCCACTTTTTGTGCATTCTGCATTATTTTTTCTACCGTTTTATTTTCCACTTTTATAAACAAAAATAGCTTGGTCGTATCACTTGCTCAGTTCTTCTGAAGCACAAGAGGGAATGAACATATTTTTGTGTTTGATGCCTGTTTTAAAACACTGTATATAATGCACACCTTTCACCTACACGTATTTTGCCTATTTTGACAGTTTCCTCAACGTTAGCATGAGTTTTTGTCACAATAAACGCATACATGTATGCGCATTTTTACATGCACAGAAGAATCCAATGTGAAGTTATATATATATATATATATATATATATATACTTGCATAATGATTTACCTCTAAAAAAAGGAAGAAAAAAAACCAACATAAGAATTGCACACTAAATGTGCATTCTTCAACGGCTCATATTCGTATACCCTATTTATTTTTTTGTGTTTTTTTGACCTCCTTCCCCTCTTGTACTTTCTATTAACGAACCATTAATATCCTTTTACAATACGTGCAAATAAAATATGATTCAAATTTTTTTACGACCGAGTTTGAAAAGACTACTTAATATCTTCCATTTGTTAACCCACTTAAAAAAATACATAATTTAATTAAAAAAAAAAAAAGAAAGAGATAGACAGATATATAGATAGAGGGGAAAAAAAAAAAAAAAAAATGTGTGATGTGGTAATTTTGTGTAGAGTCAGTGATGGGATGACCTTAGTTGAAACGAACAGCGAATCAAAAAACATCGCACACAAAATTGAGTTAAAAAAGTTATGTAAGAGACTGGAATCCTTTCCAAATTTGTCTACCGTGACATCAAATCAGTTCAACTATCAGTAAGTACTGGGAAGCATAATCTGTTTGTAAAAGAAACGCAAAACAAAATACTACACGACAAAAATAAATATAAGACAAAAATGGGAAAGAATGACAAAAACAAATTCCAAATGCCAGTGTCAAAAGAAACTATGTTTTAGCGTTTCCAAATGTGCACACGTTTTAGACAACTCACCTGAAATAGAACGAACAAATTGTGAATTTTCCTTTGGAAAAAAAAGAAAAAAAAAAAAAAGAGGGACCTTACCTTTTCTGCTGTTTCTTCTACTCAGTGAAGATATTATTATACGCACCATATATTATCTTTCTCTTTTCCTTTTTAGCTTTCTTATAGAAAATGGAATAGCATATATAGCAGTTTTCCCTGTCACTTATCCGAAGAAATTAGCTTTTTTGTTTTTAGGCGACATTTGCAAACAGTTTAATGAAGGTTATACACACTGCTCTTATTTCTCAATTCGTATCACTCATCTCGCATCTCTTATCTCTCATCTTTTTCCTCGCGTGTTTCGTCTGTTTCTTGTTTTGCACAAGTACCTTTCTGTCCAATTATTCTGTACAAAGTGCGTGCTCATGCATCCATGTGGGTCAAGCAGTGCAACCGTTGTGATTTGTGCACTAGATATTTTTGTGTTCCCTTTCCCTTGTATGATTTTTTTTTTTTTTTTTTTTTTTTTTTAACATGGCTTTGTTTTCGTTTTTTCCACGCACAGAACTGATGATACAATATGGAACCCATTCGATTGATTATAGATCCATTATCGAAACAATTGAGAAACCTTACTCCTTCATAAAATTCGGTAGGAAGTTGTGACTATACCTGATGTATCTCATGAATGTTGCTCTTTATGTTTATATTTATTTTATCACGTTTTTATTCCATCTTCCCCGTTTCTTCCTCCCGAATTTGCTTTTTTTCACAACTTTATTATTTCTCCTCTCATCCACAACACTCGCCAAGATAGAAAAATTTCAAAGATAAAACAAGAGTATAAAGATCCGAGATCTAATATTGCCATAAAAAAATTAAATGAAAGTTTGAATGAAGTTAGCAGCATAATGAAAAAGAACATAGACGATATTCTCTTACGGGGAGAGAACCTGGAAGGTCCGAATATTTACACGTAGCATTTGTGGCAACTGCAGTTGTTTTTTTTTCAAGTATCCGTAGTTGTTGTTTCATATCTCCCTCCTGTAGTTTCTGTTATATTCCCTTTTATTATTTAACACCGTGATCTGTTCATTCCTTCGTTCACGCATATATGTGTGAAGAATTTACTCTCTTCTCCCCTAAGTATTACTCAATTTTCTTTTACTTTTTCACATTCAGACGTCGGAAGGAAAGCCTTCAATTTGAAGTATGAATCAGAAAAGGTACGACATAGTTTGCAATTCTATCAGAGAATGCACACGTGAGTATATCTTAATTTCTTTGCAATATTAAACAGTGTTGAGTGAACCATATGACACACTGTCTATATTATATACATTCTATCCCCTATGCAATTTTTCGGCTGGCTTTTTATTCCTCTTCTCTCCTTTTCCATATGCAGTTTAAAAAAGTGTCAAGAGTTCTAAGTCTGAGATATACCTTGTACCAATACGGAATCCTAGTCTTTGTAATCTTTTTCTTTTTTTTAATAATAATATTCAAAAATTATTTTTAATTTCTTATCCATAAAATTTTATTTCCAATTTTTTTTTTTTTTTTTTTTTTATGTTTTTGTACCAAAATTTAACCCACAGCATATATATATGTTTAATAATTTTAAAAAGCATTGTATCCAGGTCGAACGGGTCTACTCGCACATTTAGCAGCGTAAAAAAAAATGTGCGGAGTGGAATATGTGTGTATATACAGCGGTAGACACATATGTGTGAGGGGGTATGAAGCCAATGGAAAGGTAATAATTCTTTGTCCGTTTAATCGAAAAGAAAAAAAAAAAATTAGGTATTAAAATATTTCTATTAACGCCTTTACATATTTTACTGGTAAAGTGGTTCCTATTGATCTGTACAGGTGTGTTATCGTTACTTCGTCCTCTTGGTTAGCTGGCTTTATTCGCAAGGTTATTATTTCTCCGCGTTTATTTTACATTTCTGTTCGTATCTTTCTCCCAGACAAGTTTTTCTTTTCTTTATTTTATTTTCTTTCTTCCATATTCTTTCTTTTCTTTTCTTTCTTTTCTTTTCTTTATTTATTTTTCTTTATTTTATTATTTTTTTTGTTTTTTCCTTCTATCACCCCCCTCCCTATCGTTTAACTACATAAGTGTGGCAAAGTATCACTGGTGAAATATAATAAGTGAATTTCAAATCTTGTTTATGCTACTAAGAGGATATGGTTTCTCATCGAGTATGCAAACACATGTGCATATAGAAGGATGCATACATGCAATAATACATTCCCATTTTGTACATATAAGGAATATTATCTTTCCTTTCCCTTTCTTTGTGCTCTCTTTCTCCTTGTCTTGTTTCGGTGAAAATGTTTTGCATGTGAGTTGCGCTCCCAACACAATATATGTCTGATTGCGTATGAAACTGAAGAACCTAGAGTGTCACCTACTTTCTCATTGTTCAGCCCGAGGAATTGCTAACGTGCGTGCGTGTTCATGCAGATTTGTACATATTTGTGTCTATCTACGTTTTTTCGCTACTTCACTTTTTCTCTTCTTTGCTTCTTCACTTTTTGGAGTCTTCCTTTCTGAATGTTTGTTGTACACATGTGTGCGTTCTTGTAGCTCGCGCCTATCGATCATTTCTCTAAAGTGTGCGCAACTTCCATTTTGACATGAAGAAACGACTTAAGCTTGTTTTCATTTCCCTTTGTGTTGTCGCCCTCAGTTGTCCAGGTAAATTATATGCGAGAGTGAAAGAGAGCCTGAAAGAGAGCCTGAAAGTGAGCCCAAAAGACCCAATGCAATCTCAAATGTAAATCTCAATGCAGGTGGCAATTCGCACAAAAAAGACAATATCACTCGGAAGAGTGAGGAAAGAAAAATAAGCAAATACAACTTTGCTTCTTTGAGGAAAAAACTGCACATAGAAAATCAAGAACAGGTGAAGGGGAAATCAGGTGCTGAGACAAACGAACCGAGAAAAGAGAATGAAGGTAAGGACGAAAAGGAATTTACCCATGTTCAAACAAAGACTGGAGAGGAAAAACTCACCATAGAGAAGGAATATGAAAAATGTATCAATATGATTGAAAATGAATTTAAAGATAAGAAAGTCAAAGGGGATTTGAAAATTAAGGAAGAGCTAGAAATGTTGTGTTTGAAAAAGAGAGAGGAAGATGAAGTAGAGGAGAAAAAATTAGAAAGAGAAAAATTAAAAAAAGAAATGGAACTTAAAACGAATGGCAACGTAAAACTTCAGAGCGACTGGAGGGTGCAAGAGGAACACCGGAAAAAGGAAATAATATCAAATTTGGGCCTGTCCAACAATCTTGATATTTCGCTAGAAATTTTGAGTGAATCCCTATCAGAGGTAAAAAATTGTATGCGCAATTATTCAGAAGCGTGTCCGCTAAATTGGAAAATAAGTGAAAACAATAAAAACGTTTGCAATGCACCCGATTCGTATATAGGTCCCTGTGGAAGACAAATGAGTAACGATATAGATGTTAGTGAAAAAATTGAAAAGGAGAAAACGTGTTCCATATTTTGGCCATGTGATTATGCATGCACCCAAGATTTTGAAAATTCAGTGTGTCCATTAGGCTGGGTTATGGGAAAGAGTGGTGACTATTGCATATCCCCAGATGGATACACAGGAAGTTGCTTAAAAAAAATAAAATTTATAAATATGAGTAGTAAAGAAAAATCTATATACTCCAATCTATGTGACATTAGATGGCCATGTAAACAAAAATGTACACATGATTATTCTGTTTTATGCCCCGATGGGTGGGTAGAAGGATCTGATGGATACTGTTTCGCAACGAGTAACTACAAAGGAAATTGTGAAAAAAAAATTTACTTAAAACATCTCGATGATGTCATGAAACAAATGTATGAACACAAATGCCAATTCAACTATCCTTGCATTAATTCTTGTGAAAAAAATTATGATGATATATGTCCCAAATTATGGATACCAATTAATGATAAGGAGTGTGCACCCACAGAATACTACAATGGAAATTGTAAAGATAATTATATTTTCGTGGGTAAAAATATGGAAGAAGAAAAAAAGGAATTTGAGAAATTCTGTCATGTATCTTATGCATGTCTTAAAAAATGTGACAGAGATTATTCTTTTAATTGCCCAATTGGATGGGGAGAAACAATAAGTTTTTGTTTAGCCCCTTCTTCATACCAATACAATTGTGATAGAATGATGAAGAAAAATATGAACCAATGGGAAAAAATTCAAATAAGCAAAAAATGCCTTGTTTTTTGGCCTTGTTCAAACTATGAAATACTTTTAAAAAATTTGTTGCATAACAATATTTCTCCTTCAGATTATTTGTCAGTTGTAAATGGTCCCGTTGATGATGCAACGGGAGCAGTGATACATCCCTCATGAGATTCAGATGTGTATGACGTTACCCCGATGAGAGCAGATACTCCAACATTACCCAAGTGGTGCAATGTTGGAAAGAGGATTTCCCCTTCTCATTCGTGTAATATGCAAAATTGAGAAGCAGAATGGCAATGAAGGGAGTTCCTCCCATGTGCTTACAAAGTTCTATCACAGTTTTATCATAGTTTTTTCACTTTTTAATTTTTCCCTTTTTCCCACAATTTAATACTTCAAAAGTATAATGACTTTAGGTGCGTTTTCCTTTTTATTTTTATGTTTGTGCTTCTGTGGATGAGCGGGGGGGTGGGGGGAGGCAGGTGGAATCATGAGAATACAAATTATTTTTTTACCAAGTAGCAATAGCACACCACGACACTGTTTTATATACAACGAAAAGGAAATGGAAAAAAAAAAAAAAAAAAAAAAAAATACAAAACAAAGTCAAAGCCAGTGTCAAGCCAGTGTCAAGCCAGTGACGATAATTTTATTCTACGTACATTTCTGCGTGTACTTTTTTTTCACAAAGATTATTACCTTCACAATTAATTTCCCGTTTTGTAAATATATATTCGTCCGTCCATGTGTGGGCGTATGTGCACTTATTGAAGTGATTACCTTATTTGTGTATTTACTTGTTACCTACAGAAAGAACTATTTTTTTTTTTTTTTTTTTTTTTTTTCCTCACTCTGACACAAGTGATATAAAAAAACACAGTTTATGCGATTTCCTTTAAAAAGCAATGATCCTTACAACGTAATATTGCACGCGTTTATAGCTTACGAAAAATAAAATAAAATAAAAAAAGAGATAAGCAAACAGAAAGAGAAATCAAGCAATAACAAATGATACAGAGAAAAAAAAAAAAAAAAAAAAAAGTCAATCAACCTAATAACGAACAACAGATAAAACACAAATTCTTGGCAAAATTTAAGTAGAAAAAAGTGTAAACATAAAATATATATATATATATATATACTTATACACTTACGAAAATTCCAGATACCACATCGCAGAATATATACATGCAGAAAAATATCGCAAATATTGCCCAGCCGCGTGGGGAGAGTTTCTAAAACTACACAACTTATGAGCCTTCACCACGTCATGTTTCAAGTGAGAAAATATTTTCATCAAGCATCTTTCACATCCAACCTTCAAATCCACTCTTTGCAAGTGTACCCTTCGTTCGAAAGCTTTTTTTTTTTTTTTCCCCTGCTACATCAACATTGTTACATATAATATATACTGAAAAAGGAATATGTAATTTTTTTTTTTTTTTTTGTTGACGAAAGATAAAAAATCAAAACCCCAATCCCAATAGAAGATATATATTTTTACAAGTATAAATAACCATCAATCATATTCACGAATTATATAATCAATCATATCATCAATCTTATCACCAATCATATCTCAAAATTCTGGTGAAGAGAAAATTTTACACCTTGTGCAAACGTTGAAACAAAACTGAAAACAAATTCATTAGCGAAATTTTAATTTCTCTTGGGAATGTAACATCATTAATCTAACACAGGTGAGCCACTCACATAAGCTAAAAAACCTCACTTCCCTACCTGTCATTATCAGTAACATAACAACATCCCAAACGTTATCAGCACACGATAATAACTCCTCCCTCCTCCCCCCTCGGGTGTAAAGAAAAAATGAATATCGCTATCGATGAGTATGGACAACCGTTTGTAATTCTGAAGGAAGAAGAAAAAAAAAGGATTAAAGGAATCGAAGCGCACAAGAGTAACATCCTAGCAGCAAAGGTAGTTGCTGATATTTTGAAAAGTTCAATTGGACCTAGAGGTATGGATAAAATTATTGTTAGTGAAGACAACAATGTGACAGTAACAAACGATGGAGCGACAATATTAGAAAAAATAGATGTGCAACATGAATGTGCAAAATTATTAGTAGAATTGTCAAAGAGTCAAGATAACGAAATTGGAGATGGAACCACAGGGGTTGTTATTATTGCAGGAGTTTTACTAGAAGAAGCATATGCCTTAATAGATAAAGGTATACATCCATTACGAATTGCTGATGGATTTGAAAATGCTTGCAATATAGCATTAAAAGTTATTGAAGAGATAGCTATAACTGTTGATATTGAAGAAAAGAATCATGAAATTTTGAAAAAATTGGCTAGCACATCACTCAGTTCAAAAATTGTTTCTAGCAAAAAGGATCTATTATCAAATATTGTTGTAGATGCAGTTCTCTCCGTTGCAGATATGAAAAGAAAGGATGTTCGATTTGATTTAATAAAAATTGAAGGGAAAACAGGGGGTCTCTTAGAAGAATCAACTCTTATCAAAGGAATTGTTTTGAATAAAGAATTATCTCATTCACAAATGTGTAAAGAAGTGAAAAATGCAAAAATAGCCATTTTAACATGCCCATTTGAACCACCCAAACCAAAAATAAAACATAAATTAAATATAACCAATGTAGATGCATATAAGGATTTACAAAATATTGAAAAAAAATATTTCTATGATATGATAGATTCTTTGAAAAAAGCAGGAGCCAACTTTGTCATATGCCAATGGGGATTTGATGATGAAGCGAATTATTTATTACTCAAAGAAAACATACCTGCTATTAGATGGGTTGGAGGAGTTGAAATGGAGTTAATAGCCATTGCAACAGGTGGGAAAATTATCCCAAGATTTGAAGATATTCATGAATCAAAATTAGGAAAAGCAGAATTGATAAGAGAAATTACCCACGGAACTGTCAATAATCCCATGGTCTTTATTGAAGGATGTTCCAATACAAAAGCAATTACTATTTTGCTAAGAGGTGGAAATCAAATGATGATTGAAGAGTGTGAAAGAAGTGTACATGATGCACTCTGTTCTGTCAGAAATCTAATTAGAGATAATCGTATACTACCAGGTGGAGGGGCAAGTGAAATTTATGCTGCACTCGAGATTGAAAATGTTGCGGATAAATGTAAGGGGATAGAACAATATGCCATTAGAGCCTTTGGAAATGCTCTCCTTTCTATACCTATAAATTTATGCAATAATATGGGTCTTAACAGTATCGATATAATCTCAGAAATTAAAACCAAGATTATTCAAGATAAAAAAAAAAACTTAGGAATTGATAGCCTCAATTACAGGGTTGATGACATGATAGAGAAGGGAATTTTCGAAACATTTAATTCCAAGTACAATCAATTCTCTCTAGCTACACAGGTCGTCAAAATGATACTTAAAATTGACGACGTCATTGCACCGAATGACTTTAACTAGGGAACCATGAATTTGCTCTGTTCCACAAACAAAGGGAACGTATCAAAGTACACTTGACAAAATATACACATGCAAAAGCACACTGTTTCGCGAGTCCTTTTTGAGTACCATTGTTACAAGCAGGTCATACGTCAGCCATTTTGGGTCACGAATATTTACTCCCATTTTATCTTGTTCTCTTTATGTGTACTTCATTGTGCAAACTCATTATATTATTCCATACCAATCTTGCTTTTCATTAGTCATCATTTTTTTTTATTTTATTTTACCCAGTTAGGATAACTTATTTGGAAGAAGCGCAGTTGGGTACAAGAGTGCTCAGCACCTCTCACTTTCCACATATAATTGTTTCTCCTCTCGAATGTGCAATTTTTTTTTTATTTTATTCTGCTTCATTCTGTTATATTTATTTTATTTTTTTCCCTATCCTGTTGGAATTCAGTGGGCTTATATTATGCAAACTTGTTTTAGCGGATAACTGAATGCATGCCTATGTGCATGCCCGTGAATTGAACATTTCTATTCGAATAACCATTAAGCTACACCTTCCACATCATATAAAATGACATGAAAAACATACTATAACAACATCACTCAGAAACGTAAATAAATTTTTTTTTTTCTTTAATTGTTATATTAAAAATGGTTATAAAAAAAATGAACCATTCTTGTTGAAAAATAAAGTAAAATAAGTATCACAATAATTATGCCATATCAAAATATTCTGTCGAAAGAGAAACAACATAAATTTCATCCTATCTTGAGAAACCCTATTTTCAAAATGTTCCTTCTTTAGCGTGTGTGTGGGGTGAGGTTACAAGAGTAGTTAGCGACTATCACCACAGCTCATCAATTTCTTTTCTCATTTGTTCGAGGGATTGAGGTATTTAACGCAGTGCTAAAGTAAAGAAGTCAAATAAAATGAAGGGCAAAAAATGAAAAGCAAAAATACAAGGGAACAAAAAACACCATTCGCTGATACCTCTTCCATTGCAAGCAAACGTAACAAAATCCTTTACCTTTAAATTCACAAATTAACAAAAGGAGCACTTTTCTGCCATGTGTACATATATATGTACAACACCTTACATTATATGTGCATCATAATTTGCATCTAGAAACGGTCCACAAGTGTGTTCCTCTGTGAGTAGTGTGAATATTATTACACATTATGCTCCTTAGTCCTACATAAGAACAGTATTGAACAATTGAATTTTTGATTAATGTTGTTATTAAGAGTTTTATTTAAAAATGTACAATAGTATACATAATAGTATACACAATAGTATGCACACACAATATGCGTGCAAAATGTGTTAAAAAGTTAGGTCAAGGAAAAACACTCTTCTAATTATAAGTAATTATAAGAGCAAGTAAATTAGATGCACAAAATGCATGGATGATCGCTATTCTCAAATGTGTTACACACATTGCTTTCAAAAATGATACACGTAATACGTGAAAACGAATAATACACAAGGATTGCATATTTTGCACGTGCTTCCATATTGTATCCTATACATATGAATAGAGAGCAAATAACCCCCCTTCTACCTCTTACAAGGATGTATCTTTACAGTATACACTAATTATATTAAATTAAAAGATGATAACTACAAATATGTCACCATGCATAAACAAAATGAAATAATAATACATGGAAATGAGTAAAAAAAACCCTCCTCATAACTATAAAAACATAGATATGATATTGGAAAAAGGGCGATGGATAAAAGATTTTTTTTTTTTTTTTTTCCTCTTCCAATGTACATAGTGAGAAAAAAAATACGAATTTTTGTGTGCAGCAAAAGTCGTACTTTATATATATATATATATATATATATATGTGTAGCTCTTATAAACTGTATAAACAGGAACTAGGCATTATACAAGACACTGATTACACACACACATGTCTTCCCCTGTGTCATTCTCCGTTTCTTCAAGGCCTTAAAATATTTCTGCAACTTCTTTGGTTGGATGATACACAATTGGAAATTTTCAGATTCTCATTGCAATTTCTTCTTTCATACTGTGTCATTGTTAAATCACCTTGCACACTTTGGATGGGAATTAAACCTTGGCCATATGCTTGATTGTCGTCATAATGGGACACACTGTTGTTATTTCCATTCATTATAGTAATCGAAGTCTTACCTTCTTTTCTGCATATACTGTTGTGCGATGCTGCTGTATAATTCATTTTGAATCCCCTCCTTTTTCTATTCTCCTCCTCGTTCACAATTTTGCTCTTCACTTGTACCAGATAAAGACCATTTGCTAATATGGAGGAAGATAATATTTCTTTCAAAACTTCTGCTTCCAAAGTACTTAAGTCAGGATTATATATTCCTGCAAATTCGTATTCACCATTTTGCAACACATTCATTCTGTAATTCCCATTTGGTATATTGTTATTATCGTTCACTTTAATATCTATAATTGTCTCTCTCACAATGCGCAAGATCTCGGGTCCATCTATTAGTTCCACTTTCTTCAAAACGATGACCTTATTTAATATCTTATTTTCCTCTACTAATGAAGATTCTGCTTCAACGAGTTCCGAACCACTAGGTTGTCTATCACTGATAGTGGCTTTTTTCTCTTGTATTACCTTACCTGCTAGATTTAATACATTTGCCTTTTCAATGGTGACCTTATACCTTCTTCCTTTCTGCATCTTTTCTTGAGACAATAGCATAACATTCTTCAATAAAGAAGAGTCCACTTCTTTTCCTTGGGCATCTTTTCCAATATATATATTTCTATTTTCATCTATTACATGTATGTAATAGTCTCCAATTGTTATGTCTCTTCCAACAATTAGAGAGAACTCTATTCCAAACACATTATCATTTGTTATGACATCATTATCCTTGTCATCACTTACACTTTTAATAGTTACATGGTAATAACTCTCCTGTGCTTCCAATGCTTTATTTAACATTTCATTAAGCTTCTTATTATTATCCTCATCATTTTGCCCCACCACATCATTATCTACGTAAATGTCAATATAGAAATCTAACAAAGTTCCATAAGAGTGATGATATGCCCACGAGTATTCTATCAGCATTCTTATATACTCTTTGTTTATATTGGGTCCATAAATATTTGTTATGAAATATGACCCATTCAAAACTTGTACATAATATCGTCCGTTACTTAATCCCGTCGCTTGACCATACAAGACTTTTTTTAACTCACACTTATTTCCTCTTCCATCATTGTGCAAAGAGACATATGCGTAAAAAGGGCGATCACCTTTATGCAAATCACTTGGGTGTTCAATAAAATCTCTATTAATGCTACTACTACTACTATTGCTACCACTCCTTTGTCCTTCTTCTTCTTCGTTGCTTTTTAAGTGTTCCCTGAATGCGTCATCAATTTGTTTTTTGTTCTCGTCTATTAAGTGTTGATGCTCCTTCTGTGCATTATATTTTTGAATAGAGTATGGATTGTCGAAATAATCTCCTTGTTTGCTTAAAAAAACTTCGTCTATATAAACAAAGTAATTATCGTCTTCCAACTTTCTTCCTGATATTTTCACAATATTTTCAATATCAGCCGAATTCATTCTTTCATCTCCCCTTGATATATAATTAATTGAGTATTTTTTATCCTTGTGTGTCATGTAATATTGTCCTGGTTTCACGTTAAATCCGTGTAAGATATACGATTCGTTGAATAGAAGTATGCCTTCATCGTCTTCTGACGAACTAATTATTTCCACTGAATAACCTTTAATTACATTATTCCCATAATGTTCTTCGTTTTTATTCACAGAAACGGAATCTATGGTTTCAGTTAAAACTATCTGATCAGTATTCATTACGTCATTTACATCTACTATCTCGTCATTTGAAATTTCTACATAATAGGACCCGTTACTTGGCTTCTTATATAACAACTTAAACAAGTCTTCGAAAAAGTACTCATCCCGAGTAAGACTTTGTGCTGCAAGATGATTACTCGCAGCGGTTAATGCATCTTCACCACTAATCATTGTATTGATCTCATCTGAAACATATTTTTCTCCATTGATCTGTATGAAATACCTAGAATCGGTTAATCCTTTCTTTCCAATAAACTTTATTACTCTGTTTTTTATATATAATGGCATTCCAGCATTGTCTAATTTATTTATGACAAGACTATAAACTTTCTCATTGTCACTATCACTCATCAATCCGACATGGGAAGTTTTGAAATTTTCCACCTTCTTAAGTTGTACATTAAACATGTAATTCTCGCTCTCTTTTACTTCCCATGCTTTGTTAATGCACCATTTGAACAATTCTGTATTTTTCAAAGGGACCTGATCAACTGTATGTGCTATGTATTTTCCTTTATTTATAAATACGTTATAATTTCCTTGTTCTCCATTTAATTCTTCATTTTGCACATTGATCACCTTTCTAAATTTTCTACCATTGCTTAAAGTGTTAAATGAATTTTCTACAATACATACAAGGGTATAGTTGCTATTACGCCTGTTTCCTCCTCTAAGATATGATTCATCAAGTTCCTCATTTTCTTCACTTTGGGTCAGATGTATCCTCTTTTTAATATTCAATTCATATGTACCATTCTTTAAAACTTTTTCATTCATCATGTCTTTGAGAAATCTATTATTTAGGACACAATCTCCTTCCAAGCACGTTGCCATAAATATCCCATCCTTCACTACTACTTTAGCTATGCTAGAATTTAAGGTTCCCGTGAGTAATGTGTACTTATCTTCGTACGCATCTTCTTTGTTTTCCTCATTTACATCTTTCCTCTTAATGCTTATCAAATAATCAACTCGTCTATTGTATTTCCTTTGAGCATACTGAATATTACCTGGCTTTAGTTGTTCTTTGGCAGAATCGATAGTCACTTTTGGAACTGCAGATGGTGCGGTTTCTGTTACTGGTGAGTTTTCTGTAACCGGTGCAGTTTCTTTAACAGGTGCAGTTCCTGTAACCGGTGCAGCTTCTGTAACCGGTGCAGCTTCTGTAACCGGTGCAGCTTCTGTAACCGGTGTTACATTTTTTGCTTTTTCTGATACTACCGCCGATTGTCCGTTTTTCCCAAACAAATTCACGTTAAATCCATTTTTCCTAAAATTGTAAATGCTATACTTGTCGTATGCCGACCCATCTTTATTTACCCTTTCCACTGACATCTTCATATCAGGGATTTTTTTCTTAGCTTCATCTGAGTCAACGATTTCTTTACCATTACTAGAAATTTTTACCATATAGTTTCCCTTGTATAGTCTCATTTGCTCACCTATTTTTTTGTATATCTCATCGAACGTTTCCCTGTTCATCAAATGTTTCTCTTCTGCGTCAGTGAGATAAGTGTCCTTATCAGACACGGTTAAAGATATTACACCCTCTCTGACGATGCACGACGTGTGAACAAGAAAAAAACACTCCTCCATAGAAGTCAAGTCTTCTATGTTTCTACTCGTACTCTGTATTGTGAGCATGAAAGATGTGCACACCTTTATATTGTTCTTTGAAGGGGACACAGTGGGTGTTGTCGTTGGTGCAACTTCTGGGGTTATGGGTACGGTATCTTCAGATGTATTTCCACTCACGGCGTTGCTACCTTCAGTACTTTCGCTACTTCCGCTACTCTCTACCTCAGGTTTCTTTTCCTTGTCAAGGTTCACCTCGTATTTATTGCCATATATATCTGTTATGACTATCTTTATTAAGGTACACGACTTTGCAAGCATCAAGGAGTATATATTATGTGTAGTTGCGTTGTTTAATCCTTTCATCCTACTCTGCAATGTTAACAAAGTAAGAGACCTCTCTTTGAATAAATTTTTGCTAAACGGGAGATTTAAAAACTCCGAATGTTTCAATTTTCTTGGGTATTTATATGCCAAGTAATCATCAATTGTGTAAATTATGGTATTCATTAAATATGATCTCAATGTGAACAATGGCTTCACAACATTGTAAGGATCTGCATGCAAAATAACAGGACCACATACATCTATTTCATACTCTGCGAATTTTGAACTGATAGTGTTGTTTATCAATTTTACTTTTATTTGAACATCTTCTACTTTAGGAACAACTACTTTATCATTTTTTACCTCGTATATAGGTCTTATAGGCATGTTTTCATATATATGTGTTCCAACAATGCCATTCATATTAGTGTCATACTCAATCACATACTTGTTGAATTCATATACTCCATTTTTTATATGCATTACTGGTACATTTCTACACACTAAGTATACAGTATTTGTCTCTAAATTAAACTTCTTTGCAAAACTCGATGTGTCATAATTCTTATGAGGGTAACATTTCAATACAAATTGATTGGTATTGTCAAAAGTATTGGCTATTAGCCCTATATACATAACATTTTTAAGAGATAGAAAATTATGTGGGGATAGAACAAGTATACCGCTTAGATATTTCCCAACTGAATCGCTATGTCCTTCATATAAGAATACATTGTTGAATGAGTTATATACATCTGGCTGCTTTTTAATATATATAGCACTATCTGTGTATGTGAAGCTGGGTACATTATATATCAAAATGTCATCAGGTTTGAACAATGGTCCGGCATTCGAAAGTGTAGGTAAAGATGATATACTTCCTCCATCACTTTCAACAGCAGCACATGTGTTTCTATTCTCTATGTAACTTGTTATCATGCGATGAATGTCCTTAAAATCAGTTTTAATCGCGGCCTCTATTAACACGGGATCTTTTCCAGTCTTATCTTTCAAATCGCTCAAGTTCTTTAGCAGTTCCATGTAAAAATTTACGTTAAATTGTATTATTGATTGTTCCTTTACATTTTTAAATCTGAGCATGTTTTTCTTTATGTGGATCGATTCTAAATTGGTAATGACGAGCATTGCCTCATTGGACGACGGCAACTTAGTGTCATTTAACTCTAGAATTTCCAAATATATTGAGTTATTTCTAATAATCTCGTTCACTTGAGGCGGTACTGATATGAAATAATATATCAATGATAATATTTCTTCTCTTGTTAGAGAATTAGCAAATTCTTTGTTCAACTGATATGGTAGTATATTGCTATCCATTTGGCCAAATAATTTCACCAAGTCATCCCTCTCAAAATTGCAAATTTGAAGTACTTCTTTCAAAATGGCACCTCTGTCTATGCAGTAATGGGTGTCATAAAATATGTTCGAAATGAGAGATTGATTATCATTTGGGATATGCAATTGACCTTTGTTCAAATACAAGGTACTACAGGACTTGCTTCCTAAATTATGTATTCCAATTGAATATACTACCTCCTCTACTATCAAACGAACTGTTCGATAAATGTCTGCAGACATTATATCTCCTCCCATATTCAGTTGAAATCTTTTTGACAATGTTAAATAACTGTTATTAATCATGTTAGCGATTTCTTCCTTGCTCTTGAAAAGTATGTCCTTTCTCTGATAATTTTCCAAGTAAGATACATAGTATGGGGAAAACCCTTCATAATCAAAATCGGGATTATGACATACTTGCAGTCCGTTATGATAATGATGACACTCTAACATTTTATCATAATACATTTCTGGCACTGTGAGATGGGGTATTTTAATTTCTGTATTCAAAATCATGCTGTATGGGTGCACAAAAAATGTTTGATATTCTACATTTATTTCCCTTACTAAATTGTCACCTGCTTTTGATACTATTATAACTTTTTCTAACATAAAGATTGAGTTACTATTCATGTTGTCTATGTACGTGCTGAACACCACAGTTTTGTCTGTCATATTGTGTGGGGCACCACCCTTCAGTAGTAATACTCGTTTTAGCTCTAAAATCTCTTTTTTGTTTATCTCCCCTACAAAGGGAATGGACAAGTTTCTAAATACGAAATAAACGGTATAATTGCTGTTGTTACCCATATTTACCTTTTCAATGTCTTCATTGCCTACTACACTAGGGAGAAAAATAAATTTTTCCATCGTAATCGACACTAATGCTCCGTGTTTGTCAAACTCTGTCGCAAATTCTGTGATCACATTTTCATTGTGATTTATCAAGTCCAGGTTAATACACTCCATGTCTACGTACATAGATTGCATTGATGATTCTTCTTTAGATACGTATCCTGATTCATTCATTATTTTCTTAGTCATGTATGAAATGTCACTTAAGCTCCAATTTACACCTAATACAACGGATGATAATACTTCACGACCTAACAATTTCTGCACTATGCTATGTCCCTTTGTTGATAATGCATGGGCATCATTATCACTCACAAATTTCTTGTCATTTATTATATACTTATAAAGTATGTGATACTTCAATGAATTTTCTACTTCATCCACAAAATTAGAACAACACAAAGCCTTCTTCTTTATTACAAGAACATCATGCTTTGACAAGTAGTACGCCATCTCGTTGATCACGTATTTCTTGTTAACATACTTAAACTCATCAATGTAAACGAAATATTTAATTCCAGCAAAAGGGGTGGTGGTGTTAGGTTCATTTGATCCATCTTCTACTGATGTGCAATAGCCACTACCGGATTTGTATAATTTCTTTGTATAAGACGATGTTAACTCCGTTATATATGCAGCAAGCAATGAAATTTCATTTATTAGTGTATCATATCTCGTTGTGTGACTTTCCAATGATATCTCAAATTTGTCTTTTAACACAGAGCTTATACTTTTCACAACAGCTTGATCGACTGGTTTTAACTTGTCCAAATTCTCCAAAACGAAACTGTCAATTAATTTAATTCCAGTTAATTCGTAAAAAAATGAATAAAAGTCGTAACTATTTGACAGATATGCCACCTTAAACATGAGTATGTAAACATTGGAAAAATACTTATTCGGGTGTTCAAGATTTCTATGTGCATACAATAAGTTTAAGTTGTTTTCATCAATGCTCACATTTAATTTATACTTTTTAACTGCTTTCAACGGGGCATGTGATTCATATATTTCCATATTTACCAAGTCAAATACATCGTGTGAATGTTCGTGTTTTTTGAAAAAGTTCAAATGTATCTTTTTGTTCTTGTGGTGTATAAAATATTTACCCAATTTTCCCTTTAACAGTACTTCTATTATCATTTGTATCGCATCACAGTTTAGAGAGTCATTCACGAGAATGTTAAATTTATTCATCAAGTATGCATATGCCCCCAAGCATTCGTAATTATACGGAGACACGTTCACAAAGTGAGGAGAAGTTTCTTGTATGTTGTATTTTTCTTCACCCTCGTAGAAGTATATGTAATCATTTAAAAATTTCATATAAACATTGGATTTTATTTTCTCATAATTTATACTTATTTCTCCAAATGGATACAATGATATATCATTTTGTTTTGATGTCTGCACATGCGTTAACAAACCCTTGTTATCTATCACATTAACGGTGTGTACTTTCACATCAATCTGTGGGTATAACCCTTGGTGAAATTCGTAGTCCTCGTCCTCATTGTTATTATCACTGTGCAATCCGTTCTGCAACTCTCCCTCTAAAACAGTGGTGAATAACTCTTTTGAACGTCTCAAGCTAATCATGTTTGAATGATTGTTTATGTAAAAACTGTTATTGTAATATGTTAAAATATAGCTTTGCTCGTGGTGTGAAGCAATTCTATGAACACTACTCTTTCTTTCTGAATTATCTAATTTGTAGACAACTTGCAACATTTCTTCGTGTCTTTCATCAAAATGTGTCCATAGATTCAGTCCTAATCGATTATTTTTTAGAGTAGCTATATTCTCAGATACAAACCCTGCATTGCTCAATACTAACTTGGTTGTTACGAGATTGCACCTATTGATGTATTCCTTACACAATGTGTCCTTGTATACTGATGGAACCGATACGTTAGGTATGATGCGTTGAGGAACTGGAGTTAAAATACAATAATAATCTTCCATTATGTTACGAATTACGGAAGGGGTTAGCACAATTTCGGGATATGGATTGATATTTATCATGTGTACACGTAGTAATCTCGTATCAAAAACGTAACCGAAGTTATAAGCAGGAAAACAAACATTTGGAAATCCTTGATTTTCTATACATATTTCACTAATTGATATATAATCCAAGTTCTCTTTAATCATTATCGGATGCTTATTATTACAATTTTCTTTGCATTCAATAGGAAAGGAAACTTTTTTAAGTACCGTTATGTCGGTCATATTTACATCTGTTCTGTCACTCTTACTTCCAATAATTTTCATGGTTACTACAGTATTGCTATTTACATATTTCGAAACACGTTTTTTTAAATTCTTCACAACCGTATCATCAACCTTGATATGCACAAAAACGGTGTATCCGAATATGCCATTGTAAAACAACTCCAACGTGACATCCTCAAATAGGACCTTGTTCGTTAGAAGATGTTTTAACATTAAATCTTCAGTTAGGTTATGCTCTATATAAAACACTGAAAGGTTACAATCCAGCTCGTACGTGTGATACATAGTTGATATGTTTGCATAACTTTTAGTAAGCCTCATAATATTACATATGTTTTGTTGTTCTTTTCGCAACTTTAAATTTATATACTTACTTAACTCCTGGGCAATAGATTTCAAAACAACTAAACATATTTCAGATGAAGATCTAAGTATTAGTTGATTATCCTTCACTTGAGCAAAATGGTTTTTTCCATATTCTGAAACAAATTGAGATTCTTCTTGAATTATTAAAACATTATTCAGATTTATTGCCTCTGCATTAAATTCATACGCAAGAGAATTTAACAATACTGCCAACTCCTCGGCATATACATTATATTCCTGATCTACATGGGAAATATTGTTATTTTTTTGCAAAGTTAGTCCAGTAGTATAGTATAGCATATTTTCATATGAAATGTTGTACAACTGCTTAAACAAGTTAAAAAGAATTCTAAACATGTGTACATATTCCATTCTATTATCCACGTTACTTTTATAAATGTACTTCTTTTGATAAAAAACAAGACTTATGTTAATTTTGACTAAACTTCCCATAACACTTCTCCTAGAAGAATAGTAGCCTCTTTTGTACATCAAAGGATGTTCAATTATGTAATTTTTATTGCTTATTTCAATGAGATTTTTACTTTCTAAACTTTCGTCGAATTTGATAAATATCGGATTCTCTGTAAACATCATCAATGATGCCTCTGTGTTACCTCTTGTAGAATTAAATTTCTTTATAAACTTATCAACCATAAGTATGTGGTAACAATTCATGCTACGTAAATCATAATGAATGTTGTAATTATCCGAGTGTGTCATTATGATACCTGAACAAGGATATACCAATTCGTTATAGTTAGAGTATAACTGTGAGTAATGTTCAAATGTCTTTTCATTTATTTCAGAATGGAAATATAAAAGTTTGCTAAATAAATAATTTCCATGTATAAATTCCTTTTGCGGAAATGTTATTTTATTTTTTTTGTCAATTCTTACTGTGTGTATAATCCTGTCTTCCATTGATGTTAAGTCAATTTCTTTATAAGTGTCATTACATTTGTTACAGTAACATTTGTCTCCGATATCATAATCTTTATGGTATATAAAATCTGCCACTTCCAAAACAATGCTGTAATGCAATGATGGAATGTTTTTAAAAATAAAATGAACACTTCCATCAATGGAAAAGTTATTTGTTAAATTATGCATGGAGACAATATCACTAGACCCTTTTTGAACTAACGTAGCTTTAATTACATGGCCACTTATTCCATGTTTTACATATATGTGATAGTCTGTTGTTTCACAAATTCTTTCGTATTCTAAGACACATGTGTTTCCAAAGGATCTTACATCTAGGATATAACGCCTTTTTCTAAATAATGACTTTGAGTCTTTCTGTTCAATGTTTTGATAGTTGTCATTACTACTTCTAACGTTACCTTCAGTGTCAAATGCATTTGCAGTGACAGAACCAAGGTCATTATACCAAGATGGATAAACTATGCCAAAGAGGCACAGAATAAGAGCATAATACAAATTTTTAATATACATTTTTGCTTTAAATATATCTAAAACATGTGCGCAATCATATTAGTTTAATTTGTAAGTAAAATTATAACATAAATTTGATCATAATATTATTATATTTATATGCACTATATATGATACATATAACTTTACCTTTATATGTATGTAAAGGTAGACATATATATATATATATATATATATATATATATATATATATATATATGTTTTTACATTTATTTCTTTGCTCTTAAAAGAGAATTTTTATTTTATAAAAAAAAATTATGAAGAAAAAAAAAAAAATTATGCAAAAATATTTTATGAAAAAATATTATAAAAAAAAATATATTTATTTTAAAATATATTTTATTTAATAAACATATATTATTTGAAAACGAATAAAATAAATAAATATATTAATTTATTTTTTTGTAGAAATAATAATGAATTAGTAATGTTTTTTTTTTTTTTTTTTTTTTTTTTTTTTTTTTGGTTAGCCATTTTGAATAGATAGATCTTTTGACATATGTATTTTTGGCTAGCTTAGTCCTTATAAAACGGTATTAAATTTAGAATGGTACATTATTGTACTGAATATGCCTATATTTATAGATATTTTTTTTTTCCAAGTAGCTAAAAGTTCCTTCCTTTTTTTTTTTCATGTAGCCAAAATAATTTTTTTTTTCTAGGTAGCTAAAAAAAATTTTTTTTAGGTAGCGAAAATGTATATGCTTTTTTTCATATATCAAGAGAAATTTTTATTTAATTTTCTTATATTTTTTATTTTTTCTTGTGGTTGAAATGACGTTCTTGCAAACGAGGTACTTTGATAAACCGTACTCTACACATTCTAAAGTACAATTTTAAGCATTTGCAACATTCACGAATAGGCATGCATTTTGTTTTTAACATTTTTTTTATTTTAACATGATCCTGAATGGAAGTACTTACTTGTGTGCATATATCAAAAATGTAAGTGTATATAAGTGTGTGTGCATACGGAAAGGGGTATACATATATGTAAACGTATTCACATAAATTTTTTTATATTTCTCACACGATTCTCAACAGTTTAAAGCTGTTTATATATTTATCTGTGTCATTATGATAATAATTTTATATTTATATAGAATTTTAATTTTCGCAAACGAAGTATATTTAAAAACATAGATGATATAAACAAAATTATGAAATAAAAAAAAAAAAAATGTTGCCTATTTCCGAAGTTTAAATATAATATAAATTATCTAGTGTTATGGAAAAAGGATTAAAAAAAATTCCTTTTTTTATAAGATATTAGTATTTATATTCTATTCGATTGAAATGTGTCTAATTCCATACAGTTTCTTAAAATATATATATATATATATATATAAAGGGGAGAAGGGAGAATAAGGAGAGCTTTAAACCTGTTCAATGTCATAACTTTTAACTTGAGAAATTAATATTTTTGTTTTTAAGAATAAAGTATATTTATAATTATATAACAGATAAATTTGTAAATTTTCACTTTTCAATATATACATATGTCATTGAAAATCACATCCGGTGTAATGACTCCTACATACGTTGATATTGCTCTACTTACAAGTGCACTATAATTTTCAATGTAAGGTGCATTTCACTTGGACCGTTTTTCACAACTTAGTAAAAAGTTGGAAATATAAAGGAATATATTAAATATAATTTCATCAGAATAGCAGTAATAGCTTTGTATTATTTAAATGTATATAAAATAAATACATTTGCTTAATTGCCGATCAGCAAAAGAGAAAATATTCATATATAAAAACTCATGCACACACGCTGGGTTATTAGAAGTGTAAAAAAGATATTTACAAAAAATTCGTCCATCTTATTATCCATTTATAGTGAAAAATTTCTACAAAATGATTGTTTGAAATTTAAAGGTGAAAATTTATTTTTAAAGCTTATGTATGTCATTTTTTTTTTCTTTTTCTTGTTTTTTTCATTATATTATTCTTTCTTTTCTGTGTGCTCTATAATTTATATCCTAAAATGAAATGAATCATTAAAATGGCATTTGAAAGAAGGTTTAATATTTAATGCGTGTAAAATATTGATATTAGGGTACACCATTTTTTTGACATATATGGCTGACCACTTTATTTTTAAATTGTACCCTCTGGTTTAGTATACTCCTTAAGTGTACGTATAGTCCGGGGAGAAAAGCTTTTGTTTCCTTTTTTTTTTTTAATAAATTTTTTTTTTTTTTTTTCTACAAGTGGCGTACCTCTTGTATGTCTTCGGGAATATGTAAATGTAAGAACAAATTGATATAAAGCTGTAAAAGTAAATGGTAAAATTAACGAAATACATTTTCTTAAAAATAGTCTCTTTGATGCATGTAACGCCTAATTATGGATAACTTGGCATAACAAATAATGTGAACAAACATTTAGACTTTTTATTATTTTCTAAAGGTTGCTGTTTCATAAGGTACATAACTTAGTTAAATGGTTAAACGTTCAGGTATAAATATGCAAAGAAGCCTATGTATTGATTAATATTATGAAACTTGTGATATCAAATGATAAGCACGCAAGAAGTTCAGTATTTTCTTTGAGATAAGAATTGAAAAATATGCAACATTGTTGATGGTTAGATTTCGTCCTATGTTATCACACAAATTGTATGCATTGCTATGGATTAAAAAATAATTCGATTTTGATTGAAAAATGTATTATAATCTTTTTTTTAAGAACGAATTCTAAAGTCGCTATCCAAAATGGACAATTGTAAATCATGCTGACACTCACGCAGAAATGGAATTTATATCCCTGTACACTTTGATTACAACATAAACCAAGCTTTTTTTAAACACTTTATTTTCTTTTACTCGTAAACAATAACACATTGAAAACTCTCTTATACATATATGTATACCTAATAGCCTATTAAAGGTACAAGTGAACATGCAGGAAGAGGAAGCTGCTTAATTCATCCTTTATCACTTGCATGGTCTTTGTAAAAGGTGTACCTTCGTAAGAAAAAAATGACCCTTCCTTGAGTAAGCAAAATTGGAATATCGCTTACTTGAAGATTTGTAATTATTTTCCTTAGTTTCGCGAAATCTTTACATCATTTTCCCATTTCTATTCTATCACAAGCGTGTATGAGCTTTTCCCAATTTGGGATACCTCCAGAAGTAACTTCCTCAGAAACATTATATATTGTTCACAGGAAACTGATGGAAAGTAATAACATACTATAAGCCCCATGGTTATGTGTTCCAAATATGTACATGTATAAATGCTTATATGCATATTTTACCTTTAAAATGTGGTTCCACAATGTTTTTTTATTTTCTCTATGGGTTTAAGGAAACATTTGTGATGATATAGTTACACTCTCAATGGAGATTACTACTAAACATATATATATTTTTTTTGTTGTTGTTGAAGCATTTATACTTTTAAAGTGTCATGTGTATAATTATCCATTTTGCTTCAGGGGGGATATAAATGGGGTGGCGAGGGTTGCAAGGATACAGAGAAGTGTTGAAATTAAATAAAAAATAGGTACTTAATCCTTCACAATGCGCATTAGCATTCACTTTTGCGTGTACAGAATGATAATTATTCCATTGTTCTTACGTAAAAATTGTCGCATCTTTGGTAGGTTTACACCAAAAACGGACACATAAGTAAGAGAATTTTTTATGTAAGCATATTTGTCTGGTTATCATATAGGTTCACCAAAAAGGATGATCCAGAGGAGTGTGCGAGACATGTAAAATATGCCTGTGAACAACTGTACTTACCGTAGCTCCACTCCCTTTTTAAAATTATGGGAAAGGAGTTATTTTCATGTACATATATATAAAGGCACTAATTAATTGAAATTACACTGAGAATTGTTTGAAAAACCATCGAGTCTTTCGCATAGAATATGTAGGAAAAAAAGGCAAAGTTTAATTGAGGAATTGTGAAATAACATATAATTTCGCAAAAAAAGAAAAAATAAATATATAAATATGTATTTTTCCTTACAGATATGTGTAATATATATGCATATGATAAAATTTTATGTGACCTAACAACCCCTAGAAGACCTTCTTTTGATGAAAGAATACAAAAAATATATATTTGTTGTAAGTTTTTACAAAAAAGCAAACATTATTGTGATAAACAGTGACTAATGTTGAATAATTCTTCTCATTTTTGATTCCTTTTGGGGAAGACATTTTGAATTTTTTTTTTTTTTTTTTTTTTTTTTTTTTTTTGTGAACTGTTTTAATTTCATATTTTGAAGGAATTAACTTACACCATTAGAGTGCTTAGCCGAGAAGTCATGCAGGGGTAAAGGTTTTATTAGTGTACCAAATATTTGTGAGGTGGGCATTTGCTTGATAAATGTGTTTCTAACCTATAAAAATAAAATACCGAAAGGGTACATTTTGAAGCAAAAAATAAAAGAATAAATAGAACAAGCGTTAATTTTTTGCCAGAATAAACTCTCTACTATTTGAATCATCATTTCACCCCCCTTATTTGACATTAATATATACAATGTCTGAAGGTAATACATATAAATATGGAGTGTATGGTTTATGTGTTACACATTATATACCAACTTGGAACTGTATCTATACCTTTTAATGAGCACAGGAGTGCTAGCATTAGCATACTTATTTTCAATAAAAATGAAGAAAAGCCGTATAGAATTCATATAAGGGTAAATTGTGGCACACTTTTTTTTTCTTTTTTTTTTTTATCCTATTAATCTTTTTCAAAAACCTATAAAAATAGTTACGCCTCAAGGTGAGAAGGATACTTTGTATACTACAGAAAACAGGACGATTCAAACTAAAAGCATAAAATGTGAACTTAAGAAGTATTGTGTAAAAAAAAAAAAAAAAACACTTTTTTTTCCATTTCAAGGCCAGTAAATAAATACTATAGTCCATTATCTTTCCCCGTGTTAATAGAGTGCCAAGGTCTGAAATGGGGAAAAAAAGTTATCCAAAAATCTGCCCTACTTTTGTTGGCATAAAGTGGAAAGCGCTAAAAGCGTTGATGATGAAAAAAAAAAAAAGTAAAAAAAATATATTAAAAAAAAAAGCGAAAATAGTAGGTAAAAAAAAAAGTGAAAAAAAATGTAAAAAAAAAAAAAAAAAAAAAAAAAAAAAAGTGAAAAAAAAATGTAAAAAAAAAAAAAAAAAAAAAAAAAAATATAAAGTCTCCCCCCCTCAAGCCCCCTAAAAAAGGAAATGAATAAATAGCATGTGTATATGTAGAGAGAAATGGAGGAAAGTTGTGCATTTACATAAAATGGGCACATTACACTTTCATTCATTTTTCTAATTCCCCATAATTTATACACTCCTATTTCTTGGTGCCTCAGAAGAAAATACTTGTGAATGTGAAGATATAATAAAAAAAAATAGTCTTTTGTAAATATTCACCAAAAGCAGTAAAATACAGTACATAAACATGTGACATGGAACAGCACAGTTCTTATACCCTACACAGCATTCACCTAAAAATAAAAAAAAAAAAAAAAAAACACACCAAAACATATAAAACCGTATGAAACTATATCATAACACACCAAAACATATAAAACCGTATGAAACCATATCATAACACACCAAAACATATAAAAACAATATCGAAACTTACATTACCCTAACAAGGACACGCTTATTCAATACAATCAAAGTGACCCGTTTTCAGCCCATTGGGTCACATAAATTCCATCACTAAGATAAAAATGAAATGTTTTGTCATTGTAGATGCACAAAAGGACTTTCTTCCCATGGGGTCCTTCAATTCTCGAAAAGATTATATTGACGCACTGAATAAAATTAACTCAATAAGACTAAAACTACACAATTGCAATGAAGCAGATTTAATAAAATTAAAAGACTGTAAACATATGATGCAATATCAACAAGATAAATTATTGAAAGAGAACATTGTCGAATATTACCAATGTAGTAATGATATAGATGATCAAAGGATGGAAGAGGACATCCTACTCTTTCCACCTGACAGTGAAATGGCGATTAATGACCTATATGCGTGTAATGGGTTACACAACAAATCTGCGAACACGGTAGTAAACGGGATGAAAGGCATTTACAATGCTCATCACAGCAGTAATTGCCATACAAGGGAAGAGGTACGTCAAAAAAACGTTAAAAATGATTCACTGTGCGATGTTCAGAATAGCTTTCATCATGATATGCACATGAGTAATAATCACCTAAAGGAACATGGTCCCATTGTGGCAGAAATTGAAGCAGTTATAAAAGGGGTAAAAGAAAAACCAAGTCGAGTAAGAACGAACTTTGTCATGAATATTTTATCAGTAGATTATCACCCACAGTATCATGTTTCTTTTGCTGAAACACATAGAACCGTTTACGAGCAAATAAGTAAAAATTGTGGTGTAAATAAGAATAACACGAAAATGAATGGAAATGGAACAGACATGGCATCCTTTACTGAACCAATAGCATTATTAGAGGGAGAGGAGCATCTACCCAAAGACAAAACATATGAAGAAAAAGAAAAAACAAAACATAATGAAGAAGTGTGTGAAAATAATAATGAGGACGATGACATCCAATCAACGTTTCTGAAAAAACATAAAATTTCCAATCTAACGGATGTAATAAAAAACATAAGAAATATTACATCAACCAAGTATATCTACAAAAATGTCAATTCATTAAATGACATAATGGAATATAGCAAGCTAAACTTCTTAAACGAAGTGATAGATGTGTGGCCAGTTCACTGTGTTAGAGATACTCCTGGATGTAAAATTCACGAAAAGTTATTTAGACATATCAACGATATTGTTATTAAAAAAGCCGACACAGAAAATCATGATAGTCATACCATATTTGAAAATAATACAATTAATCACAAAATTTTAAAATTATTGAAAGAAAGAAATGTAAAATCGGTCTACATTTGCGGTTTTATATTCGAATACTGTGTTAAAGAAACAGCTTTATCCTTTTTGAATCATGGATTTGAAACTTACATCGTGGAAGATGCAACGGCATACTTACACGGAAGACAAGAAGATAAAGAAAATATAAGGAAAAAGGGTATACACTTTGTAAATTCTTTAACCATGTTTCTTTGATCAAGGAAAAAATAAGGAGGGAGTATATAAGTTGTAAATACACCCCAATAGGACGCTCCTGCAAAATCAAGCACTCCTGCAGTTTCCTGCATGTCAAGGTTTTTAATCCAACAAAAATTTGCTCATCTGCGCATATTCCCATCACCACTCCTATGAAAAGTCGCGCTATTTTTCCTGTTCTCAAGTTGCCACGGCTGAAGAACTCGCTCTTCACATGCGATAGGCTATTTGTATTACCATCAATTTGTCATCATAAATCCGCTCGAAAATATATTCATTCTCTTAATATTTTAGCACGAGTGGGGGCATATAGATAATGAATACCCATTTATTTCATTTCAAAATTAGAAATGAAAAAGTGGTTATAAAATGGTTATAAAAAGGAAATAAAAGGGTTATAAAGAGGCCATAAAAGGGTTATAAAGAGGCCATAAAATGGTTATAAAGAGGCCATAAAAGGGTTATAAAGAGGCCATAAAAAGGTTATAAAAAGGCCATAAAAAGGTTACAAAAAAAATGTTACATTGCGATTCAGCGTAAAAGGGGATGTAAAATGTGAGATAAAATTTTCGTTACAATGTGTGGGATGTGGGAAACAGCATAAACACGTACAGGAGGATGAACCAAAATGGAAAACTAATTATAAAATGTATTTTTTGAAAAATAAAAAAAAAGTAAAACGTAATAAAGAACATATAGTGAGTGATGCCAATATATGTAGGTATAAAGAAAAAATAGCAGAATTAAATCGATGGCGAAAATTATAAGAGAGAGAAAAAATACTTAATCCATAATGACATACCTCTATATGTGACGCCTGAACTAGCTAAGGGATGCCCCTTGGAATGTGGTTAAAATTTATTAAGCTGTTCTCTATCGAACTTTAGAGCTCTCCGCTTCCATGCCCACAAAATAAAATTTTCATTATGGCTGAGATATCTTTTATTATTTTCTAGCTTTGCCTGAAGGACAATGGAAAATGGAAAAATATTCGATGTGTCCATTCCATGTGTGTGTTGTTAAATTTGAAACTGTTATAACTACAGATGCAAAGAAGTGTTAACTTGTATGCAAATGCGTATAACATACAATACAGAAAACATTCATGAATAATTTGTACATTTTCACTATGTCCTAACATGTACATCCTAGCTCTTAATCATGCATATAAATGTAACCATAATTATGTAACTTCCAAATTGCACATACAACAATTTGTTTTTTTTTTTTTTTTTTTTATTGTGTTTGTCTCGTCATTTCACACCTTGACACATTTATCCTGAATAAGGTTATTTATTAAATTAAAATATGTCCTTTTTACCTTTTTTGTGGACTAACAAAAGAAAAATGAACAATGCACACCCGTGTGTGTGTTTGGTTATATTCATGTGATATCTATAAAGCATATGTGTCCGCCTATATGTACGTACGTATATAGATTATGCTTGTTATTGATTTAAATGTGTTCACATGTGTACAAATTCGTATAACTTACATTAATAACGATATGTTTAAACTTTTTCAAATACCTATAAAAAAAAAAAAAAAAAATTAAGTGGAATACAAAAAAAGTGATTATACTGAACAATCTATCCTAGGTTGCGATGAAACGATCATAATGAACATAGTCTTCAAATTATTGCCAACCCTGAAGATCTAAAAGTGAATTCTCTACATATACGCGGACATGTACACTGAATGGATATGTTACAAGCTAAACTCTGTAACTTACAAAATTTATCATCGTAAGAGAAAATTTTCGTACTCTCTCTCTTGCACTCAGGCAGATCTCCCCTTCCTCACCATGTCAAAACTTCAGTGTCTGTGCATCTTTCCTTCTTTATATTTGAAATATAATAACACGTGAAAAAAGCAAAATGTACATATTTCTCATACTCTAGGGTGTAATTTTTGTCCTACAGTTTTTAGGGGCAAGGGATGACCAGTTGCAAGTATGACTAGGAGAGGGGATGTCTAAACGCGACATTCGCGCGATACACAAGCGTATGATTGTGCTTATATATTTACACACATTTATAGAAATTTATATTATTTACACATATTTATACTTATTAACAAATATTTACACATATTCACACATATTTATACTTATTAACACATATTTATACTTATTAACACATATTTACACACACAGATGAGCAGTCGTGTGGGTTTTTTATGACCTACCTCTATGAGGGAATTTTTCGAGTACCCGCTGTGTGTGTACTCATTTCCGCCGAACGCAATATCAACATTCATTTTCTTGTGTTGGAAAAAAGGGGAAAACAAAAATTATCACTTAGGATTAAAAAGATATTTGCATGCCTGTGTCCCATATGTATACTTTCGTTCCAAAAATGCGTATAAAATTAACATTCATGCAAATACATATGTGTGCATAACATACATGTGCATACATATGTATTCAAACGTGTGCATATATGTTCACCTAAAACCGGAAGGATTTGTTCAATCGATACAATTGAACTCGGAAAATTTCATACGGGAAATTAAAAACGGGCACACGTAATGGGGCACACTTTATTTACTCTTTTTTTCAAAACATATTTGTCACACTGTGATTTGTTACGCTGATTTATCGCACTGTTTAGTCACGCTGATTTGTCGCACTGTTTAGTCACGCTTATTTGTCGCACTGTTTAGTCACGCTGATTTGTCGCACTGTTTAGTCACGCTGATTTGTCGCACTGTTTAGTCACGCTTATTTGTCGCACTGTTTAGTCACGCTGATTTGTCGCACTGTTTAGTCACGCTGATTTGTCGCACTGTTTAGTCACGCTGATTTGTCGCACTGATTTGTCACGCTGCTCTTTCCCTGAGCATTTTCACACTGATTTGTGACACTGATTTTCCTCTCGGTTTTTTCACTCTGATTTGTCACTAGATTTTTGTCCAATCCATTTCGCTCCTTCCCATGCGTTAAGACGTCTTTTTCTTTTTCTTCTTTTACTTTTACTTTTTCTTCTTCTTTTTCTTTTTTTTTTTTTCCTTTTTTACTTTTTTTTCTCATGCGCTTGTCAATTATGTAAAAATAATAATACAAGTGCAGGAATGCATGTACGCTCTTTTCATAAATTTTTTTTATGTACAAGCTGAACATTGTGTATATTTTCCCTATGAATATTTTTTTTCAGTAATCCCTACACTCGTGTAACATCCGTGTACGTGCCTTCCCCCTTTAGTTTTTTTTGGTACTGCTGTTTTACAGTTTTTTATTTCAAAGGTTTTCCTCTAACTTTTTTTTTTCCTTCTTTTCATACTCTTTTTTTTTTTTTTTTTAAACGTTTTTGTATTCCTCCTTTCTCTAGATTGATAAGAAATTCAATAACACTTCCTTTATCTTTTCTTAAATGACCTGCTCCCGCCTAGATATGCTTACTATATCTACCTTGTGATCAAGTGTTTCAAGAGACTACAATTTTTCTACGAACATAAGATTTTCTCTTTCCCTTACTTATTCTACAGTTCAAATTAGATTCACTTTTTATTTTTTTTTTTTTTCTTTTTGTTTTTGTTATACTCTTATTTTATATGAGTTTTTATTTATTTTTTTTTTTTATTTTATTTTATTTTTTTTTTTGTTGTATTATGTAAGCTAAGTTTCGTAGATTTAAACATTGCAAAGCATACCATAATAACAAACATATTTGTGGAGTCGTGGCATATGATGAGATATAGCTAATCCGTAAATATTGGGGCCTTTCTCTTTATATAATTTTTCTTTTCTTTTTTTTTTATTTCTTTTTTTATTTCTTTTATTTCTTTTTTTAGTTCTTTTTTTTATTTTTTTATTTTTCTTTATTTTTTCTCTCTTTTTTTTTCACTTTTTTTTTCTCTTTATTTTTCATTTTTTTTTTCTCTTTTTTTCCCCATTTTCCCTCCCGTTTTTTTCGCCTTCTTTTTCACGTTCCTTCTCCCAATACGCTCATTAAAAACATCTTCATTTTCTCATTTGCTGTGCCCAACAAATTTTGTGTAATTTTAATTCAAAGAAATTTCGCACATTAGAAATTTTCTAGCTCTATTGTACGCCATATATATGATAATATAATATATACATGCATACACCCCAGCAGAGAGTACCACCACAACTTCCTTAAGCATTCATTACATTTTTGTTATCATTGGGGTACAGAAAAAGAATTCATGCAAGTTTTCTCCATATTATTACCATTATAAACCATACTGGAGTTTTCTATGAGCTTTTCACCCTTTGTATGAACTTCGCACACTGTGTATGAACTTCGCACACTTTGTATGAACTTCCCACGCTTTGTATGAACTTCGCACGCTTTGTGTGCATTTTTCCTCTCAATTAAGAAGTTGTTTAATTATCCTAAGACAGAGAAACTATTGATAAACAAAAAAATGGGAACGACAAATGGAGACGATGAGCATACGGATAGTACGTGTAAGGATTATACAACCATTATATAGAGGATGGAAGTATATTCGTCCATGCTGACAACTTCAGGATGTTCTTTCCTCTGGCCCCCGTGGAATCATAAAAAAATGAGAGACAAATTAACTGGGCAAGGGAATCGAAAAAATATATAGAATAATAATACATAGGATAACACACAGGAAAAAAATATATAAATAAAATATAATGACGTTTAATCTGAAGGGGGGGGGGGGGATATAGGCACAATTACCATTATCTTTGCATAACCCATTCTGTATCGTTTTTATTTGCTCACCCGTACCCCACATACACAAATCCCTTTCTCACAGATCTTGTTAGAAATCTGTACAGTGAGCAAGAATTGAAAAAGGTTACACAGGATTATATATGCGAAGTATGAAATGAAAAAAGAATTATGCATTTGTGTAAAAATTATATGTAGCAAAAAAGGTTGTTCATTACGACAAACTTGATTTATAAAATGTGCGGATTGCATTCATTACTTTTTCGCATAGCTCTCACTTTGTATCATTTTGCAACTGTGTATATCACACATCTGCAGACACCCACAAGTGTACCTAGTTATGTACATATATATATATATTTTTTTTTTTTATATTTTTCTAACCCTTCACTCATTAAACTATAAAGAAAATAAGAGACCAAAACATTTCTGAAAATGTTCAGTATTCCAATATTCGAATCATTCTAAGCTTAATGCTTATTTTAATAGGTAACACTTAACCGAATTTTTTTTTTTTGTACTTGCTACATATTTTGTTATACACGTTTGTGTATATTTTTGTTGAAACAATTCCCATTCGTCCGTATCAACGTAAAGAATGTTTTTCTTGCAATCTAACTTCAAGACATGCTGAAATTTTAATATATTTTTTTCATTTTTACAGGATCTTATTGCACCATTTTTGTGCAATATAAAAAGGAACCACTCTTCATGATCAAATTGTTGGTAAGTCTTGTTACTTTCTGCGCCTTATTTTTTTGCATCTGTTTAAGCAGAATTGTATAACTGAACCTATCATAGCAGATAATACTTAAACTTGCATGTATTTGTACATCTTTCCCGATTTTACCGTTCCAATATAAATCGTTGATATTTCCACCACCCCAACTTCTATGCCCAAATTTTAGGTTACCTTTTTTATCATTTCAGTTATTTTGTTCATTTGGGAATATCTATTTTTCGAAGACACTTTTATGATTTTGAAAACGAATAATGTAGGGGTGATAGAGAGAAATAGTTGAAAAAGAAAAAAAAAAAAAAAAAAAATCATCACATACGTTGCTTCATCAACTGTTAAGAGAGTTCTCACATATATTATATTATTATTTTATTTTATTTTTTTTTTTTTTTTACATACTAGGGTGGAACAGTTATGCTGTTTTTTGAGCTGGATATCCACAAGAATTCTCTTCGATTAGGTCAGATACAAAAAAAAACTCGATACCATATGAGTTAAAATTATTTTCAAATTTTTATTCACAAATATAACATTAAATTATTTACAAAAAAATAAAATTTCTACATTTCTTCATACCTGCAGCATATAAATTGAATAAACAGGTACACGGCACGTTTTTTGAGCTTCGAAAACTCTTTAATGAAAATGGGTAAATTAATTTACGACACTGTGCATTAGGCACTACAAAATACACGTTGCAGGAGCACACATATTTCCAACAATGCATTCAAATGTCTACATATTTTTTACACATATAACTGTATAATCAAATAGGAAAATATCTTATCTATACTAAGATTGGAATTTTTTTCTTCTTTTTTTTCTCCATCTATGCAGTTATCTGGTTGAACAGTATGCAGACAGTACATTAAAGAAATTCATTTCTGATCATGGTGGGATTTTCAAATTAAATGATAACAAGAAAAAAGCCTAGTTTGCTTCATTATTTTTCCCTTAGCTATACTGCTCGTTGGTAGGCTATATGCAATAGAGGTTGTATTCGAAATGATACTCTAAGTGGTACACGAAGTGTAACTTAAAATGGTATTCAAAATGAAAAACTTAACTGTTCACCCACACATCTAACCTAACTAGTTGCGAATTTATATTCCCATATATATAACACCTGATTAACTTCACAATTTTTCAATTGAAAAAAAAAAATTAATGGAAGGAAAAAAAAAAAAAAAAAAAAAAAAAAAAAACCACGCTTGTGCGATTTCCAGAGTTAAAAATTACCAACAGTATTGTACATATCATCGTGACCTTTGCTAGGTAGTTGGGAAAATGCCAACGTCAAATGGTGTTTACATACGTGCGCGCTTGTATAATAATAATTATTATTATTACTATTCTTGTTTTTTTTAAGTCTATTTTTATGTTTATAATTTTTGTCTTTATTTTATGCTTTATTTTATTATTTTTGTCACCCCTTATTCATTGTACCTCAGTAACAGCTACTAACCAAGTGACAACCGCAGGTTATATCTACCCACATACACTATAACTGTGATGCGAAAAAAATATAAAAATAATAGAGAATAAATATTAGCTTATTTTTTCTACAGATGTGTAGTGCTCGTTGTCAATAATCCCACACAAATACTTATTACATTCGCATTTATTCCAACTCTGTCTACATTTTTTTTTTTTTTTTTTTTTTTTTTGCCCAATTGAGATTTGCAAATATGTGTACAGATCGTACCATCATTCATCATTTTGTTCCTGCGAGTGCTCATTCTGAATATACATATATATATATATATATATATATATATATATATATTTTTATTTTATTTTTTTAAATACTTCATTGTAGCCATGAGGCTATATGTTCTGCCCCTATCTTTTATTACAACGGTAAGGGTGCTTGAATGACACATGCTTTTACATCTCATAGACAGCATTTACAAATATGGTCGAGTCAACTACTACTTCCTCAAGTAACCTACTATATGTATATATGTACCATTGATTTTTCTACGTGGTTCCTTTTAATTTGTTTAATTGTTCATATGAGAAGAAGCCATTCTCAGGAACACGGATTAATAACTTTGAATCGTTTGTAGAATGATTAAACACAGGTTCTATTACATGAGTAGCTCATATGCACAACTTTCCCTATTGTATCTTTCCCATTTTATAGCGCATATATATATATATATATAATAAAAAATATACATTTTAGAAAGTATGCATTTTTTTTTTTTTTTATTTTATACATGCCAACAACGGGGATATATATACATCAATTTTTATAAAGTTTTTTATGCAAGACCTATATGTGTAAATGAGGGACTCATAATGTCAGAAAAAACATTAACCCTGTGTATGCAGTAGTTTTGCATTCACTTATCTTACCCAAATATTCACATAACGCATAACTCATGTAGAGTCATACACATATGACTCATTTTTATTTTAACAAGAGGAAAGAACAGTGCATATATGTATATATATATACAGGTATCCGCTGTAATGACTTTTCTCCCATCAGATATACTTTAGACAGAAAACATAAATGGCTAATCAGCATGTCGCTTGGATTCAAAATTGGGGAAACGAGTCTTAAATCGTGCCATATGATTGATGCACACAGAAGTTATCTGGCATGAGGACTTCGTGGCAATTTGTGTAGAGAAATGTCGAAAAGGGCGGTGAACAAAAAAAAAAAAAAAAAAAAAAATGCATATTCTGTATATTCCTCATAGGTTCGAATAACAGACGGCAATCTTTTTTCGTTATTATTTTCGTTATTATTTTTGCTATTGTTTTTTCCATTACTTTTGCCATTATTTTTGCAATTTTTTTTGCCATTATTTTTGCTAGTATTTATGCCATTTTTTTTTACTTTTCTTTTGATTCGTTTTTTCCCTTCCACCCCTTCAGCAGAACTGTGGCAAAATTCGTGCCACAAAAAATAAAAGTTTAACTGAAATTCCCTAAGTATTCAGCTGATGTATCTTCATATAGACTCAATGTACATACATAGAGTCAAAACGGGTTAAGTAATCCCACCCTTTCTTTGCGATGAAAAGCGCTCACGAAAAAAAAAAAAAAAGTTATTTGTTTGCTTTCGTTTCAGTTTTTGTAGCTCATATAAATCAACAGATTTTCGTTGTGTGCCACCAATTTAAAACTTTGTGAAATTATTCCATTCATCAACCCTGAACACTGTATTAAAAATCGAACATAACCCAAAATGAAAAACCTGCATGTATGTACATCTCCTAACTCAATGTTTATTCATTTATATGTGAAAGAACAGATATATATATATGAAGATGCATGGATGTGGAGTATAAATACACATGAGTCTATAATTTTACTTATACGTATAAACGAGGGGACAATATTTTTCATTTTATTTGAACACGAAACAAAAAAACATGTATAGTTGTATTTTGTGTACATATATTTATATATATAAATATCCTTTCCTCCTCTCTCATTTTTTTTTCTGACTATTTTGTATCCCTATAACATTACACTTCTGTACGTGACCACACATCCAGGGAAGGGGTTCTCAAAAAGCCCGAAGTTTCTCATTTTTAAAAATATTTTTATTTTTTTTCCTTTAATTTATTCTTATTTTTTTTTTTTTTTTTATTATCCTCTACCAACCAATATCAACATCGCAATGATTTAATATGCATATTCACCATTATTTCTTGTTATGAGAAGTATGCAATATGTAAAAATATGTTATATATATGATGCATTTATGTATAATTCCCTCTCACTTCCACACTCTTTTGCATGTTTTTTTTTTTTTTTTTTTTTTTTTTCGAAACTTAGCTGAAATATTTAACCCGAAGGAAATTACTTTGTTTCATTTTATTTCATTTAGTTCTATTTGTTTTTGTTTTTTTTTTTTTTTTTTTTTACATATTACCGTATTCACTTCACACATAAATTGAAAGCCTTAAAAAATTGTTAGAATATATATTATGTATGTAACAATTTTTCCATATAATTTTCATTTTAACTTCTTACTTTATTTTACTTTTTCTTTACTTGATAATTATAAATAAGTAATTTTTTGTAAAAATATATAAATTGTGTAACGTAGTTAATGAAATTTTCTAAAGGTAAGTTTTTTTTTTTTTTTTTTTTTTTTTTTTTTTTTCATATCATTTCTGTGAAAATTCTTCAGAAGTGGTTTACCTTATGTTTTAACCATCGTACTACTTTCTGCATGAAAAACATAAATACCGGCTCTCATATATATATATGTATACATATATATATATTACTTCACTTTTGTGTGCCTTTTCTCCCTATTAACTGGCACAGTGTAAGCCACATCTTCTATCACACATTACCAAGTATGTGCTCGCACAGGAATGCTGCACTGTATGCCTTTATGTAAATACACGTGTGTATATATATGCACACCTACATACGTACTAACATATGCTACACGTTGACATGTCATGAGTTATCCATTTTTTTTTTTTTTTCTTTTTTCCGTTCTTCGCCATACCCATATACCTTTAATGCGCTAAATCTGTAAAGACATTACTTATGACCATAATAAATGAGGTTTTTTTTTTTATTCCCTCCTTACATTTCTGTATATAAATACGTGATTATATATACATGTACATATGGGTACACATATGACGCACACACACATGACAAACGTGGAAAACACAACAAAAGGGACACAGACAAATAAACAACGATTACACACGTGCACGCATGTGTGAATACATACATGGATAAATACATGTGTAGCAATTCTTTTCACATGATTACTTTATACACCATTCTTTGTTTTATATATTACTTTTTTATTTCACGACTAAGCAGTAGCATACCTCCACTCTGCTTGTATCTTTATTAATTATCCCTACTCCGTTGCGGACCTTTTAGTTGTCGCACACATACGACACGCATAAATCCTGTAGTTTATTTTTTTTTATTTTATTTGTACAGCCATTTCTTGAGTTTAAAATCAATCAGCTCGCATATATATATATATATATATATACATGTACAAATACACATGTCCGTATATACGTGCACAAAGACATATATACATATGTGTGCATCTTTACTTAAGTGACGTTAGGAATCGATTACATGTGTATGTACATGAACATCGCAATCATCGAACAATTCAGATGCCTCTTTTTCAGTTCCATATTGATGAAATTTTATGAAGTCGCTGTGTTTAAGTTACGTACGACATCAATGTATAAATGCATATGTGTACCCACAAAAAATGCATGTTTTATTTTTTTTTATTTTATGTTTTCGTCCCTTAATAATCTGTACGTCGGAATATTTACGAATTTTTTTTTTTTTTTTTTTTTTTTTTTGCCAATGTTCTGCCCAGTGTTTTTTTTACAACCCTCCAACATTAACTTTTTTTTTTTTTTTTCCTTTTTTGTTTAAGCAACTATAGAATCACGTCAAAGTCAAAACCAGTTCAACTTGGTTTTTATCACAACGTTTACATAATACAAGCATAACGTTGAATGTTTTTTTGTTTTATATTTGTTTACAATTCGAGCAATTTCTCTTCTTTTCTTTTTTTTTCCTTCTTTTTCGTCCTTTGCTTCGTTTTTTTCGTCCTCGTTTGCTTCATCTTTTTTTCTTCTTTTCCTCTCTTTTTTTTTTTTCTCACTCCCTGTATGAAGAGACGCGCATGCATATGCAAGCGTGTAATTTACACTTAAATGTTGCGTACGACAGTAAACCATTACATGTGGCGTTACTTTTTTTTTTCTTTCCGTTCCTCCATGCGCAAGCATGTGTTTTATGCTTTGAACAAGTTTAAAGATATTTTCGTGACGGTTTTTAAGTGCAGTGCAAGAGCATTCTATGTTTGTTATTATGTAGGCACACATGTGTACGTATCTGATATGAATGCTTCACCATATCTATATACACACTTAAGGCAAACCACTTGGTTCATTTTACACCTTATATTCTTTCACTTTCCTTTATTTTTTTCATTTTACTTATCTAATTATTTCTTCTCCCCCCCCCCCCCCCCCCTCTTCCCTCATTTCCTAGGTTTAAAGATAATTTCGTTGTATATATATATTTTTTTTATTTGAATAATATAAACAGACTTAACAGAAAAAAAAAAAAAAAAAAAAAAAAAGAAGCTATGAAAAATATTATATTTTTCTTTATACCTTAAACTGCCATATTCATAGCAAAATTATACTTTATCATATTATATTTCATTTAACTAATTTTTATTATCGCTTTTACCATTTTCACGTCACCTTTTTTCTTTTTTTTTTTTTTTTTTTTTTTTGTATCTTTAAGCCTTTTTTATTTTATTTTCCACATAATTTATTTTCTAATAATATAATAAATTTTATCAGTTTGGGCATTATATGGTTATTTAGTTAAATAAACCTGTAAATATATATTTTCTTTTTTGTGCTTTTTTCTCATTTTTGCATGTTTTGAATTCCCTTTTTTTTTTTTTTTTTTTTTATAGCTTTATTTTCATGACATGCCCCAATTTTTTTTTCTTTTTTTTTACATTTATTCTCCCTTTTGCCCTCAGTCCCCAGTATTCATTTTTTCAACTACGTCTTCATGCACATCCCACTCCTCCTTTCCCTTCTACCGTTCATTTTGTTTTATATCAAATGTAATTATAAAAAGTAAAGAATAGAAAAGTACTAAATTTTTTTTTTTTTTTTTTAGCATTATTACTTTGCAATTTGCATTTTAATGCCATTACATTTTAATGAGTTTGTATTATATGTAAGTGTGTATAAGTGATCACTTGTGTAGGAGCGTACGGATAGACATAACCCACTCAACAATTAGCTAAAAAAAATATCTAGACACATACACCAACCCTATCATCTGTACACTTATCGAAACCACTAGCCCGTTCGAACCTGTGTATACATTTCCTGAACAGCAAAATGAGCTATAGAACCAACTGCACCTCCCAGAACGTAAACGTTAATACTTTGAATAATTCAAATGATAACAACTTAAGCAAAATAGACGACAAGAGTAATGTACCTTTTGATGAAAACTGGAAAAAAAGGATTTTAGAACCATTGAAAGATCGTCGATATAAAACTGAAGATGTAACAAAAACAAAGGGAAACGAATTTGAAGATTATTTTCTAAAAAGGGAATTATTGATGGGCATATTTGAAAAAGGATATGAAAAACCATCACCCATACAAGAAGAAAGTATACCTGTTGCATTGGCAGGAAAAAATATATTGGCCAGGGCGAAGAATGGAACAGGAAAAACTGCTGCCTTTGCAATTCCCCTTCTGGAGAAATGCAATACCCACAAAAATTTTATTCAAGGTATGAAATTTCACAGGAGTGCGTAACGCGCTGCTTATCCGTATACCACATGATGGTTATGTCTTTACCACGTACATGCATACATCCGTACATGCATACATAGTTGCACATGCATACATGCGTTTTTTCTCGCGTCCCACCATCAATGAATACCCATAGGACTCATCCTAGTGCCAACACGAGAACTAGCCCTGCAAACCTCAGCCATGATCAAAGAGCTAGGGAAACATATGAAAATTCAGTGTATGGTTACCACAGGTGGAACATCACTTAGAGAAGATATAATGAGATTGTACAACGTTGTGCATATATTGTGTGGGACTCCTGGTAGAATTCTTGATTTAGCAAATAAAGATGTGGCAAATTTATCGGGTTGTCACATAATGGTAATGGACGAAGCGGATAAATTATTATCACCAGAATTTCAACCAATTGTTGAAGAATTAATGAAATTTTTGCCAAAAGAAAAACAAATATTAATGTATTCAGCTACTTTTCCAGTTACTGTAAAAGAATTTAGACAGATATATCTCTCAGATGCACATGAAATAAATCTTATGGATGAACTAACCTTGAAAGGAATCACACAGTATTATGCATTTGTTAAGGAAAGACAAAAGGTACATTGTCTCAATACCCTCTTTGCAAAATTACAAATAAATCAAGCCATTATTTTTTGTAATAGTATAACTAGAGTAGAATTATTAGCCAAAAAAATTACAGAATTAGGCTATAGCTCTTTTTATATACATGCAAGAATGTCTCAAACACATAGAAATAGAGTTTTTCATGATTTTAGAAATGGAGCATGTAGATGTTTAGTTTCTTCAGACTTGTTCACAAGAGGTATAGATATACAATCTGTTAATGTTGTTATAAATTTTGATTTTCCAAAGAATTCGGAAACGTACCTTCATAGAATTGGTAGATCTGGTAGGTATGGTCACCTAGGCTTAGCTATCAACTTGATTACCTATGAGGACCGTTTTAATTTATACAAAATTGAATTGGAACTTGGCACAGAGATTCAGCCGATTCCGAACGAAATAGACCCGTCACTTTACACCTAATGTGCATCATCCCCCCCACGCTAACCATCTTGAGCTTAGAGCAGAAATGCAAAGTTACACAACCGAGCAACTACACAACTGCACAGATACACCATCGCATATTTGAACCATTACACATGTGAACAAATATTCATCCCTTACGCGCGCACACACGTATGTATATATATATACATACACATGTACGTATACATCTATATATACAAATTTATATATGTACACGCACGCATTATACAAACACTTATGCATTTGGTATGCATACCACGTGCAGGTGCGCTCACGTTCACATAACAAGACTATTAGCAGAAACTGCCTTGGGCACACACATCCGTATTCACACTACGCCTCCATAGATTTATATGCCAAAATTTGCACATATATATATATATATATATATATACATATATATGCTTGTAAATATACGAAGTTTTTTTTTTTTTTCACGTATTTATTTTATTATTCATTTCGTCCATACATACGACGACCAGAAGCACTTCTTGTTCATCATCTACCACTTATCTGATATATCATACTTCATATTACCTTCCATACGTCTCACATTACGTATTTCTTATCAGCTACTTTATTAGCTCCTTTTTTTAAAAATCCATTGACATTTACATTGGAGCACAAATTAATTAAAACATAATAAATTATTGCACAAGGGATTATATATACATATATATATATATATATATATATATATATATATATATATATGTGTGTGTGTTCTTATATATATACACATTTGTACATTTTTTTTTTTTTTTTTTTTTTTTTTGTTAAAACATTTTTTTATAATTACATCAAATTAAAAACGAGAAAATAAATAAAATTGATCAATTAGGTATTATGCACATATAAATCCATACACATTGCTGAATATTGCATGTGAATTTATAATAATTGTTAAAATGTCAACCTTGCACTCCTCAAATGTGTAAGAAAATTGCGCCAAAAAATTGTACTAAAAAATCGATTGTATAGTGTACATTTTCCCTTTTGAAGAAGCCACTGCTTAAGGTAGGTGAGAAATTAGTATACCCATTCATTTTAATGTAACTTAAAATTGGGGCTGTTTCAGGTGTTACTAACTCATGAATAGACATCCTAGACGTCTTTGTACAAACTGATCAGTGCTACATGCCTGTAATAACTCTTTCAAAGAGGCGGATTGACAATCGTTGTTGTTCCACATTTTTAGGTTTATTCACTTGTTTCTAACACTAGCTATTACATGCAGAAATTTTCAAATTGATAAAACTTCCAAGTTTCTTATGTTTATAAAAAAAAGAAAAAAAAAAATTCCCACAAATTTACGTATCGAAAAAGGACATATCATGCACTTTTGTAATATGTATTTATTCAGGTTAAAATTCTCCTAGTTTTTTTTTTTTTTTTTTGTGTGTGTGTGCATAATTGTCACACACGTGTCAGTTATATGTATGTTCCTAATTTTATGTGTTTTATTAAAGTATGAAGCACGTAAAAGGAGATACGTACTTTTGAAACATTCTACCATTCCTTCTTCTTTTTTTTCCATTTTACCATTTTTGTAAAAATGTATATCCCTTAAACTGGCAGTTATTACACATATCATAGAAGTCGTGATATTTATTCGTGTTGTCATTAATAAAAGTACTAACGGGATTTTATCCCCTCGTGGAAATGAAAACAAAAATTCGAACATACATTTTTAGCAAAAAAAAAATTTCATGTTAGACAACCGCATATATTAATACCCTTTCTGGGAGGAGCAAATATGAAAGTAAAAATAAGAAACACTTGGACGGTGTATAAGCCCATGTTTAAAATGCATATCTGAAAATAAAGACATGTGCACTTATATAACTACGCATGAGAAGTGCATGATATATATATATATATATACGAGCATCACTTGCAAATATATATTGTGTAAAAAAAAATGTATGATTGTTTTTTGCAAATTCCATTTCAAAATTAATAAAAAAATGACATTTTATTAAGAGCGTTCCTTTTGGCACATTTTATTTTAATACATTGATATTACTATTGTGATTTATTCTATTTTGTTTTATGCGCCCTTAAACCTACAGACAAATTAAACAACTTTTTAATTGCTCGTTACTTTAAGAAATCCACTAAACATGTGTGTGTATGTGTATGCAGTATGGAAATAATATAAGTGGTTCTTTGCTTTATTATGAAAATGGAGGAGGGAGGAGAGATAAAATAAAAAAAAAACACCGAACTTGTGTGAAAAAGGGAATATGGAAGATACAAAAATGGTTGCAGATTCAAGCATATTTTTGCATTGCAATGTTTTTGAAAAAATAAACCAAATGGGATGACAAAATAATAAATTTATATATACCTTTTTTTTCTGTTTCGTTTTACTCCCCATATATATATTAGATGAGTAAAATGAAATTAAGTAAAACGAAATTGTACAAAATGGAAAATATTTCACACTTTAAAAAAAAAAAAGTTTTTACTCTCGAAGTTACAAGTGTTGGCTTTTTCTCGCTTTGGGAAATTATGCGATACAAGTGCGACGATGCAGATTTTCCACATGTCATCATAGTCAAGTATGTATACATGTACATGCATATGTACATTTGTATATATATGCAACATATATACACACGCACCTGCTTCTTGCGTTTAAAAATATGTACAATAAAAAGTGAAAAAAAAAAAAAAAAGTGTCCTAAAATTTTTTCTTCATTTTTTCTTCCCAAATGTTAGATTTATATTTTTGTTTAAACACATTTTATTTACTATTTAAGTAAAAATTGTGAATGTATTGAAATTAAGGGGAAACACAGTGCATTCTAATATTTTTTCATCAGTGTGTAAAACATAGTTTTCCTTTTCTTAATATCCATAATACACATTAAGATTATGATGTACATATACTTTCCATATATATTCAAAATGCACGTGTAAAAATATTATGCACATAAAAATTAAGCAAAATTAGGTTTTGCCTATCCATATTTTGTTAAAACAAATTGCCGTGTTTCACTTTTTATTTATTTGTTTATTTATTTATTTATTTATTCATTCATTTTTTTTATTTTTCATACATTTTTGGTTTGGTTTTTCTTTAATTGCAATTTATTAAAGAGCAATCAATCCAGTAATTTTGCTAGGAAGAACTGGGATTAGGATCGAAATATGTAATTCTGTGCAATAGTACAATTAGTAAAATTAGCACTATTAGCACATAGCAAAATTAGCACAAATTAGTCGACTTAATATTTTTTAATTTTGGTAAAAAGTTTTTACTATTATTTTTTCTCACTTTAAGAATTATGTTATATTTTACAACTTGCCAAAATTTTTCCCCATCATTTGGCAATATAACAAAAACAGAAATAATTACTAAAATGCAATTGTAATTTTTTTTTTTTTTTTTTTTTTAACACAATTTTACCGGCTCGCAAATTTAAGAAAATTTATATGAAGAAGAAATATGCTTCCCAAAATATAATTTTGCAAAACATATTTTGTGAAACACATTTCTTAAAAAGTATTTCGTGAAATACATTTCATAAAACATTTTTCGTAATAAATTTCTCGTAAAACAGTTTTCGTAAAACACATTTCATAAAACATTTTTCGTAAAACACTTTTTGTGACGCATATTTTTTTGCAAATTATTCCCACCCTTTTTGTAAATTTTAGTTTTTGTTCGTTTAATAAAAATGGAAGTTCCAGGAAAAGTAATTGGTGGTAAAGTAGGTGGAAAAGTTGGTGGTAAAGTCCTTGGTCTTGGTAAAGGAGGAAAAGGAAAAACAGGTTAGGAACAAATTAAAAGTGAAAAAGATGAAAAGTGGTTTCATGTGTTTATTTTCAATTAAATGGGCTTTCTTTTATTTTTTTTTTTTTATTACTATTTCAATTATTTGCAAAACTGGATATGAGATTTTTAATGTTTCTTGTACAAATGAAGTTTGGGGATATATTTTCAATTATCCTGTTTTGTGTGTTATATATCTTTGTATACATTAAGATTGTGTGTCCAAATGCACAACATGGTGCATAATTGTATGTTTGTACTTTTCTGTGATATTGAAACATTTTGCCAAACTTTCATATATTTTGTTTTTTATATTTCATCTTGCAGGTTCTGGTAAAACGAAAAAAGCGCCATTATCCAGAGCTTCAAGAGCTGGATTACAATTTCCAGTAGGAAGAGTTCATAGAATGCTGAAAACAAGAATTTCTTCAGACGGAAGAGTTGGATCAACGGCTGCTGTTTATGCTGCAGCAATTTTGGAATATCTTACTGCAGAAGTTTTAGAATTAGCAGGAAATGCAACAAAGGACTTAAAAGTGAAGAGAATTACTCCAAGACATTTACAGCTAGCTATTAGAGGTAATTTTTTTTTTTTTTTTTCCATCTCTTTTATTAATATGCATTTTGCAAATAACAAAGTTCTGTGTAAATTCTTGTGTGCAATGTATGTTTTATACATGTGAATGTATAAGAGTGTATTTTTTGTACGTATGATGTGTATATACCCATAGATCAAATAATGAAATGTTCAAAAGGCAAGGATTTAAAAACGTGAATTTGTTCTTTCCTTTTTGTGTACAGGTGACGAAGAATTGGATACCCTTATAAAAGCAACGATTGCTGGAGGTGGTGTCATTCCACATATTCACAAGGCCTTGATGAATAAAGTTCCAGTACCTCCAACCCAAGCAAAGAAGCCAAAGAAAAATTAGAACTAAATGCTACCGAAATGTCGATAGAATTTTCGCTGTAACATTGTCTGTTCATCAGACTTGACATCCTATGCGCATGTACGCGTGCATACGTGTGTTTATACATACACATATGCACATTCATGTGTTTTTTTTTTTTTTTTTTTTTTTTTTCTCTATATCCCCCTACGCAGCTTTCCGTAGAGTGTTGTGCGCAAATGAATACACATGTCATGCATGCATTGTGTTTATATATATATATATATATATATACATTGATGTATTTTTACATTTACCTACGAAACTGCACATTAATATAGACATTCACAAGCGACGTGAAGCATTCACAAATATAAATATTTTTCAGTTTTTAAAGACTTTCCATTTTTACCTCGTATTAATGCCCTTTTTAATGTTGCAGATGAAGGGTGTGCCTTTTTTCGTTCTGCTGTGTTTACGTGTGGCTAGGAGAGTCTTTTTACAATAGAACACATGCATTATGATCGCTGTACCATTGTACAGATATGTAATTTATATTCGCTTTTTTTTATTATCATCCCCTAATTGCTAAAGGTTGTATTGACAGTACTATTATCGCACAAGTAAAGCAATATTAAATATTTTTTTTTTTTTTTTTTTTTTAATAATTTTTTTATAAGGTTAATTGAAAGAGGTTTTTTACATTTCCCTGTGATAAAAAGCATATACATATATATCATATATGTATATGCTTTTCTCTTGCTACAGATAACCATGCACTATTTCTATGCACACAATAAAATAACTACAAAACGGAAAGTGGCTTAATGTTAGGTATATATTAAATGTTCCTTCGAGAAATATTATTTAACTTCTAAAAAAAAAAGTGTAAGAAGGAGATGATGTTTTTTTTTTTTTTTTTTTTTTTTTAAGTATTGTTATAGTAAGTGTGGTTTAGTTGGTGCATCTGTGATTAGCATTCCATCCAACTTTGCAACCTTCGTAACACCGTGCTTATGTGTGTAAAGTTAAGCATAAACGTATGCATGTAAACAACTAAGTTATTCTATTGGGATATGATATCCTTGAGATTGATACAAAATCTGATCATGGCATCTCATTTAGGGTCCCCGTCCATATTGTAGAAAACACTTGCAGAATAATTTTCTCTCGCTCTTTTTTTTCCTTATGCATAAGTAATACTACCGTTTTACAATTTTTTCTATTTCACAAAAAGGTCCTCATAATGTTTTCCCTCTTTCTAGCATTTAAACCAGCTTTAAAGAAAAAGATGTTACTTAAAAGGTGGTAACAATGGAAAATGTAGTGCACCTCAGAACAAACCATATATTATTTGTGCTTACCCCTTAAAAGGACAAAAAATACATGAATGTAAAAAAAATTTAGTTGTAAAAAAAAAAATATATTTTTTTTTTTTTTTTTTATGTTTCTTTTGTACTATTTTTTAACACAATAAATACGACTGCAAATTTGATATTTCTGTTTTTTTTTTTTTTTTTTTTTTTTTTTTTTACTTTTAACATGCCCATTAGCATCATCATGAGCAATGGCAGCATTTGCCGAATTTTTACTGTCGTTACCTCTTAAGGAGTAAAACTAAGCTCATGTTGCTGTGCTCTACTTTATACATATGCGAGTACCTTTTAGCAGAACAGTGATAGGTGGATCTGCATAAGTCAATTAATGATCATATTTGAGAAATGAAATTCCTGGAAATTTCTTTAAAAAAAAAAAAAAATTACAGAATTTTCATAATTTACTAAACTTACGTGATTTACAGAACTAACGTGATTTACAAAACTAACGTTACTTACGGAACTCACGTGATTTGCTGTACCTAAGTGATTCATTGAACTTAGATGATTTACCAATTTTACAAAGCTTGTATACCTAGGGGAGGGGGTGGACGAAACAATGGATGTGGAAAACCCTCCATCCTCTTCCATCAGACTGGGTAACACAACGTAAAGCAGCAAAATAAAGAAATCGAGTAGACGGGAAAAAAAAAATTTTCATTCTTTCATTTAACTATCAACCAGTTTACCAACTAGTGTCTTGTGACTTGTCAAGATTAGCATACCAATTAGCACACAATTAACGTGTTAACGAAAAACGAAATGGGAAGAAAAACGAGGAAGCACAATAACGAGCCAACAACAGAAAAGAGATAATATGTTTAAACAATTTAGTAAGATTCTCTTCACTTGTGTACGTTACATCCTAACGCTTTGCATCTTCTTTTTCATCCATTCCTATGAAAGTAGTCTGAAAAGGAAAGTCACACATCCATATTTTTTATCCAATCATTTCTTCGGAAATTTTAACACTAACAAGAGAAAATATCACATAAAATACACAAGCAGAAAAAATTATACTACTACTTTTCCATTCCACATCTCGAAAAGTGAATCAGAAAAGAATTTTAGAGATGCTTATTATGCTAAGGAAACCAAGGAGAAGAAACATTTCTTCCTTAACATGCAAAACCGCAATGACACAAATAAGGACGTAATTGAAAATGTGGTTACAAAGGACGTAATTGAAAATGTGGTTACAAAGGACGTAATTGAAAATGTGGTTACAAATGATCCAACTAAAGATGTTGTGAATAATAAAAAGAGTAACGAAAACAGGAGTATACATGGTATAAAAGAATCCCACGGTTGTGGGCAAAAAAATGAAATGGAAAACAACTCAAATTGCCCTACCAAATCAGAGTACACAGATGTAAAAGAAGAAAATACTCCTGGTAATGATTCAAATGCAAAACTTGGAGAATTCCCAGATACCTATACATCAATGAAAGAAAACGATATTTATACGTCTAAAGATTCGGCTAACGAAGTAGAGGATCAGCTGAAGGATAACCAACTTGCTCAGCTAATTCAGAAGAAAAAAAAGAAAAAAAAGTTTCAAAATGAAGAAATTCGAAAAAAACTATCTGAGCTAGCCAAATTAAGATGGAGAAATGAAGAAGAAAGAAATAAATTGTTAAGACGAAAAAATCAATTCAAACATTCAGAAAAAACGAAACAGTTGTTATCTTACAAAATTAAACTTAAATGGACAGATGAAAATTATCGAAAAAGTATTATAGAAAAAACCAAAATTTTTAATCAAGACGAAAATACGAAAATGAGAAAATCAATTCTACTGAAAGAGAAATGGAAACTAAAAGAATTTCGAAACAAAATGCTTAGTAATAGGAAACCTTTTAGTTGGGAGCGACGCAAAAAAATATCTGATATAATTAAACAAAAATGGCAAGACCAAGATTACAGGCAAAAGACTTTGCAGGCTATAAAAGACAATTATAAGAAGCGAAAATTACAGGCTGGTTTAAATCCAAATTTCAACTATATTCAGAACGTCATGCTGTTCAAACAGGTTATTTTGCAAATTCTTATGCAAAAAAAAAAAAAAAATGAACAAGTTAATGCAGAAATGAGTAGATAATAACAGGAGAATACACTATGAGAAAACATCTGTTTAAGAAAAGCACCTTATCAAAAATTTACAATATCTATGACGTCCCCCCCCCCCCCATTTCCCTTTTATTTTTTTTTTGCAGTTCGGACTTAGTGCACCAAAAATAAGATTCTTCCCAAACATACATAGACAAAAACTTCGAGGAAAAAAAAAAAAAAAAAAAAAAATGAAGATTCAGGAAATCAAACAAAATTACAAAGAAAATTGGAAAAATATTTATAACAGTCTATTAGATAAAAATGAGTTTCAGCATTCATTGACGTACTTAAATAACATCGGAAATTTGAGCGTCAGCACCAATACTTGACAAGTGTAGATGATAATGAATGGTAAAGTAATCGTTAATCGTTTGGTAGCCGCATATCATATGGTAAAAAAGAAAAAGTAAAACGAATACATAAAAAAAAAAAAACACCCATATAACCATAACACAATACAAAAAATTATGTGAACAAAACCCTGAGGCAAGGTTTACACAAGGAGACAGTCGTCACAAGAATGAATTCAACATTTCCCAATCAAAATGAAAATGTTTCCTTCTGATGAGTACTACTGTGTGTATATAAAAACCGACAAAACATATGTGCATTTATATTTTACAGTTACACCTTTGACATGTGAACCATCCACCCCTCTTCCCCCAGGCACATTTTTTTTCTCTTCCAGTTCAAAACTTAACCCTTGAAGTAGATACCGCCCCTGGAAAGTCCTGCAACGTTCCATTTTTTATGTTATTATATTGCAAGCTAAGTAATATTCCTTGATGTGCTTCTTCTCGAAATTGGGTATGTTGAACAGATGCTGTTTTTGTATTTTCTTGACATAGCTTGGTAGGGAATTTTTGGAAAAGTTGTATTAACTTGTTAATATAAATTGAGTTCTTTAAATTGTTATGGTCAAGGTTTATGAAAACATCATAAATTTTAAGAATTTTTTTATTCCTTTTTTGTAGTTGTAAAACATGTTTAAAATATTTTAAAGTTATGGGGAAACATTCATTATCAATTATATTCATTGAAAAATCTAATTTTTTTACAACTAGAAAATTACAAGTACAAAAACTAGAGAGAAATGATGAATACAGAGAACTTTTAATATTATTCCCAGAAAGTAATAATTTGTTTAATTTTTGTTTCTTCCTTTTTATCATATCATTTGATTCACTTATTATTGTCGTATTTGTTAATGCGAATGATAGTGCTAATAAACTTTTGTATGTAAAGTTATTCCATCTTAAATCCAAAACTTTCAGATTACATAATTTGTTCTTTTTTATCAATGTACAAATGTACATAAGTGCATCATCATTTAATTTGTTAGAACACAATTTTAATTTTATTAATTTCGTAAAATTTGATTGCTCTATTATTTTTCTAGGAAATGTGCAAACACATTCATTCAATTCTTCTTTCAAAGAATCCTCTGATGTGTTTTCTTCGCTACCTGAACAGCTATGTATGTTGTATGAATTCGTTTTCTCGTCCCCCCAGCGATTGGAATTCTTAATCTCCTTTGTTTGTTCATATCCCATGGTAACGACTCCCTTCTCATTCGTCCATTCATCTCTTCTCTCATCCAATGAGCCAAAACCTTCATTTAACATTTCACCAACCGGAGAAAGTATATCCATTCCCTTTTTCAAAATGAAACAATCATAAAAGTCATCAATGCCAAAAAACCTTATACCTTTTTTTGTCTTGAGAATTATTCTATTCTCCTGGGACAATGCCTGTGTGTTATTCTTCTGATTCATTGTAACATCATTTAAGCATTCACTTTTATGTAAGCAATTTTTTAAACCCCTTTGTTTCAACGAATCGAAGTATCCACTATCATGTGCCTTTACACATCCATTCGTACAATTGGTATCCATTATTTTCCTGCTCCTAACATAATTGGTATTCAAATATAGAAGAAAGTTTTTCTGATATTTGTCTGCACGCATATCTCTAGTAATGTTAAAAAAGTCTGGAGGGTTGGTCCAAAGGATGCTATTGCAAATAAAATGCATATACCTTAAATTGTTACTTTTTTGATAAGCTATAAATGAGCTAAGATAAGCATAATAAATGTGACATCGGATTATTTTTATAGTGTGAATATTTTTGAATGGTATTAAAAGTAATGAAATAAAAAATGAAATGCTTGAATTTATGAAGCAATCATTTATATGTAAACATATAATATCGGGAAGATTTCTTTTAATCAGTTCTATAAATATATACTTAATATGAGATAACACCTTACTACCATCATAAATTTTCGATAAATAAATTTGACCACTCTTTAATTTTTTTTTAAATTTTTTAGAAACATTTCTACAATTAATATTTTTTAAACATAAAAATATATTAAATATATTTCTTCTACTTTTCTCGCAATATTTGAAATATGATTCGTACGATATCGGACCCAGTCTATTCCTCAAGTAACCATACTCTACAAGATCTCTTATTTGCTCCTTCTTAATTTGATATCTAAGATGACCCACCATTTTCCTTCCCCTCCTCAGTTGGACCTTACTGTGATAACATATTTCACTTGACACATCATCCATACTTCCTTCGTCGTGCATCTCTCCCGGATTGTTATCAAGTCCAGCCCTTTCATTTATTCCTTTCATATTATTCGGTTGTTCCTTCTTCTTGGTCTTATGGCTCAAAACGCTATTTAAACTATTCAAGTCATGGAGAATATTTCTTTTATACACTTCTCGTGCTGCCCTTGGTTCACAATCTCTGTAATAGATGCTACTAGTATGGTTATTCCATCTTCTATGCAGATTTTCATCTAATACGGTGTTCCAATTTTTGAATATACCCAAACTGGTGCCCTCCCTTGTTTTCCTGTTCATTTTCATGAACTTGATTTGATTCCATCGCTTAAGCAATTGAACTTCCTCTTCCGAGAATAAAAAGTTCACACGGTTACTTCTCAGGAGAAAGGTAAACAATCCCTTATTTATTTTTTCAAAATAATATTTCTTTAGCTTCTTTCTAATCGATTTCTGATACATTAAATAATCAATCAGCTTATTCAATTCTTCATTTTTTTTTTTGTCATGTATAACTAATGAGTATCTCCTTTCGATTTTTAAATTCCTGTTTATTTTTTTTATTTCATTCATGATTCTTATTATGTTTCTTATGGAATCAAAAAAGATGTTTTTCTCTTCATCAAATTTTTTCCTCTCGTTCAAATTTTCTATCGAATGATTATTTTCTACACGTTTTTCACTCTCCCCTGACACGCATTCTGCAATGCTACATGATGAATCATGAACAACGTCGTAATTAACTTTTAAACTGTTAAATGGAACAATTAAAGGATCCAAGAATCTTTGCACAACCAAGTCCTTATTCTCTACATTTTCATTTTCCTCCTTAACATCCACATGTATATAATTTTGCGTGGAATCTAAAGAAATGGGAGTTATTATTCTCTCTTGATGTAATACGCTTCTACACTCATTTCGAAATTCACCTTCTCTGGTATTCCTTTCATTGTTTTTACTTATCTCTTCGAATTTATTCACAAAGTATGATGTTTTTATTGAACTAGGTCTGGAAATGCATCCACCCTGTCTCAATGAACTATTATAATGGTCACCACCTTTAGGTTGAATTTTCATGAAATTTCGAAAAAACATTCCATGATTATCTGTCGAATCCATGTCATTATTACTAACAGGTTTAAACATTGGTAATACACCCGCGCTATTAGGACATCCACTACTTTTCTTATTAGACCCAATTTCTAACGATTTGTCATTCCAATAATTTTCTGCTACTCCATGTCCGTACAGCCTTTCCAATATTTCTCTGTTTCTAATGTTCATTCTGTTAGTGATTCCTATACTCGATAAGATTCTCTTTCTACAAGAGTATTCAATTGGTTGACCTTTTTTTCCCCACCCCATGCCTCTTAAGCAGTTCTCAGTAGTTCTTCTTCTTTGCACACTCCTTTGTTTTTCTTTACATCTGTAATGAACATCTATTTTCCCACTGTTAGAATCGTACAAAAAATCACAATTATGAACATCGCATATTTCAACATCATTATTAAGCAATCTACAAAACATGGTATCCCCATTGTTGTAACAAGTAGCCTTTTCAGATTTTCCCTTCGCCTCTTCACACGCATAAGTGAACTTTTCTGTGCCTTTTCCACATGAGCAGAATGCAGCGCATCTGTTCATGGTGTCATAGTTATATGATAATGTATGTCCCTTCTGAATGTCACTCATTTTTGCATTATTATTTCGTTCATTATTTTTTTTTTCATTTTTTATTCCCTCATCTTCACTCTGATTCTCATTCTTGTCCTCACGCCCACCCCGATTCTCATTCACGTTCTCACTCTCACCCCGATTCTCATCGAAGTCTTCACTTTCACCCCGATTCTCATTCACGTTCTCACTCTCACCCCGATTCTCATTCACGTTCTCACTCTCACCCCGATTCTCATTCATGTCTTCATTCTCCTCACTCTTCTCACCCTTCCCGACCATCGCTTCATTTGCAGCAATTCCTACCACTCTGCTGGCATCCTCATTGAATACAATTTTTACTTCGGTCCCACTTTCATCTGTATTTTCGATACCCTTGTAATACATATATCTGTGTGCATGATTCTCCTCTTCCTTAACTTGTGCCCTCGGTTTTCCCATCGTTTTGAAATCTTCTTCGCTACTGGCTTTCCCATCATGTGCATCTTTCAGTGGAAGTATACTAGTACCATCGGTGTTGTTTATCATGTTAGGAATAATGTAGTTGATGGCAAATTTGCACGAGCAGGTGTTTCCTTTCGACTTAGTAACTCTTTCAATAAAATGATTTCTATGTAAAAGGTGGTGGTGTGTGTTGATATAATAATCGTTTTTATTCCTCCCTTTTTTATTCTCTCCCTTTTGGTGTAATAAGTTCAGCATCGAGTGTGTTTCTGGTTGATGCTCTTCCTGATTAATCTTCTGCTCATGATGGAAATTTTTACTTTCGGAAGGAGTTTTAACTGTGGCCTGCACCCTTTTGACGATTTTCTTTATACTTCTAATCAATCTATATTTCTGAAGTTCTTGAATTTTTCCCTTATTAGTATTGCACCTTTTTTCTAAATCTCTACAATTATTAAATGGTGATGGTGCCAGTGATAGTGCGCTTGCCTTTCTTTTTTTTTTTTTGTTTTTTTTTTTTTTTGTTTTTTTTTGCTTAGCTTGCTCTTCAATATACTGATGGGTGATATCAAAATCGCATGCACAGTTGATGTTCTCATTAAATTTTTTCAGGGATAAAACAATATTTTTATATTTCTTAAACTTCTTACTTTTTGGAACACAACTATTAATACTAGCTTGAGTAAGGTAAAATTCTTCCTTTTTTAATTTCTTCCCTTGGGATGTATTTGTACTATTTCTCCCCACATTATCCGATTCATTGGTTTCTTCCCGATCTTCCTCATCATCACTCGTAAAAACCGATTCAACACTATGGTAGGCGTTCGTTTCATTACTTTTTAAAAAATTTACTCTATTAAAAAAGTTGCTATCTTGTTCTTCTGTAGTTAAGCTATAAGCGACCATGATGTGAAACGTGAACAACAACAGATGAAGAAAAAATAGAAAAAAAAACAAAAAAAAAAAAAAAACAGTACATAAAATAATAAAAATAAAAGGCCATAAGGTTTACCTTTTGAAAAATGGCCACCTATGTGCATAATATAAATAATAAACAAATAAGTATATATATGTATATACATACATGTACGCATTCACACATGTATACACATACACATGTGCACATTTCCATATTTTTTTACCTATTTGTTATATTTTTTTTTTTTTTTTTTGTTATTTTATTCCTCTCAGTAAAAGTCACTCCAGAAGTTTACACACAACAGCCGCTTTAAAAAGTGTAATCGGGTAGAGGAACGAGTGAATGGGTCTAACAAATCGACCAGAAAAGATTATCCATATGCACATATCCCATGGCTACATGTGTAACTCATGTTGTTATAACTGTTTTAGAAAAAATGAAACGACAAAAGTAACGTTTCACGTATTGCAAGGAAGCGTCGTATGGAAAATGTAACTTGAGTGTATATGGTTGTGCATCATATGTATAAATATATAGTTTCATATATACGTGCATCTTCAAAAGGTATATAAACAAATATTACCATAATATACCATTACGAACATGCAACGAAATAGTACCATGGAAAACACTAGGCCAAAAAAAAAAAAAAACACCACGAAATAAACGGAAGAAAAAATATTATTCGCATCTTTTTCATCTCAGATTTAATCTCACACAAATACTCTATCTCCGCGTTACTTTTTATTTATTTTTAAACTGTTCAAATGATCATTAAAAAAAAAAAAAAAAAAAGTGAATAACAAAATGTATATATATGTATATGTGCACATTTCCATGTGTACCTATATACATGCACACCAGAATGACATTTTGACAATGATGAGAGAGTTAACACATTAGGACAAAGAAAAAACGGAGGGAGTAACATAAAGAGACATTTCCTTCAGTGTTTGTCTCCTTCGTTTTTATTGAAATTGAAATTTACGTGAGTATCCTGGGGAATTTGACACATTTGTGCATATACGTATGTGCATATATGAACAGACTAGCATTATCAGCAGATGGGTAGATGGAGCCCACGAACGAATACACATCCTCACGGCGAATGTACTATTTCCACTCTATCTTTTCTAACGAATAGGGAAAGAGCTACAAACGTTCTTATAGACCTTCCACAAACATACACAAATGGGAAATACTTAAAATTAGGCACATACACGTGGAACACAAAAAATATGAACATTTTTTTTTTTTTTTTTTTAATGATTCCTTATGGAATAATTTTTGATTTTTCAGATGGCTGGAAGTTAGATTAAGTTATGGTGCACAACCTGGGCAAAAAATGCTAACTAATGAAATCTTCAAACTTATGTGTGAATAGTGGAGGACTCCTTGAAATTTGTATAAAGTGAATCTCAAATCAAGTGGTGTAGAAATATTATTTCCACAAAAAATCAAACAGTTTTAACATATTAGTACATATAAATGTGACTCAGTTCAAAGGAGTTTTGTAATAAGGAGCTAATTCATACTGCCTGCCATGTAAACAAAAAAAAAAAAAAAAAAAAAAAAAACACGCACACACTATATGCAAGTATATACGGGTATATATGCAGATAACTGTGCACACTTGTCCTTACAAGCGCACCTACTAAGTAGGCTTATATGTTCACGATCTCTACTACGTTGTGTCGATAAAATATCGCAAAAACAAACCAAGGGAACATGTTCCAAATTGAAAGAATAATAAAAGGATAACTAAGTGATATTCTGACAAGGGTCCAAATAAATACAAAATCAAATTTATAAGAGTATAGTTGTGTGAATGCATTAATTTATTCGTTCTGGTATTTATAATTGGTAATCTATGCCTTGGACAAGGAACAAAGTTAAATAATTGTGGAAAAGAAAGAAAAAAATTCATAAATTGTGGTATCAAAAATAATATCAATGTTTTAGAAAAATGTCCAAATATAGAAACGACAGCTAAAAAAATTCCACAAAAATATGTTAAGGTATTTCCGACAAATCCTTTGGCAGGGTAAAAATTAAAAGAAAAGGTAACCAAATTTATGGATATAAAAGGCAATATAAATATTATCGATAAAAAATGTTGTTTTAAAATTCGTGATCCTTCGATGCTTCCACCTCTTCCCATTCCTATGTTTAGGATAATTTCCTGCGTCAAGAAAGGGGCCATAAAAACATGATCAAGCATATGTGCTTATGTATCTGCTTACTCATATGCTTACATATTTGCATGTACATATATTCCCCTCTACACACACATATATATTTGTGTCTTTTCAAAAAAAAACTCTTATCTCGAAAAGGAATCTTTGCAAGATAATAAATTATACGCATTCTCACTATTCCATAATTTAATGCGCACAGTATGAAAAAATTATGAACATGTTACAAACTACTGTGAACACAGTTTTCATTTTCTTAAAGACAGGTGCACTTTACTGCGTAATATTATTACTATTAAATTGTGGATGGAAATGAAAAAGGAAATGATTAAGCTCTGTCCTATCTCTAACCCATTGATTCCTTCAAACGGAAAAAAAAAAAAAAAATTCACAATGAAAAATTCGTAACCGAAAATTTCATAAATATGCACCCAGCAAATGCGCCAATTTGGAAAATAATCTAATTTTACACACACACGAAAAAAAAAAAAAAAGCCATCTACCTGCATATATGTTTATTGCGTTGGTACAAAAAACTGACAACAAAGTAATATACAAGTAGTAGAAAAAACCAATATTTATCACCCTTTCCTTACATATAAAATTTAAAAAACTTGGAATTCGAATATTTGTCTCCCCTGAGTAGGACAGTAACAAGGGTAAGCTAGCTAAAAAAAAAGAAATAAAAAAAAAAAAAAAAATTATGAACATACATAAAAAAAAGAAGAAGATATATGTTTGTATACAATACAAGCAACCCATATGTGTCTCATTCTATTTTTATTTATAAGAGAAGAAAACCGAAAAAGGGTAGAACAACTTTATATCTCCACTTCAATTCGACAACATCATCTATAAAACCCTTCATTAAAATTGTTAAAAGGAGTAGGGAAAAAAAAAAAGTATAATATTAAATGTGATAATATGACAAGGCGGAGAAATGCGCTATCATTTCTTCTTGGAAACATGTTTATATATGTATATATATTCATATGAATATATGTGTATGTATACCAAAAAGGTCATAAAAATAATGGACAACAACCCAGCGTTGTACTCTAGAAGCTGAATACACATAAAAGGAGGGGATTGGGGAATGAATGGCACTGATACGTAGAACTGTTACATATCACAGTTTTTATATTTGTTATAAATCACTATGATACAATCAACATTATGTAAATAACACCGTTTTGTTGTAGCTTTTTATTTTTTTCCCGTTTTTTTTTTTTTTTATCTGTTAACAATTTTATGGTCGTCGTAGTATAACAACTGATAAAAGAGGACGAAAATAAAATACAAAATGGAGGGGAAAAGGCCAATCGGTTCTGCCACCTTGTTCTTAATAATTTTGTTTAAATCTATGCCATATAATCCTGAAGAAACGGAAGGGATCAGGTAGACGAATTTTTTTTTTTTTTTTTTTTTTTTTATTTACTACATTTTTGAGTGATTCTAAATGCACACACAAGTGTATGTATAAGCTAGTGTGAATATATCCATATCAAAAACATTTTTCTCCATAAATATCGAAATTATGAATTGGAACTCGATAAGTAATTGTCCCGGTGGTCACCGAAACACTCACATATGCGGTAACTTGTATATACCAATATATACAATGTCTATGTGTGGGTGACTAAACACTTGCAATTTACCATCGCTCTATATATGATTACCCTTTTCATGCAAAAAGTTTATAAATTTGGGGAGACATATAAAGGAAACTTTAAACAGTAACAGACACGGCACAATATACAGAAGAATTATGTTTTTATATGGTGTATTTTTTAGGACATACAATACAATTAATAAGTAAAAAGTTAGAAAAAAAAATAATAAATGTTCAGGTATATTTTCCTTATATAAGTACCGTTTACTGTGCATAACAGTACTTGTATATCTGTTCTTCATTTTTGTCAAAAAATTATAAAGAGAAAGTTTAGTGGTAAGGAGGAAGAATTAGTATATGTATATATATATATATATATATATATACATATACATCTAATGAAATAGTTTTTTTTTTTTTCTTCTTTTCTCTATACTATCAAAAGGATATTTATTTAAAAACATAATATATTCTCAAACAAATATCAAATTGTGTGTAGCTCAGCATTTCAATTATGTCATTAACAAATTTATATATCCCACTCTTTCTCTCTTATTTATATACCCATCTTGTTTTCGCAGTTCTGGAGTCAGGAAAATTTTGTTCATATGTATGTGATGTAATCATAGCATAGAACGGGAGAGGTATATATTTAAATGTTTCCAAAATGGAATAAATAAAATTATGTATCCATTTGTTTTCTTCTCTATCAAGGGATTTTTCTATAATCCTGTTAGCACCTTGAATAATTATATCTACGCAAAAGATCAATCGATTGGGCGTTATACATAAAAATTTACATGTATATATGTTCATTTATTCGTATGCAATGAAAGAATAATAACCTCTTCTTAGAACGCACCTTCATTTTTCATTTGGAATATTATGCCTTCGCTTGCGAACCTAAAGCATTATATATATATATATATATATATATATATATCCTTATTTCGAAATAGCTCTTAGATGGGTAAAAAAGTATACAAGGACAAATATGGAACCATTTAATTATCTGACTTATCCTCTTTTCCATGAGTCGTAAGATTTTATTTATTATCATGTAATAAACAAACCCAAATGTTTGCGTAGCAGTAACTTGGACCATTTTCTTTGAGTATCTTATCAATTCTGTTGCAGAGGATACATACATATGCAAAGTACCATTCATTCGGATATATACCGATGCGGTAGTTATACATTTCTCCTCGCACTATTAACAACAACGTAAATTATGCACTAAAAATTATTGTTCTTTTCTTTTTTTCCCCCTAGTCAGAAAATAAAATGAACTTATTTTGTTGTTCTATATGACAAATACAATTTTATAAACACTCAAAATTGTTCCAAAAAAGAGGTATACCAAAAATTAGTAACGTAAAAATATAGAACGTGTAATGCACGTAAGTGTATTATTTCCTCACCACCACTTCATTCCCCTCATTTATGGTATAGCAATAATACTTGCGAATTGTGCAAGTTCATTTTCATAAATTAAGATGACAAACTCGCTAATATCAAATAGTGTTAACAGGAGTTATTCGTAAAATATTATGTTTCTCAAGAAATACATTTCATCTGTGTGTATAAAAAAAAAAAAAAATATTAACTTGTAATATGAAAAGAATGAAAAAAACTCATATGGGTCATATGAAATGGTGTAGAGGAAAGTACAATTTTTGTCTATCAAAATATCACACTGCTGTACTTCTCGAAATGAACAAAAAAAAAAAAAAAAAAAAAAATGATTACGACACAACGGAAGGAGAAATAAAAATTCCCAAAAAGGCATGAACAAAAAAGAAGAACTCATAAAATTTGAAACAAAAAAAAAGAAAGAACTAGGAATAAAATTAATGACAAGAATAAATGTGAAAATAATTGCAGTAGTGACATCCCTAGTAAATGAAGCGCATATTCGTGATACTCCTCAAACATGCACCATCATCATAATCATCATTATCATCATTGTGCATGTGCGGAAAGAAGTGTAATTGCGTTTTTGTATACACCCTGACTATGTTACAGCTTAAGAATGTGCATTTATACTTGCAGTTACTAAGTGACAGTTGAAGAGCATAAGCAACCCGTTTATAGCTTTTGCTTTTTTCCCTTTTTAAATAGAAAAAATTGGACAAATGGTAACTATCAAGTAAAATATAAAAACAAAAAAATATAACAAAACGAGTCTCCTTAAATAAATATTGTTCATATGTGTTATGTAGTTGTATGCTACTTGATGAGACGTGATATAATAAAAGGTTGGCTCAAAAATGGGATTATGCAACGAGTATTTATCCGCACAAGAAGAGTCATAATTTTTATGTTCAATCTTCTTTTTAAAAAGGCATGTATAAAATGAATATCTTTTGTGTTCCTTTTTTTGTTTTAATAAGGAATTTTTTTTTTTTTTCTTTTTTTTTTCCTTATTTTTTCGAAAAATATCATAATATATATTTGTCAACTGGACTTTCTTTTTGTGTATAAAATGATAAAATTTTTTATTCGTGCGTTGAAAATAATTTTCCAATGTTTTACTTTCATTTATGCCAAAGAAATTATTAATATTTGTTACAATAATGTGAAAAAAAACACTCAAATAATTATCGATAAAGTATTCTACATTTTTAATAATATAATGAACAACATTTTCATTTTTTTGAATCATTTTAATACATACAGGTACAGAACCTTCTTTAATAAGTTCAGCTTTCGTAATTATATGCTTTTTCCATTTATCTACACAATTTCTAATTTCATTAAGTACTTTCTTTTTTATTACACATTTTAAAAGGTTATTTCTTAAAACCACGAGAACATACACAGATACGTTCGTACGATAAGCAGCAGATTTATCAAAAAGGGACTCATCATTATTTGAAATTTCTGAACTTCTACTATTAGTACACTTCTTTGAAAATATATATATCTGGTAAATTCTTACGAAAACAAATAACGAATCATTATTCACATTTATTCTTTGAATGTAATATATTTCATTAAAGTTATTATCAATATATTCATTTGTTAATAATTCACCTTCATTTCTTGTCTCATCCTGACAGTGATCATTAAAACCTTCTTTTGCACTTCCCTTTCTATGTTCTTTCCATAAATTCACATTTTTCAATTTCATATTTTGATCTTCTCTCTTATTATGCCCTCCAATAAGAACATTTCTCTTGGTCATGTTTTTCCACATATCGCCAATACCAAATCTTCCCCCCTTAGAGCAATTGGCAGTCCTCCTGTCATTTCGAATTTTTCTACTTATCACCTTAGTCGTCCTTTTGATTACAAACATTTTTTTTAACTTTTCAAAAAATTTCCTTCCATTTCGTTTTCTTTGCATAATATCAAGATTTTCTCTATCAGTTTTTACTTTCTCATTTTCCCCTTCTTTCTTCTCAAAGGAATTTCCCAAAGGTTGATTTCCTACTGATTTTATATTTGTCGAGTTGCATGTGTCGATGCTGCTCCTTGTATATATATTTGTGAGTATTTTCTCTTGGACATTCTTCCCTGTTCCGGAATTTTCCAATTTTTTATTTTCTTCACTTATTATACTTTGGCCCCTCATATCGCACAGGACTTTCTCTCCGTATAGAGAGCTCCCCTTCACCATATTAATGTCTTTTAATTTGTAATTTTTATGAAAACAATCTGCTTGCTCAGAAAAAAAAATTCTATCTTGGCTTAGTGATCTTTTTCCTACCACTTTATCACCACACATGTGGTTAATCTTCTCACGAATAGGATTATTTATATTTATCATATTGCATTCCATGTCATTTTGATTGGTTGGTAACATTCTTTGACAGCTGCATCCGTTTGTTGTTTTTTCCTTCTTAATAACTACATTTTTTTTTTTCTCATCTGGATTATTACTTATGATATCTTTTATATCGAGGTAATTTTCATCATTTGAATAATTTTGCTTTTTATTAAAAGAATGCATCGTTGCTAATTTCTTTGTGTCTTCCTCTTTTTCTACAATATCACTATTTTTGTGCAAAATTGTTTTTTTTCTTAATTTATTTGAATCGTCCATTTTTTCTCCTTCATTTGTGCACAAGGAGTATGCGTCCTTTTCAACACATTTTTTTTCATTCATTTTATTCTTCCATTGTACTTGTCCAGAAACGTTCCCGTTTTCATTAAAAACCTTTCCGTGGTAGGTTAAATCAAAACTTGCATGATCAACTAACAGTCGATGATTCTCATTATGGTTATTTCTAACATCGCCGTTTGAGTGAAAACTGCATTTTATTTTGTTTTCTTCTCCATCACAAATGTGGGATGGTATGCATTTCGAAGGCTCAGCACGTAGTAGTGACTCATCTAATAGATCATAACAGAAGTAACAATATTCATGAACACAAATATTACATAAGTATGTACCAAAATTAAAAGAAGAAGATTGCTTATATGTTGTTACCTTTTCATTTGTATGTCCCCTAAACTGCTTTACGTCGTAAATGTTTTTATTGTGCCCTATATTATATGTCGATATGGAGTTATCACTGTTTTCTTTTATGAAGTTCAAATAAAAGGAGTTAATATCCAAGTCTATTTCAAAATTACATATTTGCACCAAATCTTTTAATTCTTCGTCACACAAATTTAACAATTGTTTTATATTTTTTAGGTATGCTCTACACCCCTTGTCCCTATGTCTGTTGCGGAATTTTTCCACCCCCCTTGGGAACTTTACACAATTTGCTGCATATTGGTTTGTTCTTACATTCGTACCCTTTTTCGTGTCGTTCAGGTAGTTTTCGTTTCCCATATTTTGAGACTCATCCAGTAAAATCTCTCTTAAATGATCTCCCAAATTTTTATAACTGCGTTGACGTGCCTTCCATTCCTCCCACGTGAAAAAGTACAGCCGACCACTTGGAAAATTTTTTTTTTTCTCACCATTTGGATTAGTCAGATAAATTCTGTCCTGATTCAAATCACTGAAAGAGCCATTTGACGAAATTTTGGTAACTTCATTTTTGTGAACATTTTTTAATTCACCTTTTTTTCTGGTGATAATTTCAAGGAGTGTACCAAATTTATATTTCATTTTTCCGTATCCGTTGTCATTTTCCTTTCGTTCCAAATTTCTTTTCTTTTTATTGATTGATTGATTCGTGCTGTCTTCCCAGCTATCTAAAAGAAAATTTTTAAGACCTTGCTTTGAAAAATAATTTAAATTTTTCAACTGTTTTTTTTTATCATCATCTTCATTAACAACATCACATGCGAGATTGAGTGTCCGTTCCTCTCCCCCATTTTCACCTAACATTTCATATACAATGTCCTTCTTCTGCTTGAACCCACTTGATAAATTAAAAATTTTGAATTTCAAAAAATCAATTCGCTGATCCAAACGGATTAACTTAGTATACTTCTCCCTTGGTATGCTTTTTAAATTCACTTCTTCAATTAAATCGATACTTTTTTCCTTCAGCACTGAGCCTTTATTTCCCTCCTCTTCACCATTCAATAAACTCACATTTAGGGAAGAACTTTTTAAATCATTTATATTTTGTCTCATGCTGAATAGTGCCCCAATTTTCATTAAAAAATAATTCTCCACTTTATGTATCTTTACAAAGAAGGATTTGAAAAAAAAAAAACAAAATAGGAACAATCATTTGAAGGGATACTTTTCATAAATTCCATGAAAATATATAATACACTGATACCGTTTTTGTATAATAATGGAAAGGTAATATCAGACTTATAAACTGGAGTTTTACACATCATTATTTACGTCACTACATATGTGTATATATCAACTTAAGGATATGGTTGGAGTAAAATAATTCCCCATAATCCACAACACAATTTGTTCTATGATCAGTTGTTTCGCTTAATTCTCGCTTTTTCAGATAAACATGGAATAGCCGAATTTCATTTTTTGTCTCTAACCTTTTCTTCTTCTTCTTCTAGTCCTTTTTTTTTTTTTTTTTTTCAATCACATATCAGCAAATTTAATTGTAAAAAAAATAAAATAAAATGAAATAAAATAAAATTCCTTGGTTTACAAAAGAGAAGAGAACTCTTCATCAGTATGCCACCACTTGGGACAAAAAAAGCAAACGAGTGAAAAAGCAAGTAAAGAACCATGTGCATATGTATACAAATGCATACATACATAACACATGAACAATAAATTTCCCTATACTGCCAAGTCCTGTATGTCGAAAAAAACTTCCGAAATAGTTGTCTCACAACATAGTTGTTAAGTTTAAAATATTTGTGCTTATCTTCCCTTCCCTTTTTTTTTTTTTTTTTTTTTTTTCGTTCCTTCATGTTGGTATATTCCTGTATATACCATTACAAAAACATTTTCCTACTCCAACGAAAATTTCAATACGACATTTCGATCGACTTGAACTTTTTAAAGATTTTTCATCAAAGAGTGGATATATAAAAAAAAAAAAAAAAAAAAAAAAAGAGGAAATCTACCTTTTCTCAATCTTCAATGAAAAAGTACGAATATTCGCAAATAGGTCATATGCATATTTTTTTATCCATATGTTCTAAATGCAGAATTAGTCCACATGCATAAAGCTCAATTCAGACATATTCATTGCTACAGTAACCTATTCAGAAGAATTAAATCATGTGGGAAAAAAAAAAAAAAAAAAAATATAAGAGACACACAGTGTTATTCCAGGTATTAATTAATTTTTTTTTTTTTTTTTTTAAATTTTATAAATTTTTCTTTTCCTTCTTTTTTTGGCACATCACAACCATGACGTTATAAGGCCTTTCCTTTGCTAGTGTCTCAATCTTGACATACTAACCCATTTTCCCTTCGTTTTAGTCTAATATTCAAATCTCATTATGTTCACTTGTTAGTTGTTATATGTCTCCACTCTTATGTCCCTACACACATGGGTCTCCTCATTTTCGAACACTCCCCATTGGGGATGTTCATATAAACATGCATATTAACACGTGTACATATTATCACGTATACATAGTAACATGTGTACATGTATGCAAAACGAACAGGTTCCTATGAATGTGCTACTTTGTCGCAGAGGAACAAGGGAATTAAGTTCGCTTTGAATTGAAAACAATAAAGGATAAATCAAATTGTTGATTGAGAAAAAAAAAAATATATATATATATATATATACATATATATGTACGTGTATATGTGTATATACCGCACATAATGCTACTTTTGTGTATAGGCATTTAACACGCAAAAATTTAAAACATCAGAATGTGCAATCAGAAAGGGAGAGTTACACGTGTGAATGTACATGTCTTTATCTCCCCTTCTCGATCTTTATTCTGCTTTCTTTCATCTCGCGCTGCTCATTTTATTTATTTGCACCTAAGTTGTGCTCATGGGGAAAAGTTACGATTTTCTAGAGAGAAAAGAAATTCTGCGTAGTCATATTTTCCAAAACATGTGTATGAAGTAGAGAACATATTTCACTTCGCTGCTTCCGGTTGAATGGGTATAAAAAGAAGACACATGTCATTTAATGTTTCAAATCACTTCGCCAAGTTTGACCAAGTGGGGTAAATTTGAACCACTCCTAAGCAGTTCTAATCACTAGCAATAAATTCCAATAACTTCCAATCATTTCGCATAACTCCGACTAATGTTGATTAAATCACGATGAGCACTTAAAATAATGCTAAGAGGCCTTTTGTAACATTCAAGTGCAAAACGCAAAAGTAAATAGGGAGAAATAAGAAAGGATGAAAAAAAAAAAAAAAAAAAAAAAAAAAAAAAAGACATCTTTCTTTTGCATATTTTTTAACTGCGCACTTTGCATTTTCACTGTTTCAGAAGATCGAAAAAAAAAAAAAAAAAATTTCCTCTTGGTTCATTTTGTTAACTTGTCCATGGAATCGGTAAAACAGGTAGGAGTCTTATTATTTTATCGCTTTTCATTATTTTTATTTTGTCAGTTATTATCACTTTTCATTATTTTTATTTTATCATTTTTTATCATTTTTTTTTTTTTTTCGTTTGTTTATTTTCTGCACATTTTCTCGTTTTTTACCACCATTAGGCATATCCTTTCGTTTTCCTTAATTCGTTCTGCTGTGCAAAAAATATATGCACACTAAACTTTTATGCTTATATATGTACATTCTATGATTTTACCGGGTTATATGTATGCACGCGATGATACTGCGCACTGCCCAGCCCAGTTAACCATTTTCCCCTTACAGCTAAGATGCACAAAGGTTTGTGAAATTGTGCACGATGTGAATAGGTGAATGAATACATGTCTGCATAGCCTAATTAGTCTTTTTTTTTTTTTTTTTTTTTTTTTTTTTTGGTTTAAACTCCGTTTTAAAGTTCACTCATATTTTCTCCCTTCACAATCGGTTTCACTTCAATTTCCTCTTCCAATTCCACACAAATGGGAATTCTGTACGCCACGAAAGAAAAACACACCAAGTATTTTCATCGCGGGTACGTGATAGAATCGAGCTCAAGACATTCGGACGATGCGGAATTATATGCATGTACATTTTTACGAAAAGGAGAGAAAAGGCTAGTGAGGAAATTATGCAAAAATGTGCTGAATGGAGCAACATTTGATTATTTGTTAAAACTGAGGACCCTTACATATGATAGTGCCTTCATTATGCCACGATATTTGTTAAAGGTTTACAACATGTACAAGGACGAAAACAGTGTGCATGTCGTTATGGAGAGATGCACGTAAGTTTCACTGTCTGTTCTACGCATATTGCCGTTTTGTCAACTCATCTATTCTATTTTATGCATCTAATTGATACTCCATCTTGCGCATCTACACCTATGAACGTATTCACCCTTCCCAAATATGCACAGGGGTGGGTTCCTCTTTGACGTGCTAAAAGAAAATGACACCATCATTAGCGAGAGGATTCTTGCAGAGTGGTTCTCGCAAATCATTAGTGCTTTGTTATTTCTAGAAGAGCAAAACATTTATCATGGAAATTTAAATGGGTATTGTGTTTATTTAAAAGATCAAAGTAGGGAAGAAGTACGAGTGAGTTTATTGAGTAAAGACAAAAAGTATGACAATATCGATTACAAGGGAGATTTATATGGATTGTTTTTTATTAGATCACCACAAGAAATAAGAAAAATGTATTATGATAAAAATAACACTTGGTATATTGGCTTGTTGCTTTATTTTATGTTAATGGGTTCATACCCATTTTTCAGTGAAGACGTATTACAAACATATTCAGATATTGCGCAAGATGAAGTTTCTTTCGTTCATTTAAAATTTGAACACACTTATCTCAGCAATGATATTTGCAACTTTTTGAAATGTGCCCTTGAAAAAAATTACGACAAGAGACCGTATCTATCTGAGCTCGCGAATCATCCATGGATTCGAGGTTACTTCTAATATTTCCATATTCATTAATTTAGGGGTCCACTATGATGCCTTTCTTGTTTGTGTCTTTGAAATCCACTTTGTTCATTTTTATTATGATTTTTTTTTTTTTTTTCCTTCCATAATTTGCAGATAGGGAGAAACTCTCCATGAACAACATCATAGATGAAAAAACGAGAAAGTAATTTCGTTCTGTTTGCTATGTACATCTGATTCATACGGGTTCCTCTCTGCTACTGAAGCAACATACTTCCCAGCATCACCACGTCACCTTCAAGGATAGTATATATTTTTTTTTTTTTTTCTTTTTTTTTTTTTTTTAAGGTCAGCCCGAGATCTAATCAAATTCTTAGAACAAGAAATTCTGAAAACAGAGGAAGATTACGATGAGGTTGAGTTTAATAAAAACTGGTGACTCGAAGCATTATTTGTCACCTCCACTTATTGGGCGAAGTGGGAGAATGTCGCAAATGCAGACGTTTCAGATGTCATACGTTAAAATTAAGGATAATGCAGTTTGTATGATTGAATGTGCCCAGTGCTCTTTGGGTCACTAATAGCATGGAATTTTTTTTTCTCTCCGCTCTCTCTCCATTTTCTTTCCATTTTCTCTCCTTTTTTTTTTTTTTATTTTTTAATAATTATTGCTTTCTCACAAAAGGGGAAAAATATTTTAATCAAGCGATTCGCTCCCAAATTATCTCAAAGCATCGCACCTTAAATTCTTTTTTCAGAGACTTAAAGAAAAAAAAAATAATGGAGTAACCTCTTGTGTGTGTTCAATAGGTCTATCTACTTCGACCTGATATATCCGCACGGTCTCTTTTAAGAAATTAATGCTATGCAATAGTAGATCGTTGACTAGACACGATTTTTGCATGTGTAAATAATTCTCCAGCATAACTATAAGTTCTGTTGGATGATTATTCAGTTAGTTTTTTTTTCTCCTCCTTTGTCTTCTTCTCCGTCTTCCCCTTCTCACATTAGGAAAAAAATCCCTTTTCCTACCACTCACTTTGTGTCGTGCTTTTCTCTTCATCCCCGTTCGTATGCCTATCTCTTCTTCTTTCCGTCGTAGCCGTAGAACCAAAGAATGACATTCATGAGGAGTGTCTCTTCATAGGCCATATTTTTCACAGAATGAGTGCAATTATCGAAAAGGAAAAGTTTCGATTTTTTTTTCAATGCACGCAATCGGTTATACAAAGAAATGCTGTTGTGATGAGAAACACGCATATCATCCTTAGAAGCTATAATTAACATTGGAGTTGAAATATTTTGTACATCATATAATGGAGATAATTCATATAATTTGGAATATTCATCCTTACTATAAAAGCAATCGTACTCTGAATTTTTATTGAGTCCTAAATTTAGAAAATAATCTGGGACATCACTAGAATACGTGGACAAAACCCATTCAAACAATCCATTAATGACACAACAACTTTTAAATAAATTATATTTTGTTACAATAGAGCACGTGGCATATGCACCATAAGATCCACCATACAAGTAGACATTTTCATAATCTCCAAAAAAATTATAAAACTCTTTAAAAGTATCCATGATATCCTTTATTTCAATAGAATTTGCATGACCATTCAGAATATTCGGTTTATCTGAGAAACTTAAGGATCCAACATAGTTAATACTCAAAATATCAAATCCACATGCAGCAAAAAAAATGAAAACATTTTTATACTCATTTAAGAAAGTACAATATGGTCCTCCATGTATATACAAGATTAAATTTCTCATTTTTTTTTCATTAAATAGGTTAAAATTTGGCATGAATAATCCCTTCTTTTTTATATCATTCAAAAAATCAATTTCATTTTCGTATAGCATATTGAAACTAGCATTTTTTCTCCTCACATATGGATGCTTTTCTTTAAATAATGATGTTTCCATTTGACTTAATAACATAAAAAGTTTTTTAGAATGGTCATTTACATTTGCATAAATTATACTTGTCTGCTTTGTTTTTATCGTTTCATATGCTGTAAAATCTAAATTGTAACTTCGCACCTTTGTCAGATAAATGAAATCTCCACTTATGTTCCCTTCGTTAAATATGCAATAAGCCAGGACATCATTTAGAAGCATATTTCTTATGCTCACAAAAAGGTTATCATTCTTCATGCACAGAATTTCAATACTTGTAGTTTTATCATTTTCCATATATATATTGTGAATTAAAATACGGAAAATTTTCTTTGTAAAAATATGAACAGCAATAGCAATTTTGTTGCAATAAAAAATCGTATTTAAAAACAGATAAGGGTAACAACATCCTTTTATTTCATTCGTATATAATCCTCTAAAAAATCCTGTGTAACATCCCTCTCGAATTATAATCTCTGTCTCTTCCTTTTTGTAACTACAAATGTCGTCTTGATTTCCACAATTCGGTGCTGTTGAACTAGTTTCATTATCATACTCATTAAGATCCTCGCTACTCTCAATACTCCCATATGAACCGCCTTCAAATGGAACTTCTTCATGCTTTAGTCCTTGGGAAGACGAAACGATTCGTGTTTTTTTATCCCTCAATTTTGAATCCTCCTTCACAAGCTTAATTAGCACCAAATTGTATTCCATTAAGTGCTGTTTCGATTCTTCATTTTTTGAAAAAACTACTAAGCAAGCAATATATACTGAAGAATCGTCGTGTCTAATTACTATTGGAGATGCAATATGTTTGAAGTTCTTCCCAGACAGCTTTGCATATGCACAGCGGATGTAATTTTTTTTGCTACGTTCACTTGTTGTGATACCTATTCCATTTGATGATGTAGCTCTGCTCATTTTTCCATCTTTTCCATCTTGTCCATCCCGGTCTCCCTTGTCACACGGATCTACATCTGCATCGTTCAGCGTGCATAGATACAAATCGTTAGGTCTCACATTGAAGGCGTATATTCCAAGTCTATAGGGTACAGTTCTATATGATAAGCAGACAAAAGATGTGTTATCAATAAACTGAGGATTGTAATAACAGCCTGAAATATCCTTGACAGTTACATACTTTATGGTGTTATCTTCTAAATTGTAAACATATAAATTGAAAAAAGTGTAATTGAATTGCTCACCAAACGTTTCTGTAAAAATATGATTATTAAGTTTTTTTAAATTTTCCATGTCTTTTTTTTGAGATAAATTATTTTCCTTTTTTAATTTCATATCATCACTTTCAGCACTATATATCATAAGGGTATTACTCAAATTGAATGAACAAAAAGATTCATGCATAAAAAATTTTTTATGAATATCATTACTAATTGGTGCACTATTCATACAAGTAAAAAAAAATTTCCCATTATTTGTTTCATTTTTAAATAAATCTATTCTCCTTTTATTTTCTTCATTACAAAATAAGCACCCTATACTACCATCCTTCGACATGTACATTTTTAATTCTCTATCAAAAAAACTGTTACTTATGTCTAGATCATCTTGAATGTATGATATTTTATAAACCTTTTCCTTATTGCATATCTGATAGTGAATTATACACAACTGGTACATTTGCAATTCACTCTTGTTTATCCTTCTTTTGACCTCTTTTCCAAAAAAACATTTTTCAATTATATTTCCTCCACAGTAGCATATATTGTATGCTTCTTCCAGTTCCTTCATGAAGGGTGGGATTTTTTTAATCCCCGTAAATCTATTCTCCATATTTTTACACTATAGCAAAAAAAAAAAAAAAAAAAAAAAAAAAAAAAAAAAAAAAAAAAATACGATATACTAAATGCTATTGGAATGTAGTGACAAGGACTTTTAATAAACTCTCTAACAGAAACTCATCCGTTTTTTCCACAGATTCATGTAGGCCATGTGCTAAAATATGTTATTGATATATAGAAATGTAACATTCAGAATATTACTACATGGAATATGTGTGTTCGTTGTTACGAAGCATCATAACATGCCAAACAGTTCTCTCCCCTCCCCCTTTTATTCCAATCTGTGTTTACAAAGGAGTGATAAAATATGTAGATTCATGCATATAAGTGATATATATGATCCCCTGATATAAGCCTACGCACATGTATATATATTGTACATGCATGTGAATATGTATTAACTATATGCCACACCTCCCCCTAACAGTGTGTTATTATGAGTGCTTTAATGCTGATCTCCCAAATGCAAAGAGCAGTTGAGATGTGTATATGTGTGATTTCCATAACGACTCGTGTGGCAAAGGCATGAGTGTTCAGAATTTGCTACAATGTTTATATTCCCCATGAAAAAAATTTCATACAGAGAATAATGTTTTTCATGGATATCACGTCACGAAACAAGCGATCGTATGTGTCGTATCGTATATGCATATATGTATGTTTTATTTTTTTTTTTTTTTTTTTTTTTTAACACGCTACCGGTTGCCCTACAAAATATGTTTACTTTGAGCAATCTCTCCCCCTCCAACTCGTCACATGCAAATGTTCATGAATTTGCGAATGCGTTTAATTTTATGTTTTAAAGAGCCAGAGTAAAGTACATAATTGAGAAAAAATTTCTGCACTCACTTTCCGCATTTTAATTGTCGTATCTTTTTTCCCTCATTTTTAGTCTGTTCGAACGGGATATATTTTTTTCTTTTTTGCTCTATACATATTCACGTGCATATGTATACACGTACATATATAGAGACGTACATGCATATATATTATTTGTTTTACCCGTTTACTTTCTTTTTTACTTTCTCGTTCGTTTTTTCCCGTTTATTTATTCGTTCGCGTTTGAATTCATATTATCACTCTTTTTATCCCTCATTTTATCGCACATTTTTTATGGTTTAAATACGCTGATCCCCACAAACGGTATTAAGGCACGTGCGTGTACTTACCTGTGGCAACACATATATATATATATATATATATATATATATATATATATATATATATATATATATATATAAGGACTTATTATGGATGGAGAAACTGAATGTACAGGGCACATATAGTGAAGTGTTGAACAAGGTGCGTAATACGATTAATATCCAGATGAAGTATCATTTGAGAAAGTATATGAATTGAATGTATAGATGAATGGGCAGGCGAATGAACAGATGAGTGGGCGAGTGAATGAGCAGGGGATCGACCAAAATGAAGAGTCCTTTTTTGATCAAGATGAAAAATCCACGCATGAGAATGGGAGAGATGCAAAGGAAAAGGAATCAGGGAATGATGAAATCGACCCATTGGACGAATTCATGATGGAAATAAATAAGGTTCTCGAGGAGGAAAAGCAGAATGCCAAAGTATACGAAGAGAAGAAAAACAATTTAGTACCTAATGAAACAAAAAGTGTAAGCAGTAATTATGTAGACAATGGAGGGGATAATTGTGCAGGAAATAGAACAGAAACTCGTAGGGGAAATAATAGCAACCGTTGCAGGACATACTTCGTGAAGCAAAGCAAAATTAATCATGATACAATGAAAGATGAAGAAAGGACAAATGATCATACATTAGATAGTGATGAGAAAAATGGACATACGGCAAATTACCTTGCTTGGGGGGGGGGTCATACAAACCAAGATGATGATAGCCTAGATGACAATGACGTCACAGCCGATATTTACGAATTTTTGGAGAAAAAAAACGAAGAGATGGCCAATGAAAAACGGCGTGCCGAAGCACATGGAGGGAAAAATGCTACACACGCAAGAGGCACGATGGATGATCACGAAAAAGATTCAGAAGATGGAGACTTTTTCCACAACGAAAGAAATAACAATAGGGAAAACGAGTTAATAGAAAATGATATTAATTATGAAGAAATACAACTTGACCATTTTGACAAAGACATCTTTGTTACAGATGCAAGTATTACAAACTTTACCCTAGAAGAAAGTGTAGAATATAAGAAGAAAAACAATATTACAACAATAGGATTCAACGTTCCCAAACCCATTTTCTCCTTTTTACAATTAAAAAATGTCATAGATAAGGACATATTAGAAAATATGTACAATGTATCAATTAGTATTTTGTCACCTATTCAAAGTATTGTTATTCCAATTTTTTTAAGTGGTCGAGATTTTATTGCTAACAGCAGAACGGGTTCAGGAAAGACACTGTCATTCATTTTATCTTTAATAATTCATTTGTTAAATTATAAACAAATTGAAAAAAATAAAAATAAAAAAGTCGACAAGGAAAATATCCTAGACGAACAACAAAATTTGACACCATCACACATAGTGTCATCGTCTTTGCATAAATACAATCCCTCATCCCACGCTCTCATACTAACACCTACGAGAGAGTTGTGTGTGCAGATACTTGAAAATATTAACAAACTCTCCATGAATAAATTAAAATCGTGCATTTTATTTAGTGGAATTAACTATAAAAAGGCGTATGATGATATTCACCGAGGAGTGGATATCATAATTGCAAATGTAAAAACGTTAATAAATTTTGTAAATAAAAAATATATATTCTTAACTAATATTAAGTATGTCATTTTGGATGAATTTGATAGACTTTTTTCAAAACAATTTGTTCATTCAGTTACATCAATTTTGAAAAATATAAGGCCAGATGCAATTAAAGGATTATTTTCATCCACATTTTCTGAACAATCATGTGAATTGGCCAAACCGTATTTAAATAAAAAATTTATCATAATAAAAGTAGGAGAAAATAATGTTCTCATTGATAAAAAGTTTTATATTATTGAAGAAAATTATAAATATAGTTATTTACTAAAGTGCCTCCATACTTGTATCCCAAATGGACAAGGATTTATTTTTTGTAATAGCAAAAAAAATGTTATGATTTTATATGAAAAATTGAAAAAAGAATTGTCACTCAGGCATATATCCTTTGATTATATATATGGAGATATAGACCAAACCGAAAGGATGTACAAATTCGAGTCTTTGAAGAAAAAAAAAACACACATTTTGATAAGCACAGATCTTATGGCAAGGGGTATAGACGTCGTCAATTTGAGCTTTGTCATCAACTACGACTGTCCTAATGACCTTTTTGTTTATATCCATAGGATAGGCAGATGTTCTCGTATTAACAATAGAGGTATGTGTGCATTTTTGCAATTGCTGTAGAGCTAGCCAAAATGGTTCACGTGGTATGACTTTTTTGCCTGTATATGCATATAAAAATATGTGTACTTTTTTTTTTTTTTTTTTTTTGATTTCATAGGACACGCCATAACGTTCATACAAACATCAGAAAAAAGAATAGCATTTCTGATTTACAACTATTTAAAGAACAAAAAAGAAAAAATAGATGAAGAACTAGAAAACTTTATTCTGAAGAACAACCTGCATAACGATTTTCAAATGAAAAAAATGAAAAGGAAAATGAATGAGACCATTTTTAATATATCAGCAAAGAAAGCAAAGCAACCAGATGATGATAACTCATCATCGCAAAATGATCTTGCATTTAAAAGAATGTCTGCACCATCTACAAATACAGAAGATGCTTTAAAAAATGTAAAATTTATTTCACCAAATGATATTTTATCATCTTCAGATGAAGAATATTAAAAAAAAAAAAAAAAAAAGCATAGCTCATCCAAATTACTGGTTTATATAGTTCGGTTTAATGGGTATCATTCCAATTTGGAAAAATTCCCCTGCGTGTTTTGTCTTCTTCATGGGAGAAATATCAGAATGGAAGAGAAAAAATAAACAAACAAACAGACATGCAGGAGGGCAGACAAACAAGCAGGGGGTGGGTGGGTGCAGCAACCAGCTTCATAAGGGTTTTTATTACCCCGATGCATATACATTTTGCGCGCCGTCAATAATGACAAAATCATATTTTAAGTAAATAACTCTTTTTGTGAGCATTGGAAAGAAAGTTAAAAGGTATACATAATTATATACGCCTCCGTTTGTGCATATCATGTAGGTGCACAAAAGGAAGATTGTAACATCCTCTACATGGACAAATGTACTCTGAGAAACAAACAAGGAATATAATCCCCCTGATTAGTAAAGAATTTGTTTGAAAATATAGTGAGGGGGGCGGAAAGGTAAAGTAAAATACGCAAAAAAAATAAACAAAATAAAACTAGCAATGTAAAACGCGTAATATAAAACCCGCAAAGTAAAACGCGCAAGGTGGTATGATAAGAAAATCAAATTTGAACGTAACAAACAAGAAAATTTTAAGTAGATAAATTTTTCAAATTTTTATGGATCATTCAATAAGAAGAAAATAATGAGACTTTAAATTGAACAGTTAAAAAAAAAAAAAAAATGAAACTCATAAAAATATATAAAAGGATGCATTTTATTGCATATTATGGAATATTATTCGTGTACTCCTTTTGTAGATTATTTAACAATTCATTAACCTTGGTCATTTTTTTGGCAGCCTTTTCTTTCTGCTTTTTGTTTTCCTCTAACAGTATGTACATTTCCATATCCCTTTTCTTTATTTTCTTGTTTGCGTCTTCAAACATTTTATTTAATTTTATGATTTCGTTTTTCCTCATCTAATGTGTTAATGTTAAGAAAACAATATAAAACAGGTGAGGAAGTTGCATATATTATGCATGAGTGTACATGCACGTGTGAACATATATTAATCTAGTTATCTCATATTACGTATTTAAAAATAAGAAAAATAAAAAAAACTCACGTTGTTGTCGTCCTGTAACTCCCTATACTTTTTCTGTATAGCATACATCTCTTTATCCTTCTCTTCAACTACATTCTTAATTTTACATTCATATTCGTTGCTACAAAGGGCGAGGGGAAAAAAAAAGTGGGAACATGGTAGATAGTAGATTTAAAAAAAAATGTATGGGATGTTTATCAAAAAAAAAAAAAAATATTTTTTTTTTCCTAAATACCAGAATGACTCCTTAATATTTTCGATTTCTTTATGCGTATATTCTATAACATCATCCTTCATCTTCAATTTATTTTTTAGTTCTTTTATCTGCAAAAATATGAGAGGAGTATATCACAGAATAAGAAAAGGGAAACGTATTGAGAAAAATTAACATCCCAAGAAAGAAATTATATAATAACGAATTGTTAAATTAACACAGATGAAGAGAAAAGAACAAACATTAGACCATCAACCTAACTGCCCATTTATTTTAATCACTGTACGTAAAAATATGCACAAATTATTCATACATGTTATTAGGCCATGTACAGATAGTTTTTACATTTAACTTTTTTATTTCACACATTGAATGATAGGGTTTCTTACCTCTTCTTCACACGTTTTATACTTGACATGTGCAAATTCACACTTGCTCATGTAGGTATCCAGCTCGTTTTCATACTTGGAAATTAGGTTCTTTTTTTCTATTTTGTAATCTTCTAGCAATTTTTTATAATCACGTTCCATTTTTTTAAGCTCCAGTGTTTTTCTTTTCACTTCTTCGTCTTTACTGTTTAGATCTACCTTTAATTTCTGCGTGTGTAATTGGAAGTTTGTTCATGTGTTTATATGTGTGTGTATGTATGGAGGTAAAATAGAGAGAGTCTTTTTGCATGCTCTCCAACGTAGAGAAGCACTCGAATGCAAAGGTTATCAATGTAAAGATGATCAATGCAAAGAATGACAAATTTATAATGACACCACACGGTCGAAAGCATTATGACGCAGAAGGGTGGTTCATTCGTGTGGTACATTCGCTTGACCCTCGCTAGACCCTAACCTCAACATTGGCTGTTACATCTTCCGTGATTTTATTCTTGACTCGTATGTTCGTGTTGAGTTCCTCATTCTCCTTAGAAATTTTAATCAAATTTTCGCTAATTTCCGATTTATCCTTATTTAGGTTCATAATGAGAGTTTCATTTTCCTTGAGTTGAGACCTTAGCATGTCTTTCTCTAGAAGCAAATTCTTCTGCTCATTCATAAGGTTATTGTGGACAGAGAGAGAAACGTAATTTTGTTCAACTTCCTCTTTAATGAATTCAAAGGCATTTTTCTTTAGCTGTTCATTTTCACTTTTTATTTTGAGATAGGCTTGTTTGATATTTTTTAATCCTTTGATGAATTTTTCTTTTTCTTCATTGTATGCTTTCATTTCTTTTGTTAAAACTTCATTGACGTTTAGTAGATTTTGGGAATTTTTTTTTAAATCTTCATTAATTATTTTTACTTCATCTAATTCAACTTTTAGTGAGTTGTTTTGTTCATGTATTTCGTTATACGAAATTTGAAACGCCTGTTCTAATGATTGTACTTTTTGTGAAAAATTGTTTTTTTCTTTTTCTAGATATTCCTTTTTTTCTTTCATAATTTGATTCAAACTTTCTTTCATTTTCATTTCATTTTCTTTCAATTTGGATGTAATTTTTTTATTTTTATTTTTTAACTTTTCACATTCTTTAATAAACTTATTTTTTCCTTTACTTAAATTTTCTATAACTTCCTTTTCCTTACAATATAATTTATTACTTTCTTCTAATTTTGCTTTTAAATCTTCGATTTCTTCTTTCCATATGTTACCTTCTTGTTCATTTTTTGAAGTAAGTGCATCATTTTTTTTTTTTAAATCATCAACTATTTCTTTTAATTCATTTCTTTCATTCATGTAATTCAACATTTTTTTCTTAGTTTCTTCCAGGGAATTTTTTATGCTGTCTGTTTCTCCTGTTTGTTTAAGGCTTAATTTTTCGACTTGTTCTTTTTCTTCCTTTAATTTTGCGTTTTTTTTTTCAAAAATGGCTAGCTCTTCTCTTAATTTGGCTAGCTCGATTTCTTGCTTATCATTTCCTTTTTTCAGAACAACAACTTGTTCATTTATTTTATTGTGTTCAGCACTGATTGTGTTGTACTTTTCTTCTATTTGTGTCTTTTCATTTATGAGTAAGTTCCTTTCATTTTTCATTTTTTCATTCTCCATGCATAAGACTTTCTGGTTTTCCACTAATTCTACATTACTGTTCATAATATTTTTTTCATTTTGTAATAAATTTTCAATTTTGTAATGTAAATCTTTGTTTTCTCTACTGATTTGGTCAATTTGATTCGATAATTGGACATTTTTTTCTTTTTCCTTGTCATAATTTATTTTTAATTCTTTTCCCTTTTCATTGTCTAAATCTATTTGATATAGTAATTTTTTTATTTCATTGTCCATTTTGTTTATTTGATCAGAATAATTATGTATATTTTGCTCAAGCATTTTAATTTTCTCGTCTTTTCCAGTAATCATGTCTTGCTGTGCTTTCAATTTTCCCTTTACATGTTCTACGCGTTCAATATTTTGCCTTAACATGTCATCAATATCATTTTTATATTGCTTCAGAATATTTTCATTGAATGAAATAATATTTTCCTTTTCTTTTATTAACTCTTTAAGCATATAAATTTCGGAATCTTTCTTTTTTAAAAACAGCACATATTCATTCATTTTATTTTCAAATTGAATTTTGCTCACAGAAAATTGATCGTTCATGTACTTTGTTATTTCTTCAAATTTTGCAAGTTTTTTCTCCTTGATTGTGCAGGTTTCTTTTAATTTCTTAAAGTCTACAATCATGTAATCGATTTTCTTTTCGTATTCATTAACCAGCGTTAGTTTTTTTTTATATTTCTCCTTATTTTTATAAAACATCTTTTCCATCTTTTTATACCTAACCATTTCCCTTTGAAGATTTTTCATTCCCCTTTTCAGCAGTTTATTCTTTTCTGCAATCAATTCAATTTGTAGCGACTGCACCTCGGCAGACGTCCGCTCCTGTGTCTCCGATTCTGCACGCAACTCTGCTTGCTCTAGCTCCTTCTCTTGCCCCTTCCCATGCTCTTGTGCTTTTAATTTTGATTTTGTTTGCACCTCTGTTTGTGCAAACTTTTTATTTATCTTACTGTAAATCTTCGGTATGTGGCCCTTTATTTCTCTGGATCCGTGGGATGAAGCACGAGAGCGATCTGTGTCAATGGTTTTTTCTTCATCCTCCGAATTGTCTGTATTTCCATTGTTGTTTTTTTTTCCTTCTCCCTTTCTCTTTTTCCCCATTTCGACACTGGAATCATCTTGGTCAGCTTCCCCATGGATTATTTCTTTGTCCTCCCCACCGCTTGTCTCTTCTTCCTCCTTGCTGCTTGTCCGATCTGTTTCCTCGACACTTATTTTCTGTGCTGTCCCTTTATCATCCTTTTTGCTTCTTCTTCTTCTTCTTCTCCTCCCGCTACTGCTGCTTCTTTTTATTGTCTTTTTTTTTTTTTTTTTTTTTTTCGTTCTGTCCACATCTCTCAATTCAAAGCTTCTAATTCTGAGCATGGTATTCCTTTTCCCCCCTTCTTTTTCTATTTCTTCGCAATAATATTTTTGTCTACATTCAGTATTACCTATATCTATCTTTTCTTCTTTTTGTGGTTGAGCTGTGTCATCCTCATCGTTGTCATCACCAGTATGTTCCTCACTGGGTCGATTACATTTTTTGTCATCTTCATCACTTTGACTAATCTCTTGGCGAAGCAAGCTTTTCAAGTTGTGTAACTTACTTAAATAGTGATCAAATTCTAAATTATTCTTATCTTCCTGATCATTATCATTCGAATTCATTATGTTTCTTATTTTTTCAGAAAGTTCATTATATGGAGTCGTCGGCACAGATTTTGTCATGTCTACAGGAATGTTCAAATTTAGATTTATAGTGTTCATATTCGGTGCTGCATTCCCCCCTTCATTTTCATTTACATTAGAATTCTCTCCCTCGTTGAGTTTATTCTTTTCCTTATTTTTTAGGCTTTTCATATTTTCCTTCAGCAATTTTCTTTTTCGTATCTTCTCCTCAAATTTAACTTGGTCTTTCTTTGCAGGGATAGGCGAATCCGTGGTGTTGTTATATTCCTCGTTTGAAGCACCATTGATTGCACCACCATCGTTTGAAGCACCATCGTTTGAAGCACCATCGATTGAAGCACCATCGTGTATAACTTCATTTTGTGTAGCTTCATCCTGTTCCTTTTTTTTTTCATTTTGGTTAAATTCCGTTTTGTCCTTTTTCTCATTTGGTTCACATTTTCCCGATTTCTGCAAATCTCCGGGTTTGTATTTCACATCCATGTTCATGTTCGTTTCTGAACTGTCACTGTAATCATATTTCCCATTTCTGGGAATACCATTATGGTTCAGTCCCTTGAGATATTCAGAGTTGTTTGAAACATTCCTGTCATTGTTCTTACGTCCATCCCTGCTATCCGTTTCATGACAATCCACTTGTTCTGAATCGTGTCTTCTAAAAGAATTACTTGAGATGCGATAAGAGTTGCTCTCGAGGATGTCTAGTCCTGTAAATTCATCAGTACAATGCTCCGGATACTCTCCCGCTTTTACTTCTTTTACTTCATTTACTTTTTCTCCCCCTCTTTTTTCACTTTTCTTTTTTCTCTTTTTTTTTTTGACACGGTTAAAAGTATTCAATGAATTATGTAAGTCTTCATTATTGTTAGTGTGGAAAATGTGTGCGTCGACAGGATAATTCTCATCTGTTGCCTCGTTCTTTTCCTCTTTCTCCCTTTGACTCTCATTTGATTTATCAATTTTTTCCATTTCATTATTATTACAACAGATGTCTTCCATTAAGCGCCTGTAGCACATTTCCAGGTTTGACTGCTTCATATTTTCGGCTTCCTCCTCTTCATCATTTTCACTTAGTGAAAAGTTGTACTTCTTGTACTTTTCTTTTAATTTTTGCAAATCTAAATATTCCTCCTCTTCATTTTTTTCACTACCAGCAGTAGTGTCAACCGTTTTAGCATTTGGCCCTTTAAAAAGGTACTTGTTTTCTAAAAAGGGAGTATTTTTTTCTTGAAAATAGGTTCCTATTTTATTTTTATTTGCTTCTTCATTTTCGACATCATCATCAAAGTGCTCATAGTATATGTCATTATCGAAATTGTTTGTATCTTGAAATTTGTAATTTTTTAAATTCTGTAGTACGTCTAATATTTTTTTTATTTCATTATCTCCTTCACTCTCTTCCTCCTTAACGTTTGGTTCCGACTGAATCACATCACTCTGATCTTTCCATTGGTCACTCTCATAGGGGCAAGCGGATTGAGCAACACTTGTGATATTACCCGCGACATCTGCACAAGCAGGATAAGAAGAATCACCAAAGGAGGCAAAAGAGGAAATTGCAGCAAAGTCGCCGTAGTCATCATGTTCACTAATGTTTTCATCTCCACCACTGTGCGCAGTTTCAGCAAAATCGTTTACATGGGCAGAATATGCACCACAAGCAACATCTCCATAAATGCACTCATGCCCTTGTTTGATTCTGTCTTCGATTGATTTCTCTTTCGAAAAACTATTAACTACGTTTACTACTTCATTTTTTGCAAAAAGCAAATTGTTTATTTCGGCAGAGTCATTTGAGAGAGATTCATCTCTTTGCTTGTGATATGCAGTTTCATGCACATTACTTAAAATGAGAATCTGTTCTTCTTTCACATTGCTCATGGAAATTGATTCATTACTGGAAATTTTGTTATTCAGAGAATTTTCTTCTTTATCATTGACTCTTGCATTAGAATAGCTACATACTGGTGGTTCTAAATTGTAGTTTTCTTTTATATTTTCGAAACAGTGCATTATTCTGTTTTTGTTGTAACTGTGAATTTTATTCACATATTCCACATCAACAGAGTTATTAATTAAATCATCTCCTTGATCATTTAAATGACGTAATACACATCCTTTTTTTTTTATTTCACATGTGTCCTCATCATGCGTATTACATATATTTTTACCTCTCATACTTTCCTTAATTTTATATACACATCCAGTTTTTCTATCCATATTTATTTGTGAATTTATTGTGATCCTATTTCTTCGTTTCCTTTGTGCATAATTAGACTTGCACCGATTTTTTTTTTTATAGTCCCCATGATAAGTCTCTATCTTTTTCTTGCTTCTTATACCGGTTGCATATGTTCACACATATTATGTATGTGGCAAATAAAAACGGTTTTGATTGGAGTATATTTCAATTAAAATGATTTTTCCACAAAGAGTGGCTATATCTGCTGTTTTTCTTGTTCACTAATGAGTTAATATCTTACTGTTGTTTTCTTTCTTCCCGTTTTCCTTATTGTGCTTCTCCCCCTTTCCCAATATCTCATGAGAACGCAAATACTGAGAAATTTATTTGGGAGCGAGAGGGCATATAAATTCCTAGTTTAACTTACAAATGTTTTTTTGTTGAATTTGGAGAAAATGATACACACAAAGTAAAAATGAAATAAATAAATAAATAAAAAAAAAAAAAAAAAAAAACATGCATATGTTCGTACGTACATACTTAAATATATATGTACATAGTCCAGTTTAGCATAAAAAATATCCTACGAATAAAATTGAAATAAAAAAAAAAAAAAAGAAAAAAGAAACTTTATACATATGAGATACTTTTTCCTTCTTTGGAAAAGTGAATAATACATAGACTTCAAATCATTGCACATTTTTTTTTTTTTTTTCCCCCCCTTTCCCACTCTTGCACATATAATTCACATGTTCTTTTATTCGCTTAGAGGATTAACTCATTTAACAATTCTGCTATTTTTAACATGAATATATTATCACTTTGTTACTTATTTTGTCACTTTTTTTTTTTTTTTTTTTTTTTTTTTTTTTCATTGCACATATAACTATGACGTTAAAGTTCACAGTTGTGTATTCTCCTAATTTCACTTCATGAACGGCTCGAAAATAACTGAACAAGAATGGAGGAATATCGCCGTTCGATATGATAAAAAAGAGAAAAAATAACATAACATGAAGTGCTACTTTTTATAACAAAAGAGAAAATGTAAACTGTTTCAAGTGTGTATCCTATTATTATTTATGTATTCATAATATATTTTTTTCCTTCTTATTCTTTTTCACGCATTTTAAAAAAGAAGTTTTGTTCTTAATGTATATGGATTTATGATCGTCTAATAGTTCAATTGTTAAGGAACACCCAACGTTTGTCACATTGAAGAGAAAACGAGAATATGTGTTATCCTTTAAATGGGTTTAAAAATAAGAGTATGAAAAAACAAATGGAAAAAAAAAAAAAAAAAAAAAAAAAAAACTATTTATACATATATACACCAACTTCTACCTTATCACAATATTATTATCCTTCCGTTTTATAGCAAATGCATATATGGAAAACGTGGAAGACAATATAAGGTTTGTATACAAGTATACGTATATGTATACAAATCTAGCATATCTGCATATACTTCTGAATGAGAACCTAGGCCATTTCTATTCCATTAAGTTACACATATTAATATATACAATATAAATGCCAATCATTTATATCCATGTACTGAAAAATGTTGTACACATGTTAGCTAATAAATTTTAAGTTCTTACATACATCGATGCTTCTACTAAGCTCCTTTGATATGTCAGGGGGAAAGAAGTTTATTTCATGCTTATACAAACAGTAAAAGTTTTTTTTTTTTTTTTTACTCATATTGGGATTTAAGTGAAAGGTGTTTGTGCTCGTTGCTGTGGATGGTAGGAAATTCCATCAAGAATAAAATATGCACACGTATGTATGTGCATATGCATATATATATATATATATCGCCTCATCATGTATATTATACATCCTTTCGTAAATTCTGCCCCTTTCGAAAAGGGACCCTTTATGTATGAGCAGAACGAGAGAACAATGCCCAGACAAAGGGTCCAACCAAATTGTAATTTTTTTATGCACGCAATATATATATTTTTTTCCCTATTTCGACTTAATCACACATTTTATGGTTGTCTGCTTTTCAGTTTTACTTATTCTTTTTGCCATTTGAAAAATATTCTAAAAACAATTTTATTTGCGGAGGAAAAAAAAAAAAAAAAAATTCACCTAAGAAATTGCCTTTCAAATATGCACTGTATAAATAAAATGAACGGCTACACTCCGTTTTTTCATTTTATCATTTGAGATAATGAATGGTTTTGTTGTTCTTTTCTTCTTTATGTATTAATATGGGCATATTCAAATGAAGCACTCTTTACCTGCTAATGTGTTCATACACATAAAACCACCCATGATAAAAAATTTTGTTAACTTGACATAAGTAAAATGGATATATAATATAATGGCGAAAAGCAAATAGTGGAAAAAATGTGAATATACACATACACCATTAAATGATGTTAATGTAGGTAACACGAGAGGATTCTAGTGTTGAGTCTTTTTTCCACGGGATGAAGAAAAAAAGAAACATGTGTATGTGAAGATATGGTGAAAAAATGTAACGAACGATATTTTATATACCGAACATGCCATATCCTCAAAAGGAGCATAGAGTTATACTCGCAAAAAAAAAAAAAAAAAAAAAAAAAAAAAAAAAAAAAAAAAAAAAAAAAAAAAAAAAAAAAAAAAAAAAAAAAAAAAAAAAAAAAAAAAAAAAAAAAAAAAAAAAAAAAAAAAAAAAAAAAAAAAAAAAAAAAAAAAACACAAAAAAAGAAAAAAAAAAAAAAAAAAAAAAAAAAAAAAAAAAATAGCGCCATTGCCCCACAACAATATGGTACGCAAAAATAACATAATTCTTGTCCGAATATATATAATAAATTACGCATTTATTAGCATAAAAACATATGTAATAAATAAATGCAAAATATGCATAAACACGCGTATAGAAGATATAATATATATTTGCAAAGAAATGTGTATGAAAATCGTTAAATAAATGTGTTTCCACCACTTGCAGTGTTCCCCAAAAATAACACGAAAAAAAGGCGAAATAAAAAAAAAAATATAAAATATATGTACATAATATATAATGCATATGCATATAACATAATATATACATAGCATCATTACATATATGAAAACATATATGTACATGGAAAACATAGCATTGCTACACCATGGCGAGTTTATAAAATACAAAAAATAAAACAAAACAAAACTGCTTTAAATTTTGAAAAAAAAAAAATTATCTTGTCCTTCTAGATGGAAGCGATATGTACCATTTGTACCAAATTTTAAATTGATACGAATGCTCCTACATTTTTAATGCTTGTGCTTAGGTAAAAAAGAATGCACAAAAAAATAATGCATTGAACATATTATATGAACTGTTTATATGCAAAACATCGTATTGTACTTGAACTGCACCGTATAGAAATTGGAGTGTACATATATATGCATACAAAAATACGTACACAAGTTTATACATGTTTACGTGCATAAGTCGTGCAACAGGTATATGTGACATCATAGATTTACATTACACAGAAGAGCACTTTATTTCACTTACAGTTAAAATCAGATGACAAGCACCATCACTTATATTTTGTTAAATTAGTCTGCGCGTTCCTGACACACACAATATTAACCCTTAAAATGTATATTACGACATAAATAGTAATGAATGTTACTGAAATAGAACCCATAATATAGAGTTATGCATATGAATGCGTACACTTTTACATGTACGTATATATACATAACAATGCCATATACATACTTTTTGTATATAACGATGAATACCTATAAACTGTGATAAATTAGAAAAAGGTATGTCGAATTAGGTGAAACGAACTGATGGCACTCTCCTTCTCGTTTCTTACTTTTTAATGATGAAAACAAAAGCGAAGCAGTTATATGTCATACCGATCAGAAGTTTTCCAAAAAAAAAAAAAAAGAAAAAAGAAAAAAGAGGTAGAGATAGAGATAGAGATATAGATAGAAATAGCGATATAGATAGAGATAGCGATATAGATAGAGATAGTGATATAAATATAGATAGCGATATAAATATAGATAGGGCAAATATAACATAAGAAAAGATTAAAAAAATAAAAACGAAAACAGAGTGACATAACAAAGAAAAAAAAAAAAAAAAAAAAAAAAAAAATCTATAGTAAGAACTACAATAAAAGGCATAATAAAAACTAGAATAAAAGGCATAATAAAAACTATAGTAAAAACTAGAATAAAAACTATTGTAAAAACTAGAATAAAAATTATAATATAAACTATGATAAAAAAGTATGATAAAAATTATAATAAACAGTTAATGACTAACTAGAGATTCATTACATGTTCGAAGCATTAGCTCACGAATTATTTTTTTGCTACAGACCTGTAATTTGATCTAATACAGGGGGGGAGGGCAAAAAAAAAAAAAAAAAAAAAAAAAAAAAAAAAAAGAAATATGGATGCATGGAGAAAAGAGAAGGAAAAATACAATGAAGAAAAAGGAATAACATTTAAAAGGCAGAAGATAAATGAGGAAGAAGACACTTGGATCAATAATACCATGTGTCAAGGAGCGGATAGTATGTACAATGAGGAGAAAAGTGTTCATAAAAGTGATATAAACATAAAGGGGAAAGGATACCATAACATCTATGAAAATAATAACTTTATTAATGAGAATTATTTAAATGCACACAGCAATGAATTGAATAAAGAAAAAGAAATATCAGCATCTTATAGTAATGCTCCTATTGATTATCGTGACGACACATTTCCTCACGTATCCTCCAATAGTGTGCATAAGACCAGGCGCTATCCTTCCAATGAAGGGAGTGATATTAATCACAGTACATACGATGCACACAATTTTGATAAAGAATTGGGAAAAACAGTTGAAAATAGAAGAAGTAATGGAAATAGTAGAAACAATAGAAGGAATAGAAGGAATAGAAGCAATGGAAGCAATGGAAGCAATGGAAGCAATGGAAGCAATGGAAGCAATAGAAGCAATAGAAGCAATAGAAGCAATAGAAGCAATAGAAGCAATAGAAGCAATAGAAGCAATAGAAGCAATAGAAGCAATAGAAGCAATAGAAGCAATAGAAGCAATAGAAGCAATAGAAGCAATAGAAGCAATAGAAGCAATAGAAGCAATAGAAGCAATAGAAGCAATAGAAGCAATAGAAGCAATCGAAGCAATAGAAGCAATAGAAGCAATAGAAGCAATAGAAGCAATAGAAGCAATATAGGCTTCTCTACCCCCCCCTTGCGCAACAACGTTAGTGACACGTACAAAGTGTTGATTAACATTTGTTTGAATGAAATTAAAAAAAATGGAAACATGGAAGATGTGAATGATGTATATGAGGCACTAAAAAATAAGAACTTGTTATTCGATGATGACAAAAATGATGGTTTCGAATTTGAGGGGAGAGAAGAATATAATCATAGGAGTAGCATTACCAGTGAACGATTTGCATCTTCCCTGAATGATGAAATCATTTCGAACGGCGTCCAACTTGTTGAGATGAATAAATTAAGGCAATACAAGTTGAATATCAGGAGGAATAAAAGGACTAGTAGTTCTATCAATAGTAGGAGAAAGTCAAATGGAAAGATGAAAAGTCCGTATGATCAGGATGTGGAAAGGGAAAAAAACGAATCCATTTTTTTTAAAAAAATATATAACGACAATGATCATAATGATGATGAGGAAAAGGAGAAGCAGAGGGAGGATGACAATAATCACTCTCCTCGAGATGCAGTTAACCAAATTCAGAGAAATCATACTGACGTGAAAAAGAGTGTCAAATGTGACAACAATTTTATAGAATCGAATTATAGACTTGTAAATAACACAAAATTGATAGGAGAATCGAGGGGACAAAGGGAGAGTATGATTAGTAGACGCTGTGGAGTTAGTGATAAAACTTCCCAATGGAAGTGCCAGTCCACGCAAATGGCTAATCATGATTATTGTGATAATGAAATCAGTAAGCATAATTCCGAGCGTCGCAATGCTCAGCGGCACAATCCACAGCAGCACAATCCCAAGCGGCAGAATGATTTGAAAGGAAACTCAGGAGGAATGTTGGAAAATTCCATCTCAAGTTCAAAGACGAATCAGTTATCAGATGATGATAGCCCTATGACTTATTTTTCAAAAAAGAAAAAGCTAAAAACAGGGAACGAAGAAAATTATAATCACAGTGGTAATAATGACAGAATTTCCCATAATCACAGAGATGATGGAAACTTTGATCAAGAGATATCAAATCAGAATATTTTGGAAAAGGAAAAAACAAGGGATAAAATTGAATCGGATATGTACAATATTTTCAAAGGATTAATAAACATGCTAACGTGTAAATATCCAGAACATAACATAAAGGAATTTTTTTTTAATAGTCAAGATAGACTAAAAGCAGAATATGAAGATAATAAAAGTAGATCCATACAAATAACAAGCTACGAATCTAACAAATGTAATAATATTTATACCAAAATAAAGCATGAATTATATTATACAACTAAGAATACGAAAAAAAGAAATCATATAATAAATACAAGGCACAAATTTGATATATTTAACTATTGCATAAAACATATTAAAAGGAACATAACTATTTTGTCTCATTTTATACCAAATAAAAAGGATTATAAATTTATTACTAAAATGAGATTTAATAATAACTGTGAAAATATAATTACTTCTGGAAAAGATGGGTATATAAAAATTTATCATGTTATGACAGGAAATTTAATATTATGTATTAAAGCACATCGGAATGCTATTACTGATTTTGATATCCATCGATCAGACAAATACATCCTCTCATGTGACGAAAAAGGTACTGTAAAATTCTGGTTAATAGATAAATATAAATCTAAAATTTTATTTACATATAGAAGAACATTTCTCATGAAAAATGTACAGTTCTTTTATCATGAAACTATGAAGTCAAGTAGGCATATTATGTACAAAACTTATGCAATATGCTCAACAAATTCTTGCTTTTTTATCATTATGTTTGACGATTTGAATAATGATGCCCATTTGACATATACACTAGATATGAAAATTGGAGTTGTTAAATTTTTTCCCCATATTCAATTTTCCTACTCTTTGAATTATAATGTATCTCCTTATATTTATAATTCTTTGACAATGTCAAAAAATCCTATAAAGGAACTAAAAAATAGCTATTTGATGTTTATTAATACGTCGAATGAATGTATTGATAAGTTTTATGAACAAAACGATTTTTGTAATACCAATTATAAAAGGAGAAAAAAAAAACTCATGTTTTTACTATTGACATCTAAACCTTTTTACGATAGTGAAGATCAAAATGACGAATTGTTAAGCATTACACCAGATGATGTCTTCATTACAAAGTATGTAAACAAAATTGATGAACGTAAATATAAATGTGCACAAACAGATGATGTCGTCGAATTGATTTACAAAGGAGAAAAAAAAAATAAACAAAGAATGAGTGATGAAGATCTTTCTTATGCTAAAATTTTTCAATATTTTGAAATTAATATATTACAGAATAATGTAAAGAGAGATATGGGATTTTCTATATTCAAACGATTTGAAGATTTTAATGAAGAAATTGTTCTCTTCTCCTTTTCAAACAATTCGGCTGATTTTATTACTGTTCATATCAATGGATCTATCTTTCTTTGGCATTTTCAAAATTATATTGATTCGTTTTCATCGTGCAAGCAGCGCGATCAAATATGGAACAGCAATAGTTGCGACAAGTATAATAAGAAAAACAAGAATAAGAAGGAAGATGAAAAAAAAAAAAAAAAAGTCAATGTATGTTGCTTTTACACCTCTCTTTATATTGAATTTTTTTTGGAATCTTTAGCTCTGAGCGAAAGTAATAAAGCAAAAGGGGGAGGAGGAGGAGGAGGGGGCACTGCTGCAGCTAGTACTGGTGTTACAGATGCAGGTATGAACAAAAGACAAAATATGAGAATGACATACAACAAGGCAAATCCACGACTAATAAATCAAATGAGTAACGTAGTAAACAAACTGAATAATGAAAATGAATATGACAATTTGTTTGTCATATCCTCTACATCTTGCTCCTCGTATTGCTATTCTTCTAGTGGAAATGAACATATACCAAAGGTGGTGAATCGAGAGAAGGAACTAAAAAAGAAATCATTCCTTAAAGCTCAGCGTGAAGCGAACATTAGAAATAACACAGTATTGAGAAAAAAATATCAAGACTCGAATGATAAAACTGGTTTAATAAATAACAATGTAAATGCACAATTGAGAGAGGCAAATAATAATGGTAGTGTCATCATAGAAAGTGTTGTAAATAGTAGTGGAAGCGCAAGTGGAAGAAGAAATCGAAATGAAAACCACCTTCACACAAACCTGATTGGAGAAAAAAACAGGGGTCCTCCTCATTGTGTGTACAATGAAAAGGCGAATAATAAACCAAAAACGAGAGCGAAAAAATTGAACTATAAAATAAGCAATGTTGCATTTAACATTTCAGATGAATATTTAATTGTAGCAGATGGAATAACAAACAAATCGAATTCGTCTAAGGAAGATACATTCGCAGTTACAATGAAAACAAACCTTTCCATATTTTGTTTAAAAACTTATGAAGAAATGAAAAATTTCGATTTGAAAAAATGTAATAGTTTTGTTAGTTTTATCAAACCAAATCCTTTCTTCACTGATATAATTCTCTTCGCATGCTTTAGGAAATATATATATTTAATGAATGTTCAGAAAAAAAAAATTGTTAAAAAATATTCATATGATAGTGAATTAAAAAATTTAAGTGCAGATTGGAGCCAAAATGGTTATCTATTTATTGTATCACATAATTATGGCTATTTTTCTATTTTTACACTAAACCAGAATGCCTGCTATAAATTGACACTATCTGAACAGATAACATCATATCAGATTTGCACATTTAACGAACCAAGTATTAACGATTTAGATGACAACTATGATAATATAAACTCTCTTCCAGATATTTTCCTATACAATTCATTTGAGATTAATAACATTGATGATGCTGTGGATGTTGTCAGGTACAATAATGGAACTGCTATGACAAACGGCCTCCTCTTCGCGGGTGGAATGAGTACATCATCCAGAGTGAATAACAGACAAAGAGGTGAAACAGGAGGAACAACTGCATTAAGAGCAAGAACAACTGTGGGAGTAGCATCAAGAAACACAGGATCCACAGAAGGAATCAGTGGAAGAAGAAGAAACTTTAATAACAATTGGAATGACCCCAATATTGGTGGCACAATTTCCAATGATCTATCATCAACGAGCAGAGCACTGAGACATAGGAGAAGAAACGAGAAACATAAAAGCAAAGGTAAAAGAGTGACAAGAAGAAACAACAGAATAATTGAAGACAGTTCAGAATATTCCTATTCTTCCAATTCTATATACACTCTTTACACTGATAGTAATTCGAAGACCTCTATGAAAGAAGTAGAAGAAGATTTGAAAAATAACAAAAGAAAAAAAAAACATAAAAACATCAATATTATTAGTGATAATAATAACGGGAAAAATCTCAGTGATGATGTGAGAATTATTGATAAAAATAGTTTTGAAGGGAAAGAAAACAAACATGTTATAAATTTAGAAAACATCCCTTCAAATAACGAAGTTATAAATGTGGAAGATGTGCACAGAGAGTGCATTAAAAATAATTCCATTCGAAATAAAGAAGTTATAAACCTTGATAGTGTGATAAGTGATAATAACTATCCCACCTTTTTTGGAAATAAAAAAAGGGCTAGGAACAGGTTAACGTCGAATAATATAGATGCAATATCGAGCCCAGACACTGCATTTGTTACTTCAGCACGAAGGAGACATCGTGTAAAGCATAATGAAAAGGGAAATACATTAAGCAAGAACTCAAGTAAGCACTCCAGTGCAAGTGATAATTCTAGAGAAACAAATACAGAGGGAGTTGACGCTGAAGAAGAGAGTAAAGCACAAACAGATGCGGAAGGAAACACGAATGGAGACCCGTACCTTGCTAGGAAGAAGAATTTCATCCCAATGAAAAAAAAAAGAAACTTCAACACGTCCATAGATTTCAAACTTAGAAGTAGTAATAATAATAATAACAAGCATAATGAATGCTTGTTACTTGGAGGTGGTTCCTCTATATCTGAAGGGATGAATTTTTCCTTTGATACAAACATTGAAAAATTGAAGGAATTTTTTAGTGCACCAAAACAAGAGGAAAAAGAACATGCCATAAAGAGGAGAGATGATCAATACATTAGTGATTTGGACTCAGATTTTGAAAAATGTAGTTCCATATGTTTTTTTAGTGATAATTCTGATTACGGAAATTATTCAGATGATCTATTTTACCATACTCCAAATGGACGCGCAAAGAGTTCTCGTCTCAATAATCCTTTCAATCAGTGGGAAATGGAATTATGTCGTTACGTGGAATCTTCTCGTGACAAAAATACAACATCTCGTGTTTCCACATCATCAAAGGAGTGGGAGAAGAAGGGGCTTAACCCATCATCTTACACTCCCCATAAGTATAGTACAAATGGAAGATATGCAAATCCGTGGTACAGTGGCCATAGGAGTGAAGGCGAAGATGAAGATGAAGATGAGTGGTGGTTTGCTGCTACCTGTGACGCTGATGATGATAAAAACAGTAGGGATGATTACACGAGTAATTGTCGCCCTCTCACACTTCAGAGAAAAGATAAAGCTTGTATGGAAAGAAAAAGAAGCCCATGCTTGCTGAACTTCATTAATGAAAATATATTGGTAGATAAAAATTTTAAAATGTACGAACAGGAGTTACAACCATTACTTCCGAAATTCTCAAGTTTCAATTGTTATACAAGCTGTTTTGATAAAATTAAGATATCCCCAATAGATCCCATATGTGTTCATTTAGGCTTTTTCAATTACATTTGTCAGAAGTTAAAAAGTGAAAATAAAGTAAACTTAAAACATCTTCTAACTTATGATATTTTGTACAAAGAGTTGATAAATTATGAAAAAAGTAGTAGTAGTGGTAATAGTAGTAGTAGTAGTATGGCCTCTGCTTACACTGTTTATGATTCTCTCTCTAGTTTGGATCATCGGGAATGGTTCGATCGCAAAGGGATTATAGAATCCAATTTAAATATCTATATAGATGTAAAAAATGAACACAGAAATGAAATGAATGATAGCATAAATTGTGGAACAAAGTTAGAAGAACACATGAACTTCCAAGTTATAAATGTGAATCATCACAAAATGTTAAAAAACGAAGGAGTAAAAGGAATGAAAAAAAATACATATCATAGGAAGAATGAAAAAAGTGAATCCTTCCTTCGAATGTTAAAAAATTACACACATAACAATTATTGCTACAGGATGAATAAAGCGGATGATTCAATTTTTGAACATTGTACAGAACTCAAAGGAGAACATAAAAATTTTATCAAAGTAGTTGAAAAATATATAGAATTATTTAAACACAAAAGTGTTAATGCAGATAAGTATAAGAAATGTTATATGAATGCTATACGTTTTAACAGAACTTACAAGAAATTTATGAACACAACTGTCCTAATTGACAGCATTAATGAAAAGATAAAAAACAATGACAGAAGATGCAGCTGGGGAAATAGAAAATGCATAAACGAGAGAAGGACCGTTTCTCGGACTTCCCCATATTTTGAGAATCCATTTCATGAACAAATGAATGAAATGAGCATTTCTCTCATGTACAAAATTTTAAAAAAGTTACCATGTAGAGAAGAAGAAGACATTGATAACTTCATCTATTACAACAAGAAAATGTATGAAGAAAGAAAAGTCAAAAGTTTTTTAAAAACCTATTTAAAGCATTATGAAAATGTGGAAAAAAATAAGGATGAATTTGATCATAGATTATTTGTATATACAAACAACAATAGAATGTTGTATATGAATTCACATACAATGAAATTACTAAACGTGCTACAAGAAAATTATTCTAAAAGTTTAGTTAGAGAAAGCTTTAACTTGATGAATAATTGCCAATTGAAAGGAAGAAATTGCATAATTAAAAATATAGATGGAATTAATAATTGCACTTTTTTGAATCCGTACGCGTTATATTTAAGATCATCTGGAAATTATGAATTTCTAAATTCAAGAAATGTTCAAAATTCGTTATTATCTAGCTATGCAAGGTATAATGAATTATTTAACATGTTTAGAAATAATTTATATGCCAATAATGCTGCTAGTACAGGAAGTGTTCTAAATACTGGAACTACGGTAGATGTAGCCAATGCCTTAAATTCTGTCAATGCAAATAATGTTACTAGCTTTTTAATAAACTATGAAAATGTAATAAGTTCTGGAAGAAATACAGAAATTGCAGTGATAAGTGAGCATTCTTCTGTTTTTACCAGTGATCAATCCGCTAACTATTTTACAGAAGATGAAGAAGAAGATGATGATGACGATGATGATGATGATTATGTCCATGATGATTATGACTTTACTTATAATAATGCATCTAGCTCGTACACAAGAAGATATAGTAGAAGAAATAGAAGGAATACTCGCGCACCCAAGCGCTCAAACAGTGGAAAACGAAAAAAGAATACTAGGAATAATAACAACAACAATAGAATCAACAACAATAGAATCAACAACAATAGCAATAGCAACAATAATAATAATAATCATAACAATACGCCCAGAAGAACATCCGTGAGAAATAAAAAAAATAACGATAAAAAAAATTATAATTATGATCCCACTGTTTATGCCAATGTTAGAAAAAGTGATCGTCTTAGGAATAAGGAAATTAACAGACGTGAAAATAATTCTACTAGTGGTATACGCAATTATGGAAGTGGTATAAACCAGGGTGATAGTGGTATAATTCAGAGTGGAAGTGGTATATACAATAACGGCAATACTGGTAGGTATCCTAGAAACCCCTCGAATCATTCTAGAAACCGATATAACACTAGATCGTCTAACGTGAATAGGGATTTTATCTAACTCTTTAATCAGCTTAGACATTTTAAATTATGTGCACGCTTATATATTCAGCGAACAGTTCTTCACCCAGGAAGAACCTATACACAGGGTGGAAAATGGAATGGTATTCCTTTTCCTCCCATGGGAGAGGAGGAAGGGATTTGCAGGGAAAAAATAAAACCACAAAAAGGAACAAAACAAATTTGAAAGTCAAGCGAAAAGGCATAAAATTGAAAATCAAACGAAGATGGCAAACAGAATCCCCATTTTTCTAATACACTTTTATAGGATTTTAAAAAAAAGTTTATCATTTTGTTTTTTCAGAAGAGAAAATTTATTTTTATTTTTTTTTTTTTTTTACCCATTCTAATTCTCGCCGATATGAAATTTCGAGTTCCTTATAAAATTTAGTTTTGGCTAACCTCCCTTTTGTTTTATTATTTTATTTTTTTTTTTTTTTTTTTCCCTTTTTATTTTATTTTATTTTTTTTATTCAACATTTTGCTGATCACTTTAGTATTACTTGTCTTATTATAAGAAATTAAAAAAGTTCATTCCGTTTGGATGTATCCCTTTGCATATTGTGTGTATTTTCTTTCGTCCTATCCATCTATCACTAGATCTTTTTTTTTTTTTTCTTTTTCCTTCACCCTATGTATGATTTACTAATATTGGCATTGTAGGTCTCTGAAAAGACTTGGTCACATTGCTTCATGCCTGTGGGCGTCCCGATCTTGAAGTGTTCATATTTATACATGTGTATGTTTATTTTTTTTTTTATTGCACTTGTGTGAATATTTATTTTATTCATTTTTTCACACATGAATGCATAGTTTCCATGTTATAACTAGCATCCCTTAGTGCAGGAAAAAAAATAAAAATAAAATAAAATAAAAAAAAAAAAAAAAAAAAACGAAGAAGGATCAAAAGATATATACTATATATTAAAAGACTTGAAGTGCACAATTCTCAACAAATCACAACAGGAAAAAGTATGTGTCAAATTTATATTTAGCTTACCACATTGTATTAGTAGAAGTATTTGCGTCTACGCATATGAAGAACGGTTAACACAAGATGAGCAAGATGTTTAATTTGAAAAATTTCCTTCAGTTGTAAATATTTTAAAGGATTTTTTTTTTTTTTTTTTTTCTTTCATACAACTCTGATGAACATAACTGTAAGTAAATACATGTCGGCATGGAAAAGCCATGTCTTTTTTCTCGTCAGAAAAAATCTTATATATGAACCATCAGCGTACACTTGATTTTGACACGTAGATATTTCTCTACGGTTCTGTATAGAAAAAAAAAAAAAATTTAGCTTGATGGTTTTTATGTATATGGAGAGAAAAAGTGCATGTAAAAATTTGACAATTCAACAATTCATGAATTATTTGTTAGACATAGTTATGTTTCATTTGAAAACCGTAAAATAACACTGTGATGAATGAATTTTTTTTTTTTTTATTTCGTTATTTCGTTATTTCGTTATTTCGTTATTTCGTTATTTCGTTATTTCGTTATTTCGTTATTTCGTTATTTCGTCATTTCGTCATTAACCCCTTCTTCTTTTTTTTTTTTTTTTTAACGTCCATGTGCCTCATTTGATGTCCCAGCGTAAAACTAAACGTATGCACACATGCATTTTAACCATTTGAAACATTTTATCGCATCACTTATTTAACCTTTTTAAAGTATGTCTATATATTTTTATTTTTTCATTGTTTTTTTCTTCATACTTCAAAATTTTCTTCATTTTTTTCATTATTTTTATTTTATTTTTTTTTTTGTTATACAACATTAAGCAAATCACTTTCATCGCTTTAAGTATGAAATATAAGCAAGTCTTATGTGAATTAAAAAAAATCGAAAAGAGGAAAAATTAGAAAAAAAAAAAATAATAATCTCTTTTAAAAAGAAACACATCCAAATAAAATATGACATCATATAAAAAAGAATTCACCCCCCAAAAAAAAAAGCACAATTCTCCTTGTCACTGTTAACCATTTTAAACCCTTTGCAACCATATGTTTTTGAAATGAGTGTTTTAGGTTTTGTCTTTGGATTAATGTTGTCACAGGAGAGGAGAAGGGGTGACAAAATACTGTTGATACAGGGTTTATATATATATATATATATATGAAGAAAAGAACAGATGGACATTGAAAAAAAAAAAAAAAAATACGTTTTTCCGGATTTTTTACAGAATGGATTAGGAAGTGCATTTGATATCTTATTTGTGCTGCGCCAATTTTGCCTAAGTTTTCATTTTCCAGAAAAAGCCTTTGTACACATTTAAGAAAATCGTTTTTTTCACCAAATTGGGTAGTTCAAAAAGGGGCTATTCATTTGGATCAATCAAAAGAACGGAAAAGTAAGGAAAAGGTAATGAAAGTAAAGTAAAACATAAAACAAATCATAAACAGGAAAAAAAAAAAAAAAAAAAAAAAACTTAAATGTGGAATACTTCAACGAATAGGTATATATTAACTTATATATTTTATGCCAAATTAGAAAGTTCTTAGACGAACTCTTATTCCAGTTCCTATTTTCTTTTACTTCACTTCCCTTGAGTACATATATTAAATAATACTCCACATGTAAATTAACCTCCTCTCTTCCCACACAAACATACATACACACACACACATACATCTTTGTTGGTCACTAGTTTTTGGAAAATGTATCTCTCTATAAAGTTAATCAACACGGAAATAAATGTGGATATAAAACAGAATCTCAGTCCTAGCAGTTACACCGCATATAGTACGATTACTCTAGTTTGACACTGTCCTATTTTGATGATTCATCAAATTGCACATATGGAGAGAGATTAGTAGATTTAATCCATTTCACTTTTTCTCCTTCCTAAATTTTGGAATCGCCAATTCGGTGAACGTTTGGCAAGTTCTATCCAGTTAGCCTTCAATTTCTTGATCACAAATTTACACATTTAGAATTGCATACATATGTATTCATATATATACATATATATATATGTAAGCATACTTTTTTTTTTTTTTTTTTTTTTGGGGTGGGGAGAGACTGGAGAATACTGTGCTGTGCTCGAGGTGTGCCTTTCCTCATTTGCCATCGATTCTTTTCGTTGCACAAACATTTTATGTGAAATGCAAGCTGCAAACATTAAAAAGACTCAGTGGTAACACTTAGCGAGGTCTGCTAATGGTCATATGTTTACTTATTATTTTATATACATACCTGCACTGCTACTTAGTCTCTCCCCCATCGATAGGGAATGACAAGCCTTATTCTGTATACTCAAGAATGGGCAATTAAAAAAAAAAAAAAAAAATTCTCACCGGCACACAGTATATACCTGAGGATACATGTTTGTTCGGAATGAGGAATTTCAACTCGTATATGTTTGAGAAAAAAAAAATTGAAAAAGCAAACTGTGGGAAATGCGAAAAAATAAGGGGAAAAAATAGAGTAAAAAACCTAAGCGAAAAAATAGAATAAAAAACCAACACGAAAAAATAGAGTAAAAAACCAATGCAAAAAAACTAAATAAAAAAGTAAAGCGAAAAAACGAGGGGAAATTATGCAGATGATATTTAAAAGCAAAACTATAAATTTTTTTCAGATCTTTTTGCTATTTGTACCCACTGGATCTTTATATATAAACGTATATATACATATAAATACATATATGTTTATATATATATACTTATGTACACCCTTTTGCCACTATATATATATATATATATATATATATATATATATATTTTTTTTTTTTTTTTTTTTTTTCTTTAGTAGATCCAAATTTTAGTCTCATTTTTTTTCTTTTTACATTCTTTTCATTTATAGTTATAAAATCTATTCTCCCTCATGAGCTGCTTAATTTGGATCTGCAAGTTGATTAGAATTAAACTTTATCGTGTAAGTTTATTTTGATGAGATACCTCTTTGTTCAAGCGTCAAGACATGACTACGCAAATATATTTCGTAGAAATATATTCACGATATAAATACATATATATATATTTTCCTACGGGTATAACATTAACACATGAGGAACTCAAATGCAAGAACACTTTGTGTTATGTACTTGGAATCTCATTAAACGTGTATGAAAATTAAAGGCCTATTAAGCACCCATTTCTACACCCACTGAGCATGTTCAAGATAAATAAAATGATAAAGAAGCATGAACAGAATAACACTTTACGATTTTATATTAGATGAAATTCGAGGAGGGAGATACTATGATTCTTATCAAAGCGACCATGAGAATACCGAAGAAGGGGATGGAACAGAAGGGAAGAGAAAAAAGAATTTAAACGAAGGCGAGAGAAAGAATATGAATGAAACAATGAAAGGTGCTAGAAATGATCGAGGAAATAACACGAAACACAGTTCCCCAAAGGACCGTAGTATTAATGAACCCGGACAAGATGAAAACACATACGACTTTTACAAATTTTTGGACAATTTTTTTAAAACTGACTCTATACCAGAAAATGCATTGGAACACATGATGAACGTGCCATATTTTTTAGAAAAAATTATGAGTTTCTCGTTCTTACTTTGTCTAGACAATATCCTTTATGACATAACATTTATGCCTGTACAAGTCATAAGATCGATTTATATTTTATTTTATACTTTTTTAAAAAACTCTGGTCATAATTTTTTACGCCTCTTCTGTAACATAAAAAATTTGAAGTTTTATAAATATGCAACTACATATAATTATAAGGATTTAAAAAAGTACAAAGAGAGAGTAATTAAAAATTCGAATAAATTTTCCCAAAATGAAAGAACAAAAAGAGCAATGCTAAAAAAAAAAAAAAAAATAGAAATTTATGACAAGTCAGGCGAAAAAAATTATTTGGAATATTCATATAGTTTAAAAAAAGATACTTCAAAAAATTTTTTTTTTTTGGGATATCATCATATAAATGATTTTACCCACAATTTTGAGTATTCAAATTCTAATGAACTTAGTTTCGAGAGAACTAAAAGTATTTCCCAAAATAATTCTATCGACACAAATACTGCCATGAGCAGGTTAAAAAGTCTGAACAAGCTCGATACTAGTACTGATATGAATTCTATAAATATTAGCTTCAATCCTTCCACAAACCAATGTGATTATATGAATTCCATAAGCCTTTGTAATCATAACAGTAGCACTAGTCATCCAAGTTATAGAAACTTCAAAACTTGCAGTACATGTGAATATGTAGATGATAAAATTTTATTAAAAAATACAAGCGCTACAATAGATATGAAAAATGAGGACAGTGATTATTTAAAAAATATGTGCAATGATAAAAAGAAAAATAAGAGGAATGAAATTAAGATGAACAAAAGAATGTTACAAATGCTTAATAAAAAATCCATAGATAAAACAAAAAATAGGAACAGAAAAACAGATCCTTTGTTTCATCGACTAATAATAAATCCATTTATAATTACAAAAAGGAAGATATACTATTTTTTAAAAAAATCAACCAAAAATGTTCACGACCTTTTCAAAAGTGTCTGCATAAAAATCATACATTTTTTTCATATTAACGCGATATACACCTTTAACATTTTTAAGGATGAAGAAAAGAAAACAATTGTTACTAGATCCTTTGAAGTGAAATATCTGAACACCAATAAAAAAAGTAACAGTGATGAAGAGAAACAAGAGAAAAATTCACATCGCCAACACAAAACTGGGGGATGTAACTATAACCATTTGGATAAACATCTCATCAGAGAAAAAGTAGGACAATCAGAAGGATCAAATAAGGAGAGGCAAATTGATAGTGAACAGAAATGGGAAAAATATACTGCTGATAAATCGATAAGAAAATCATCACATAAATTGCCAAAAAAACATCCAAGTAAATCTCCAAACGGATTACATAACCAAACTCCGAAGGAATATCCTGAAACAAAAATTCCATACTTGACAACTGAAATGGAGGCAATAAAAACTCCCCGTGCAGATGAAAACAGTGATAATAACAAAAAGCTGGATGTGGGACAAATGGAATTTTCAGAAAATTGTAATGTTCATAAAAGGAAGAACTCAAATTGTGCAAGTGATAATTTAACACAGAATGATGGAATCAACGAAGAGAACAACATGAGCGAAACTTTTCTCACGCCAAATGATAATCGATCAAGCAACACGAAAATTTATTTCCAAATGGATAACCAAGAAGAAAACATTGATAACATTATTAGTGATTATAATTTAGAGAGTCTTAACTCATCGGATAGATATGAACTTACGCATAGCAGTAACCCTAGTGATATATGTGATGTGTTTGATGGGGAATTGTTCCGTGATGATCACAGCAACATGGATGATGAAAATTGGCAGAATGGTCAAATTGGACTAAGTCATCAAAATGGTCGAAGCCTCCAAAACGGGAAAATCGATCAAGTTGGCCAAAACTATCGAAGCTGCTACTTGAAACCCCATTTTATGACTCAAAAAAGAAACAGCGAAAATTGCGTTTACTACAAACTTAATGAACGATATTCAAAAAAAAAAAATATAATAAAAAATATATCCAAAATTAAAGAAATGAAAAGAAAATTAGTTAAACAGCATTTAAACTCATTGAAATTATCATTCCCGGAATATAGTGGACTAATTAGAGTATCACTAATTCTAATATGTATATACATATTTTCATTTGTGGACACATCTAGAATTTATCATTACATAAGAGCACAGCCATTTATGAAGTTATACGTAGTATTAAATATGCTAGAAATTGTAGAGAGGCTACTAAGGTCATTAGGAAAAGACCTAATTGATAATATGATAAGAACATTTATAAGAATTATTAACTTACGTTCTTATGTATATATCATAAGAAACCAGTATACTAAAAAGGAAAATGAAATACAAAAGCATATGCACGGAGCTTCTGAGCACACCTCGAGCAATATGCCAAGGAGTAAAAAAAATGTATGTCCTGTTTCTCTGACCACCACAACTATTGCCACGAGGACTACTGGAGCAACAAGAATTGAAACCACAATCGAAAGCACGATCGCTAATAAGGAAGAGATAAATTTTATTAATTACGAAAGTCCAAATGACGCTCAGAAAGAGCCTATAAACCAAATAAGCAGCTGTTTAGAAAGGAAAACGACCAATAACAAAACGCCTCACCAATACAGCATGTTCAGAAATAAAGATCAAGAGGGTAATAATAAACATAATGTTATTTTCACATTTAGTAAATCTACATATGATCCAGATATATGCAGAACTGATATTGAGAAAACTTCAAAATTTAGCAGTCTAGGTTATAACAACGAGCGGGAAAAAAATAAACTTGAATTTTCTAAAAATAATAGGGAAAACGAAAATGAAAAAAAATTTAAAATACCTATCTTCTACCCCTTCTATAATATACTCTTTAAATTTATTGCACAGTACATCTTTGTCCTCATGTACATCTTAACCCACGCTTTTGCACATCTCATTCGCTTTCTCTCACTGAACATTGCAATCAATTCTTCTGAGGTAATATGCTTTTTCTTTTTTTTTAAAACGAATTTGCATCATGTCACAAGGAAAGGTTGTGACATATCGATGGTGTGTATGAATTCCATCGTATTATTACACACATATATATATATATATATATATATATATATATATATATATATATATATAATTGCTCCTTTGTTTTTATTTTATTCTTTTCTCTTCCCTCCCCCCATAATCCAAGTCAACAATGTTCCTAATCCTGGTAATGAGCAATTTTACAGAAATAAAATCAACTGTATTTAAAAAATTCACCAAGACGTCCTTGTTCACAATTGTTGCTTCAGATGCAGTTGAAAGGTTTTATCTATTTATTGACGCCTTTCTCGTTTTATTAAAAATGTCAACTGCTTATAGAACACAAAATTCGTTCTTAAGCATTTCCAGTTGGCTCATAATTATTTTACTGCTAGAAGTGGGAGTCGATTGGTGCAAGCATTCCTACTTATTGAAGTATAACAAATTAAACTCGGAATCCCTAAATAAATATTTTCACGTAAAAAGGAAAAACATTGAAATGTGAAACCACACAAGGATAACTACATATTCCTGAGCATGCGTATTTATATATACATATAGATGCATAAATGTATATATATAAATATGCACATATAAATGTATACATCCTGAACACTTATCCTGCGTTATACATGTGCCTTTATGAATACCCACAGACCCTGCTAGCCGATGTACTAATTTCAAGAACCCCCAATAACAACATATTCTATATGAACACTTCTTCCTTTGATGTGCCGTGCAAAAATATTTTTTGCTTTGCCCACATTCCAACACGAAGACTTGGATACATGTCCATGCCGGTAGTAACCCTCATAGTATGTTCCCTCCCAAGGTAAGCATTTGCAAAAAGCGAAATAGAAAGCATTCAACTGCCTCCTAGATTTTCCTGTTCAGTTCATATGCGTACTCTCCGTGTGTCTTATATCTTGATTCGGATATCTTCACATTATGTATATATTTATATACATATATATATATATATATATATATATATTACATGTGTATATGCATAGCAAGCGCAACCATATACACTCGCAATAATTTAACTTCCTCCAACCTCTTCAGATTAAATTATTTGTACAACATTTCACATTTCTCATTTGCATTATCCATTTGGGTTTGCTTATTCCTTTTCAAGGTTTGGAAAAATAAAAGAAAATATATATATACATATATATTTGAATAAAATTTACTATATTTGTAAAAATGTAGAACTCTATTTCGTTGGATAGTATAAATTTAAGCGTGAGTCACAAGTGTTTTTATTTTATTTTATTTCTTTTTTTTTTTTTTTCTTTTATTCTTCACATTTTTCCCCGTCTCTATGATTGCACTACCGAAGATCATCCTGTCCATTATGATTGTATCCTTCACAATATCCGAAAAGAAGCATCTTAAAAATCTGGGAAAACCATATGACGATATTAGTGCAATGTGAAAAAATCAAATAATGAAAACGGATTTCTCAATTTTTTCCTATTTTCACCTTATGTTCATTTGCAATTTTTATTTCCCCCCTACCCACACACCCTACAGTTTTGTTACACTAACCCTTAAATTACCACATCGTTTTGTGCGTTATTATTTTACTTTATTTTATTATTATTTTTTTTTTTTTTTTACAATTTTGAAAAGTCTTTTTTTTTTTTTCGTTGTTTTTAATTCTCAATTTAGTTGTAAACATAAATTTACAAATCGTTAGACAACATGTGTATATAAATTTATATATTATACTTTTCAATGTGTGATCTATAATGCACATACACAAAAATATACATTATTGTGCGTATTGGTGTAGATGCAAAAGAACCCAGCTTGATACATATCTTTTCGTTTCTACTCCTCTTTTTATTCTTGCAAATTATGTTATTTTTATTAAAAAATATTTTTCCTTTATTTTACGTTACACAACTATTTGTACACATGTTACGAATTATCCATTTTGACATTCTCAATGGAGGAAGACACAATTTAGGAAACTTACTGACGTTTCGTAAAAAAAATATATATATATGTCACTTTCTTCTGCTGCGGCAATTTTTGTATAATATGTACTTATGAAGATAGTAAACAACAAAGATCAAAGAAATGATACTTTAATATGAAACTTACTCTCTAAATAGAAGTGCACTTTTGATGTTTTAAAAAATAAAAAAACAACATGTCATAAATCTTCACTCTAAAATGTATTATTTCATACGCATACACACAATTTTTTTTTTTTTTTTTTTTTTTCTATTTTTTTAAAAAAAAAGTAACCCAAAAAAAATAGCTGTTTTGAAAAAAAAAATTCTGAACAGTCATACTTTTTTTTTTTTTGGGGGGAGGGGGGGAAGGTGTGGGGCAAAATTGCACGTAAATTGTGACACACACGCATGTATCTGCCCGTATATTTTAGAGAGGGATGATTGATTATATGCTCCCTTTTTCACCTTATAGATGAGTTCAAGATATATTTATAGAAAACCTATACATGTGTAAAAATAGTCTACATCTTATATACTTTGTATATTCGTGTATGTTTATATTTATTTGGAGGATAGTAAATTGGTTGGGAGTTTTCGCTTACGTCTACAATGGGGCTTCTATATATTGTGCAAATTTTTATTTTTATTAAATTGTCAACAAAAGTTTGAGCACAAACAAATACTTCCACTTGGCCTTTTTGACAAAAAATAGGGATACGCAAAATGACAAAACATGGTTAGGGATATGGAATTACAGTTGTGCGAAATGTGTAAAAAAATGCGTAAAGTGCATTTCCATATTTTTTTTATTTATCATATTCTTGTGATAATAGTGAAACGGATTTTAAAATAGTCGAAGGAAACTGTTCTACATGTTATAACACTTCCGCATTATATGACTTTTATCATATCCAAAACAGATGGAACAATTGTTTACATATTTTTAAGAAATATAAGCATATTTCTACAAGATCCTTATATTTTCCTAAGAGTTTGTTTGCTGATACGATTGAAAACACTTGTATTATTGCGTATATTAATATATGTCCCTTTGTGCTATGGATATGTGTGTTTTATCATGGACAATAGGTTAATGAATTATAGTTGTACTCAATATGAAAAATATGCTGTAATTGAAAAATAGAGAATGTTTTTTGCAATTTTCATAAAACATTTTGCTTTGCGTACTTGTGGATAAAACAAATAATGAAAAATTGGGGGGGAAAAAAAAAAAATATATATATATACACTCTTTTTATGGCTGTTCAAAGTCATGTGTTCACACTTAAGTACACGCATGAATTATGAATTTTTTTTAAACCCGTAAAAATGAAAATGGAATGTGTAAATCGAATATAAACTGCTTAAAAATTATTCGAAATTTTTAAATTATTATAAATTTTTTAAAAATGGAGCTATGTGTATGTTTATGTGTACATGTATGTACATTCATGTATATGGATATATATATGCATACATGTATATGTGTGGTACGGTGGGCTGGGGGGCTTCGTGTGTATGGGGATATATAATTGTAATAAATACAAGTAGCACACCTACTTGTATATCTGTTTCCGTCGTGCTAGGTGTGTATCACACGTAAAACAGTCTCTGCTAAGCATATTAAAAAAACCCACCCTGCACACTTAACCCATATGTATATATTTGTATATGTATACTCACTCGGTTCACCCCTCTACAATTCCCCACAGTTCGTTACGACAACAGGCCTCTTGACATATCCACTGTTTGATCCTTCCTTTTCCATATCCCTAACTACGTTCATTCCCTCGATGACCTTTCCAAAAACAACATGCTTTCCATCTAACCATGGGCATGGAACAAGGGTAATAAAAAACTGAGATGAATTCGTGTTTGGTCCTGCATTAGCCATAGATAGTAGGCCTGGTTGATCATGTTTCATTTTAAAATTTTCATCTGTAAAGGATCTTCCATATATGGATTCTCCACCTGAACCGTTTCCATTTGTTATATCTCCTCCTTGGCACATAAACTGTGGAATAATTCTATGAAAAATTGAATTCTTATAATGTAGGTTTTTTCCTTTTGAACCTACTTTATCGCCTGCACATAAAGATCTAAAATTTTCACATGTTCGTGGGGTAACATCAGTGAATAGTTCGAACACTATTCTTCCAACGCTTTTGTTGTCAATAGAAATATCAAAGAAAACTTTGCTCCTACTCATTGTGAATAAATATATAGAGAACTTGTAAACGTGAACCAAAGTGGTAGAGGATTATTACAAGGGCCTTAAAAAATGGGAAAGTTTATATATATATATATATATATACAGGGAGGGTTGTATAAGGATTCACATGTTAAGTGTTTTTTACACATAGATAAAAAAGGTATATGGTACTTATGCATGCATGTGCGCTTTTGAGAAGCTCAAAATGCATATATTTTAAATGGTTACTTTTTGCAGTTATATCACAAAAAAGTTTGTTTTGTTTGTGTATTTTTGAAACTTTTACTTTAAATTTTGTGTAATATGTTTATTTTTTTTTATTATATTTCTTCTCTCTATATAATATTATATTTACAAAATAAACTTGTTTGTCGTTCAGCTTTTGCAATGTATGTTTACAAAGGAAAGTTTCTTTACTGTTCAAATTTTGCAATGTATGTTTACAAAATAAACATGTTTGTAGTTTAGCTTTTTTTTTTTTTTTTCTACTTTCTCAAAAGTTTTTTTTTTTTTTATATAGTTATATTTTTTATGCGTTTTAAGATTATATAAAATAAAAAAATGTACACCCCCTTCTTTAATTTACCATTGCTCTACATACTTTGTTTTATGTGCATTTGTTTAGGTGAACTTGCATTCGTATGCATTCTGAATAAAAAAAATCACATGCCCTTTTAATTAATGTAGATCCTCCGTGTATGCATATAATGCACATGCATATTATATATGTTTATATTATATATGTATTTATTACATACGTATATATATTTTTTTTTTATTTCATTAACCCCTGTGCAACCAATTCGTGTCCGTTTCGAAGGGGTCATTTGAACCCTGCATTATGCAAAGAACACGTTCCTTGACTTTTTTTTTTTTTTCTACGAGAGTGGTGGTTTATATGCTAGGTATTCAATTCACAATGTGCTCAAAACAGAAGACTAATAATTTATCATATCCTATGGCACCTTAATACCGATGCTATCGACATCAATACGTAAGAGTAATGTATAGATTTGTATATATATATATATTACATACATGGGTATGTCGCCCCCCCATGCAATGTGCTAACGAAAAAACGACGTATTATAGGTAGTGATAAAGTAAAGCACAAGTGTCAAAATATTGCATTTTATTTTCTTTTATTACAAATGCACAAAAGAGGGATGCCATATTACACTGAATATAATGTGTTACCTTATCTAGTGCACCCAAAAACATATTAAATTTGGTGCGACACAATTAATTATTCTGCAAGGTATAGTGCAATTGTTTCTCCCTTATTTCGTGCTTATTGTTTACCTGATATTATACCTATCTCGCTTACACCCATTGAATATATTTTTGATAAGTTTTTTTTTTTTTTTTTTTTTTTTTTTTTTTTTTTTTTTTATTCAAAATGAAGTACGATAAAATCCTCTTTTCTTCTTTTCAACTTTTGCCATTTCTTTCACTGAACGAACGTTTTCGTCATTTTGTATTTTTTTTTCACTACTGATTCTCAAATTGTAAATGTATATATAATGGAGAATACATGTTTACATATCTATGTTTTTCTCCTACCTCGAGGAGGATGTATTATATATGGAAGAGAAAATAATTTTCAACCACACCATAAATTAAATGCGTTTTTTCCCCCTTTAAAGGAATTAGCAAAATAATTACACACATAAGTTTTGCAACCCCCCTCGATTAAAGATATTCCTTTTTTTTTTTTTTTTTTTTTTTTTTTTACTCTCAATATTCGACGGGATTAATTTTTCAAATAAAAAAAAAAAAAAAAAAAAAAAAAAAGAGTCAACAAATAAAGGTTATTTATTAATAAACTTTTCTCGTACTTTTACTATCTATGCATTATAAATTGGGGTGAAATTGCGAGGTTCGTACATCTTCTCCTCTCCCTACTTCAATTATATATTTTTTTTTTTTTTTTCATCCACAAAAAATGATAAAACATTGTGCGAAAAATGAATCCTAATCATATTTATACAAAAAATATCAACGGAATTAAATTTCACCCAATTGGGGGGTTTTACAGCATAATATTAATGTTTTAAAAAAAAAAAAAAAAAAGGAACGAGCTGAGTTAGAAGAAAAAAACATGTGTTCCCTCCTTATGTGAACTATAAACGCTATTTAAAAAAAAATAGGAAAACAAATACACATGTTATTGTGAAAGTAATATACAAATTATGATTGGGTAGTTAAAAAAAATGTCCGTATATAAGAAAAAAACATATGTATTTTATATGTGTTTAAACATTTCTAAGGGGAAAAAACGGACAAATATTCGGAAGGTACATAAAGGTGTGTATGATAAGCACAAAAATAGGATGGAAAGGTGCCATAAAAAAAAAAAAGGTAGACGGAAAACAAAAGTCTTTTTACCCCTAAGGACAACATCATGTGTCGCTGTAGAAATTTTTATATTTACTGCTATCTTGTTCTGAAATTTCCTTCTTGTCGTTATTTCCTTCGCTTGCATTTGAGCTGCTATTGTCGAAATTGAATACTTGAGGTTCTTTCTCCTCTACATTATTGACACTGTGTCCGTTTTGTTCATCATTTGTATCACACTCCTCACTTTCATCATCACTCACTAAAACAATTTCACACTGTGAATCATTCGTGCGTATGACTTTCCATCGATTTTCTGCATAAGTTTCGCTGATTTTTTTGACAGATTTTCTATTGTGACGCCTAATATCAATTAATTTTTTTAAAATGTCAACTTTGTGATTGTTAGAAAATTTTTTATCGTCTAGAATTGCGTGTATTTTTTTTTCATTATTTGCAACAACCCTGTACATGTAGTCCCCAATAAGAGGAACAACCGAATGGATATATTTTTGAAATTTTTTTTTTTCTTTTGATGGGAGAATATAATTCATTTGCACACAAGCTTCAGAAGAAGCATCATTTGGTTGTTTCATCAAATTTCGACTTTTTTTAAAATGGCTAAGTTTTTTACATATACCCCTGGCATTGTTTACTAAATTAGAACATATAAAAAGTAAATAATTTGAATCATTTTTATTCCTCAAATTAGATATAGCTTTTAAAATGCTTTTCGAAAGTATTTCAATTTCAATTTCATATAATTCCACATCATTTTTGTGCTTAATTTTTGTTAAGTCGAATTGGATTCCTAAATACTTATTTATGAAAGACGTTCTTTCTTTTATTCTTTCGTGTACAGGTGAAATTTTAGATAAAAATAACTTGCTTATCTGTTTGGTGTGTTCTAAATTTATCGAAATACGATAATCTACAGAATCGTCATTTCGACCTGTATGACTTCTTTCATCATCCCTCCGACCAGCATCACCATGCTCAACCTTTTTTCTCTTTTTTGCTTTTTCTTCATCAGGATCATCATCTTCATCGTCTTCATCTACTTCATCAAAATAATCATTATTATTTCCCATAAAAATATTCCATGTATTTAAATTTTCTTTACATAATGATTTTGTTATGCTTTCATCTTCTTCTTTCAATTCATCATTTAAATAAGTCGTAACGCGAATTCGAGAATTATTATTTTGTAAAATATAATATTTATCAACACTTCTAACAGTCTTGGATGGTACAAATTCGTAAATATAATTTTCACTCTGCGTCCTTTCATTCTCTCCTGACGGGTTTTTACCATTTTGACCCCTATCTGAACCGTTACATGCATTTGTATTTACTGCACTTTTTATAACATTTTTATTACTCATATTATTGCCCATATCACGTGCACTTGTGCAGACATTATATAAATTCCATTTATTCCTTTGACGCCTTAGATCATGTAAGTAATTTAATAGATATTCAAAAGATTCTTTGTCTACTCCTGATGAGAAATCTGAATAATTCGTTTCAACTATAGCATCCGTATTCGTTGGCAATTTTATTCTATTTTTATTTTTGTCTATCACTAGACCAACCCTTGTTTCTATTTCTATCTCTAAATCTTTGTTTGAAACGATTTCATTGTTGTCAAAAGCAAGGATGATGTTCTGAGATAATTCATAAGTTATCTTGTCAATGGGGATAGGTCTGCTTCCATCCAGCAGTTCGTGTGCTTCCCTCACCATTGAATTTAAAGGAGAGATGTTACAATTCGCCCGATAACTGATAGTAGCGAGCACAGTAGAAATTTGCCTATATTTTATCCTGATAAGACTGGAACAAATAAAGAGAAAAATATTACATGCACTACTTCCATGTGTACCACCTGTTATACTTGTCAGAAGTGTTATACTTGTTAGAAGTGTTATACTTGTTAGAAGTGTTATACTTGTCAGAAGTGTTATACTTGTTAGAAGTGTTATACTTGTCAGAAGTGTTATACTTGTCAGAAGTGTTATACTTGTTAGAAGTGTTATTCTTGTTAGAAGTGTTATTCTTGTTAGAAGTGTTAAACTTATCTCACGTCAACTGTGAAACATATAACATACACACAAAAAACAAAAAAAAAAAAAGAAAGACGAGGGTGAGGGGGACACTGGATAGTTGGTCCTGGAAAATGCCAATTTTGTTGGAGTCTTTTTCTTTCACATTTTGTCATCCCGAACAGTTGCATAAAGCATAATGCATAAGGCATTGCATCTCAGTCTACTGCCAAAACACATCGTTTCGAATAATACATATTGTTATAGTATACAAATGCACATACAATACCTTTGCTAAAAAAGCTATGCGGTCTCACAACGCGTGCAGAAGCAGTAGACTGGAAACATGAATATAATTGCTTGTATACAGGTCTATATATACCTTACAAAAAATGGAATTATTTTATTATTCCCACCCTGAATGAAAAAACACGTAAAAATGAATAAATGTGCATCTATAAATGTGTATATATTTGTATACATGCGATTAAATACGACAATGTAAACATCTCAAACTTGTTGAGCTTACTCCAGTTAATGTCATGCGGGTTACTAAAAAAAAAAAAAAAAAAAAAAAAAAAAATCGAGCAAGAGAGACCTTTCATTAGATCAAAAACGTTATATACATTTTTCGCTATATAGCAAATTTTCAAAACAAAAATAAATTTTACTGATTAACACGCCACGCCGTTTTAGGTAAATGCATATTGTTAAAAAAGACTACAAAGTGTTCGAAATTTTATGCCTTTTTTTTTTTTTTTTTTTTTTTTCAAAAATGGGTATGTATTTATATATATATATATATATATATATGTGCCTGCTTCCTAACGCACGCAGAAGTATACTCTTATAGTGAGAACTTATTTTTTCTACACCCCTTTACCACTAAACATTTTGGATAACTGTGTAATAAAAAAAAAGAAGAAAAAATAAAAAAAAAAGAAAAAACTTTATAAAATTTGAACAACTTATTCTATGGGTGTTAGTTGAGTTGGGACATAGGGAATATGAATAACACATACATTTAAACCCTTTTTCGGTTCATGTAAAAAAAATAAAAAATTAGTAAATGAGGCTCCAAACAGGCAAAGCTCATAAAATGGAAAAAAAGGAAAAAAAGAAAACGCTACCACAAGATTATATATACGCCAAGTTATGAGGGGGAGAAAGGATATTTGCAAATTTTTTTTTTTTTTAAGGAAAAAATTGAAAATAAGGAATTGGCTCTCATTCTCATCCACCCCGTTCTCATACATATCGACATTTGCATATTTTCCCAAAATCTAGTCAAAATATGGAGACACCAAATGGTTCATCAGGTAATATATTCCTCGCTTTGCAATTTAATACTTTTTAAATTTGTGCTTAACGTGTTTATTTTATCATCTATATATTGAAGCTTTCCCTGTAGGAATTCCTTTCTTTTAATTTCTCCTCTTCGTCCACCTGAGAACGGGGTGGGGAAGTATGCACAAACGCGTTACTACATATACAAATATTTTTGCATATAAATGTATGCTCATATGCATATGCCTGTGCGAGAGAACCATGTTATGCTATTTTTATGTACACATTTGAAAAGTCGATTAAATGAGTTAAGACACTTACCATACTTTGGATATTTTGTTAATTCCGCTTCTCTATTTTCCCGTTCCAGCTTCAGTAACTGTGAAGAATTGTTGAGAGAACGTATGGAAAAAAAGAAAAAAAAAAAAAAGTGTCAAAATGAAATAATTTCTTTAAATTATATACGTGCAATTTGTTGTTAATTTAAAAATGTGTTCTTCATACTATCAGCTGCTTTTCGATGGAATTTTTTTTTTGTGTTGTATTCTGTTCGCGTTCGCTATGCGGGGAGATATATAAAGATGGACATAGGTGAGAAATAAAAAAAAAAAAAAAAATGAATATTTAATAGCGTACGGATGCATGACAAATGCGAAAATTTTGAGATTTTACTATGAGACACAAGCATCACCATGACTCTCCTATACCCATACACATTTCTTTGATATCAATTCGTGTAGTTTGTTCGATTCTATAAGTTTGCTCAGTTTTATCCTTACAGCCATTTGTCTTTTTCTAGTTGTTCTTCACGCGTCTGAGGTGGAAACGGGAGATCAATTTTTTTTTTTTTTTTTTTTTTAAATCTTCTTTTGAATGATACACAAGCACAGTGGTGCACGATGAGCATATATATATGTATGTATGCCTCCAAATGAATGACGCTATAAACCTAGTTGAGGTAAATATAATGTCATACTAGTGATAGTACCTTTTCATTGTTAACTGCTTCATTTTCTGGATACATAAATCCTGAAAAGTAGAATTATATAAGCCGTAAAAATTGGTTCCTTTATTTTTATTTTATTTTATTTTTTTTTTTTTTTTTTGTTTTTTTTCCCCATTGCACTACAATATTATTTAAAAGCTCTTTGTTTTACCGCCCAATATTTGTTCATGCGTATCTTCATGGAATATACCCTTCTGTGGAATGTGAACCCCAGATTTGGCAATTTTGTAAAAATTATTCTTGCATTCATACAATTCATTTTTTAAGGTCCTTATTTCGATGTTCAAATCCCCCTGTATTTTTCTGCAATTGAAAAATGAGAAGTGTCAAGAAGGATAAGATAATTTTTCCTGTTTACACAGCCCCGTTCCTTGCAGACAGGCATCATGTTACTTTTTTTTTTTTTTTTTTTTCTTCTGAAAATCAGTTTACTCATTCTTTTGACAAATCCTCTGGAATATGGACTTTTCATTTTCAGTATCCTTAAGCGCTTTTCTACATAAGTGCATACATTTGGGGTAATAAGTTTACATGTTAGTTACAACTTAACTAAACATACACATAAAAAGACACATGGGAAAGTAAGGAACATGGATATATGAAAAACTTTGACATATTTCGTGTGGAATGTTTTTTTGTTACTCCAGTTCTTTGCACTTCTTTTCGAAAAGCTGCTCCTTGTTTTTATTTTCCAAGAGGGCACATTTCTGTTAAGTTAAAAATGGAAAAACATAATAATGGAAAAATGTGCTAATGAACAGATGTAATAATGAAAAAATGTTCTAATGAAAAGATGTAATAATGAAAAAATGTTCTAATGAAAAGATGTAATAATGAAAAAATGTTCTAATGAAAAGATGTAAAAATAAAAACACCGCTACATATGTACACATTTTAATTAGCAAAAAGGGGAACGAGTTAAAAAAATATATATTCATTTATTTGTACCACTTTATAATTTTCTATATCTTCTTTGAGTTTCGTTTCCTCTACTTTGGAGCATGAGATAATGTAATCCTTATTTTGGGACCTTTCTCAAAAAAAAAAAAAAAAAAAAACACACATAAAGGTTAAATTATACCCTAACGCAGCTTAGTAAGCAGAAAATGTTTTCAATGCAGAGAATATTTTCATATTCCCAATGTTGTATCCTTACGCCTCTACATTATCCTCCCTCAATTGTTGAATAGACACTTTTGTTTTCTTCAATTCGTTTCTCAGATAATCATTCTCTCCTTCCATCTGATCAAACACAATGTGGAAAAAAATGAAAAAAGACAAGATATTAAAGGATGAGATATACTAAAATTACTCAGCTACGGCACCTACTAATATGTATAAACAAATAAAAACGAACAAGAACATGTTATTCTTCACGATGCTCGATTGACAAGAAAACATATATATGTGTGGGCATTTTTTTTTTTTTTTTTATTCTACCTTGTACATTTTCCCCTTCAAATGAGTACATTTTTCTTCCTCTTCCTTTTTCATGATAATGCAATTTTCTATTTCTCTCTTTAGCTCATTCTAAAAAAAACAAAATGTTGGCAAAAGGTGAATAGGGTCAACATGTGTGTAGAAGTGTGTTTACGATTTTGGAAAAAAATATATAAAAATAAATAATTCTACATGTTACATAGAACATAGAACAATTCTGTTTCAAAAAAAAAAAAAAAAAAAAAAAAAAGAACATTTATGAACGTCTCAAACGGATAGACATACCATTTCCACTTCCCTTTGCTGTGCTTCCTGTTGAAGTATTTTCTGAGTAAAATTAAAAAAAAAAATACATTCCATGTAATATATAAGCTTAACCTGGGAACAACGTATTACATATATAGTAACCCCATTTGTCAAGAAGGATAACATCTCAATTTTGGAACTTACCCACTTGGTTTGAAAATTAAAACAATTTTCATACGTTATATTCAATTGTTCATTTAACGCACTTATTTTTTTTTCATAATTCTTGTTTTGGTGACAATCTTGAGAGCTTATACCATTTAACCTTCTAATTTGTAATTCCTCACTCTTTTTTTGTAATAATTCATTCTGAAATTTTTTATTATAAACAGTATTGTAACCTTTTTTTAAATCTTCTATTTGGTTTAGTAGCAAATAATTTTTATTTTCCAAATTTTTTATTATCTCTGTGTTGTCTTTATTTCTCTTTATCATTTGTTCATTTTGATCACATATATATCTCTTTGTTTTTAACAAACTTTTTATTTTTTTTTCATATTCGTTTTTTATGTTCTTAACTCTATTCATTAACTCTTCTTTGTATTTCTGTTCTAATGTGCAGCTAATATTTTCAATTTCATTATTTGCCTTTACAATTAAGTATTGAAACAACTCTTTTTCGCGCTCGTTTGAAAAATTCGTTAGTCCATTCGTTTGTTCCTTCGTTTGTTCTTTCCTTAGTCCCTTCGTTCCTTCCTTCTCTATCTCCCTTTGCTCATTCGTTTCTATACACTCTCCCTGAACGGCACAACTCCCACGAGTATGGATTCTCCCATGTATGAATTCCCTCAGCCCTTCTTTTTTCTCCCTCCCCTTCTTCGCTATTCCACACGAAATAAGCCTCGTCTTCCTTTCCTTCTCTCCACATGCAATAAATTCATTGACTCGTTCTTTGGACAAATCTGTACATGGTTTTTCCACTAGTCTGTCTTCTAAATGGTCTAGTAAAATTTCGCCCCTCTTGGAAGTCAAAATTTTACAATCTTTCTCATATTCATAATTTTCTCTTTCTTCTGAAATGTTTTTCTTCTTCGCAAATGAGAAGCAAATATCTTTTTCTTTTCTATCTCCCTTCGATTGTGTAATTTGTTTTTTTTTTGTTCCATTTCGGGACAAACTATAACGCATTTTCTTCCCTGTTGTTTTTCCAATTTCATTGTGTCTTATAATGTTTATTCCTGCTTGTTTTCCTTTAACACATGATATGGAATCAGAAATATTACTGTCGCTGGCAGTGTCAGTTGAATGACTAACACAATCTATGCTACGAAATTGTGTATCTTCATCTTCTTTCATTCGTAGACATTGAAGAATTGGATTTTCATTTTGGTCTTTTCCTCTGATGGAGTGTTTCAATACACTGTGGTGATAATTTGTATTTTGTAAATTCTGAGCCGTTCTGTCAAGTTCGATCAAGTAGTCCTTAATGTATTTAAACTCGTCAACTGGATGAAAGACAAATGGAGAAATGGAACAGTGTAACCGTGTGACAATGTGGCATTGGGAAGTAATAACTCGGGGTTGTAGTAAAATGGGGAAATGATAAAAAAACGCATTTGCCAAAGGTGATGAGGACATTTCAGAATTGTGATATACATTGCCACTCCTAAATCGTAAGTGTAAGTAATGGACACTTTGAAGATAATTTAGCTTCTATAGATAACAATGTATGAACTCCTTGAACACAGCAAGGAAAAGCTTCTTTCTTTCAATATATACAATATTATACACACACACCTTCATTTCACTTTTTTTTTTTTTTTTTTTTTTTTTTTTCTTATTAGTTTATACCTTCCTTCATGGTTTATAGACGTTAGCAAATTTGCTTTCTTCTTCATCAAAAAAAAAAAAAAAATGAAATAAAATAAACGAACGAGCTAACAAAAGAAAGAAAAAAAAAAAAAAAGCGAAGGGGAGAGAAGGAGATAGGTTAACCTTGGGGATGATGAGTTGTACAAATAACCATTGGACATGTTATGCCTCAGAAAATATCAAAATTTATGCATACTAATTTGTTAGACACAGATAGATTTCTTCTTAAGTTATGTCTTCCACCTTCTCTGATGCTTTTTTTCTTTTTTTTCTTTTTCTTTTTTTTTTTTTCATTTCGTTGTTGGTGCATACTGCTAATCATATACATTTGTTTACTTCCTCCTGGTAATATAAGGAAAAAATGGAAAATTGGAAAAATAAAATTTGAAGATATTAAATAAAAAAATGGAAAAATGATATAAGATTAAGAAAAGGTGAAAATACTTTACAAGCATAATACTTCGCATGCTTTTTTTTTTTTTTTTTTTTTTTTTTTTTTTTTTTTTTTGTTGGACAGAGGTAGCGGCCTTAAATGGGTTACTATATGCATATTCTGATATAGTTAATTATGTATATGTATTGACATTGTACCTTTATTGTTTTTTTTTTGTTTCAATTTTTTAGAAAAAAGGATACACAAAAAAAAAAATAAGATAAAATACACATGCTTGTTATAATATATATACACATACATACACACAAGTACATATTTGGTAGTTCATCCCCAACCCTATCCTTGTTTTGAATATCTTAAGGGGCTAAATATGGGTTGACAAGATGTACATATTTCGCCTACCTCCCTTTTTCCCCACGTGTAACTCATGTATCAGGTTATGTTCAATGAAAAAGTAAATTTTAAAAACTGTGTTTTTAACAAGCTTATTAAGGGCTATGAAAAAGGTATAATGAGAGTGGGGATATAGTAAGCCGGAGAGACATATATAAAATTGGACACTACATTTTTGAGATTATTAAAAAAAAAAAAAAAAAAGATAGGTGCAAATTGACTTTACTGAAAAGAATAAACAGTTGTGTGTTGGACAAGAATGATGTGTTCTCCATTCCCCCATGTATATTATATGCATTATATGCACATGCATATATATATGAAACAAAAAATACAAATGAAGGAAAGATAAGCAAGGGACAAACAATAAGACGAGAATGGAAACGCATAGATATATATACATATCTTCATATATATATGTGGTTACTGTCTACACACACATAAAATTTTGGACCTGGCAAAATTTCAAAACGTGACAATTACTGATGGACACACAAATATTGATTGTGTCCTTTTTTTTTTTTTTTTTTTTTTTTTACATGATTCTACAGATATATGAAACACTAAGGTTGAGTAATTTTTTTTTTTTTTTTTTTTTTTTTTTTAAATGGAAGGAAATCTGTGTTTTCCCTCCTTGGGGTTGACAACATTGGTTGTAGCGTAAATCTTCAGAGTTCAGGATGTTTACTAGTTCCTTTTTCTGGGATATAGTCTTTTTTTTTTTTTTTTTTTTTTTTTTCTTCTAACTTTATGCATTTTATGGGAATCTCAAATCATCGGTGTAGAATTCCCTTTCGACTAATCCATGAGTAATAGTAAATAAAGACTATGAGGGGTTGACCAGTTATGCAGAAGACTATCCAGAAAATTGAATTTCCAGTGGTTTTGTGTTTTTTAAAATAATCATTATTGGTCAACTGTATTAATGGAACTTGTCCAATAAAAAAAAAGAAAATGTAACCTGAGAATCCCAACTTTAGAGGTATACTAATTAGGTATTCATGTAATAAAGCTGAAATGAAAAAAACGATAATCATAGAACATTTTCTGTTAAATCCGTAATAAATTAATGGTTTGTTAATATGTCGACAAACAAAATAATGAATCGGTAAATTCCATTTCCTCCAATATTCAGCAAAAGAATTAGCATTCCACCAATCTTTATAAAATAATCTATCATCAAATCGAGTTACCTCTGCTAATATATTACACCAATGATGAAATACTACTAAAAATCCGATAAGCCAAATGTATAATGTCCCTATAGATATTTTTAGCATCCTTTCAATTATATGTGTCACTTTTACAGTAAATTGAGCTGACTGAAATTCTTTCATAGTAAAAGTATTTTCAATCGTTATAAAAATGTACTGATCTAGTATTATTCTTATCATTAGTGTTAATAGAATTGCTTCAACTGAATATTTTGCTACGTGTAACCAATTTGTTTTTTCTGTTCTTGGGTATGTGTATTGAAAACACATAGTTGGCATCAGCATGTAAGTGAAATAATTCTTTAGTTTTAAACAATATGGATAATTTTTTACATATTCAATTTCAAATGATAAATCTTTTATATTTTCCAAATTCACTTCATCTATATATAATTTTCTAGTATCGTAACATACTTGATGAAATGAATATATTTTGAAAAACCATACTATCGATATGGTTAACAGGATTGATGACAGAAACGGTTCTGCATCATAGTAAGTCACGGTTAAATAAGGCAAAATTAGGATGAATATGCTGTTTATGCATCTTAATAAAAAAATAGATAGATGGAAGTTCTTCCAACCTTTTCTTTTCTTACTTCCATTTTTATTATCCCTTTCATAAACATTTCTATTCTTTATATATTGATATGTTCCTTCATTTGAAAAATCCTTTTCTTTCTTCTCCATCTCCTCTTCGTAGATCTTTTTTACATTCTTTCTACATCTAATCATTGCGGGACTTTTATTACCACTGCTTTGCACACTTCCATCATTTGTAACCTCATCGCTAGCTCTCGAACAACTTATATCTTCCAGAAATCCACAATTTGTTAACTCCTTCATGTTGCAATTTTTCCTGTCCTGGAGGAAGCGATCAGAGGTCTTATCCTTAACTAATTCTGCATTAACCAATTCTGCATTAACCAATTCTGCATTAACCAATTCTGCATTACCCAATTCTGCATTACCCAATTCTGCATTACCCAATTCTGCATTACCCAATTCTGCATTACCCAATTCTGCATTACCCAATTCTGCATTACCCAATTCTGCATTAACCAATTCTGCACTAACCAATTCTGCATTAGCTACCTCATCATTAACACTATAATATAAGAACCAACTGGTTACATGCCTTTCTATAAACCAACTAAAAAAAATACTTATATTTAAACAAAAAAAACAAACAAATATAGGAGCGTTTTTAATAAAATCAGTGCATTGGGGAAAATTCATAACAAAACCATGCTTCTTTATTCTTTCTAAAATTAACCGAAAATTTACTGTGCATATTATTATGACCACCAGGTTCAAGAAACCTTTCATATCAATTTCTAATGATTTGTGAGAAAGTAAACTTGTTTGCTTCACTTTGTGCACGTTTTCAAATAGAGGTCTACCTTTGAATTTTTTTACATCATCATTTTCATTATTCATTTTTTTTTTTTTTTTTTCTGTTATATGTACGTGTGTTCTAGGTAGCGAATTTCCGAAAAGGATGAAGAAAATGACGGGGATAAAGAACAGATCATAGGAGAAAGATACAAACAATCTGACACAACCTATGGAGGATTAGTTATCTGGCCAAATGGAATCATACACTAAACTTCCTTCTGCTGACTTGGGGTTTATAAATTTCGAATTACCACCCAATGTATCAAAAGTGTCAAGGTATGGGAGTATGGGGGGAGATAGGGAGTAGAATAAAATTAGTCGTTCATATTTTATGCTCCTTCTGTTATTAAGTTTTTCTGCACATTAGAATGTTTTTCTCTACACTACTATATTTTTTTGCTATACTATTTCTTTCCTCTTTTGGGGTTATACACTTTTCCTTTCTTTTTTACAAGTTCTCTCCATGTATTAAAAACATATGTCATTCATCAGGTACGTACAATTCTGCAAGGGGTGGAAAAAAAAAGAAAAAGAATATTAAAATGTCTAAAAGTTATCAACTCGTAGCAGATGTATATGTATGCATTGTGAGAAATTGTTTCATCTCTGCTTTCCCCTAGCATTCTCTATGTTCCTATATAAGTACAGAGATACATATATGCACCTTTACCCAGGACGCAAAACGAATTCGTGTAATTCGGGTTCCTCGTAGAATATCACGTTCAATGTATCACCACAAGAAACATACGTACAGGTATGTACATGTATATATATATATATTTCTTCTCAATTTGCTTGTCAATTTTTTTTTCTTTTTTTTTAATTGTAAAGACACATCCTTTTCGTAAGCTTTTTTTTTCTTTTTCTACTTTATACCTGCACGCTCCTGTGTATACATGCGTGTGCCGTTGGTATCAACAGAATAAACGAACACATGGACGTAAAAACATGAGAACATAAGAACACGAGAACATGATAAAATGAGAACATGATAACATGAGAACATATGAGCAGACAAACGGACAAATAAACAAACATATATAATAAGAAAAATTAAATAGAATGATAATACGACAAAATGGATGGAATTACGACAGTGAAAGAAGCTGCGACAAACTACAACGAACAGCATGCCACATAAGTTTTGATAATAAAAGCTGCACACTAAGAATCACACATTTGTTTTATAATGTAACCCTTTTTTCTTATCCTAACGCCTTCATTTGTAAAAGGTAAAGCCGATGCAGAATAACTTGTTTTGTGAAGGTTCTCGCAGGTACAGATTGTTAGTAAAAAAAAAAAAAAAAAAAAAAAAAAAAAATACACATAAAAATATTCCTTGTAAAAAGTCTATGTATGAAATATTCCCTTAGCAGAAATTGGTACCCCTTATGGATAGTTACATACACGAGCACAAGTGTGTGTATGTATGCATGTATGTGTGTAATGTTCTTGCACATTTCGTACTCTTCCCAGTTCTGCTGAATACTTATCATTACATGTGTGTAGGGATGACCACATAAGGACTTTTTGTTTGTCGAAAAGGAGGGGGAAATAAAAAAAAAAAAAAAAAAAAAAAAAAAAAAACCTTGTGACTTTGGGGGATTAGGAAATGGTGAAATATGTACAGAAGCTCTTGACGGGGCAAAAGTTAACCAAGAGAATTGAAGCATATGAGATGAAGTGAACCGGAGGAATATGCTACGTGAGCAAAATGGGGGAGGGAATAAAAAAGCGAGATACACAAAACGTTACCCTCTAAATGTGAAATGACGAAAAAATGAAAAAAAAATGAAGAAAAAATGGAAAAAAAAAAAAAATTAGTTCCCCTTTCACTAAATGTAGTATAATTCAACAGAATTAAACAAAAACGCTTTCCTCAAGGGTTAAATGTATGTAATGTGCGTATATATAAGGCTGATGGATCTGTATGTAAAAATATACTTTTTTTTGCAGGGGCTAGGGTATGGATCCACAGGGGACACTACTATTTTGAGGAAAATCAAGATACTCAAATCTGTATAGCGGCTTCTTTTCTCGTTCTCACTCTTTGTTCGCTTTCTCCTCTCGGGGTAGAGGCCTGTAAATAATACCTCAGAAAAACATATCGCTCTTTTGGGGGAAAATGACTTATGCCTCTCGCTCACACTACCCTAGCAACTTGAGTATGAAAAGCGAGCTGACAAAAGGAAATGGGTTCTCATCCGTTACACGTTTGCTCAAAGATTTTTTTCCATTTGAGGAAAGCACAAAAAAAAAGGGGTGAAACGGAAAAATTTTGACAACGGCAGAATGGAAATACAAATGTAAAAGTACAAAAGGTGACAACAAAAAACCTGCCTCTCTTCTTTTTCCCAGCTTCACAATTGTATACTGTACTCTTACGTATGTGATAATAAATATATGAATGCAAAACCCCAAACATCAGACCCCGTTGGTCAGTTTACTTTTTCCGTACCCAGTTCGAGATATTAAAAAAAAGCGCAAAACGAGGAAAAAAAAAAAAAAAAAACTACGACGGGGACGAGGACTTGAAGTTGAAGTGAAAGAAGGATTTTTTTTTTTTTTTTTACAAAAATTATCTACACTTTTTTTTCGTCCTCTCCTAAGATATAATAACAAAACAGTTGCAACCTTGTTGTTTCCACTCTTCTTTTTTTTTTTTTTTTTTTTTTTTTTTCCGCTATTACAGGATGATGGGGCCGAATAGCTAAGATTTGTTATTTCTACAATTACATTATCATAATTGTCACATTTGGGGATTAACTTTAATAACATATTTATATGCCAATTTTGTACGCCTATTTTTTATGCCTGCTTGTATGCGTATATATTTACTTGGCCATTTATTTGCATCCCTATTTATATACATGCTTCTATATTTTTACTTTATTTTTTTATCGCCCTGAACTTACCTTGGAAGGAGAGTACCACGCGACTGCGCCGCATCTTGCACATGGATATATCTCCAATCTTATGGGTTTGTAAAAAAGAGAAAAACAGAAACTTAATGTTCTTATGTTTCTATGTATACATACACACATGAATGTGTCTATGAATGTGTCCACGAATGTGTCCACGAATGTGTCCATGAATGTGTCCATGAATGTGTCCACGAATGTGTCCACGAATGTGTCCACGAATGTATGCCTACTGAATTAAAACAAAGTAAACTTCATCATTTTTGTTCTCATTTTCCCGCGTATTGAAGTCTACCCGGTGGGGGGGAAAGAAAAATAAAAAAAAAATTAAATAATAAATAATAATAATAATAAAATGATAATAAATAAATAATAAATAAATAATTAATTAATTAAAAAAAACTTTTCATGGTCTTTTCTTCCTTGCGTTAATAATAAAAACACGACCAATACTACAAATTTATGAATTTTATTTTATTGTGTACTTGTAAAAAATATGCAATAACCCATTCAAAGCATATGCCTGCACAGTAGACAGACAGCGTTTGCTTTTGTCATTTTGCCTGCACAGCTATTCGAATAATCATATCTCAAAATGATCAATGCGTCGAACGATACACAAAATGAGAACAGTGGGAATTGTCAAAATGGCGAAGAAGAAACAATGAAAAAAGACTATGAATGCGTAACTATCCCTCTTGATGATGACATCATATTGTTGAGTTCATTCATTTACATGTACTTGATGAATAATTTTAAACAAATCCAACTTTTAATAAATTCTTATAAAGTAAAAGATTCCCTTTTGAATTATGTAAAAGATAAGGCACAAGATTTAAGGAACCATCTAAATGATTATAACTACATGCCATATGGCACAGGTGAACATGGAAAAATTGACAAGATTGACAAATTATGTGAAGATGAAAAATTTCAAAAAATTCAGCAGATACGCCTTGATGCATTTCTTTTGCTAAATACAAATGAAGAAAATGTCCAATATAACCATAACTTGGTCAAAATAGTAGCTTATCTTTACCTGCACAAATCCATAACTGAGGTGCATTCATCGGAATGCACACTCATCAGCAGCAAGTGGGCATACGACTTTAGCAGAATCGACACCTCTAGGAGAGCAGAAACTACTCCCGTGACTCCCAACAATGTAGAAGCAAATCAGCCAAGATATCCGAACCAGACAAACCAACTTACAATAGTGCTTAGAAATAATTCCCACATAACAGAAAAGGAAAAAAATGATATCATCCAACATGTGCTAAACATTATCAGATTACATTCAATAAGTAAAGAAGCCAAATTAGAAGAAAAAAAAAAAAAAATTATATTTCAAAATTTTCACGAGTTGTGTTCATTTTCCCCAGGGAAAATAAATGGTGCACAAAGTGACATCCATAGTGATGTGCAAAATGGCACACAGAATGATGTGCTAATGGCTATACAAAAAAGAGTCAAACGAGTTAACGATTTTCTTTTCGATTTATATGAACCCGATTTTTACAACTCCTCTTTGCAAAAGTGTAATCTCATTCAGTACAAAGAGCTATATGACCAGTATCATAACATAATGATCAAGTCCAAGAATATAAAATTAAATGACAAGCTTGTTGAATATCTACTGATCGATTCGATATTTCTTCCAAGGTATGTTAAAAAAAATACGTTAAAAGTTGTGCATCCAGAGGATAATGAGTATTCTTCATTTGATTCCTACTCAGATGGATCCTCAGATACCTCAGTTTATTCTGAATCAGACGTGCCAGCTGGTGCACCATCTTATGAATCCCCAGAAATGCTTCCTACTGATGAGACAGGAAACACTACCATGCTACGAGACAGTGATGTGACATATATGAACAAGTTAAAAAAAAAGCAGAAAAAGCATAGTCTAGATTTAAATCGCAAGAACAAAGAGGAGGAAGAAGGGGAAGCAGAAGAAGACGAAGCAGAAGAAGACGAAGCAGAAGAAGACGAAGCAGAAGAAGGAGAAGCAGAAGAAGACGAAGCAGAAGAAGGAGAAGCAGAAGAAGACGAAGCAGAAGAAGACGAAGACGACGCAGAAGAAGAAGAAGAAGAAGACGAAGACGAACAAAGGAAAGACCAATTAGAAAAACGGAAAAGACACGTCCTTTTTAAAAGCGAAGAATTTCGAAGCCAGTTAGAAGAAATAAGACTAGCCATAAAATCATTAAACGGAAGTGTATTCCTCCGAATGAACCATAAGAACTTAAAGAAAGGGTCATTTGTAAATAATTTCAGTCTAGAAGTGAACACATTATATGATGCTTTGCTAATGTTGAAAAGTTGTACAGATGTATACAAAATATTGAAAGAAAATAAAACGAGTAAAAAAAACAATTATCTTATTCTTTCCAAGTATGTAAATTTGAATATTTGTTTTCTTTTTGATGCTTATATATATAACAACACTTTAGTAGCTGTATCACAGAAATATCTGAATTATTTTTTTCATTTTCTATGCACACCAGATTTAATAGTTGAAATATTACACATGATAAAACATTTTTTTGAAAAATATTTCAAAAATACCTTCTTTCAGAAGCACTACATTTTGCAATTGTATTTACATAATTTTAAAAAAACAAAACAAAATAAAAAAATCCTTCTCATAAATGCAAAAAACTGGATGTATAAGAATAAACATCCTGTATTTACAAATGAATTCATGAAGAATTATTTGTTCACTGATGTAAACCCTTCTTCCATCACTATGACAACACACACCACATGCAGCAATCTAGATGGTCTTTACAAATTTGATGCTTCTTCCTTTCGTTTAGAATCCTTAGAGACCACTAAAACGAATCAAGAGGTTCATTTAATGCACGTCATAAGGGATCATTCAGTAAAGAAGTTCACTGAGAAGACTCATAAAAAGGAAAATATTGTAATTGATAACAAGTGTGCAAATGATGGGAAGAAGCAAAATGGCCATCCAGGTACGTCGAAAGATGAACCCAATTCCGATTTGTATATTTATGATGGAATCCTATACTACTGTATTACAAAAGATGAATCTATCTACAAGAAAAATTCTAATCTCTACCCTAAGGTAAAATAATTTTCATCAAAAAATATGCCCATCGTGACATCATCCAGACGTGAGAATCTCGATTTATGATGATTCAATATTTTTCTCTCACCCCTCTCTCGTTCGTTGTACTTTATCATTTTACATACGGGACCATTTGTTCATCTACTTCTCCTTCCTATCTTACAGGACTTGAACTACATCAAAGAAGGCGAAATCGACATAGACAGTTTGATGAAGACGATCAAAATGCAAAATGAAAAAATTCAATAAATTCAGTAAAATTGCTCATTGGCAAGGCACCAAATTTTGCAGAATTCAAATGGGAATGTTAAGTAGAGAAATTAATTTCGATATGAACCCACATATAAATAATAAAAAAAAAAAGAAATAAACATAGAATGGTTGGAATATATAGTAAGGTGTTGGTCGTTAAAAATTAATAAACAAATGAAAGAAAAATAAGGAAGCTGAGCAAAGCAAAGTAGAGAAAAGCTGGGGGTTGTTATAATGGTTATTACGTCTGCATATATATATGTGCGTGTACATGTGGACATATTCAGATATGTGCATAGACACTTTAGGAATGAAGAATCGGGTAATATATCTGTGGTGGTGGGGATGGAGAAACACTATCTCTCTTTAGGAATCTAAAAGAAGCACACGATTGTCAGAAGACTTTATAAACCCATCTACATGCTGGTTCTGTACTTCCCCACATCGTGCACTAATTACTTCTCAGCCTTTTCGTCCTTTCGGTTAAAATGGAAACTGGTTCCACAGGGACACACAGATGTTACGTTCGGATTGATAAAAATAAATTTTTCAGTCAAATCGTCTTTATAATAATCAAGTGTTGTATTAATAACGTACAAAATACATTTGCTGTCAATTGCTAAGAGAATTTTTTCACGATTTTTATTTTCATAAATGATTTCATCATTAACGTGAAGATCATTTTGATGAACGAAATTAAAAGAATGAGTTAAACCATTGCATCCCTTTATGATATAAAATAATTTCAAAATATAATTTGTGTTGTTATTTTGTTTCTTATGATATTCTTTAACTAATTTTTTAATTTCATCTTTTGCCTTTTCTGTTATTGTTACAATATCCTTTTTAATACTTTGTCTCTTTTTTAATAATTTTTCTAATTTCGCCTCTTCATCCTCCTTTGAAACATGTTCATTTGGTTCATTTAATTTTGTATATTTCTGTCCATCATTATCTGTTGGACTTTCATCTTTCACAAGTTTCACCAATCCTACCTTTGTTAACACTCTACTAGAACTTTCATTCATCCCATGATTAACAGAAATAAATTCGTTTAGCTCGTTCAATACATACTCCTTTCTAGATACTTCATTTAGATCATTATTTCCAGCATATTCACATTTCATTCGCATTGAGTTTGAAACCGAATTTTCTTCCTCAGTCTCATCCAATGGGTTCCTTTTCCTATCATCACCAATAGTCACGATCAAATGAGCAAACAGTTTTTCCTTTCTTCCTTTTATGTATGCGTGTCTTATGCTATTTTTCTGGATATTGATTTCATGAAAATAGTTTAACTGCTTACGTGTGATGCACGCCAAAATTCTTTTCGCGTCCAATTTGTGGAGAGATCGCTTTAAAAAAATTTCTGTATGCATTTTTTTTTTATTTGCATTTTGAAAGCATATTTATTTGTACACATTTTTTTTTTTTTTTTTACAGCTGATTTTTAAGACTTCCTTCGATTCACATTTTTTTGTTCATCTTACGTGATTTCCAATATAGTTTCATATGGCTAACGTGAGTGGTCATTTGTTCGGCTTGGACTCTTATATCACCCTTCCGCTGATAGCTTGGATGATTTTACAATTTTATTTTATTGTTTTATTGTTTTATTGCTTTTTTGTTTTATTGCTTTTTTGTTTTATTGCTTTTTTGTTTTATTGCTTTTTTGTTTTTTTGTTTTTTTGTTTTTTTGTTTTTTTGTTTTTTTGCTTTTGTGTTTGTTTTTCTATGCTCTGTTTTGCTTTGCTATGTTTTGTTTTATTTTTTTGCCCTTACCTCGAAATGCCATAAACTTACAGGCCGAACGCGTGGTTCTGCTTCTACACGCATTTGGAAAAAAAATGAAAAAAATAATCGGTCAATAAACATTCGGTTATAAAATACTTGATCAATTTTTCAGCAATATGGAGTGTACAACATTTTGTGAGTTTAAAAAAAAAAAAAAAAAAAAAAAGCACACACCTGTTTCTTTCATAAGTAAATAAAACTTTTTTAAATTCCTCTTTCTCGTAATTTTAACTGAATAATTGCAGAATTAAGGACACACAGGACAAAAAAAAAAAAAAAAAAAAAAAATTGCCACAAAAAATATAAATAAACAAAATGGAATGAAAAAAAACGAAATGAAACAAAAGGAATTAAACTTTTGTTTGCTTCACCTTGTTGCTATTCAGCTTAATTTTACTTAACAGGAACCTATGTCAAAAGTATTTTTGTGTAGAATTTCTTAATGAATAATACATTATTTTTTTATTATTTTATTTTTTTTTTTTTTTTTGTCTTTTTATTAAATGATGGTACAAGCAGGACTATGTTCACATTCCCCTTTTTTAAGAAATGCTAAAAAGGTACAATATAGAAAAATTTTTTTTTTTTTTTTTTTTTTCTCCCGTTCTTACACATACGTAACAACTTAGCAATGATCATGAACTCCTTTTCTCGTCCGCATAAAAGTTTAAACAAATGTACAAGTAACAAAACCTTACCACAATGTCATATGGCAACGTCATACTGTAATGTCATATCTCACATTTTTTAACGCCTCATGAATTTTTGAAAAAACGGAAAGACAGCCCCAACGGAGAAGCAAATCCAACCCAGGACTTAGGCTATAGACAATATATTATCATTCGTGTATATACATATAAAATTCAATTAACAAGGGGAAAAAATGAATATTTTAACTCCTGTGGGTTACTCACAATCCTGTATTAATATCGTGTAAGAAAAAAAAAAAAAAAAAAAAATTAAAACTGGAAGGATTTTCCTCAACTAGACTATTAATAAAAATGCAATAACGTAACATATAAAGCGTGCTATACTAAGACAACTATTTTTTTTTTTTTTTTTCGCCTTTTTTCGCTTGTTCAATGTCCTGAAAGTTGGAAAGAGAAAAACAAATAAATAATTATGTTTATGTGTGCATATGTGTATACATAATTAGAGAGAGAAAAAAGAAATGTATTCACCACAAGGCAAGCTTAGTTGCTTAAGGGCATACCTTTTCTTTTTTTTTTTTTTTTTCGCACACACAAAAATGGACATATGTTGTGCTTATCGTATCTCTTTGCCACATGTGCAAAAAGAAAAACTACTCTCTTACTTTAAATTATAAGAAGAGACTAAAATTTCAGAAAGGTGAAAAATAAGAATCTTAAGTTTTCTCCATCCCTCAAGTAATGAACGACTTGCGTGGAGAAAATAAGGGGGAAAAAAAAAAAAAAAAACATATGAATACACATATATATACCCAAATGTGTACACTTCTGAACCCTGTCTCATTTGCTTCCTTTGCCACACTGCATCCCGTTATCCGAGAAAAAAAATAATAAAATAATGTCAGAAAAGAAAAACAAAATTTGTCTAATTTTTTTTTTTTTTTTTTGAGGGATGAGGGAGTCTCCGCGTAGTTAACGCAGAAATGCATTTTTTGCACTGGAGTAGTAGGGGAGATTCGATAATGGACGAAAATAATGAGAAGGATGAACTTTTGAGAAATGGTGAAAAGATTATGTAAAAAATATATATATATATATATATATATATATATATATATATACATACAAGTACACATATATGCATGTATATCTGCCCGCATGGAGATCACAAAATCGTGAAAGAAAAGGTGTGCAGAACCCACATTGTAGCTTGTGAGTTCTGCACACTTTTTCCTACGACCCTAGCTCAAAAGAAGGAATCTAACAAAAAAATATTGTTACGCAGAATTACTCAAACGTAACACACACATGAATCTGCACGTGGTAATGAATGTTTCTGCGAGGAATAACCTCGAAGACATTTCCTCTGCTAACTTGCGTTCATGTTAGTCTTATAGAAACGAACACAAGGAGACATATCTCTCCACATTCAAATTTATAAACAAAAACGACATCACTTAATTGGTGTAGTGCACAAGAATACATTGGCACATACACATAACACGCATACCTAACTCTCCAACACATAAAACACTCAACAGTTTTCGAGTTGTTTTCTTCTTGGTCCTAACAGTTTTCCCGAAAATGTATTTGAAAGGCAGAAATGGAAAAACTGAGCACCATGGGGAAAATGACGAGAATTTCCAAAATGATGAAAATTGTCAAAATAACAGAATGGATATGAATAATTACAAAAATATTATGCACAATAAGAAAAAAAAATTGGGACTTATGGGCATGGATTATTTAGACAAGACTGTTAAATTCTCAAAAACGGAGAAGAAAAGTAGAGACTGCGTGGATGGAAGAGGCACACATCAACAAACATCCAATCCTGGAGAAGTAATGGAAGAAGAGGAAGAAGAGGAAGAAGAAGAGGAAGAGGAAGAAGAAGAAGAAGATACAGAAGAAGATGAAGATTATGAAGTTGATGAAGAAGACGAGGAAGATGAAGATTATGAAGTTGATGAAGAAGACGAGGAAGATGAGGATTATGAAGATGATGATTACGAAGAAGAAGATTTAGAAGACAAAATGAAACAAATTAATTTCAACTCGTACAACAATTATTATTATGAGTCGTATAACTCAGGTGGGGGAGAAAAAAAAACTGAAATAAGCCATCCGGTGGGGAGCAAAAATGAAAAATTCGAAAAAGGAGAGGAAAAAATGGACGTCCGAGTGGATACTCAAGTGGAGGCCCAAAAGGAGAAGAGGAACGAAATGATGTTTGAGCGGTACAACAAATTGTTGCAAAATTATAAACTGAAGAAGGAGAAAATGGATACAAAGTTTGCAAAAGACAAGATCATCGATGGTGGAGAAAATGGAACGGATGAGGTAGAGGAAGAAGGAGGTTCTTCATGCTACAGCTGTAACAGCAGTAACGGTGAAGAAAGAATCAAATACAGAACTACAAATGGAGGGATTGAAAATACTAGACATATAAATATGGGTAAAGATAACCAGAGTAGCGAGAAGTATCTGATGGGAGACACAAACAACTACTTAAGGGAAAGGTACGAAGAAGAGGAAGGAGAAGAAGAAGATAATAAGGACAATTTCATAGCAGATGTGCTGAATAGAATAGACGAAATTTATAATAAAGAGTCAAGATACACTAATTTAAAAAGTGTAAACAATAGTAATAACAATATATGTATTAACGATTTAAATTTAAACCTAATAAGTGATTATTTAAATGTCGACATTTCAGTTTTTCATAAAAAGACAACCATACTATTATTGGGAAATCCTCAGAGCGGAAAAAGTTCTTTCATTAATTGGTTTACGGAAAGTTATGTTCAAAATACGAATTGTCTGGTGAAAAAAAATGAAATAACTTATGTGGATATAAAAAATAATTTCAAATTTAATTTTAAACGATTAAATAACGCCAATTATCAGTTTGGATATATGAATCGATACAAAAGTAGGAAGTGTGGTTTCAATGCTTCTCACAGTAATGCAAGAAATGTTAATCAAATTGGGAGTGCTCAGACAAACCATGGGAATGATGAAAACATGGACAGCAGCAGTAGTAGTAGTAGTAATAGGAGTAGTAACAGGAGTAATAGCAGAAATGGTAACAGCAGAAATGGTAAATGTAAAGGTAGAATTCCAACTGGTGAAATAACCCCTCACAAGCAGAATAAAAAAATAATCCTGTCTGGAGAAAACTGTGATTATCTGTTTATGCCTTTTCAGAAACTACGTAAAAAGGCACACAATATTAAAAACTACATATATGGGAAAATATGCTACCAAAACAATTTGACAAAATATATGAACAGAATCAATTCCGTATCTTTTTTAGATACCAGTGGAATAAATGATATTTGCGATATGGAATATGATGAAATCATCATGAATCTTTCAAAATATGTAGATTCTATATTCATATTTGTTGATTCAAATCAGTTTTCCATAAACAACAGACTACTAAGAATAATCAATTATCTATTGGACAACCAATTGCATAAGGTAACCATCTGTCTTACAAGAATCGATTTAATCCAAAAAATTAATTTATACAAAGTTGTATTTTACCTTACTCAGTATTTTCTAAGAAATTTAAACCTCTTTAAGAACAATTTGACAAACATCAATGGACCCTCTACCTACCTCAATAAAGGACAAATCGATCCATACACTTGTCAACAAATAGAAGAGAAAAAACAACAAGGGCATAGCAAAAATTTTCATAAAATAAGTGAATACTTTAACAGGTCTATTAAATCCTTCCAGAATCTTCTGCTCATCCCTGAACTTCTCTCCAAAATTGGTAGTACCAAAAATTGTCGTCAGGGCGATTCAGCATTCAGAGGTTTTAAAAATTACCACACCAGTTCTATTCGACATGCGCATCCCCATCTGGGCGAGGGGGAAGACAAAGAGGATGAATATGAGTATGAACGAGCAGAAAGATACAAACACGGTGATGGACGAGGACACTACTATAACTTCCAAATGGAGCACGACCAACTGGGTTACAGAAACATGGATGAATATGAACCAAGTTGCAGGGAACTGAATAATTTCCAGATGAAGAAGCACCATCCGTATGGGGTCGAAAAGGAACTCAGAAAATATGAACCCACGCAAGAGCAAGGGGTAGTGGAGGAAAAAGAAGAAGAAGGTGGAATTTTGAAAAAAATTCTTACAAAAAGTTACAACTCCTTTAAGGATAAGCTAATGAATTCCAATCATACCAAGGGTAGAAGCATGAGCAGATGTAAGAATGACTCAAGGGAGAGAGAAGGGATGTGCAACAATGGGCGACGTGTTTCCCAAGTGAACAGACAAAATGTGAGTTTTTCTGATTCTGAAGAGTTAAATGAATCGGGGGAAGGTAACTACCAGTATAACACACAAGATCGAAAAAAAAAAATAAAGGACAAGAGCCAAAGAGGGGAGGGTGAAGGAAAGGTAAAAAAGCAATTGGATAATTTATTTGAAAAAAAGATAAATTATGGAGATTGTTTAAAAAATTTAAGTATATTTTTCCTTGTTTTAATTTATGAAGTTGTAATGACTGTCTATAGTATAGTGCATACAAGTATAAATAATTATATTAACACAAATGGTCGTCGTGGGAGAGTAATAAATGTCGATAAATTGCACCAGTTGGAAGATGCTAATAAGTTTAAGCACAATGATAGATATAACAGTTCCAACAATTCTTACAAAATATTAGAATTTTTGACTATATATTTACCAGAAATACCACGGGATTTGTTAAAAAAAGAGAAATGGAAATATGAAGGGCATAATATCAAATATAACCAGGAAAGGAGAAACCGATTCAGTTGTAACATCATCAACTATGAAAATAATCAGTATTTTGGACGAGTGAAAAAGGATCATTTAAGTCTAAATGAGTATGATGGTGGTGCTAGTGACCTTGGTAGTGGAAGTGACAGTGGTAATGGGGAACATATCAACAATAATCCATATAATAATTCACGATACCCCCAAAGGAGAAGCATTCCTGATGATTTCATGCTTCTAGGAAATACAAATAATACAACGAATAGGTATATGAACATTCCAAATAATGATAGTTATTTAACTCCTAATCAGGTTACAGGGACTAGTCAGGTCTCAGGGATTAACCATATATACAGAGATCCTTCCATGATTGACAATTATTACAACGTCAATGGGAATACCAGCTCGTATTTACAAAAAAATGGCAACACAAGACGCCGAGGATCCTACTTAACCAAAGGGGAAGTATCACATGAACATGTATCCGATATGCACCACAATTTCCGTGTAAATAATATGTATAGCGGGGTAAGCAATGGAAGGGGCACCTACAACCTCCGTATTGACCCGAGAGTGGACTCATATGGTAATGCACCTTTTCACGATTTCCCACGCGCACGCATACGCAATGATGATGTTAAAGAACTTAACATGATACAGGAGCTCCTATTTAAAATAGACGAGACAATTGACTTGAAGAGCAACCAAAGTATTTACATGCTCAAACGAGACCTCGAAAAAATACAAAATAGTTGCTTAAAAAAAATATCCGATAATGAAGAAATAATTAAGAAAAACAGATCCTTACGTATCCAAAATATAAAATTTTATTTTTTCAAATACATGGCCATATTTTTCGGATTTATCATATCATTACTCAGATATGATTTGCTAGTATACTTCAATTTTGTAAAACCAGAATTATTGTTTAGTATATTCTCCAAATATTTCTTGTTTTTATCATCTTATAATAAAAATTCTCTTTTCATAGCAATCAATATAATTCTCGTAGCTACTTACTTTGTACTCTATATCAGATACAACAGGAGAAATTATTTCAAATCTCTAGGAAAAAGTGATCTCAACAAACTAAAAATTATTTTGCTCTTTACACAAATTATCTTCGACGAAGTCAATCAGTTGCATTTAAAACTCCTTGGTCGGAAGGGCCGTCCTGATGACTAGACACTAGTGCAAATGAGAGAGACGTATTTTGTCCACGGTACAAATAAAATACACCCCCCACACACACACGGGAAAAAATCGATAAATATACACACACATACCGAGAAATAAGAAAACCTAATTATCAAGACACATGATAGAGAAGCACAGAGAGCGACAGGGTGTAAGATACAAATTACTCTTGAGTGTGGAAAAAAAAAAAAAAAAAAAAAAAGGAAGTTGTGACTAGTGAAATAAATATGCTCCCAATGTTTTCAGCATCGAAACGCATGTAGATAGTCCCCATGAAAAGATGTCAAGGCGCGACGGTGCCAAGGCATCTACAATCTTTTAGACATCTCTGTAATATGGTGGAACATGTGTGTAAAAACAAAAAAATAAAATCAGCTAAAACGGACGCAAACTAAAGAGAAAGAGGGGGAGGTCGTCTTCAAAATTGGCATCTACATAATCTCCGAAGAGAAACTGTATATTTTTTTTTTTTTTTTTTTTTTTTTTTTCTGTTTTTTAGTTTTCTAGTCCTTTTTCACCCTTTTCCATCTACGAGTTAATCTGAATAGCTTCTCCAAACCCACAATCATCAAAATTTGCTAACTAACATGTGATAAAACAGAGAAACTGCATTTGCATCGCATCTAATTTTTATATCATCAAATTGGAGATCCTCTTTGCCCCAGTTCTGCAAGAAAAAATCCACGCTTTCTCTGAAAGGGGGAGGAAAAAAAAAAAAAAAAAAAAAAAAAAATTAGTAAACTCAAAAAAGTGGAAAATTAAAAAGTTGGAAAAAAAAAAAAAAAACTAATGCTGTTCACATGTTTGAATGAATAATTCTTCGCGCCCAGGTGTGGAGAGGGATGCGTGCTACGTTCGCTCGATCACATGAATGGTATTCAAATGGGAGAGAATAAAACTTCCAATTGGTTCTTCCCCTCAGATCCCACTTGTCTCCAAGAAAATGTACCTAAAGTGAATAAAAATCGATTCCTGAGACATTTCATCATATCGAAAATCCTGCTCCAATTTCACGGTCGAATTTAAATCCTGGGTAATTCTCGTAAGGTATGAGAACATTATATATTTACAAACATGTGTATGGTGTACAAAAATCATAAGAATTAAATAAACGGGTGATTCTAATGAAAGGACATTTCTTCTTTTCGTTATTAAATACATGTTTAGATATATTCTAAAGAGTCTCAAAAATATGTCATATGAAAAACGAGATTTTATCAAATATGGGTAAAATGATACAACGAAATTTGCAAAATAAGTATTCATCTCTTTAAATAATACTTCCATCCGTTGTTGTATTTTTTTCTTTTTCCTCCGTTCTAATTCTTCTTCTTCGATTCTCATTTGTGCATCTCTCCGTCGAATGGAATGTAAATTTACAAAGTCAGTTGATGCTTCTTCTACATCATCTTGACCCTCTTGTTTATCTACATTGCATGCACTGGGATATATTCTTAAAAGGTCAGCCAACTTTCGATCAATGTAGGAAACGAAAATCATGAATATGCATCTAATGTCCACATTGCTTCTAAAAGGATCAGTTACATTTATGTCAGTTGGGATCTTAAAAAGAAAAATTTCTTTCTTAGGGATGGCGTTAATACTTTCATATATATTCTCAAAAGCCTTAAAGCTATCAAAATAATTTAAGTAATATTTTTTCAAAATAAATATACGGAGACATACCCATTTTATAAAAAAGGCTTGTTTACACATGCGTAAAAAATTACTTTTTTTTGCTAGCCTTTTTCTTGATTCATAAATCAATTTACATAAATCATCCTCTTCTTTCTTCGTCTCTCCAGCCACGTCCGCCCCTTCCGACTGTTTCTTCTCTCCCTTCTCATTTTTTTTTTTTTTTTTTTTTTTCCATTTTTTAAAATTTTCCGAGAAAAAAAAATTTTGAAAATTTTTTTTCTTTTCATAAAAATGCTCCTCTTCCGTCTTATTTTCCTCAAAGCATAAAAAGGAACGGCAATCAAAATATTTGAAAAATTCTAAAATCCATATTTTTTTTTCTCTGTTCACTTCGTCAATTTGATGGTCATATTTTATTCCATTCACCTGAATGCCTAACTTTTCTCCCATCTTTTTTCCAATTTTTTTGTCCTTCATAAAACTTCTAAAACCGTCCAAATGATCTTCAAATTTTTCGTCTGCATTACTATCCGATGAGCTGAATTTTTCTGATTCATACGTGGATTCGTAGAGTTTCCAGTCTAGACCATACGCTTCTCCAGCTTCTCCTGCTTCTCCAGCTTCTCCTGCTTCTCCAGCTTCTCCCGCTTCTCCAGCTTCTCCAGATTCTCCTGCTTCTCCAGATTTTCCCTCTTCTCCAGATTCTCCTGCTTCTCCCGCTTCTCCCGTTTCTCCCGTTTCTCCCGCTTCTCCCGTTTCTCCCGCTTCTCCCGTTTCTCCCGTTTCTCCCACTCTTGAATTATGAAAGGACGGTAATGGGGGTTCCTCTCTTTTCCTCTCACATGGTATAGATTCCCCTTTATACATGAACAATTGTGACCATTCCATGTTCTCCATTCTGTTTTGCTGATCCTCCTCTTGCATCGCATCTATCTGTACCCCATGATGGTAGAGATATTCTACATTGCTCATGTCTATTATTAAACTTTTTTGGGATAGTACATGACAGAGTACATTAACAAAACTGTAACTTTTCAGAATCAGAATTTTAATGCTTTTCTTCATAAATAAGAAATCACTTATATGTATTATACTTTCAATAAAGACATTTATATCATATTCTGATAGTATATTAATTACTTCTTCTTTAACACAACTAACGAAAGTTTCAATTTCCTCCTTATTCTTCTGATCCACATTGAAAACTTTTTTATTCATATAAAATTGAAAAAAGTTGTAATTAAACAAGATACTAATAATTGAAGATAAAAAATCAAATGTTTCGTATATGCTCATATTGAGTAAAAAGCTTATTCTAAACAAGTACAAAATATATATCTTTTCACATATTTCCAATTTTCTCCACGTGTTCTTCCGCTGATCGTGTTCACCATCTGATGTGCCATTTTTACAGTCGAAGTTTTTAGAATTGAAATTTTTTTTATCCACATCGATACCTATTTCAAAATTGTACTGCACGTTATAAATTCCTTTCATTATGGAACACAAATAAAAAAGAAAATGGAAATTTACCACACCAAAATTTTTAATGCTATAAAAAAACTCTACCCAAATGAGAATTCTTTCTTTCTCGTAATTTGTGTTCATAATTGTGCATACAACATAATCTAACAATTCGTTCAAAAAATATTTGCACTCTTTTTTTCCTCTATAAGAAAAGTTGGCACGTCTTTCTCGATCCACTTTTGTGGTTTTGTATGTCTCTTCCTTATTCTCTTTCGTGTTGATTTCCTCCTGATGAGCATTCGAAATGGTGTAAAATCGAAATTGAATCCTGAAATTATCTTCACTGAGAACTAGTGGACAATTCATAAATGAACATTCGACAGATCTGTAAGCAGCCAGCCCTCTATGTGTAACAAAACTTATCATCTTATTAAGCTCGTCAACAAAAAAATACACATTTTTTATTTTTTTCAAAATATCTACATAGTAGTAATTGTTTTCTCTTCTATATGGGACACGTGGGTATCCATAATTGGATGTTACTACTTCTTCTTTTTTATAAGTCATTTTGTTAATCAAATCAGTTTCTCCAATCATCGGTAGGGAAGAACAATCAGAAGAATTCATCATAAGTTGTGTCTCTTCTCTTTCTATAACATGTTCAAGAAAAACAGAGTGCATGAATAAAGAAGAATTATCAAATTGAAAAATAAAATTGAAAAAAAGTTTGTCTTGTTTTAAATTATGTATAAACTTATTTACATTACTTGCAACTAAATATCTCTTCAAGTTTATTATTATTTTTTTTTTTTCCTTTTTATAAAATTTTATAATGTATTTTTTTTTTTTCAAAAAATTCTCATAATTTTCTTTTCTAAACTTAACAATAAGTGTTTTTCCAATGGAGAAGTCATCCAAATTTTGTACTACCTCTTTTTCTTTATTCACTATACCTGATGAATATTTCCTTTCAAATCGGTTGTCACATATATCTCCACTTATCAAACCTTTTTTCGGAATGAAGTTTTTCCCAGCTAAAGAAAAATGGCAATCTCCATTTATGAACCCTTTAGTTTTAGCATTTGTTTTGTATGTGTTTTGAAAAATGGTGTAATAAAATCGTATGTTCAGAATGAGATGAATAAGGATATACAAACTGTTGTAATAAATATAATTCAATATTTCTGATGTGTATAAATTGTTCAAAATGTTTCTTTTCACTATTTTTATAATTTCAATTTTTTTATAACATCCTTTTTGAAAAACACATTTTTTAAAATTTAAAAGTTCAAAAATTTCCTTATTCACATTTTCTGGAATCAGTTTCATATGATTCTTCAATTCGTAAGTGTATATATCATCTACCTCTATAAATTTAGTTTCGCAATCTATAAAAAAGTTATTTTCTCTTAGTAATAACCCTATGAGAGTGTTGTTCTGTATTTCATTATAAACATCACTCAAACTTAAGAGTTCCAGATTTTCAATTAAATTTATATTTTTATTAACAAGTGTTAAAAAGTTATAAATTGTAAGTGTTATAATAGCACTAAGGACTAAATTTTCTCTTTTCCTTTCATGCAAATGAAGAATAATGTTATTCAAGTAGTTTAAAAATGTGTTTCCTGCGTTCTTGTCATTTCGAATAGCATGTTCCAGCAATCTATAACAACAGATCACATCTTCCTCTTCCTCTTTTCTTCTTCGTGATGAGAATGACATAGATCCATATTTGCCAACTTGGGAACTCATTGGCCATTCATATCCATCCATACAATTTGAATAATTTTTTTTCTCTTCTACTACCGATGATCCATTCATGCGACCCAAAAATTTAATGAAAAATTTGACCGTCAAGATGTGTGTAATGTTATTAATGTTCATAAATTTTATCATCTTTTGATTTTCTTTTTTAAAATTCTTAAATTTTCTTGCATGTATCCCCAGAGAGCTAGACAATATCTTATATATGTCATAGCTTTTATAAAAAAAAATACTAAAGAAGAAACTCAGCTTTATGTGTGAACAGTATATTTTAGACAAAACGCAATTCCTGTTCTGAATTATTCCGTGTAGTTCGTACATCAGTCTTTCCCTAACTCTCAAGCTATTCATCTTTTCGTTGACCTTGTTTCTCTGTTCTTCAGCTATTGCATTCTCGTCGCTGTTGCCTCTATTGGATGAGCAATTCGTCCCTTCGCCATTCGTCACTTTGCTATTCATCTCTTCTCTATTCACCGCTTCGCCATTCGTCACTTTGCTATTCATCTCTTCTCTATTCACCGCTTCGCCATTCGTCACTTTGCTATTCATCTCTTCTCCATTCATCGCTTCTCTATTCACCACTTCTCTACACTTTGCATTCTCTATAGAACAACCAAGCGAGAAGTCGTTGCCCAGGTTGAAAGCAAAACTTCCCAATCCACAGATCCTTATATTTTCATTCATAAAATTTCCTTCATGTTCTTCCCTCTCCTCGTTAGATTTCTTCCTTTTTATATACTCAATGTAATATATCAACTTGTTTTCGTGAACTAAATTTACAAGGTTACATTCGATAAATAAATTGTAAAATAAGTTGAAATGGAAATTATTATTTGGATTATCCAACTCAAGCATAAAATTTAAGCAATTCTTTTCGTCTGGGGTTAGCAAAATTTTGAAATAGTTATTGTTCTTTCTTATTTCCAGAATATACTCAAGAAGTGTGTCGCTTCGATGATAACTTCGTTGATCATCCCTCGTGTTTACCATCACAGCTGAACTTAACGGATCAAGTTCCTGTTTCTTAGATTGTAAGATGACCTCATGCATTTTACCACCAGAGGCATCACAAGGATGGTAGGCCTTAACAAGAAGAGAAAATTTATTTGATCTTTTAAACTTATCAATGTAATGCTTACATCTTTTCAGTCTTTGTTTGTAGTATTTATTCCGATGAACATACTCACAAATGTAATTTTTTAAGTCTACTTGATTTGGATTTTCAATAGAGGATAAAATTAAAGAGAAAATATTTTTATTGACATATTCTACATTAGTCATAAAAATGAGGAAAGAAATTAACGGAGTTCCAATTTTTAAAATATATAATTTCAAAAAATCGTTATTCCATAATTGTAAAAATATTTCCATGGATATTGTTTTTATCAAAATATACTGCTGGTTGTTGTACTTGTTCATTAAATCTATACATTTTATGAATAAGTATTGTGTAATTAAAACAGATGAGCATATGTTCAGTAGGAAATTCTTAATATATCTTAAAAAAAGCAACAATAAATGTTTCTTCTGGTTTGGAAATAATTCGATTCTGTAAAATATCAACTTGAATAATTTGAAAAATAATATGTTAAATAAAGTCCTTTTCTTTTCATTCCTCCATTCGGTGCATTTGCGTGGGGAACATCCCCTCGCCCCGCCTGTCGTTCTATTCGTCATTGCACTGTTCACCATTGCATCATTTGTCGTGCTGCCAGTTACACTCACCCTTACACATAGAGGTGAAGAGACTATGGCAGCGACCCCTGTTCCTGTGCGTGGGCCTTTCGTTATGATTGGCAACAACCTCTCTATAAAATTCACAAAATAATTTAACTTGAAGGAGTAATGCCTCATCATGTTAATTAAAATGAAGAGAAAAAATATCAAGGTGTTCTTGTTCAAAATTTTTAAAATCAAATTATAGTAACGTCCATATTCTTCATCATCCTCATTCATAATAATAATTTTGTAAATCAAAAAAAAACAAATTTTATTTCGATATTTTTCTGTTATATCATAAAAATTATTGAAAAAGAAGAAAAAATTAGTAAATGAAATGGAGCAATTCTTAACAAATTCTGTAATATTTGATTCCTTTTTCTCTTTCATTTTATTAAATTGGAAAATATTCTCCAAGTAAAGAAATTTTGCATTTTCAAGTAACACCAATTGGTAATTCATGTACAAAGCATTTTTGTACACAAAATTATCATCATTATAAAATAGACCTGCCTTAAAAATTTCAATAATTTTTAAATTACTTTTCATATTCTCTTCTAGTTTGTTCAAGTTTTCCTCAGTTTTTTTGTCTACACATTTCTCCAATGCTTCATTCCACTTGTCTTTCATTGTCTGGTCCATTTTCAGCTCGTTAAAAATGGGAATCCTTTCAGGGCCCTTTTCTCTCTTTCTTTCTCGTACTGCTTCGTTGCTTACTCCTCCATTATCTGCTCCTCCATTATCTGCTCCTCCATTATCTACTGCTTCATTACCCACTACCTCTCTCATTGCTGCCTCCTGGGATACTTCACATTTTTCACCTCGATTGAACAATGGACTCCAATTGAACAATCCACTTTCTCGATTTTTTTTCAATAAATCTATGTGGTCACTAACATAAGGTTCTCCATTTTTGTGAATTCCACAATTCTCATCATACTGAATCCCCTCAATACCATTTGAAAAATTGAAATTATTCATCCTTCCTTCATCTAGTACTGCATCTGCTTCACTTACATATGCATTCCCCTTCACCACATTCTCGTTATCATCTTTAATGAACAATTCTTTATGCATTCTTACTTCATTCAATGTATTCCTCTGACCAACGTTCCTTCCATCTGAAGGGGTTGTCATTTTTATCGTCACTTTCGAGGTTTCCTCCAAATCTTTTATGTCATTTAACAAGTTCGTCAATAATTCTTTCTTTTTATCTTTATTTTTATCTTTATTATTCATCAAAGCGTTGTATATTTTACTAAGATCATCCGTTCCTTGAATGCTTCGAGAATACAAGCAATTCGAAAGCACGTCCAAATTTCGTACACTTTTTTCTTGGGAAATATTTCTGCTCTCATTTGTGTCGCTTTCCCAACTCGAGGCATTCGCTATGACAACGCTGGACTTATCATTGTTACCACTTCTGATAAGATTCATGTCTCGCCTATAAATATTGGATGCATCCAAGTTGTAATTATTTGAAGTGGAAGTCATTTGTTGTTCATTCGTGTGGGTCGTCATTCGTTGTTCATTCGTGTGGGTCGTCATTCGTTGTTCATTCGTGTGGGTCGTCATTCGTTGTTCATTCGTGTGGGTCGTCATTCGTTGTTCATTCGTGTAGGTCGTCATTCGTTGCTCCATCGTGTGGCCACTATCACACCATTTTTTATTTTGGTAGAGAGATTTACTGCCCAATTCGAATTTATTGTTGTTGTCTTCTGATTGCATATAACTTATTTCCTGCAAATTGGCTTTTGCATTAATATTTGGCAATGTCAAATTTGAGTAGAATTTATTATTATTATTATTATTATTATTATTGTTCTTTTTCTTCTCTGTCCCTAGCGCTACATTCTCGAAATTCGTATTTTTTGAAAATGATAAATTGTTCTTATTTTTTTTCTGACTTAAACTGTTACTACTATTAGTAGTGTATTTTCTCTGATTGGTATTGTTACTCTTCATACCCCCACTGATGCCTCCATAATGGGAATATAAATTATTTTTTATATTACTAACATTATATAAACTTTCCCCTTGATTTCTCAAAAGGTATTGATTGGAAAATAAAGATCCCTCAGTTTCATTATTTTTTGTTACCTTGTGTTCATGCTTGTTTCCACTTATTGAACTTCCCCCAACGCTGGAATTGTTCATGTTGTTGCTAACCTCGTTTTCAGCACTGGTGGTAAGAGATCCGGGGTGAGAATCGCACACATACTCAGAAGCATCGTCCCCATAGTTGGAAGTACCAACCCCATAGTTAGAAGCACCAACCCCATAGTTAGAAGCACCAACCCCATAGTTAGAAGCACCAACCCCATAATTGGAAGTATCACCCTCATTGTTAGAAGTACCACCTCCTTCATGGTCTATTTTAATTTTTTTTTTTTTTTTCACATTTTGAGGTGACATTCTTTTACTAAGAACCCTTCCCATCACCCCTCTTGAGTTTTTTGAAATATTCGCGTGATTATACAAATTTAAGTTCGGATAATGAAACCTTTTTAAATTCTTACTTTTACAATATTTCATTTCTGTTTCATCGATTGTGTGCATGTTTTGTGAACTAAATTCATTTTCTTCATTCACATTGGATCCATTGTTAAATGAGTTATTTGTTTCAACTACATTTCTACTGCGTTGGGATTGGAAATCTGCCTTATTTGAATACAGAGAATAATTCAGAGGATATTCCTCCTTCATTAAATGATTTGTATCCGTGTTATTACCACTGTAACATCTCCCTACATTTCCAACATTGTTGGAACTCCTTTCAGTTAACCCATAGAGACCTTTCCTCGTTTTGTTTTCTTCATATATAAATGAAGAGTTACCCTCTACTGGGGGTGGAGGCCTTCTCTCAAGAAGGTCTCTACCATCGATATTACTGCTCATGTTGTAGTTTTTCATACTGTTATTTTTCATATTGTTATTTTTCATACTATTATTTTTCGTGCTGTTATTTCTCATACTGTTATTTTTCATGCTGTTATTTTTCATTTTGTTATTTTTCATATTGTTACTGTTCATATTGTTACTGTTCATATTGTTACTGTTCATGTTGTAATTTATCATTTTGTTCATTTTCGGAGTGTTATTTTTCATTCTGTTGCCTCTTATTTTTTTGTCGCTCATGTTGTTCATTTTTATAAGCGAGCTGGGGGTCCATTATCATCTTTCTCTACCCCTGAATATGAACGATAACTTCACGAGTTTGCGAAGATGAGCCCAAGCTGTCGAAGCTCGGATGTGTATAGTGTTGAGATTGTGAAGTTGTGATGTTGTGAAGTTGTGATGTTGTGAAGTTTTACTGTAGTGAAGTTTTACTGTAGTGAAGTTTTGCTGTGGTGCAGTTTTGCTGTGGCGAAGTTTTGATGATGTGAAGTCTTGAAGTTGTGAAGTCTTGAAGTTGTAAAATTATGAAATCAGGACGGAAAAACAAGGTAAACTGATTATGACAGGTGGAGACGGTCAAATGAGGAATAATACGTGTCTTAAGCCAAATGAGGGATGACGAATGATAGATTATCATGAACCAGATGACTACTTATGCGCATTGGCATCGATGCACAGAACGTGATTTTCGGTTCCCTGTACCACTATCACAACCCCTTCCACTTTTAGATCTTACATTCCCTTTCACACATATTCATAATTCATATATATATATATATGTAAAACTTGCAAATGACAAAAAATATATGCAGGTTCAGTTGGATGGGGTAAAAAAAAAAAAAAAAAATATGATCATATGCTCTTTTTCAGCGATTAAAAGGAACTTTTTTAGTTTCCTGAAATCTTAAATGGGTTTGTGCAGGTGATGAATTTTAAATCATACTCTGAATTATTTACTTAAAAAATAGGGGGAAAAAAAAAAAAATGTATAATAATATGATAATATAACAATATAACAGTATGATAATATAATAAAATTATAATATAATAAGATAGTAATGTAGTAATCATGAAAGAAAAAATTGCGTACATTCAAATTGTTTTTAAAACATTTCTTTTACACCCCATAAGGATTTGTAACGCAAGAATCAAGAATTTTTTTTTTTTTTTTTTTTTTTCTTTTTTTTGGAGTTCCCTTTGAAAAAATATGCTTTTTTTTTCTTCTTAATTCGGTCTGTTTATGAAGAAGTTAAACAGGTAATTAATAGTTGTGTAAATTGTATTGTGCTATTTTTCCTTATTTTCGTTTTTTTTTAATTTTCCTTTTTTCTCATTTTCTTTTTTCCTTATTTTGGATTTTTGCTATTTTGGTTTTTTCATTTTTTTTTATCTGGAATTGTCACAACTCATTTATGTGATCTTTACGAGAGAGGGAAAAACTATCATGTCTATGTGGATATATCTTGTGTACATGAGACCTAAGCAGGTATTTAAGGCAAGATTATGCATGTAACATTAATTCCTTTTTTTTTTCCCCCGCTTGTCCTTTCTTTTCTTTTCCCCTATTTTCTTTATTTTTAACGCTTCAATTAAGTGCTGAGGACAGATTTGAAGCAATTTGTGTACAAAGGACATTTGTTCTAATTCCTATATACATAGTATAAATAGGAAACATTTATAGTTTTTCTCTTAAACAAAAAAAAAAAAAAAAAAAAAAAATATATATATATATATATATATGTCACATTGTTACCTCCTGTAGAATGCCATAAAAACGGTTACAGGAAAACATTATGATGATGTTGATGTAAAATGTATACAAAAGAAAGGTCCTCTCACAGGTCTTTTTCAGAACACAATTTGCTTTAAGTAATGAAATTATCGCTAGGGACACACACACACACAAAGCGGTTTCTTCCATCTTCCTTTTCCACCCAAAGATCCCGATACTAATGGAAAAAATATATATATATATATAAATAAAAAAAAATAAAATAACACCTCACAATTTAATTTCGCGCAAAGTAAAACATGTGTGCATTTACAGACGGGACATTCAATATCGGCATTTCATTTTCTCAAATTGCTTTTTTTTTTTTTTTTTTTCTTGTTTTTTGAAACGTAAAATTATGACATCATTTATTTCCTCCTTTACAAAATAAGAAGTACCTAAACTTGAATGAATCTCATTTGCTGTAGACGATGAAACATATACCAGCATGGTTTTTCCCTGATGATCAGTACGATTTTGTAACTTTGGGGTCATCTGAATATATAATATAACGTAATATAATCTAATCGTGCGTATACCGGTATGTTCCTGTTAATGATCCCTGGGAGTGTGTTTTTTTTTTTTTTTTTTTTTTTTTTTTTCATGAACAAATTTGTTGACTCCCTGTGAGAATGCGCATTAGGGACCTCTCCCTCTCACCCCCACCTCTGTACATAAAACAAAACTAGACAAAAAATGAAATCAGAAAGGGATAAAAACAAAAAAAAAGAAGATGCACATTTGCTCAAGGCAAAGGAATTGAAGGAAAAAATCGAATCTCTCAAAAATGATTTAGGTGAGCTGAGGGACCTATTACTCCCATAGATCCTACCAATGACATTTCACAGCACACATTTCATAGTCCTCTATTACGAACGTCATTAAAAAATGTCTTATCGTGTTCCCATACCTACCAATTTCTCCTATTTGTACACATGCATATACACACATATATATGTGCACATATACACGACCCCCCATGTGGACTATCTGAGCAGCTGAAAAAACTAAACTCATTAAGACGCTAAAGGAGCAAAGAGAAAACAAAATTGAAAACATTAAACAACTAGAAGTAAAAAATAAAGCCAACTACGAACATTTCCTAACTGAATATGAACAAATCTTAAATCAGTACAAAAATATAGAAAGCGAAATTTACGATGTCCTAGCCGATTTAAAATTGCTGTCTGAAAGATCGTATAACGAAATATGTAATTAATATGAGTAAATGAGTATCCCCCTACTCGTTTCATATTATTTTATACTACTTTACGTTATTTTCTTTCTTTTCTTTTTTGTCCTTTTTATTTCTCATTCGTTTTCTTTTTTTTTTTTTTTTTTTTTTTGTACACCCTGTTTGCACTCAAAATAATTGCAACACATTCTAATATTCATGCTGTACTCATTAAAATATAAAAAAAAAAAAATATAATAAAATAATAAATCATTTTTGAAAATTATTTAAAAAAAAAATAAAAAAAAAAAAAAAAAAAAAAAAAAACAGTAACACTTAGGAAAGAGAAAGACACCATTCTTATGAATAAAAAATTAATACTTGAGGAAAAAAAAAAAGAATTCCAAGAACAAATGAAAACAGTTGCCTTGGATATAACAAATCATTCAAACATGTTAAACGTAAGAAGCTTGTCAAGAGTTTTACTTACCCCGTATATTTTTGTGTAACTATATATGCGAACATTTATAAAGCCGATATTATAAATGTATAAAACATGTTAAATATTCATTTTGTAATATCCCTTTTTTATTATAACCCATTCTCCCCCTCACCACGCCCCTCTACGCTCGTTTTCAATCATTAAAGGGTGTACTTTTGAAAATAAAAGAAATTTTTAAAAAAAACCATGTCCAATATCAGCACGAAGCAGGTATTATAACACAAAAAGTGTCAGTTTTATTTTATTTTAACTTGTTTACTTTGTTTTGTTTTACCTTACTACACTTATTTCATTTTACCTTATTTACTTTGCTTTATTTTTTTTCTTGTTTTCTTTTCTAGCTCTGCTTAACGAAATTTTTTTTTTTTTTTTTTTCTTAACGTATGGTCATTTTTTAGCGCACCTTTATATATGCCCAATTCTATAAACTTTGTGTGTCACATTTTCATCACCTTTTTTTTTTTTTTTTAATAACAGATTTAAAGCCACTGTTAATACGATTGCAAAGTATTGGCAAAAGATAAGGTAAGAACAAATGTGCATATATATTCACATTCTATTCTGTTCATTTATTTTTTCCCCTTCGTCTCTTGTGCACACAACCACTCATATATTGTCTCCTTCCCCCTATCATTTTTTATGTGTTAACATGAATAAGCAAAAATATGATCACGTAAAATCTGTTTCTGTTTTGAAGGTAAAAATTTAAAAGACACATTTGTCTCTACTTATTGGTGTACATTCCCTCTTTGTGATATTATAACTCATTATTTTTTTTCCTTATTTTTAATAGGGCTGTATACATATATAAACGCCATGAGGTGAGATATGATGTGTCTCTTTGGATATGTACATATATACAAACACATATGTATATGTATATGTATATATATATATATATATATATATATATATATATATATATATATATATACATTCGTGCACAAGGCAAAGACCACCTAATTTTCGTAAAAAGATTAAATTTTTTTTTTTTTTTTTAAAAAATTAAGTTTCCTTCCATTAATGAATGCATAAAAGGGGGGAAAAAATTTACAAGTTCTTCTATCGCGTGTATACTCACATATATATATTATATGAAAAAAAATATATATATATATACATGCAGTTAGGGAGGTAAATTTTGTGTGTTAAAAAGTGTTAATATTAAAACGAAATATGCACCTAAAAGAAACAAAACACAAGCATAATACATTTATTATATTCTCTCGAAGAAAAAAAATCGTATGGGTTACAAAAAACCAAACGGACAAAATCCATCACGCAATCATTTTTTAATGTTTCAATTCAGCACTTAAAATATTAGTGGCTTCCTTGGACTCTGGCAAAGACTTGACATTTTTTCCTGCATCTTCTTTGGATTCTGTGTGCAATTCCATTAATTTCGAAATATCTAATTTTGGTCTCTTTAAAATTTTTACTTTTCTTATTAAAACATTTTGTAAGGGAAATATTTTCTTACATTGTTTTTCAACTTCTTTTCCAATTGATTCTGGAATAAATTTTTTCACAAGATCTTTTAATAAAACTTTACTGGCTTCAGCATTCATAATATCAACCATTTTTTTTCTAATTTTTTTAATTTGACTTGTTTGTGCATAACAAGTTGTTTTCGTCTGATTTGGTCTTTTTTTCGTAAAAGCAATACAGAACATTCTCAACTGATAGTTATCAATCGTTTTCACATCCGTGTATCCTTCAATCAATGTATATCCCTTTCTTATTAATGAACATAATTTATCCCTTGTTATGCTAAGACCACAAAAATCTGTGTAACAATCTTTATTTATGATGTGGTCACAGCACAATTTTATTTTCTTGTGTGCTTGATCTTCATCGTTGTTCAAGTCAGCAAGGTTTACCTCGTAAATTCTTCCCTTCAAGCTGTCTGTTGCCAATTCTGTAGGGGTGCACAAAAGGAACAAAATATATAGGGTGTGGAAAAAAGTATGAACGACAAAATGTAAGCGTTGCAGAAACAATCACACTTTACACGTTTATGAGTATTTTTTCCATTTCTCATGTACAAATGTGAGCACAAAAAAAAAAAAATAAAATAAAATATGCACCGTTTGTGTATAACACTTTTTTGAGGCGAAATAATCAATCAACACAAAATTTCTTTAGAATAAATAAACACAATAAAATCACAACCATTGATTTGTAATGTATACTATTGCAATATATCAAGCCATTCGTATGAACATTGGCTAGCTGTGTTTTTTCGTTGTATTAACAAAAAAAATAGAACAAAAAAAAAAAAAAAAAAGGTAAAATAAACTGATAATATTTGGCTGGCTTCACAATTACATACTGTTCGCCTTAATTCCTCTTCTTTCGAAACTTACTTTTTCCAATGGTTTTTGTAACTAGGGTTTTCCCGAAGTTTCTCACCAAAAACATTTTAGGGGCCTTAAGGTCATACCATTCCTTCTTGGTAAAAACATCAGTAACCTTTTTCTTTCCTCCTTTTTTTCCCTTTGAGGTTCTCTTGTTTTTTCCTACTGCCATTTTTCTTTCCCTTTTTTTTCTCAGTTATTTATACAGCTTCAAATGTTCGATATTAAAAGTTATTCAAATGGATTTTAAAAGTTTATTTGAAAAGGTATAAAAGGAAATAACCTCACTTGAATATTTTTTAAAATACTTATTAGGTTGTCCCCTTATGTGAGAGTATATAAATTAAATGTACATACGTAAAAGGATATATATGTATTTATATTTCTGTACCCGTATACAATTTTATTACACGTAAAACGTATTTATTTTAACTTTTTTTTTTTTTTTTTTTTTTTTTTCTTTTTAAAATAGCTTGTTCTACCAATGCAGTAAATGAATGAATATATATATTTTTTTTTCATGTGGAACATATATTTTAGTACCCTCTTTTTTCATATGTTTCATATTACGTGTACCGTTTTTATTTCTCAACGATGTGCGCATAGATATGGTATAAAACTTTTATATTTTTTTTTGCTTCTGTTTTTGGATCCACGTGAGTATGTTTGGAGGGGGGGATTGGGAACATTATTATATTTTCTTTTAACTATGTAACTCCAACGAAATTCATGTCACCATGCGTGTTATACTTTTCGTCACATAATTCGCTGGCCCGCTGGCCTGTTGCCCTTTTATTTTCATATTGCCCCTTCAAGCAAACTAATTTTCAAAATAGGCTCGTTTTTCATTGTTCAATTAATAATAGTAATAAAAATGTAACGCACTTGTTAAGAATATGTTGAGAGGGGGGGGGGGGGTAACGGATTAATATTCATTTTTTTTGCGTGTATTTATTTTATTTGTTGTTACTACAGCTTATTAAATGTAGTACATGATATGGCATATTGCTGATGCTGCACTAGGATCAAAATATATTATGTAAGTTCTCATACAATAAAATAATAGTATTGCAAGACTGTATATGAATACATATGTGAATATGTATGTATATTTTTTCCTTTTTTTTTTTTTTTTTTTCCCTAAATCTATTCTTATTTCGTGGTGATAAAGGGGGTATACAACAATTCGTAATATTTTTTTCCAATGATCATGTACCCTTCATTTTATGTATGAAGGCAAAAAACAAAAAAAAAAAATATATACATATAATATATGTCAATATTCTAATCATACTTATTTTTATGCAGAATTTATGCTGGTTTATACTTAACATTTTACTATTTTATTTATTTATTTTTTTTTACATGAACGATGTTACAGGGTTAAAAAAGGGGACTGAGAATAAAAGCACACTTTAATCAACAAATTAAATCTGCAACTGCTGCTGTGGCTTTTCCCTTTACCAACCTATGTACATTGTATAGCGCGACACGCATGTGTATATGTAGCATTTGTCCACGCTTAAATAACACAAGAGAAAATTTACAAAATTACGCTGCATAAAATACATGTGCAAAAATTATAACAAAAAGTAAACGCAACGTTCCTTCTCTCCCTTCAAATATGGAAACAAAAGAAAAAGAATTGCCAGGTTGTAAAGCAATGGACAGAAATTTTTTTTTTTTTTTTTAATTTAAACCTTATAAGAATTTATATCCCCATAATGATAATTAAGAAAATTTTGAATGAATAATCTTTTTTTTTTTTCCCCATTACAAATTATGTTACTATGCTATCAATAATACAAAGTTTAACAAGTACAATGTTCAGGGGGAATGAAGTTTATGGAAAATATTGGATTAATTTTTTTTTTCTTCCACATGATTAGCATTCATGTGTATAGAAGTTACACACACATATATATATATATATATGTGTATCACATTTGACGTACTTCAACCCACCCGTCCCATAGTGTACACTGAACCGGTAAAGATAAACACACATTTGTAAGCTCTCTATGCACCCGTGCTAAATAGCCATCACTTTCATTACTGTGTATTTGCAGTTTAGGTTTAATTAAATTCTTTAAATTGTTTTTACAGATGAAAGGAATTATATACATATGAATATAAAAAAGATAGTTTTCCTTGTTTTGCCCTATAAAAATAGACAAAAGTTTTTTGTTACAATAAATAAAAAGGGAGAAATGAGACTTCCTCCATGTTCTTTTTAAATATAAAATATTATTAGTGGGTTAAAAGTTCAAAGCTACGGTATTTCTTTTTAATTTTTTTTTTTTTTTTTTTTTTTTTTATGTGTTATGTACACATTTTGCGTATTTTTTTTTAGATCATGTATGGACTTAAAAAATAAAAAAAAAAAAAAAGGCAAATCGGTTCGAATTGTTTACATCAATATGTTGTTTTTTGTTATAAATGAAGCAGAACAAAATGGTTGTATTTTATGACCCATGTAATGTTATTTTACTTGTGTGGATCGTTTTCACTGTGCTTCCTTTGCCTTCTTTCTATATATTTATTTATTTATTTTTTTTTTTTATGTATGTTTATTTTTTTTTGGCCTTTAGTAATTTCTGTTTCGCTTCTTCTTCAGCCCTGAACGAGGTGCGGCAAATAGAAGATTTGGGATATAGAAAAGAAATGATATATGCACGTACGTGGAAATGTGAATAATGCATACATATATATATATATATTTAAGGTACTCATATGTGCGCTCATATGTGCACTCATATATGCATTCATGCATGTATAATATTCATGAACAAAATGCAATTTTGTACGAGAAGCTCCTGTTCCTGGATTACATAGACATAAAAATGCAACTTCTCATGTCACAATGCGGAACAGTGTTTGCAAACAAGATGACATGCACTAATGTTTTTCATTGTGAAATTGTTTTTTTACAAAATAGATTGTCGCAAAAAAAAAAAATTCTGCTTATAAATTCATTTGTAAGTAATTGTTCTCATACAGTGGTACATTTTAGACGTACTTTTTCTTTTCGGCCATCTCCTTTTTAAAAGCCTTTTCTTCTTCTGTCATTTCGACAGGCCCCTTTTTAGCCGCCTTCAATGGTTTTTTCTTTCCCCCCTGAGCAGAAAAAAAAAAAAAAAAAAAATACAGAGTTCACTCATAAGTAACGAATATTCTTATTTACACAACGTACATATAACGAATTTCCCAACACAGGAAAAATGCCTCATTAACAAAGGATTCATCATTTTCTCCTTCCTTTTTTCTCTTATTTTTAATGGTCATTTTTTTTTTTTTTTTTTGTAACTCGTGAGGCAATATAACCTGTGTATTTAATGGCATTGTGTCGAAAATGCTCGGATTAAAAATGAAATGTGGAAACTCTCAGAAAAAATTCGAAAAAGATACAAACGGGAAGCAAATGCGCAGATGGATATAAAAGACCAATGGAAAATAACTGAGCAGAGAAAAATTATTTTTTTCCTTCAATTTTTTTTAAAAGGACGAATTTATTTTCCTCAAAAATTTTTTTTTTTCCTTTTTTTTACTTTTTGGGTGCTGCATCAACCTTTTCCTTAAGGTTTAACTAAAAAATGTAAACCTAGTTACAAAAAAGAAAAGAAATAAATTGTGAAATTAAAAAATTGGCCTTTATGCATATCATAATAAATAAAAAAGAAAAAAAAAAAAGTGGATGGTGCTTTGTTAAATTGTAAAATTCTTTTTTTTTTTTTTTTTTTTCGGGCCAGTTAAGAGTCTAAAATGCATGGAATTAAAAGTTACCTTATCATTGAGGAAGGGCAATACATATATGTATACATATGCATACATACACTTACAATATACATATTACATAAACACATTATAAGTAAATGAATAAAGAGATCAATACCTTTTTTTTGTATTCATTTCGAGTGTGACAATTGCCTAGCACCGCCATATGTGGATACTCTCATGACAGTTTTGTTATATGGCGTATATACATATATATATATACATATATATACATATACATATATATTTATATATGCCCTATGATTATTTCGATAAAACTCCTTTATTTTTACCTCTTTTCGTGGTGCTTTTGCTTAATAACAGTTTAACAATTTTTTGGGAAAAACTCAATTGTTTAACGTCCCAAAAATTGTGATAAAAAAAAGAAAAAAAAAATAAAATGAATGCATGCATGGAGTGGAGGAATGAAGAAATTATTTTTTTAAATGATACATCAAACAGTTAACTTGTATATATATATATATATATATGTGTACATATCATATTAACCTAGCTGTTTAAGAATTTGAAATTATAAAATCCCCATGGTTACACTTTGGGTATTCATATCACCATGTTATATTATATGCCTAAGCACACCTACGAAAGCTTCGATATAATGTATGTGTATACCCAAACATATACGTATACTTGTGAAAGCATATGCACCAGATGTATCTTCATACTGACAAATGAAATCCAACCCCATCATGACCTCCAAGCAAACACAATTAACTAAATTTTACTGTGACAGCTTTAGAGGATAAAAAAATTATATTTTAATTTTGCTATAATTTTTTTTAAGAAAGCAATAGCAAAATTCAACAGAAGGGACACACATATATGTGTATGTACATGTAAATACCCCCTATGAATATATAACATAATAAACCTTTCACAAATTTCAAAACAAGAGAAAAAGTGTATATGCATTTATACATGTACACTTGTATGTGTTATTAAAACGTGCACATGTATATCATGTGATTCTTCCGACAGCTGAACCGTCCTTGACATAGCACAAGTATAAAGGTCATTTTGCACATTTGCACATTTGCACATTTGCACAAATCAGACAAGCATGGCTGAAAGATATGTTTGAAAAGGGGATAAGTGTCGTCTGTTTAGAGGAAGAGGAACGCTGTCATTGAAGGATACATTTGATCAAATATATGTAAAACCTAAGCATGTATGTCTTTTGTACATGTTTTTGTATGTCTTGACGTAGGAACATTTAACATTAAAGACAAAACACACATGTTTCCATATATACAAATTCTTTTCATATACCCCGTGCTCTTACCATTTTTGACAGTTTTAAAGGAACAACACCTTTTACCATGTATATTCATTCACTATTCATTTGAAACATGGATCTCATATTTGTAGAAATACATGTACACAAATGAGAACCCCATTTTCAGTAATTTGTAAAGCGAGTTTTATTTCTCAGTGTTCATTTTTTTTTTCTTTTTTTTTTTTGTGCCTTTTTGTTTTTATTTTTAATTATTTCTCCTTTTTTTTTTTTTTTTTTTTTTTTCGTATAAATATGAATATATATTTGTGTTTATTTTTAAATGGAATATAAAGAAAACGAAATAGATGCCGCATACATTTATGTGTTCATTACACACACGTGTCCCCCCAATTTGTGATCATAAATAATTTTTTTTTTTTTTTTTTCCATCTGAACAGTGTGCTTATTTTATCTTTTTTGGGGCTACCTCCATCCGGTCTTTAAGTATACCCATATGTACAATTTTATCTTCACCTTTCCCACCCAACCCCATAATTGAGTAATTATGAAAGGACGAAAAACAAAATAATAGACTACAATAATAATATGAAAGCTCCTTTAAAAAAACGAAAGGAGGAAAAAGGCTACTATAGCTGCTTAGATTTTGAAAATTTGTATAAAAAAAAAAAAAAAATTAAATCGAAATATTCGACATATAGAAAAGAACTTTATAGTGATAGTGAAATATTTGAAAAAAAAAAAGTACAAATAAAAAAAAAAAATGGATATATACATGTACAGAAACACCATATATTGCATAATAGGAACAATGACAAATTATTTCGGATTGACAACACAACTATATATAAAGATCACTTTGATAAATATGAAGAAAAAAATGATGAAAAGTTATCAAATTTAAAAAAAATTTTAAAAATATATGAAAATGTATCGGTAAACGAAAAAAAGAAACTTTATGAATTAATAAAATTCTTTTCCTTTACACAAGGAGGATTTCAAAATGATAAGTTGAGACAAAAATTATGGTTGCTTTTACTCGGATTTAACATCAATTTGTCTAAAGAAAAAAATTATAATGATCACCCAATATCAATTTTATGTAAGAAACATAAAAAAGAATATAAATCAGTTAATTTGGATAAGTATTTTAAATTAAAATGGTCACAAGAGAGAAAAACAGATCATTCGTGTAATTATGAATATGCCAATGATAATGGGAATCTCAAAGATGAAGGTACATGTTCACATTTGAAAAATGAAAACAACATTTACTATTATGACAACTCTTCCTGCCCCCAGAAAAAGGCATATTGTTTTACTACTTGTGACTTAACTGATGAAACAAATCTTCATGCCTGTTTTGCCAAAGAAGGAGAAAATCAATTTAAAAAAAATTTTATTGGATCTGCACACATGAGTGATAGTAGTAAAAATGACACTTGTGTTGAAGCCCCTCGTTCAGATATTTTTAAGGGTATCCCTCCGCAGTTCCCCCCATCTATGCAAATAAGCAAAGATATGAGAAAAGATAGTAACAAAGATAGAAACAAAGCAAGAAACAAAGCTAGAAACAAAGCTAGAAACAAAGCTAGAAACAAAGCTAGAAACAAAGCTAGATATGACGATTACAACCCATGTGAAGAGAAAAATGATGATTGTCTCCACAAAGGATCAAAAAGGAGGTTTTCCCAAAATAGAAAAGAAGAGAAACCCGATAAAGTAAGTTCACATATCCATTCAAGATCCTCATCGAGGTCATTCTCAACAAAGTCTTGCAAAACAGAACTGCTATGCACATCTTCTTTGGAATCTCAACAACGTTGGGCTTCGGAAAATTCGCTATACATATCGGACAGCTTTATTTCCTCAACAACATCATTCACAGCATCTTCTGTGTCAGCCTTCGAGGAAAAATGCAGAAAGAAAAGTAACATCTCGAAAGAGGCGTTTAAATGCAAACAGAGGGAATTGCATCGTGATCATATTTTTAATACCTCCAAGTTTTTTCTTCATTATACACATTTGTTGCGTTGTAAATGTGGTAAAAAAGGGTATAAATGGATGAACAGGAAGATGAATAAAACTGGACATAATAGTGAAAATAATATGAACGAGAAATATAAACAATCGAATAGATCATTTCTTTTTTTCAGTGAGAAAAAATACCTGAAAAAAAAAAAAAGACACAAAATTATCAAAATAAGAAATGAGAAAAAAGCCAAAAAATGCATCAAAAAAAAGATAAGAAAAATAATTCATTTTTTGCTAAATATTGACAAAGAAAAAAAAAATTATGATAAAAAGAAAAATAAAAAATTTATTATAAAATTGTTGAAGATAATTTATAAAAATATGTTAGAAGTTGATTTATATATAGTAGATTGCATAATAAGAAAAAATCAAAAAAAAAATAAGAATAGCATATTATCTTACTTAAAATATAACATTAAGAATAATTATAACTTAAATTCAAATTTAAATAAATGGATAATAGACAGTGTTTTACTTGATGAAAATGAAAGAATTCAAGTTAAGAAAGATGTCAAAAGAAGTGTAAATACATGGAATGTGCATAAATATAATATATATGAAATTAAAAAAAAATATCAATATATTTTAAAAAATATTATATGTAGTATTTTGTATAAACATTCAAATAAAATCTATTATGCACAAGGAGTTCATGATGTTTGCCTTGTTTTTGTAACTTTATATTTTCACAATTTTTTGAAAAAATATAAAAAATATGTCTTCTTAGAGTATTTTATATACAAATATGTAGTAAATAAAATCTGTGATTTGATTTTTTCAAAATCTAAAACTTTTTTTAAAGGAAGCACTCATGATTCACATTGTCACTTTGGTGTAGCAAACAGATCTATGGGTGAAAAAAGAATATACTCTTTATATAGAGAAAATTATGAACACAGTCAGGTACATTCCCTTTTGGAGACACATAAAAATACCGTAGTGAAAAAAACCGAGGTAGATATAAATCACTCGAATCGATTCGAAAAAATATATTCATGTAGGGAATGTCAGCTAAGGAGGAAATGTCAAACGCACAGAAGAGACATATTCAAAAACAACATTCTTGACATGTTTCTAATGGAAGAAAAGTATATTGAAAAAATATGCCTGCTGAAGAATATTAACCTCGAAAAGTACATAAAATATAAGACGAAGAAAAAAAAAAAGGAGTATGCTGTTTATTTGATATGTGAACGTTTTTTGCTTTTTTATATGATAGATTATTTAACATTATCTCTAGATGTGTCTATTAACAACACATTTAAGAGTATTGGACTTTTGTTGAAATATATAGACAAGGATGTGTATAATGTATTTTGCCTCTTGCAAAAGGAGCAACAATATGAAAACCTGAAATATGTAAAAAAAAATGAGAGTTCTAATTTTAGTAAAAATTATAACAATGAAGAAAAAAATAAAAAAAGTGTTCAAAAAGGATACAACAGTTATATGGAAGAAATGGAAAATAAAAGGAATTCCCTAATGTTAAGCGGAACTGAATTTTTCTTCTGCCTAAGTTGGGTTGTAACATACTATTCACATGTATTTACAGAATTTGAAAAACTGACGAGAATATTTGATACGCTACTATCGAACGATGGAATCTTTATAATTTATTTTACGAGTTCCATAATTTTAATTAAAAAAGAAGAACTTTTGCAAATAGCAAATAAAAAAAAAAAAGATCTTTTATATAATAACATGTATACAGAAACGCATTATATTTTTCAAAATATGAAATGGAAAGATATGAATGTAGAAAACATTATTAAGAAGACTTACTATTACATGAACTATAAAATACCCTTTGATACATTTTTAAAAAAAATAAAAAAAAAAATTTCCTTCCCTCCGTTCTCTCCAATATATAGCTACCCATTCATCTTGCATTATTTTCATTATCAAAATGAGCAACAGGGGTTAAGAAACAATTCGGCAGAAAAACCGATTTGGGATTTGTACGCCCATAGTAATTTCAAAAATGGAGAAAATTCCAATTATTCCCTCAAGGAGGAGGAGGCGGAAGAGAGGCAGAACAAACCGGGAGTTAACAAACCAGATCTAGTGCTAACCACTAGGACAGACAATACCACTAAATTTAGGGATCATACCGTAGATAACATTAACAAAAGGAATCCTTCATGTGATGAACACAGCAGTGGGAGAAATTGCAGTTTTTCCATTCAGAGTGGTAAAATTCAGGAAATTTATTACAATGACGAAGACAAAAATATCACACCTTCAGAACACGATTGGGTAGAAAACTCCATCCACTCACAGCCCAATCAGTCCATCCACTCACAGCCCAATCAGTCCATCTACTCACAGCCCAACGAAGATATTGTTACGAATGAGGAGAGTATGAACATGACCTCGAAGCAAATGGAAACATATGGAAGATATATCAAGGATTTATTTGATAAAGAAAACATAAGGAAATCAAATAAGGAGAAGGAAAAGAAGAACAAGCCAATTTGGAATGAAGAGAAGGATAAGAAAGACCACAATAATATTTATCTACACTACCCATACTCTATTTTATGCAATAACTTAGAGATGATGAATAAAGAAATTATAAAAAAACACTTATTGGTAGAAAATTTTTTTCAATATGTGTTTTATGATTTCATCGTAAATTACAAGTATATATGTACCATGTACAAAGCAAATTCGAGAAAAAAATGTTACACCATTCAGTATATAAAAGTGAAGGGGAAAAAAGAATATATTTTGAAACAAATTAAAAAAATAAAAAAAATTAATAAACATGAAAAAATTTTATATAAAATGGCAAAACATATTACTTTTTTTTACTTACACAAATGTTGGAAGAAAAAAAATAAAAAATATGTTTACATAAATTATGTTACAAAAAGGAAAAGGGCAACAATAATTTCCTCTTTTCACAACCATGCAAATAACGCAGGTAATAAAAAAACAATAGCTATTATCCCACCAATCTATAAATATATAGTTCAAGACAGTTTTGTTACCCAAAATTTCAGACAGACAAAAATAGGAAAATTTGATAAAACGGTTAAAGATACTAATCATAACAAACAAAAAAAAAAATTATTCTATATCTATTACCTTCTGAAAAATTCCATTTATGATTCACCTTACGTTAATTTCTTTTTTTTATTTTTTATAGTATCATTATTTTCTTCCGTTTTGTACTATCGTTGGTGAGAAAAGGAAAGAGGGCGCCTGTGGGGGTGGTGGTGGCTCCATATGTGTGCCTATTATTTTATTTTTTTTTTTTTTTTATTTATTCAAGGAAGCTATTTTGTCATACTTGCTTAGCTGTGCATGCAGAGCACGTATTTTTTGTGAATACAAACTTGCAGCATACTTATATATGTCACCATTTCTGTTGTACCTTTCTTATTTTTTTTCATCTTTCTTTATCTAATTTGCCTTCCCCTCCCTTGTTTCTCTGCTTCCCCCCCTTTTTGTTATATTTTTGCTAAAATTCGTTGGAACCGTTATAAACCCTCCCCCCTTTATGTGCACCTTTTCCAATTCGTCGCCAATTCGTCATCAATTCGTCATCAATTCGTCATCAATTCGTCATCAATTCATCCAAATGCATACGTTTACAAAAGTACATTTGTAATGATGCATTCATTTTGTTTGCTTTTTTGAGGAATTACTTAATTGTAACACACTCTCTTTGCCTCATCTTATTGATGATCGTTCTATCTGTATGCTACATTTTGCGTGTGCATCATTTTATGCATATCCTTTTTGTATAATACATGTTGCAATCCCTCCCCCTCCCCCTTTTTTTTTTTTTTGTGCAAAAATATATTCCGCTATGAAAACTTTTCCAATTCTTCCCAATTTTTTTTTTATATAGAATAGAAGAGATAAATGTAATGTTGAATAATATACCCCTTTATATGAGTTTACCAGCTACGTACAAAGCAACGATGTCATTTTGTTTTCTCTCACTTTTGTGCCATTATTAAGGAAAAAAAAAAAAAAAAAAAAAAAAAGATATGTTTTTTTTTGCATTTTCTTACATATACTTCTTAAACACTATTAATATTTAAAATATCATTCAAAAAGGTTTACATAAATTCCTCCACTAACAACCTTATTTTTCATTATTTCGAAAAAGCTCAGAGAAATGGAAAAATCTACCCTTCCAAAGGTGTAAGGGGTAATGTCCATAAAAAAATGTGCTTACTTGCACATATAGTTCTCCTTTTTTTAATAAACAGACAAAACAGAATGTATAAAAAAGTACTAAGATGTGAAAGGAATGTTAATAGGTCCCCACAAAAAATTGGTTACGCCCCATCGCTACTCATTAGTATACCTTGTGAGAATATTTACTATCAGTCTGTTCATATATATATGTGTTCATTTATATATGTACAATTGTGTTCTTCCCCCCAAAAAAAAAAAAAAAAAAAAAAAAAAAAAATATGAACAAGATACAAACAATTTGCAGCTTTTCACCTTACAATGCAATATATTTTTGAAAAAAAAAAAAAAAATTCTCCTTTTTCAGAAAAATTAAATAAGCTTTTACCTCTTCATGATACGCGAAGAAGATGTGTTGTAGTGACAAGGGCAATGAAGAGAAACAGGGGGTGGGGAACTTTCACAATTGAATACCTAAAAATGTCACTAAAATGAATGTACATCCAATATATTTACAGTCAAACTATGAATTCTACATTCTGCGAATTCGTATATAACACCCATCACGAGTTGCACACTAAAATACCTTGTGTAAAGCGCAAAAAAAAAAAAAAAAAAAAAAAAAAAAAAGGTAAAAGTTATAAGGCAAAAGGTATAAGCCATAACTATAAAGCAAAAGCCATAAACCATATGATATTAGGCAAATTGTCAGAAAGAGGTAATTCCTAAGAAATGGTGAACACAAAAGGATGATGATCAACAAAGCAGTGCACCACCAATCTGTCTGCTGTAAAGCATAATTGTGTAGTTCAAAACCGCCATCTATGCAGAATTGCACACACAAACATAAAAAAAAAAAAAAAAAAAAAAGGCGGTGGCGAAAATGTATACATATAGAAAGATTTTCAATTTCTACAAGAACAACACTTTTGCATTTTATTTGGGAAACACATGGTTTTTATTAATAAGTAGCAGTCTAGTATTCAGCGTGAAGTATTTCAAGAATTTTGAAAATCGACATTCTTACATAGAAGATGCAGTAAATATCCTAAAGGTATACCTGCATTGCACAAATGACACTAATATTAGAGTAATTAAGAAGAAAGGGAATATAGATTCATCAAACGAACGGGCCAAGTGCGAATTGTTGTTATTTTATAAGGGTGAAAAAATACAACTACATGTAAATGCTATAAAAGAAGACAAGGAAAAAGAAAGACTCACTAACTCTGCAGATTCTTATGATGAAGATAGTAAAGACATTTCTGACTATTTAGAAAATCCGTACTTAATTAAAAGGGAAATAAAATTCCTTTTTCATAAACTGCGATCGTTTATTTTATCGTTCATTTCAAGCAGGGAAAACGGAAATGACAAAACTGGCGAAATTGGTAAAAAAAATGCACAAAGCTTCCAGACGAATGAAACACGCATGGACAACAAGCAGGGAGATGTTAATAATCTAATACGAAACAAAAATGAGGAAATTCTCAATATAATCCAAAAGGGGAAAATGTGGAAGATCAGCAACATAATAATGGTAAAAAAAAATAAGTATGAGAATGAAGTACACGGAAATGGTCAGTCCTTAATAAGTCATATTAACAAACTTATTGATAACTTTTTCCATTATAAATACGAAATACATGCAGTATATGGAAATCCCATCCATAATTCTTACTATTACAAATATGACAAGAAAAAAAGAACATTTAGTGAAACTCAAAAAAATATAGGAAAAGTTACCCTTTGTGCATTTTTATTTTCAACCCTTTTGGCCATTAAAAGGATTTTCATATATAAAAACTCCTATTCAAGTTTAAATTTTGTTAAGCACTTTGTTCTAAATAATAAGGAGCTTTATAAAATAATGGGGAATAGTCAAATACAAATTTTAAGTATATCCGGAATGCATGAAAAAAATTATCTGAACAGCAAGGTGTTTATTCAGGTCAAGGAAACGCAAGGTGTAGTACAAATAACAGCAACCAAAAATAAAATGGACAAACATTTTTTCATACTTCATGCCAAGCTTTTGCTAAACAATGAGACAATCGAATTGAAGAAGTATTAACTCTCTTAAAAGCTATGAACTGCCGAGCTCAGAGTTGCAAAAGTATAAGTGAATGAAGTATTATTTTACCTGAGCGCTAAGAAGAAGAAGCACAAAAAATGATGCCCCTTCTTTTATATATAAAAAAGCGCAGATACACATACATTTTCGTAACTTTGCACACATTTATTTTTCCTGCACGCAACAAACTCTTCTTGCGCTTCCACCCTCCTTAAGAATAAATCCCGTTCATATATTTGTAGGCCCCAAGGAGACAGCATCGTTACCCCAACAAAATATTATTAACCACCACCACTCTTCATTATTATTTAAATTATTTACAAATATTTGAAAAATTACATGAACATTATAAAAATTGTTCAGAAAAAAAAAAAAAAAAAAAAAAAAAAAAAAATTATGCGCACCTGCACAGCTTGTGCATAAAATTATCCACAATTTAACATGAATATGTAATATTGTTTTTGTACAAACAGACCATGGGAAAATATCAATGGGTGCTGTTGAAGGAGGCGGTAAAAACATAATTTCCCAATATTCTCCTTCTCCTTTCTTGGCATGCTTAAGTTTAATAATTAAAAAAAATAGTTTGACAACTATAGTTACGAGTGTACATGTTTGCGTATGGTGTATGTGTGTATGATATCTTTTTATTTGTTCATATTTGCTATTTATATTTTTCATTTTTTCCCCATTATCAATTTGGCTAATTGAGGAGATTATTTCATGTATTATACCCCTTTTTGTGAATCTTGCTTTGTTATATTTTGTAACAATATGTCAAATTTCGCAAGATGATTTCGGAACATACATATGTTGCTGCTACTATTATTTTATTTTAGTTTATTTCCTTTTTTTTTTTTTTTTTTTTTTTTGTCTTTTTTGAGATGCTTTTTTTTTTTTTTTTTTTTTTTTTTTTTTTTTTTTTTTTTTTTTTTTTTTTTTTTTTTTTTTTTTTTTTTTTTTTTTTTTTTTTTTTTTTTTTTTTTTTTTTTTTCTTGTTTACCTCCACCTTTTTAATGTTATAATATGTTGTTTTCACCTCTACCCCCAAATGAGACAAAATTTAATTCGATCGAATAATTTTTGTTAAACACGCAGCTGAGCGTTAACATTTACAAAATAATTTACTCACAATTAAAGAATATTCTAAAAGAATATTGTCAAATTAATTATCACCTACCCTTTATGACAGATCACTTAAAAAATGCCAGTATGTTTCAGTGTACATAAATTGGTAGGATATAATGAGACGCATAATATTATACTATATAGGGAACCCATATTAGTAAACAAGTCATATGAGAGTAAATATATAATATTTTTCCCTGGTGATTATTCGAACTTTTTTACGAATTCTGTATATACATCATATAAAAGGGAATCGAAAAATGAATGCACAGAATATTGTTACAGTTATGAAGCCTTATTTTGGGTAATATCTTCTAAGTATTTGTATGATCACATAATCTTTATTAAGCCTTGTATTTTTAAAAATTATTTTTCAATGTTTGCAAATTTTTTAAACGAACCTGATATTTCGATCAGCAAGGATTTGAAAAACGTTAATACTAATACAGGAAAAATACAATCCAAAATAGGGAATGTAAATCCAAGTGATCAAAACTGTTCTCAGGAATGTTATCAGAATAATGCTGCAAATGTACTAGCTCCAGCAAAAGGAGTAAAACACTTGCTTTGTCTATTATTATCTCTAAATAAAGAATTGTCAGGAAGGAACGAAATGAATAGTTTTTTTGTAAGTAGTATCCAAAGTGCAAATGCTAATGGAAGAGACAAGTTCAAATGGGGAGCCCCATATGGCTTGGGAAACCAAGACGGCACAGACAATCATCCAGGCCATGATAAATCCACATTCGAAGACACACACGAATGTAAATACACAAACGAAGGAACAAATCACAGACTCGTTCTGATTGGATTCAGCAGAGGGTGTTCTGTTTTGTTTTCAATGATGCGGGAAGCTAAGGACGGACATCCTTTTTGGTCCCTCATCGATTCTATATATCTTCTAGATCCTTCATTCAACAAGAGTATATACAATACTGATATTGAAAACAGTGCTTTAGAAGAGATATCTGAATACGGATTAAAGATATTTGTTCATTCAACGCCACACCAAATATCTAATAAAAATGAAATGAACATACATAGCGAATTATTGAACTTTTTGAAAAAGCTACGACAGCATCGTATATGTACATTTCCATATATACATTACACCAGAAATGAAACTTTTGTGAATCCCTTAAATTTGCATTTTGAAATTCTAATGGATTTCTTGGATGATGTATTCGAAGACCCAAATGAATCCTCATCACTCTCTAAATCCTGTAAAGAAGAAGGAATAACCCTTTGCAAAAGCAAGGTATCTCCCAAAGATTTCCTCTTCGATAATTGGAAAAAAAATTCCTTTCATGCGTAAAATGGATTCCTTCGTTGATGCTCTGTGTATTTGTACAAATACATCATGGTGGCTGGAACAACATTAGGCAATAAGTGACAAAAACAGATGAGAAACATGCAAGGATTGTAGTAATTTTCGCTCCTACACACACACCAAAGCATAGCAAATATGAGAATGAAAGAAAAAGAAAACGAAAATAAGCAAAAAAAAAAAAAAGAATGAAATGGAAACATGGAGGACAAATATTCTTACAACTTCGGGAAGTAAAATTCTATTATGCGCTTATTTCTGACGTGGTAACACACATGTGTTTATATATATATATTTACATATATATTCACATGCACATGTATATACTCCTCCCTATTCACCTCTTCTCCGATGCACCTATTTTGTGCAACATCAGAAGTATGAATTTTTAATTTGGACCATCTTGAATTCTGTGAAAGGGAAATGCCTTACGCCATGCTAGTATATGTCAATAAAAACGGAAGAATGTTTAAACGGAAGAATATTTAAACGGAAGAACATTTAAATGAATTAAAGTGTTTTTCTTTTGTTCCATGTTTAGGATAGTGCTACGTTGGCAAGTTATTCATACGTGCACGAAGTGAAGAAATGTTGAAAGAGGGGCGGAAAAACTGCTCCTCCCACTCGCGAACGAGAGGGGAGAAAATGGGGAAAAAAAGAGACCAAAGCAGGTCGAGAAGGATAACGGATTTATAATAAGAACAGGTCTATACATCTTCGCGATGGGTGTAGAAAAACATATTTTCATAGACACAGTTATTATGAACCAACTCAAAATCGTTATAAATACTTTTTCCCCAATATTTTTTTTTTAAGTAAAGAATGCTTTTATCACCTCTGTTTGCAACTTGAGCCTGTAACTTCCCTTCATTTGGATATTCATAATTGAAAATATAGAACTCATCGGTTTTATTTATTTTCCAGATTACTTGATTATTCTTATAAACAAATTGAACAATTCCACACGTGCCCAAGGCAATAATAGAATCGTCATTGTGTTCAAAAGAAAAGGTTCTAATCATTTCACTAGTTTTGGGATGGCACACGTTATCATCCATTTCATCTGTTTCATCTGCAGGGTGGAATCCGTTGTTATGATGTCCTAACTGACCCTTTCCCATTCCAACCCTTTTATCTCCCCCAATTCTTTTCTCTGTTTTATTTGTAAGAGCTTTGTATTCATAGTTTTCTCCACAGGAACATGATACTTTTTTTTTTTCATATGTACATATGGAGTTTATTGGACATCCTCCATTATTTACTAAGCAAGGATTTTCCAGAACACAAATTTCTGTACTTCCTTCATGGTTATTAACTTTCGTTTTTATATAATTAAACATACACACACATAAGGGTTCTTTATTTAATCTATTTACACATATAGAATTTTCTGAACATTTATTTTGTCCGTTAGTGCATCTATCTGGCATAACACATTTTCCATTAACAGGTACAAGTTCTTTTTTATGACAGACACATTCATGCTTTTTTTTTTCATGATAAATGCATTCTGAATCTGGAGGACAGTTTCCTCTATTAACTACACATAAATTATCAAAAACACATTCATTATTATTATTTTTTTTTAAATTTTCTTTACATTCACATACACCTTTGTTATCAATAACTTTGCAAATTTCATTTTCATTGCATGTTATATTTTCACAATAATTAATAGGAACACAAATTCCTCTTTCATCTCTCTTATAGTGATCTATACAATCACATCTTACTATGTCTGTATTGTTATCATATACACATTGTTCTTTATCATTTGTACATATATTTAAATATTCTTTTCGTTTGCATTTATTTTTAGGAATACATAAATTCCCTTCTTCTTCTATTTGATTCTCCGCTGAACAAACACAAATTCCATTTTCAAAAGATAACCCATTAACACATTTGCACATTTTTTTATTTTTATTATTTACCTTTTCAATAACACAAAATTTGTTGGACGGACAAGAAAGATCACATTTATCATCTACTACACATAATCCATTTACATCTTTAAAATTCGTACCACACTGACAGACTGGTTTATTATCTATCATTTTACAAATTTGGTTTTCTCCACATGTTATATCATTACAGTTAGATGGGGCTTCACAAATTGCATGATTATCTTTCGCTATATAAGGATTGTCACAAAAACATTTGTATTTATGTTTGTTTCCATAACAAGAAGAATTTGGTCCGCACATTTCACATAAATCTTCACAAGTATAATGAACATAAAGATATTGATCACTTTTACAATATGTATCAAAATGGTGCGTAAGACCGATATCACAATTGCTTAAATTATCACAATAACTCTTCACAGAAGTAGTTAAATCTAAATCGTCGCACCCATTCCCTGTTTTTACTAATGCCTTATTCACTATTATGCTTCCTCCATTACATTCTATTTTGCTGTTAAACCTACTTCTGAAAATAGCAATTTTTCCTATACCTTCTTTCGAAGCATTATTAATATGTTCACTTTTAAATAAAGTTATGGTTTTTCCTCCTGAAAGATTTGCATTTGTTTGTATATTCTTATTATTCTGTTGTGCACATATATACTCGTACTCATAAATAACATTTTTTTCTCCACACATTTTAGATTCATCTAATGGTAGAACTGGATTTTTTCTATTTGCAAAAGCACATCTAACTTTTCCATTACAAGCTTCTTTCAGTCTATCAGTGATATATCTGATTTTGTTTTTTTCGAAAATTACAGGATAACATGAAGAAGTAGCATTTACAACTTGGATAGTATACCCATCATCACACTTCATAAAAATATACTCAGGTTTTAAAGCAATACCAGTAAATAAATCTTTCATATAATACTTATCCCTTCGTGTCGTTTCCATTTTTATTACTTGTTCTAATTCTGAATTATCATAGCATTTGTCTTTATATAAATATTTGTCATCTTCACATTTGCATTCTGCTTTTTTAGAATTTTCATAAATAGTGCATTTAGATTTTAAAGGGCATTTCATAACATCACACACATTGGTATAGAAACAATTATTAGTTATTTCAGGTCTCACTAAGGATGTTTTACACACACAGGATTCACTACTACTGCTGCAGAACTCGTTAACTGAACATACATTATTATTACAAGTATAATTTTTTTCACAAAATTTGTTTATTATTGGTATCATATTGTATCCATATCTGCATGTAGTTAAACGTCCTTCCCCATTATAAATATCACATACTTTATTTTCCTCTTGATTACAGCCATCAATACATTCATATTTTATATGAACGATGAAATCTTTTCCCAAGACACATTTTTTCTTTCCTGTTTTTATATTTTTAAAATCAATTTCACAAGTTTTTCTTTCGTTACATTTAGCACGAACATGTTCTTCAAAAACATCTTGTAAGCACTTCTTATCAAATGTGTGTATACTTATATATCTCAAATTTATTTTCATAGCATGACAGGTTATAATGCCTTTTTCATTTTCTTTAAAAAATATATCTTCATATATAACGTTTGGTTTCAAAAGTTGTGGTGTTCCAACATGATATATCAGGATATGTGTATCGTTCAAGTAAGCACAGTATGTTAATGAATCCTTCTTCTCATTTTTTCTCATATACCAATCTAAAGTCGTGTCCACTTTAACATATTCTTCTGGAGCTATAATTCCACAAAATTCTCTTTTATAGCATATCTGATCTATTACTCTATTTTCCACTGTTCCTAACGAAATGTTGTGATCACATGTGCTTGGATCCTTACTCATTCGAAAAAAATTTTTAATTTCTTTTTCAGCATAGACATTAAACACTTTTGTAATTCCTTTATTTGTATACCCATATGCATTTTCACCATTTACATACTTTACCTCTTCTTTTTTAGACTTGTCTCGAACACGATGATCCAGAGAAAACATCAGTTTATCAATTTCCTCATTTTGATAGTAAATGTCATCTTCCACTATATTTCCTTTAGCTTTTCTTGCCCCTGTGATTAGAAGCAAAAGAAGACCCATCCTAATCTTCATCTTTCTTTTGAATTTACATGTCTCCTTATGAAGGGAGCGAAAAGCATTTTACCATTTCACAGCTGGGTTTAGAAGTGTTGTGATGTTGCAGTGTTGTGATGTTGTAGTGTTGTGATGTTGTAGTGTTGTGATGTTGTAGTGTTGTGATGTTGTAGTGTTGTGATGTTGTAGTGTTATGATGGTGCAGTGTTCTGGTGGTGTGGTGCTGTGACGTTCCGCTTCTGCTCTGATGGCATTCTCTCCCAGACAGTGGCACGAATGGACTGAGTGGATTCTTCTCTATTTGGAATAATTGTAAACTTCCTTGTGGTAACTCCAAATGGACTCTTTTATTTTTTTTAAAAATGGATACACTTTTTTTTATTTTTTTTTATTTTATTTTATTTTATTTTTTTTTTTTTTTTCCCTCTCGTTTCCCTTACGATGCGAACTTGCTTTCTACACATTTTTTTGTCTCTCTGACATGGAATAAAACGTGTGCAAATTTTTCCCAAAAAGGTCGTGAAGTGAGCGGGAAAAGACGTGAACATGTGGAGTTGTGTAGAGGCAGTGGTGCATTTATCACCTACTCCTCCCCGCGTCTGCACTCAATTTACTCATCTACTTTTGCTTCATCTACTTTTGCTTCATCTACTTTTGCTTCATTTACTTTTGTTTCATTTACTTTTGCTTCATTTACTTTTGCTTCATTTACTTTTGCTTCATTTACTTTTGTTTCATTTACTTTTGTTTCATTTTTTTTTATTTATTTTTCTTTGCAGCTAGGAATTTTTCTGTTGACACACACGCAGTACCCCCAGCACGCAAAGCGCCCCTCCCTGAACAATTTTCTTTAATGCAACTTTCACATTTTTAGACAAATTTGGGACAATTTTTTCCACCTTTTTCCGTCTTTTTCCAATTTTGCTTCCACTTTTTCGCAAAATTTTTCCCCTCAAAAAAAAAAAAAAAAAAAATTAGTAAACATCATTGTATATATACATAATGTCACGCACACAAAAACTTTCAAATTTTCGAACGGGGGGAAAAAGATTGGCCCGTTTCTATTCATAACCGAGTTATAACTTTTCATCATTTAGTTGATTCGTTTTTTGTAAAATGTAATTGATGTACGGAGGAACTCAAAAAAAATAAAAACAAAAAAAAAAAAAAAAATGTAAGAACTGGAAAGGTACAGAAATGGATTGGACTATTTTTTTTTTAATCTCTTTACCCACGGGACCAAGTGTGTGTGTACACCTATGAATTTTTCACTTTCCATTTGAAATAAAAGATTTATGTATACTTTCTTGTGAAAAAAACAAGTGGTAAGATAAAAGCATGTAAAATATACTCTTAGCGATAAAAGGAGAACCATAAATGCACATTACACATGCACATCCTTCCATTAGTCAACTCATTGGAGATATTTTTTGTGGAAACAATTCTTAGATTAATGTCCCATTTCAATACGTGCATTTTTTTACTTCACTAGGAAAAGTCACACTGCAATCTGTGGGAAATTTGATCAAAAAAAATAGACACAAGAAAGAGTAACAGCAAAAACAAAAAAAAATAATATTCACATATATATGTATATATATATATATATATATATATATATATATATATATATATATATATATATATACACCTCCACAGCTTTGTAACTTTTTTTTTTTTTTTTCCCCTTGCTGTTTATAATGTCTCATTTTATTATATTTTTCTTTTTCCAATTTTTCTGGGAAATGCGGAAAGGGAGAACTTGATAGATTAAGCAAGTTAAAAATTCTTGACTTTTTTAATGGCGGTTAATTTTTTTTTTTTTTTTTTTTTGGGGGTGGGGGGAGATGGGAGGATGAACAGATATGGTTGTCATATTTGTGGCGTTTTTACAGAATAACGTATCTGTTGACACTGATTTGTCATTCTGTATAAAATTGAAAAAACAAAAGAAGCAAAAAAAAAAAAAAAAAAAGGTATGCGTTTCTTAACTTTAACCAATTTATGTATTATGAGTTAAGACAAGTTAAGACGCTTAATCTATTAGGGTAATTCTGTCATTCGACCATTCTCTCATTCGACCATTCTCTCATTCGACCATTCTCTCATTCGATCATTCTGTCATTCTCTTGTGCTCATTGAGGCCTGGAAATTCATAGGGTCATATGTCCCATGGGAATGTTAAATTTTGGAAAAAAAGGAAAAAATGATGGTGTCATGGAACGAGGGCATAAAAAAAAGTGACATAAATGGAAAAAGTAGAAAAAGTAGAAAAAGTAGAAAAAGTGGAAAAAGTAGAAAAAGTAGAAAAAGTAGAAAAAATTGAAAAAATTGAAAAAATTGTAAAATTAAGAGTACTGTAGTTATGCACGTTCGTCCCCTTTTTACATTTTTTGTCTCCCACTGATTCTTCGCCAATAGTGAATGTATTATCCATGATCCCTTTCATCGGGCAATCCAATTTTACATATAGCGGGAAAAATATACACATATACATACAAAATTACATACATATTACAAATATGGATACATAAATACTTATATACCATTTATTGCCTCATTTTACCCTCCTTATTTTACATTTCCTTAACATATTCCCAAAAAAACAATTTTGCAAAAATAATGAGTTTTTAAATGGATGCGTCAAGGGGCCTTGGAGACCATTTACAATTCATTATGACTCTCGTAATTTTTTTTATATTCAGTTCCTTCGTTTTATTTCCGCTTGGAAATTTTCTTCGTTTTCACTTCTCTCTTTCCTCGCTTGGGATAATTTTTCCCCAATTACAGGACTTAATAATTAACCGAATGAAACGGCATCTTTTCTCTTTTTTCTCATTTCCTCTGTTTCTGTTTGGCCTGCGTTATTCCATTCTGCCCTCACAATATTTTCAACCCTACTTTTAACCCTTGAATGAAGGAAAAAAAAAAAAAAAAAACGTAACGGGGCATGGTTAAAAATATGTATCATCATTTATGCTGTTATTGTTATGGTTCATAAAATCTAAATTGAGAAAAAAAAAGAATTTTGCAACAGGAAAGTGATATTTTCCATATATCACAGTTGAAGGTGAAGATATATATACATATATAATATATACAAATATTATATATATATATATATATATATATAAGGCTTGCATTTTTAATGAGACGAGTTGGGTTTCAAGAAAATAAAAATTTATTGTTTATAATTTTCTCCGAAAACGCTTTCATATGATGTAACAGAGGGAGGAGAAACAAGTGTCCAAGCTACAAGCGAACCCACAATCATGTACCAAAACATATATATGTACATATTTCAATATATATACATCTATATGTTGAAATAAAAACATTGTGGATGCAAAAAGCTTCCACAGAAACGTGACACACAACCATATAACACGTATATCCACAGCTCTGCTAACACTTTCTTTTCTTTCATCACAATTCCAAAAACTTATTTTTATTATCCCCATAGATTATATACCTTAAAAAATGGACGAATTTAACGAATCGTTGGAAGGATTGGAGGTAAAATGCCCCTTTTTGCATCCTTCATATGTGAACAGTCATATCTGCAAAGAAAAAAAAAAAAAAAAAAAAAAAAAAAAAAAACGAAATAAAACGGAACAGTCGAAAGAATAGCTTCTCCTATCACATCCCCCATGTTGTCACAACACGGGGTGGGAGGGGTGGTGCGTGGAGAAGACCTGTTACCTTTTGGACAACTCAGGAAAATGAAATGATAATAATATCCATCATTTTATTTGTGCAGATATACTATCTGAATACAAATGTAGACATAAGATGAATCATTATATCTCAAAAAAAAAATATATATATATAGCAATCATTTTCATATGATAATTTTTTTTTTTTTTTTTAACCACATTTTAGGGAAAAATAATCGAGTACGAAAAACAGCTAGCCTTGGTAAGAGATGAAATAAAAAAATATGAACATGCAGACGGAGAAGAAGATGAACAAATTAAGAATCTGAAGAAGCTAGAATGTGATATGTTAGAAGTGATCAACTTGACTCTTGATTTGATTAATTACAAGAAGCAAAGTAAGTTTCACGAAAAGGGTGCGCGTGTGTGTGTGAGTGAGCGAGTGAGTGAATAGGTTTTTCACCCGCGCTATAGCCGGGTGATGCCAAAGGGATGTTCATGCAATGAGCATGTGATGTATTCATGTCATTCTCATGTAAGATTCATGCACATTTCATAAAATGATCATGTATATGTCCAAGGGATTACACTCGAGATGCAAACTACCTGTTCTTCAGATAGTGCTAGAACTTGAGCTATCACAAATTTAGTCAAAATATTGTATGAGACATGCCTGTAAAACTGTACGCATCTTTGTAATATAGTTTTTAACATATATTCCTTTTCTTTGACCCCCTTATTAGATGAGGAGAATGATAACGTGAATGACGGCGCGAATGATGACTCGAATGATGATGCTAACAGAGGGCATCAAGATAAAGAACCCATTGAAAACAAAAATGAAAATGTCACAAATGAATCAAGTGATGTTATTGGTAGAACATGTAGCTTCATTTATGAAAATAAAAAAGTTTATGGATTGATTGAGAATGTTGTTACAGAAAATAACATTCAGCAGTTATTAATAAATATATATGAAAACAACGATCAAATTATGATACCACAAAAATATGTTCTACTGAATGAAGTGCTAAGTGAGTCTGCACTCACAGGAAACAATCAGTTCCAAGCACTCTACAAGAAAGACGGGTATGTGCAAAAAAAAAAAAAAAAAAAAAAAAAAAAAAAAAAAAATCACGTAAAAGAAACAATTTGAAATTGAAACGAAAAAAAAAATCAAAAGTACATTCTTACCAATTGTGTGCTTGTCGAATTGTGTGAGAATTTGTTAAGATCCTCACCCAAATGCAACACTTTTTTCTTTTTTTTTTTTCCCTTTTCTTTTCCTCCACTCACAGATTATGGTACGATTGTGTAATCTCTAAGAGCAAAGGAGATTCATATCTCGTCACATATATCGGTTACAACAACAGCGAATATGTAAAGAACGATCAGGTGAGAATAAAAAAAAAAAAAAAAGTGAAAGAAATAATTACCCCGGCAGGATACAAAATCCCTGAAAATTTAATCATAAAAGAAAATGATTCATTGAAAGTTCAGATGAAAAAAAAAAAAAAAAGAATAGCTTTAAAAAAAAAACAAAAAAGTGAACTCACAAATAAGGAATATGCAAATAAAACACAACAATGGAGATCCTTTCACGAAAAGGCCGTAAGCAAAAGTAAGCATCTACTAGTGGCTCATAAAAAGGTGGAAAATATTGAGTATAAAAACCCCCCATCAAGCTTTTCGATTCGTAGGAAATTCGACTGTAATGATAATGACGATTAAGTAAGGGATCTAACCCAGCTTCTCCAAGAGAGTGGTGGAGAACGGAACTTGGCAAAACGCATTTTTCTATGCGTAGTTATATCCACCACAAATGGAACTTTCAAAAGAGAACCTACTCACATATTCATTCTCCAAGCATTGTCTTCTCCATTCATCAAAAGGTTATTACCATCCTTGTTAGTACTTCCCTCCCTGCACACAAATACTGACGATTTCATTTATTTATATTTACCCCCAGCTGGGCACGCAACCCTCGAGACCTTTATGACTATGTGCCCGAATTCCTTTACTTTTCATTTTCCAATTTCGCGGTTGAAATTTGACTTGACACATTTTCAGTTACACTCATGGAGGGTGGATTAAAAAATAAAATTAAATTAAAATCTGCAATTTTTAATACATGTAGTTTATTCCTTTCTTTTTCCTTCATTTTTGCTTCCACATTTTTTCCTCGTTTTTTTTTTTCGGTCCCATTTTTTCCACCAATTTTGCGTTAAATTGAAGTTCAAAAAAGCGCAATGTATAGGTGACATAATAGTTTTTTTTTTTTTTTTTTTTTTTTTTTTTTTTTTTTTTTTTTTTTTTTTTTTTTTTTTTTTTTTTTTTTTTTTATCCCATTTTTTCATTAACTCATCGCAATGGTTAATGGGTAAACAGATAAAATAATATAACCCCACTTGTGTTAATATTTATGTAAAAACTTCGATTTTATTGTAAATTATTTTCAGTAAGATCTACCAGATAGGTGGTGGTGGGGAAATATGCTTAAAAACTATTATGTGGGATTATATTTTACAAAAAATGAAAAATCCCTTCTACTTAACATGAGGAAAAAAAACAGAAAAAAAAAAAAAAAAAAAAAAAAAAAAAAAAAAAAAAAAAAAAAAAAAAAAAAAACGATTACACTTTGAAATAATACACATGCTTATACTGTTATACAGTTTGCTTCCATCTACTTTTTCCTCTTTAACCTGTCTGGATGGGTGTGGAAAAGAGGCAAGAAGTTGACAAGCTTGAGAAGGAATAATTAAATATAGAAAGAGATATAAACAGCTAATTGAATCCTCGAAGATGGCCATGTGGGGCCCCCAAACTGACGCAGCACCCCGGAAGAAACCATGCTACACATAAAATAAAGAATAAAAAAGAACGAATAAAAAGTGAAGATTAAAAAGTAAATAAGGAATAAAAACCATACTTTTTTTTTTTTTTTTTTTTTTTTTTTTTTTTTTTTTTGCAATGGAAGAAGAAAAGATCTTAGATTCCTTTGATGTCCTATACAACAATGGGAAAGGTGAACTATACATAACAAACAAGTACCTTGTGTATATCTCTGAAAATACTCAGAAGGGAAAAATTAAGAACAATTCCCTTTTCCTGATTGATGACATTGACTTAAAATTATGTATATTCAGTTGGAAGAAAACAGAAAAATCTAAAAAGAAGAATAAAATACGTTTCACATTTGCAGTAACAAATAAAAAAAATAATTTCTGCTTTCATGATTATAACCATACAGAGTCTTTCATATTTGAATTTTTTAATGATCAACATAATAGCAAAATATGTGAAATTATTAACACGCTAAATAAAGATAATATCAAAAATCATATATACATAGAATTTAATTTGCATTTAATAAAAGACAAGTATAAAGTATATGAAGAATCCGAAAGTGCACTTCCACACGATGCTTCTGGAATTTCCACTGACCAGTATCATACACACACTTATAAAAATGAACATCTTAGCACAAACTACGTAGATCTGCAACCTGTTGATAATTTAAATTTTGTGAGGAAAACAAATGAAGAATTAAGAGATAAGATAAAAAATGAAATACCAACTGAGCATCCAGTTGCACAACGAACAATTCGAAACCGCACTGCTCATGAGAGGAACCAAAATGAGCAAAATGAGCAAAATGGCAAAAAGGAGCAAAATTACCCAAATAGCCAAGATGACCAAAATAGCCAAAATGGTCAAAGTGGGGAAAGTGACCAATTGCAAGTCAACGAATCATTGAATGCATTAAATAAAATACTCCAGACAGATACAAAACTGAAGAGTCTGTATGAGATGTGTATACAGAACAATATATTAACCGAAAATGAATTCTACAGGATACATAAGAGTGATATATATGAATACAGAAATATGTGCATGGGTGAAGAAGAAAGAATTTTAAAAGAACCCTTGTTCATAACAGAAGAACAGAAGCATACCAAAAGTGTTGAAATAAACAAAGAAATGAGTAAACTAATCCTTTCAGAAAATAAGGAATTAAAGAAGCTTCACGATTATTATATGGAAAATAACATACTTAGTGAAAGCAAATTTTGGTTCTTTCTTTTTAATAACAAATATAGTCATTTATTCTTTTATGACAAAAATGAAAAAGATATCATGGGAAATAAAAACTTCTTCTCTATTAATGGTAATCAGAAAAATAGAGCAGGAGCAGGATATGCTGGTGAGGAATCACGTGAACAAGAAGACAGAATCCTTACCACATATGAGAAGGAAAATATTTCGTACAAAAATATTTCATTGTCTTACGATATGGACAATCCAAATCAAGACATAAAAGGAATTTTAGAAAAATGCATTTTAAAGGAATACTTATCGACCAAATCACATAACAAGAAAAACATTCTTTTTAAAAATAATTATTATTTTAATGAAGAAAATGCACAAGGGTTTGGATTATTTACAAACGAAAAGTATGCTAAAAATCACAATTCGCACAATCTCCTAATTAACAAATTTAATAATTACTGTATTGGAATGATAAAGGATAAAAAATTTACTATAGACACATTTTATGATGATTTGAAAAATAAAATCAATGACACTGATTTGAATCCTATACAAGAAAAAAAAGAATTACAATTCCAAATCGAAAAAAAAAAAAAAAAACGTCAATTAGACACTGAAGAAGGGGACGACCATCTCGAATCCCCTCAAACAAAAGAACGTTTAAATAAAAAATTCGCCACACTTATGGAAGACCTAAACCTAAACACCCTTGAGCCTTACACTCATAGAAAAAATTATTCCGATTTGTTTAACATAGGTATGGTGATGTGCCTCCTTCCCTTTCACCACTGTGAGAGAAAAGAGAAATGCTGATGACCGTCATCATGGTGGGGCTCCCTCGCCGTGGTGGCAGCGCCTTCCCCCAAATGTTTCCCAAGTGGATGCCCAAAAAAACAGACGAACTCACCTTTTTTTTTTTCCATTTTGTTTTTTCTTTGTTTCCATTTATTTTATTTTTGTTTCCATTTTGTTTTATTTTTGCTTATTTTTTTTCCTTTTAGGGAGACTCCTGTTCGTGTCCAACACAAAACGGTGTCAAAGCAATCAGTCCATGTTGATAGGGACGATTGAATATGAGCAGCACATCCTCGATATTGTGAAAGATTACCACGTGAAAATAAACTATTTGTTGAACTTATTTTACACGTCTTACATTCCAGAGCAGGAAAAAAGAAACAAGATCTTGGAAAATTTGTCGAAGATTAAGGAGGAAATACAGCACAAGCAGGTGAGCTCTCTTATGTATTGTGATACGTGCACAGATAAAAGTTATGTTTTTCATATAAAGAAGGAAGACCTTTGATTATATTCCTTTTATTGCACACGTGGCATATCGCAAAAGATATCATATATATTCTGTTTATATATATATATATATAGGACATTCCACAGTAACACACTCCCTCTCACATACTCTCCCACTCTTCTTAATTGTTTTTCCACACAGGAGGAATACAATAGTGTATTAATTATGGGAAAACCATTGCTAATTCACCTCTTTGAACAGATAAGTATCTGTAAGAAGTTTAACGAAAAGCTTGATAAATATATTCAGGAAAAAAGGAAAAAACCATGATTAATGAGAAACAATCTAATCACCATCTTAAAAAATGGGATATTTACATGTACAAAAATATTTCAATGTCACACCAATCCCCAAAAGAAGAGTAACGTAAATGTGTGTGTGTCTCTAACGATTACTTCTGGTCATCAATGTGAAGAATATTTTTTTTTTTTTTTTTTTACAAATTAACTTAAAAATATGATAAGTCTGTATGCAAAAACATGTGACAGTATTTGCATATATACATATATATATAATATACATTTACATATATGTGTACTAAAAAAAAAAAAAAAAAAGGGAAACAACACACAAAACAAAAATTGTTAAAATGCAAAATTGTTTTAAAAAAAATATGAACAAAATTGGGAAAAATATGAACAAACAGCCAAAAGGTTGGGAAAAAATTGTGCACGAAAAATGCGCATGAAAAATGTGCACAAAAAGTGAGCACAAAAGGTGTGCAAAACGGTACATGGTAAAAAAATGAGAAAGAAATATGCAAAAAAGAGTATTTACAAGAGATCAGCAGAAGGGGCAAAAAAAAAAAAAAAAAAAAAAAAAAAAAAATCGGTATATATAAGCAATGTATTGGCTCTACCTGTACATGAATAAAGCATATTGATGTGAAATGTATACATGTGTGTACATATTCACATGTGCACACATGTTGCTTTCCCAACCACACTTGTGCGTGTATTTTCTTCCCATCAGTTACTATTGGACAAGGTGAAGTATGATTTCTTATGAACCTGCTGCACCTTCTTCAAGACATTCAATGTGGGAAGGGACTCCATCGGATTTTCCTTAAAACGACGTTCTATTTCCATTCTCTTTATTTTTTTTTCCATTTTATTTTTGCCTTGTTTTTTTCCATGAAAAATCCAAGAAATATATCGAAACGTTTCCTTAGGTGTCATAACTTTTCCAGAGTCATTTTTATAATCTAATTTTATATCATGTTTTGAAGTGGACATATGTAATGGTCTATTTTCAGGATTTTTATAAACTTTTTCGTCCATGTTTAACTCTCCTTTCGTTTTTAAATATTCCAGTGCTCCGTATAATCCTTGATCCAATTTAATTTCGTTAAAAATTTCGGATACTCCATCATGTGAAATTGCATAATCGTTTACTTCCATGTTCTTACTGCCACTATTATCTTCATCATTGTCATCCTCTTTGTCAACATCTTTGGAGAAATTTTTTCTCCCTCTTTGTGTATTATTCATACTAATTAAGTTGTCATTTTGTTCATACGTTAATTTAAATGTCGCATCGTTCCTTATCACATGTGCTCCCTGTACACCACCTTCTGCTCCTGCCCCTCCCTTATGCATTTTAAGCCTATTATCTATTTCATGTGCATCCTGCGGGATTGATATATTTTTACAAAATTCAGATGCATTTGACAATTTGATAACATCGTTATTCATATCTTCTTGGGGTTTTCTCCCTTCCTCATTTATAACTATATATTTCAACAGTTCATTTTGATAATCCATTCCCTTTTTTAGTCTTTTTAATCTATTCTCCTTTTGCAACATTTCATATAACTCTTTGTCCTCTTCATTTTCAATTAGCTCCTTGTCAAAGTACTTTTCCAAATCTATGTTCGTTTGTTCTTCCTTAATTATTCTCAGAACATCCTTTATAATGTTTTCGCTTCCCTCCCTCGTTTCGTCGATCCAGGATTGACACTTGGCAGATTCACCCTTCATCTCTTCGCTTTTTGCCTCTCCTGATCCTTTTAAAGACTCCACCTCGGGTTTATCGTACAGAAATGCCCATGCATCTTCCTCCTTTTTCCGTTTACTGATGTTTTGAATTTTTCTTTTTTTCAACTTGAAAACATTGCTATCTACATTTTGTTGCACCTGTGTTTTCATCTGTTCCTCTTCCCCCACCAGCTCACTCATTTTTCTGTAACTTTTATTCTTAGCATTTTTCCCATCTTTTCCTTTCCCTTTGATACCCTGCGAACGGGAACTGGTCCTTTCCTTGTCATTTTCATCATACTTTATAGTAACATCGAACTCCTCTTTCCTCTCATCATATTTTGGAAGCATCCTAAATGATGAATTATCTTCTTCATTTTGCTTATTTGTGTCTTCATAATACGAAAGGGGATTATAATAATTTTTATTCCAATAGCTATCGTCGTTTTTTCTCACTAAACTTTTTGCCTTTTTTTTTTTTAAATCTTCATTTATTAAGTAATCTTTTTCTTCATCATTGTTTAGAATGTTCTGATCTTTTAGTGTCAAAATCATGTCATCAGTTATGTCTTCATTTTTGTGTTCTACCGTAACATGACTTGCCAATGTATTCGCATTGATATGGGCACTACTGCTATTTTCATTACTGGAGCTGTTTTTTTTATTATTATTTTTTTTTTTTTTTCCTCCAATTTTTTCCTCTCCAACTTTTTCCTCTCCAGCTTCTTCCTCTCCAGCTTCTTCCTCTCCAGCTTCTTCCTCTCCAGCTTCTTCCCCTCCAACTTCTTCCTCTTCATCATCACTGTATTTTATTCCGCCCTCATTTATCAATTTCTTATTCATAGAATTTCTCGTTTGACTTACCCATTTCTCGACATCATTTATGTCTTCGCTAAATTCTTCGCTAATGGTTTTCGTTGATTTTACATTTCCCTTGATACTTTCTTTATTTTTGTTCCTGTTATTTCTCTTTCTGACGTTTTCTCCCTCTTCACCATTCCTCACATTAGTGTCTCCATCTGTTGCTTCTCCTCCTTTGCTGTTCTCATTAGGTTTGTCATATTTCAAAGCACATTTTTTCTTCTTCTTCTTGTCGTGCTTATCTTCCACATCTAATTTTTTTAACCCTAACTTTTCCCTCAACTTATTTGTTTCTTCGATACTCAACTCTGTTTCGTTATCCATATGGCATATGGGGGAATCACTATTATAGTATGCACTAATTGAAACATATCATGAATAGCACATAGCTGCATGCATTACAAACTGCTTTTGGGGAGAAGGCAAGTAACTACATGCATGTTTCTACGTTTCACGTGCTGATTTGCCCATCACCTTTTTGTCTATGCTTGAGATCCCTTAAAAAAGGGGGAATTTTCTTTCTTTCCCTTCTCTTATTTCCTTTCTCTTCTTTTTTTTCAGTGATAAATTTCCTATATTAACAGTTCTGAAATGCTCCTACAAATTACTGAGTTTTTTTAAACAATTTGGACTTTCCCTACACACGTGCATGTATCAATATGAGTTTTGGGCAGAAATGATGAACCTTAATTATGTATTTATACGTTCATGTGAAAATGTATATGTGTTTTGTTTGTTTGTTTTTATTATTATTTTCTTCTTTTGGAAAAAGTGGGTGGTAGGTGAGGAGAATTGCAATGACAAAATGAGAGGAAACGTCCATATAGGTATGTGTTTGTGTATGTATGTGCCAACTGCCCTATATATATATATATGCAAATTCAATACTTGTGTGAGCATGCTTTAAAAAAGAGGAGTTTTTCAGAAGCTCTTCTTCTCTAGAATTGTACTATGAATTTGCAACAGAAGTTACCAAGATTCTGCAGCTTAGATTTATGTTTATATAAGTATATATACAAATGGATAACAACATTTTCTGCTTTTCCTTTCCTTCAACACCAGATACTCAAAGCCTCTTAATAATATGAAATAGAAAATTCCAATTTCGCAAAAATTTAATTACGTTATTTGTGTGCTTTTAAAATGTTATAAAAAAAATAGGAAAAAGGGGGGGGGAAAAAAAAAAAAAAAAAAAAAAAAAGCGAATAAATTTTTTTTTTTTTCTTTTTTTTATTAGCATGGATATATTATACACCTTTGTCGTTATCCCATTATAATATAAAAACGTGTTTCATTTTGTTCCTTGTCAAAAATGTTCATTGGTTTATTTGCTTATTTGCTAATTTGCTAATTTGCTAATTTGCTAATTTGCTTATTTGCTAATTTGCTTATTTGCTAATTTGCTTATTTGCTAATTTGCTTATTTGCTAATTTGCTCATTTGTTTATTTTCTTATTTGTTTTATTCCACATCAGAAAAACATAAAGTTCATTTTAAATAAATGAACTCAATAACTGCACAGGCACAGGAAAAAAAAAGAAAAAAAAAGTGGGTAATAATGTTACGGTAGGGATGAGAAAAAAAATTCCCACTGGAAGCGAATGATAAAAATTCTGATATGGAAGAGTATTCTTTCACTTTATATTTATTCTTATCCTGTTATTTTTTCTTTTTAATTATTTTTTTATTTTTCTCGGCATTATATATATATATATATGTATATTTTTTAATCTTTCTTTTATCTGAACTTATTTTGAACAAATACATATAGTGTTAAAGCGTTTGGGAGAATATCAAAGGTAGTTGAAAATTAGATATAAAAAAAAAAAAAAATGTAGGAAATTTTTTTCTTTTTTTCCCCTCACCATATACTATATTGTGACTTGTCATATTATTAAACAAATTAATTTGGATGAAAATCTAAAAAGAAGAAAAAAAAAAAAATACGTGACAAAGAATAGGAATAATTTTTCGTAAAATTAAACGAATAAGAATACCCATGTTTAGCCTTTTTATTTTTTATATTTCTACCATTTTTTTTTTTTTTTTTTTTTACACATTTTAAATGAACACTATAATGTATATAAATAAATAACACACACCACCGTTTTGGGGACATGGGTGTAGAAAGAGAGAGAGAGATAGACAACATGATGGTGACTCGAATAAAGTTCAGCGGATTTACTTCTTTCTGTTTTGTTGTGTTATTATCATAACACCTTGAAATGGCAATATATATACATATATATTTATCCGCACGACAGATATTCGTTTATCTGACAATTTAGCTACACCGGTGGAAAATAGTCGTACCGATCTAACAAACCCAATTATGCACCATGCGATGCAGAGAAAATAAAACAAAACTTAAACACACAGCTGTGTAAAAATTTGTATACATTTAAGAAAAAGTGTCATATGAATATCTACCCATTCAAGTTATATAAATAAAAGACAGAAAAAAAAAAAAAAAAAAAAAAAAAATGTAGAGAAAAATTCACTCCTTTTAAGGTGTTTGTGTGATATATTTCTTGTGAGTATTCGAGGAAATTACCATAGAAAGATGGAATAAACGGAAAAACGAAATAAAAAAGTTCACAAAAAATGGTGATAAGGTCTTTTTATTTTGTTTTATTTTCATTTTTTTTTTCCTGTCACCTCTCAACATATGGGTATGCCCAACTCTGTATATACACTATTTTTTATGTTATGGAAAAAAAAAAAAAAAAAAAAAAAAGAGCTTTAAAAGAGTACGGACTCCCATGTGTATTTCGTAGCATCCCGTGGCATGGCTTGATGTTTTTGCATCTCAGCTCATTTTCAAAAGAAATGCAATTTGCACACCAGATGAACCTTTATTTTATTGTTCTTCTTGTATGTTCATATTATATGTTTATTTTTTTTCATTTCGTTTTCATTTCGTTTTCATTTCATTTTCATTTCGTTTTCATTTCGTTTTCATTTCGTTTTCATTTCGTTTTCATTTCGTTTTCATTTCGTTTTCCTTTCGCTTTCATCTCATTTTCATCTCATTTTCATTTCGTTTTCATTTCGTATTCATTTTTATTCTACTTTTTTGTATTTTTTTTTTCCTTTTTTCATATTGAATGATGACAAATCCAACTACATTTTTTTATGTTGAAAATGCATGAACAAAATTTCCCCTTCTTTTTACTCGTACGTTCTTTTCCTGCCTATATTACCAGAGCTTTCACACACTACTTCAATATTCCTCCCCACCTTATAATAAACACGCCATCAATGCATTCATAATTATAAATCATAAAACTGTTCATGGGAAAAGTTGTAGGATCATTGACTTTCATGAGTTACTCATCAATGTATTGTGCTCGTTTTGTGCAAATGATATCATTTTCGAGAGCGTGAAAAAAATAGAAAGAAAAAGAAAAAAAAAACAAAACATAACAAAACATAACAAAACATGACAAAACATGACAAAACATGACAAAACATGACAAAATAAAACAAAACATAAAAAAATAAAACAAAACATAACAAAATAAAACAAAACAAATTAAAAGAACCTGTATGCGTGATCGCATCCATGTATTCCGAATAACCTTTTTTACTCACCATTTACATCTTCCAAATCATATGCATGCACAGGATGTCCTGCTGAATTTGCATTTCATCTACAAGACAAATTTTGAATCAGCATGTGTTTACGTATATAAATACTTGTATATATTACCATGTATATATATAAATACGTGTATATATAGGGATCCATATATAGATATGTACATATATATACGTATAAGACATAGCAAGAACTTGCATTCTTCCCCTTCATATGTCCCCATCGTAAATGCAACATGGTACTTTTGATGCAATGTTGCATTTCCACATCATGGTTCCATTTTTTTATGCTCTAATCTTTTCCTTATCATAATACACCTTCTATTGTTAACATTATGTACCTCTAGTTGTATGCGTTGGGAACACGAAGTCTTTTTTTTTTTTTTTTTTTTTTTTTTTTTTTTTTTTTTTATCGTATACAATTCTTATCAACCATTCTGATCACACGGTTCTTTTTTCTCTTTTTTGTGTGCGATAAAAACACGAGTTTTTGTTCATTTGGATATTGAAACAATTTTTGTTTCGTTTGCCATATGAACTGGAGTGCTAATAATTATAGTGTGATAAAGTTAGTGCTAACAGAGTAAGTTATGAAAAACTTATTCAGACACAGTTTCACAGCGCAAAGTAAATATAATAATTCCATATTTGTAGTGTGTATAATATTTGTGCACGATTTGAGTATGAGAACATTATCAACTGAATCTGTCAATGAACCTATGCTCATAAATCAAAACCCTCCTCTAATGCATTTGTGGAAAGAAAAAGAAAAGAAAGCATAGCCTCTGAAAATGCAAGTAAAATGTAAAGGGAAGAGTACATAATCCCCTTCGAAACATTTCATAGATTTTATATGAAACTACACAAACAGGTATATTAAAAGAAGAAAACAATTAGGCTTCCTTTATTTTTTTATATTTTTAAAGCATAGGAGAAAAAAGATTATATACTTTTTTATATATACAAATGTACTAAATACGACACGTGAACACGTATATTTCACCCAATTGCACAAGTATAATTTTTTTTTTTTTTTTTTTTTTTTTTTTTTTTTTTTTTTTTTTGCTATCTTTTTATGCGTGCTGTTTGGATATGTGAATATGCGAATGTACATATATATGCATATACATATAACATACATAATTTTTTTTTTTTTTTCTCCATATCATCATAGCACATGTACATACATTCATACACATATATGCATATGTATACACTGCGAGTTTGTACATGTTTATTTATTTTTTAAGCTTGCACATGATTTCAGAACCTTGCTGAATAACACATTTCTTATTTTATTCCATTTTATTTTTTTACAAGTGCACGGGTTTCACAAAAGCATTTGACTGTCAATGCGAAAATTGGGGAGAAGCTTCCCATGCCCTAAAATGAATTCACTCCTTCTGAGTTAAATCAGCATAGCCCCCGCGTCGCTACATACGTACATATATATGTATGCATATGTATATGTGTATGCATATGTAAATGTGTATGCATATGTATATGTGTATACATGTATATGTGTATGCATATGTAAATGTGTATGCATATGTAAATGTGTATGCATATGTAAATGTGTATGCATATGTATATGTGTATACATGTATATGTGTATGCATGTATATGTATACATGGCTGCTATGACCTTTGTAGGTTAACATCTCGTGGGGGTGTCAGATTGCATGTGGACGCATGTTTACGTGCATTTACACATTCATAAATATATGAAGCATATGTAACGGACGAAGCATATGTAGCACATGCACACACACACTTAGTTACACCTTTGCGTGATTACATACTGGCCTACACAAAGGACCATCAAAAAAAATTAGTTCATTCGCAAAAAACAGTAAAATACAATTAGCTAATAGTCTTAGCGTCGTATACCGTTTTTAATCCATACACACACACGCACATATATATGGTCTACATTTATATGTATACTTACATACAGTTTGCATTCGTATGAATTGAATATACATTTGCCTCTCCATCGCATGTACTAATTATAATTATTGTACATTCTAGCCATAGTATCGATTAAGGAAAGAAAAAAGGCGGAAGCCCAAACCAACGCAACCATATGAGAAACAACAGCAAACGGAAAAATGATATATATAAAACTGTGACACAATTAGATAATAAATTGGGTAAGTCCAATTTTGTGAAATAAAAAATAATGTGTGTGTGTGTGTGTGTGTGTGTGTATGTATGTGTGTACCTAATTATGTATGTATGTTTTTTTTTTTTTTTTTTTTTTTAATTTTTTTGCAAATTTTCTGAATTATTAGTGCATACCTAGCGAGTAGCAAAAATATATTTGTGTGAAACAACTGAGTTAGAATATCACTTTTCTAATTCTGCTTTCGTGTATTCAGTCTTTTTTTTTCTTATTTTTTTTATTTATTTTTTTTTTTGTTGAATTAAATTTTTATGAACGTTAAGTTATTTTCCCCTAAATCTATATGTTCATAAGTTTATGAATATGAAAAGGAGATTTTCTTTTTTTTTTTTTTTTTGGATAAGTTAGCCTTAAGTAAGATTACCCTCTAATACGTATATGTTGTGTGTATGACCGTGTGTCCATTCATAGCTATATTCATTTATACACATATTTGTATAACATCACATGCTAAAGAACTTTAGTTATCTCTAAGTTAGGGTTCTCGTTTGCATATTCTTTATGCACATAATTGCCTCTGCTCATCAACATTTCGTATAAATTTATAAAGATAAAATAAAATAATAAATTTAAAAAAAGAAAAAGAAAAAAAGGAAAAAAAAAAAAAAAAAAGCAGATGCCACAAAAGGGAATAAAAAGTTAATCCCTTTTTTCCATTCCTTTAAAAAGAGTAATAATGGAATCTACTAATTTTATCATTATTGACAACAGAAGTGAGGACAAGCCTATTAGTTCATCATGTGACAGTATTATAGATAAAAATGGAAATACAATTTTTAAATCATATCACCTTTTGTATAAGCTAACCCACAAGCACATTTACAAGTATAAGAGAATATCGACTATCAGTACAGATGTCATATACGACGAGAATTGGAACCCATATATTCCCCTTTATCATTACTATTATGATGATGTGAGTTCTCATTGTAATCAACAAAGGGGAGAAATCACACCCGTGGAGGGAGAGGTGATCTCAGATGTGCCGGGAGAAGTGATATCAGGTGTGCAGGGAGAAGTGATCTCAGGTGTGCAGGGAGAGGAAGAGGCAGACGAATGGTTGGATATGGACGAAGTTACATATAACCAAAAGTGTGAGAAACAGAAATGCTTAAAATACAGTTTATACGAAATGTTACTTCTGCGATTTTTGGAAGTAAAACAAAATATGCATGGAAATGATTCCAATGAAATTCTAAATGAATACTGTTTCATTAAGGAAAATAAGAATAACAAATCTGTACCTAATAAATTTATTCGAGACAGATATGCACAAAATAATGGAATGTATATGATGAACCAGAGTTATGCCAATAATTATGGAAACCAAGCTAATCTTGCAAATTTTGTGAATCTTTCGAATTTTGTTAATACGGCCATGAATCCTAACAATATCTTAACTAATCAAGTGAAAATAAGAACATCCTTTAATGATGATCACTACAAGAATAATAAACATCTCACGGGTTACACCTCTAACAATTTGGTAAATAATTTTAATATTAGACCATTTAAAAATGTAGACAACAATTCTTATAACTTACCCGATAATAATTTGTACATTGATAATGAGGGGAAGATGCATCTAACTGGCCAAGAATTTTATAAGACAAACAATTTTCACAACAAAATTGGAATTACTAACAAGTATGATAAGGATAATAAGAGGTCTTTATATTTTACAAATGGTGTAAGCGATTCAGTACGTGCCCGAGATCACTCCATGTCATATGAAGATTCGATGCCATATGAACATTCGACGCCATATGATCATTCGACACCATATGATCATTTGAAACCACAGATGTATGGAGAGAAAAAAAAATACACACCAAACGAAGCGGATCGATACTGGGATCATCCCAAGGGAAGCAACAATGACATATTCACATTAGGTGATATTAAAAAATTTTGGAAGCATAACGAAAAAATAAAAAACACAAAATTTTCAGACCCTAATAATTATAGCATATTTAAAGACAATGATGAAGAGGAGAATCTGACAAAAAGTAACTTTGCCAAATGGTTCAAAAACAGTCAAGGGAATAACCGAGAAGATCCTGTTGACATACTTACGTACTTGAACGGGAATGGCAATAGTAGTGGCAATAACAACAGCAGTGGCAATAACAACAGCAATGGCAATAATAAGAATGGTGTGGAAGGCATAGATGTAGAAAGCTCCCTGAGGCACCTCGGGTCCACAGCAAGAACCCGTAGATATTACGAGGGAGGTCCCACAGGAGGAGATAACAATTATAGCTATGTTGGAGATATGAATGGCATTAACAACATTGTTGAAGGAATTTCCAAGTGGGGAAATAATTCAAATGCGGATGATGTTGCCCTTGGCTCAGAACCCACGGGATCTATGCAAACTGAGCAGCCAGAGATAAGCAGCACCATAGCAGAGTTGTTAATGAAACAAATTTCCATCTTAAAAAAACGCACAGATGTAGACTACGGGGAAAACAGAATCCATTTAGACTCCTTCGACAACACATGGCATGGCAACAACAGTAACATTGCTGTTGGCAATATTAACACTTTATCAAATTTAAACCAGATTGGAAGTGCTAACCAGATTGGAAGTACGAACCAGATTGGAAGTGCTAACCAGATTGGAAGTGCTAACCAGATTGGAAGTGCTAACCAGATTGGAAGTGCTAACCAGATTGGAAGTACGAATCATATGGAGGGTGGGGTATACAAAGAAGCGCATTCAAGAGATGGAGAAAAAGGACTTATGGACATTTTTCGAGCGACACAATTGAACAGAATAATTAATGAATCGTTCCCACAACAGAATCAGAATCAGAATCGCACAAATCGCATGAACAATGGGAACATGGTAAACGTTGCAAATTTGGCTAGTTTGTCCAACGCATCGACGAACATGACGAACATTGCAAACATGGTTAACCTAGCGAATCTTACAAATGTAGTAAACAATGAATATTATGCTAGAACACATCAGAAGAAGCATCATCCAAATGAAAACAATTTGACCTTTAATAACGATCCTGTAGAAGACATATATCTAAATGATGGATTCAATAATAACTTGAATAATGTCGATGGTCTTATCATCAATAAGAGATCTTCTCCTCATCCCTTTTTTTTGAATCCAGGGAGCAATGTGAAAAACAATACAGGAGGAAACATTAACAATGACAAAAAGAATTACAATGTTGAAAATTACACCACTATGAATAGCAGTAAAATAGATGTATTTAAAAATCAAAGTAATACACATGATAATAATATAAACATTACTCCAATAATAAATTCTTTACTACGTCTAGACAGTGGTCATCATTCACAAACGGACACAAATATGGCATTCCATCTTCATGATAATTCTATACAAGAAAATATTCAAAATGCAAAAGTTAATAATGTATTAGATTCCTTAAAATCATTATTGAAAGCTTCAAGAAATGGATCACAAGAATCGATTATGGCTACTAACCCTATTACAGGCCTCATAAGGGGAGGAGGAGGAGGAGGAGGTGTTGGAGTACATGAGATCAATAATGGAAACAATAAAAATTTCACAACAGTAAAGAATTTCCATCAAACTCAAAACAACAAGAACGTCAATTACCATCTTCAACAAATGTACTCCACACAACACCCGCAGCATCATATGCAACATCAGGCGATACATCACAGAACCCTACACATGAACGAATTTAACAGGAAAAAATTTTATCAAAAGGAAAATAACAAATACAATTCCAAGCGTCCGGAGGTGGGATATCACAACCAATGAAGCAATAATGGTATAGTGGAAGGACGAAAGAAAAAGGGTATCATAGGTATAAGAAGATTATGCCATGCCGTAGGACATTTCCGTTCGAGAGTGGAATAGCCTGCACATGTTGCTATAATTGTGCCGCAAAATGGTGCCGCAAACCGGTGCCGCAAACCGATGCAATATATGAACCATTCTCACACACGTTCACATTTATACCTCCCTCCCTCCCCCCCCCCCCCCCCCCCACTCCCCCTAACAGTTTAATTCTGAACCAAAAAATAAAAAAAAAACGATAAGAAAAAA